GTCAACCATCACCAGTCTCCAGTCTCAGCAATAATGCCATCCACCACCTACTCTCAGCAACAGAAGTAAAAATATAAAGGCTAAGAACTATATACAGTACATGCATTTCATTCACCTAGATACAAGGAGACTTATCTAACTTATCTAGATAGTTTAGATAAGTTATCTTCACTGTTAAGCCCGTAAGTTATAGAGGGTCCACACCCACGACACGGGTCAAACGTTCCCGATTATAATGATAAGCATATTGTTCCACCAGCTGAGGTGCCAGCTGTTGCCTGGGTGCATATTGTTCCACCAGCTGAGGTGCCAGCTGTTGCCTGGGTGCATATTGTTCCACCAGCTGAGGTGCCAGCTGTTGCCTGGGTGGAGAATGCGAGACCACGGCTCTACTACACACGACCTCCCTCACTATCACCTTCATTGTAACCTCATCACTACTATGGCCTCCAAGATTCAAATATTGAGCATCACATCTCACTGTCAACACTACAGTACATTTAACGGCCTAGGCCTAATATAATAGGCCTAAATATAACATGGGCTACATTAGATCTAGGATACGTTAAATTATTCCTAGGACAGGTGTCTGCTTATATTTTATTTTTCGTTTATTCCCGTCTTCCAGTATACGGAACTTCAGTAGTATAAACTTCAGATTTGTTTGATTAAAATAACTATTTTGCATATAACTACATGGTTTTAAAGTTTCCGGCTATGGTTGGCAACTCGTACGATTCATTTCGTAAAGAATATAGTTATATGGGTGCAACTGTTCATATATTGCATATATGATTGTTGCTATATGGAGGAGGAGGAGACACATATGCAAGACACATATATATTATAGTATATGTACTATAATTTTAGAGGTTGTGCAGTGGAGTTACGAGGCTAGAAACACAGATTCTGTATCAATGAAATTATGATAACGTTGCAGACGCCGAGACACTATCATGGCTGAAGATAACAATTAATTATACTCCAGGACGGACCCAAACGTAAATTCATTATTTGGAGATCTGTGAGTGGGTGTCTACGGTAGCGTCTTAAGTCTTCAATAAGCCGGTGGCCAAGATATACGAGAAAGTGCAGAGACAGTATGACAAGCAGACTAGTGGGTGTGTCCAGGATGACTCTTACACCAGCCCTGGGGCGTCTTGGGGCCACCCACACAACTTGACGCACTTCTCAACACTGGCTGGACCGGTCTACCTTGGAGGACTGTAGTAAGGAAGTCAAGCATCACAGCGGGTCATGCGTAGTTACGCAAAACGTAGCTTGCTGAAGCTTACTTTCTGATCAAAGGTAATGAGTTGGCCAAGCATATACATATTTTGAAGAATATTTTTATGTAGCTATATATCTGTATTAACATGTATGTTAATGATAAGCTCATGCTCCGCTGTATAAAAAAAGCTCTACAACTTTTCTATACATTAAAAATTCATTCATTTTAAGACTTGCCCACTTACTAAGCTTTAAAATTTGCCGGATACTCTGCGCGTAGCTAGTAGCTTCCTTTACAAATAAATTAGCACTTAATGTAACAATGTATATTTTCCTTTATAAATATTAATATTCAAGTTTAAATTGAGGTTGTTCTATTGTTCATTGGAGAGAACAATTGTCCACATCACAGTCAGCAGACCGGGCCATACTGTCCTCAGCCCGACGCACCTCACTCACCAGTCCTAAAGGCACTAATATACCATTTCCCTGTCAACAGGTGAAGGCGAGGCGCAGTTGCACACAACAGCTTCCATAGACGTCTGCAAAAGTCCTATCTCGACCTTCAGACATGACACCCTCTCTACCTTCCAGGATGAGCCTCCCAACTTCTTGGTTCCTATCAACTATCAACATCAGTTTATTAAAATTGTGTGAATCAGAACGAGACACTGCTTCCATTGGTGTAAAACCTCATCTTCCAGATTCCGACTGAGGACATCTGTCAAGCGGAGGACATCTGTTAAAGCAGAACCAAGCTTGCTGACTCGGATAAATATCAAATAAATGACGAGGCCACATTACCTGCTATAATGCCTTTCAGTCCTATATTGCCCCCTCCAGCTGGCGCAGCAGCACCCGTCTGTGTCATCCACGGCCTTAAAAAAGGCGACCTAAATGCGGGAGAGGGACAATCCATGCTCGCCTCACCGTGCACCTCCGTCGACGTCAACCAAAATACAACCAGCTGAGACTCAGCTGATCGTGGCGCCACCACTCGTGAACCCTGCCCAAGTTATCATAAACTAGGATTTTAATATTTCAATCAGCGCCTTACGATAGCTATGCTGACATACATGATGAGTACATTTTTGATCTAGTAAATTATAAAATATTTAAAGGTGTAAACAAAATATGTAGCGAAAGACCATGTATAAAACAACATGGACTAAATTATTATGTAACACAGAGAATGTACCCCATGTGTTACATAACCCTCAAAGTCTATATTTTTAGCTACAGGAAAGATTTAGTCTACTGAGATATATAAATCGTGTTTATCTGTGCAACATAAATCTTATTAAAATTTAAAGAAAGCGCGTCATTGATGCGCTCTGAAATATTGTACGCCTGGCAGCGACAAGTACTCCTATCACAGTTCTCATAATTTGCGGAGACATATATTAGCGTTAGTATCGTACTCGCTAAATTTATCTAATGGACATCATCCTTAGTGGCCTCGGCTGGGGAAAAAAATCCGCTGTCATATACAAAACGTTTATAATATAAAATTTGTCACTCAAATAATCCATCTCATTTACTTAATACGATTTAACAAACGCAGGCGAAACCCAATAATTTAAGACAATGTGTCCTGAGAGGTCATTGGGTCCAATTGACAGAAAGAAAACCAATAATAAACCATGAATGAAGTTTTGTTTCTCCAATTCAAACATTCCTTTTTTTCATTTATTGTGTACAGCATACTCATGCTGCGGTGGAAACGTCAGAAGCACAAATTGTTATGTCTATACATGTAGTAAACTCAAGACCAAATACGCCATATAGAACCCTTACAAGCTCAACCTATAGTTATAACTGATGATAAATTGTCAGTTATAACGATCACATATATGGGAGGCATATATGTATATATGTATGGGAGGCATATATGTATATATGCCTCCTCCTGCCTCATTAGTGTTCACGCTAGAAATATTACACATCCCAAGACCTAGACAAATGTTTTAAACAGATGCGGAACACTCAAGGAAGAAGCAGTGACACATTAAAGGAATCTGAAGCCCAACGAAGTAAGGAATATTTCCGTGACGTGCGACATAATCATGAAGAACATTGACAAACTTGAGTCAAAAGCCTCAAGTGTGTCGGAATTCAATCCAAAGTCGTAAAGGAACTTGTCGATGAACTATGTTTACATCTACACGCTCATGGTGATTGTATATGTGCCTCCTCATGGCTATGTATATGTGCCTCCTCATGGCTATGTATATGTGACTCCTCCTGCCTTGTATATGTGTCTCCTCCTGCCTTGTATATGTGACTCTTCCTGCCTTGTATGTGTCTCCTCCTGCCTTGTATGTGTCTCCTCCTGTCTTGTATATGTGTCTCTTCCTGCCTTGTATAAGTGTCTACTCCTCTCTTGTATATGTGTCTCCTCCTGCCTTGTATATGTGTCTTCTTCCTGCCTTGTATATGTGTCTCCCACCTAAGGGAGAGAATTATTTACCATCTCACCGTGAACAATCTAGTAAAGTCAACGTTTTAGTTTAGTTAATTTATTATGTACCCCATACCCATCCAGTGGGCGGTGGTGGACCCCCATACCCATCCTGTGGGCGGTGGTGGACCCCATACCCATCCTGTGGGCGGTGGTGGACCCCATACCCATCTTGTGGGGGGATAGTGGACCCCATACCCATCTTGAGGGCGGTAGTGAACCCCATATTCATCTTGTGGGAGGTAGTAGACCCCATACCCATCCTGTGGGCGGTGGTGGACCCCATACCCATCTTGTGGGGGGATAGTGGACTCCATACCCATCTTGAGGGCGGTAGTGAACCCCATATTCATCTTGTGGGGGGTAGTAGACCCCATACCCATCCTGTGGGCGGTGGTGGAAAGGGTTACAGAGGTACGTAATGGGCTCAGGGACTGAACCCTAAAATTCGTTAAGCTAAGCCAATTGGTCTTAATAAGCTATAGTTACAAAATTTAATGTATATTGTTACATCAACAATTATTGACCACAAGTACAGTCTCCAAGCTAAACAACCTACGTATGTTGCTTACCACACACCACACATCCTGGGGGAATGTGTGAGATGTGTGCTAGAGAAATATATGTAGTAGATATGATGGAGGAAAAGAGGTCGGGAGTCAGAACATGATAAGCGACAGTTAGAAAGGCGGGGTCCAAGAGCTAACAGCTCGATCCTGCAAGCACAACTAGTAAATACACACACACACACACGGCTGACTCCATACACAATTTTAAATGTAGATATGAGAGAGCCCAATATAGGCTCAGGAACCTGTACACCAGTTGATTGACAGTTGAGAGGCGGGACCAAAGAGCCAGAGCTCAACCCCCGCAAACACAACTAGGTGAGTACACACACACAGTTCTAGAGACAGGTACTCAAGACATGAATACCTTCAAAGCCACGTTTGCCTTCACACAGTGTCTTAAATACCACTGTGGAGGAATGTGGAACAATTCTTCGCCTCCTGTACATGTGGAGGTGGCATTATACCTGTACAGTACTTGGTAAATCACTGTGGTTAAATTATATTTTAAGGTTTCATTATTCTGATACACAATATGTTGTGTATATACACAATATATTGTGTATAACGTTCATCTTGTGAACGTTAGGCTATCGGTGAGCAAAAAAAATTCATTTTCTAGTACGACAATTTTTGGCCGTAGCACTTACATGCGAAAAGCGGTTATTTGTAAAATGGCAGGTTGATATATTTATAATGATTTAAGAGGTAACTTAATTATTATCATGATAGTAATAATTATAACTATTATTAGTTCATTTGTTATGCACCCTATACTCAATCCGTGGGCAGTAGTGGAAAAGGTTACAGAGGCACATTAATGGGTTCTGTAACTGAACACCGAATTCGTTCTGCTAGACATGTTACAGTCTGATAAACATTTTATTCTGTGCTCCAAAAATAGCGGTGTTGCCAACAGGCATCACCGTCATCATAACTGTCATCTTAAATGACAATTAAGTTCACGGTCATCTTAATTGACAATTAAGTTCACAGTCATCTTAATTAACAGTTAAGTTCACAGTCCTCTTAATTGAGAATCAAGTTCACCGTCATCTTAATTGACAATTAAGTTCACAGTCATCTTAATTGACAATTAAGTTCACAGTCATCTTAATTTTTTACTGCCATGAAAAGTGTTTCATATCCCTAAGATGGTTACCAGCTAATATGTGTACAGAATAATAAGTCTGTTAACAGACTAATCAAGGTCTTCCCAGACCAACAACTGACCTTTCCCAAGATGGAACCCATAAGTTGTCTAACTCATTTACTGCTAGGTGAACAGGGGCATAAAGTGTAAGGAAACATGCCCAAAAAGTCTCGCCCTGGCCAACCAGTTGTGAGCCGACTGCGGTATCTACTACGTTCTCTTAGTTTACCTACAGACGTTAAAGCTAGCGGTATACACAGAGTACAAGCGAGGGCTCGGGTGGTATTTACTAAGAGGTGAAAGTTGTTCTGATCACCTTGGTGATGTTGTCCTCGTCTACCCGCCTGCACAGACCAGGAAGTGCGCCAAGCACATATAACACGTCTCACCCTACACATGCATGCACTCTCTACATATTTATATTCAAATGTGAATGAACCTGAAAAACTATCCTGTTTACATATTCTAGATTGGGTTCACCTAGTAGTAAATAGGTGCCTATTTATTGCTAGATGAACTGAGGCATTAAATGAAAGGAAACGTGCCCAACCACTTGTCCTGCACAGGATTCCAGATTGAGTCGAGAACTAACCCAATTGTACTACCTAAACCACTCTTACCCCCCTTTCCACCTGATATTATATTTCATCTTCCCCTCTGTTTTCCTTTCCATATGATGTTCCAACTTTCCCTATTACCCTCTGAACCCCTTCCAACAGATGATCCAGTTTTCCATCGTACCCTTCCAATTGTTTCTGCATCCCCTTTTATCCATTCTTCCATATGAAGTTCCAGCTTACCTTCTTGCCCCGTCCACCTGATGTTCCACATTCTCATTTCCATCTGATGTTCAAGTTCCCCTTTACCGCCATCTTCTAAGTTCCGTCTTGCTCATTTCCACCTTTTCCTCTTACCCTTTTGCACCCAATTAGGTGCAAAAGGTAAGGCACCCAAACTTTACCCCTCTTCCAGAAATAAAGTAATTATTAAAAGGAACCATGCCAGGGAGACTATGTAGCACCATCAAAGTTGCAGGATATTCAAAAGGAGCTAAATATCACTAAAGATACCAATACGAGAGGAAAAGCATATAAGATGAATAATATCAAAGGCAGCGGATTCACCAAGGATTCTATTGAGGGGACAAATGACGACAAGGGATATTCGGGAAGCAAGACACACCAATGTCCTGAAAATCCGGACATTCAACAAGATGTACGACTGTAAGAGGGGCAATGCAGTTTGGACAAGAGGGAGTATGAAACAAACTCATTAATGCCAAAGAGAAACCCCCAAAGAAAGGCATGGGAAAATAGGGTTCGTCTCCTGCTCAAAGGACTGCATTCGACATATTGTCAAATATTGTCGATTGTCCATGGAAATGTGGGATTGTCTGTTAACCAAGGAAAAAGGCCAGCCCTTATACTATAGCCAGGAAGTTTGGACCCTGTGTAGAAACACTGTCACAATCCAGGAGTAGGAACCAAAGTCTTTATTGCTTTGCTTTGCTTTGCTTTGGAAACCTGCAAGCAATAAACCAGAACTCTGAAATGCACTCAGAGCTGGCCTAGAAGGTATCAAACTTTTAATGGGATAAAAAGAAAAACCCTCTCAGGTACCAAATTCCAAAGTGCACCAAAGAGCAACCAAAAACCTAAGGATACATAAAATCTGAGAGATCTTTCTATACCGCTAAATAATTGTAAAGGACAGAGCATATATTTTACCTGGTACTGTAAGACTGGAAAGAAAAAAGGAAGGAGAATCAGAAACAGAAGCTGCATCAAATCCACAGGTCACTGTGGATTTGATGTCAGTCACATCCTCCCAGAGGCTGTGACTGCCAGCACACCCCTTGCAGGTTCTTGAATCATGACTATTTTGGAGCTCAAACCAATGGGATAGGTAGGGAGGCCAACGCAGGTTAGACATGCCATCTAGCAATGGCCAAAACATGAGAATTCAAGGACTGGAATTTAGTGTAAGTGCTTAAAATCAACAATAGCTTCTTCACAGAAAATCACAGGACCCGCAATGCATCAGCAACAAGCTGCAACAAACGACCTTAAAGAAATTTTCCAAGAAGGTACCAGCCTGATAGCCACCATTTAGGTGGCTTACAGACTGCCTTAGGGTGGCAGTTTGGCCAGCACAGTTGTCTAGCAACAAATGTCACATGCACCAGTGAAAGAACTCTTGACCTTATTATGCAAAACACTAAAGGCAACAAGAACGCCCATCTGCCATGTCAAATTTTGATGAATGAAGAAATTAAAACCAATTTAAGTTACACAAAGTCAGTGGACTGGTTTATGTTAAGAGCTACTATGAATGAATGAACATACCTTCTATATTCTAATATAAAATTATTCATTGTTTAGAATATGTTGCAGGGAACTTGTACTGTACCAAGGAAATATTTTAAATTAAACCCATTCATTTTCTCTTTTATTTTTCATTGTATAAATAAATTGACCCTTTTTTATCAACTTAAAGTAGGCCACTTTATATATTTGCATCACACAGATGGGAAATGAAGTATAGTACAAGGTAATTACAACATACACACTATTCCTTTGACAGACCTCCAGTGCACTTAGTGTTACAACATGGTCCATATGATACAGTATTTATTATTTCCAGTCACTCGATTATACACGCGTTGCTTCAAAACTTTGAAAAAGAAGTGGAATATGAACACTTTGCATGCATGTCTTTGACAGTCTATAAGAAATTTTGACATTGAAAAAGGTCTAGAAAATTCCTCTAATATAGAGGAACACCATAATCTTCCAACACCAGATCTCCACAAAACAGGCACTCTGTGCAAAATTACATTACATATATTTAGGCTAGTGGCTATTAAAATAATATATATGGCAAAAATAAAATGTCCGTTAGGTAAACCATAAACAAATAGTGTAGCAGAAAGACTATATACTGCCTACAATAGACCTTTAACACTTCTCATTACCAATAGTAAACATTCTTAGCAAGAACCAACATTTGGGAAACTAACAATTCTGCAACATTAGTTGATGTCATAACATTTTGGTGAACTTAAAATTTTTGAAACTATTACAGAAAATATTTTATCCAAAAAAAAATGTCTGAGTAAATTATTAACAGTTTAGATATATCCAACATGGTTGACATTTAGGAAACATTGAGAATTCACCAATACAATTCTCTTATAAATGACAATCGTGGGAAGACTGAACCATCTTTATGTTGCGATTGTAATTGCAACTCCATTCACACTCCTTTCAGAACTCGAAAAGTGAAACACCCCTCAGTGGTTATTGACACCATTAACACCATTAACAGATGGAACAGTACTGGAAGCTGCAATCACTTTGACCGGTGCAGCTGCTGTGGTCTTCTCTGGAGGGGACTGATCCAATGTAGTAACTGGGTAAGGTTCATCCTTTGCATAACCATCAGGGTTCATCGTCTGCCACCTCCAAAAGTCCTCACCTGAAAGTAAAAATTATTCAAAACCGAATCTGGCATCACAACCAATGCATCATTAGCAGCAATAAACATTGCAGCTACAGTATTATAATTCAGTACTTTACTACTGAACAGAAGCATCGAAATCTACCTTAAAAAAGAGGCATTATCACACTTTAAATAATATAGTACCGTATAAAGTAGTTACAAAAGTCATCCCAGAATCAAGTATGGTCTTGTGCAATTGAAATGCTTGGACATTCGAAGCCAAGTTTTTAAATATGACAAGGATGATCTCAAACAATTAAAATGTTGTACTGTGTCTGGTATAATGCTATTAGGAACACTTATGTCTGTTTGACTTACCAAGGCACCCCCATCTTGCTGAAGATGAGGCTGTCTGTATACCTGTATAATCAGTCTAGTCCAATTAATTACCAGACACAAAAGTGCTTAGCCTGAAAAATTTTTGTAACAGGTCCAACATGACTCGTACAAAAAGCAATAATTTCCAGCTAACCAAGCCGTAATTCAGGAGACAAAATACTTTTTAACTCATAGGGTATACCATGAAATCTTTTGGATTTTAATACTGGCATAAACAAGACAATTCAAATTTAAAACAGCTTAAAAAACCTCATCACAATCGACTTGAGAATGGTCCAATACGGACCAACACGTCGTCGTCCCTTCACCTTCTAGTGTGTGGTCTGGTCAAACTGGTATCAGGCACTTGTCTCTTCACCCGACAAACCAACCAGAAAATGGAAAAAATTTATCAACTTCTCTATGACCCAAAGCAATAAGTGCACCAGGTCTAGTATCAATCTGGGCAATTGAAGAGCAATGCCTGATAACAGTATCTAAACCCAATGGGTAAAATCACGTGTTCCAGTGGTCCCACATGCAGAGCAGGTATCCAGATGTCTGCTTATCATCAAAGTTGAACCAGAAATTCCTTCAAACAATACATTCTATACAGTATATATAGCATACATTTCTGACCACCCTACTTTGTTCAGCACTACTTATTGATACATGAAATTGTGTACATGAAATACTTATAGATAAAATACTTATTACTCAGTGAATGGAATAGATACAATTGTGTGCTTAATTGCCTAACAATATGACAAAAGAGGACCAAAGTCAGTACTTCAGTCCTGTATACCTATTCACTTTCACTCTATCTTCTATTCAGCTGCTTATAAGCTGCTCAGCTGCTTATACACACAGCAACATCTGAGGGTACAATCTGTAAAAATTATAATGCACCTTAAAATTTAACCTGGACCACTGTAGGAGACCACTTAAATATTTTTTAAGTATTGTCACAGATCACATTGACATTATCCATACTGAGAAAATCCACTGTGGCTCTGAGGTGATGAGAACCCGCAACAAAGGCACTGCCAGCTGCATACTCCTCCACTGTACCACCACTGACTTGTTAATTCATACAAACCAGATTTCTACTGAAATCAATTGGACTGGCTTCACAAGAGGCCTCCAAACTTCCTATGATTTCAGAAGAAATCCGGTTGTATGACTTTTACAAGATCAGTGGTGGTGGTACAGTGGTAGAGTATGCAACTGGCAGAGCCTTGGTTGTGGGTTCGCATCACCTCAGAATCCCAGTGGATTTTCTCATTGATATATTTCACATTATTGTGATTTTCTATTTGTATTATCCACGTTGTATTTGATGCAGACAAACTCTTACAGATCAGCCTTTTAAAATAAATGATCCTTTTGTGTACAGTATTAACAAGAACAGTTCCTCGGTTTATTAACACACTTTTAGAAAAATCTGTCCACCACTCCACGAAAGTGGGGAAAGAAGCGAATGATTTATGTACAGTACAGTATATAAATACATGTAAATGAATTTGATGTAAAAAAAATAAACATTATAATCTCCTTCCCTTGCAAGTCAGATGAAAGTTATGACCAACGTGCTATCTCCTGTATTTGCAGTACACTATAGTGTAAACAAGATCTTGCAAACCCTTGAAACATATGCAGCAGTCCCATTCCCAGTTCAACTCCCAACAGCAACCTTATGTACGCAGAAGGACTCTGCATGCTAACTCCTACCCCAAGCCAAGCAACTGTAATAAGCCAAAGCATTAAGAACTGAAATATTTTCAACCATAAAGCCAATAAGATACCTCAGTAAGTTGAAGCCAGCCAGGATGATTTGGAAAGACAGTGGAGAAGGGAGAAAAAACCATTATGGAAGTAACAACTGGTTGGGAACTTATGCATTAATTGAGCAGCCAATTACAACGAACATTCAATGCAAGTGGCAATATTACAAAATATTTATGCAGCCCACTTTTCTGCAGTTTCTCAAAAGCTATTACAGTATTTGTAATGCATTCTTTAATGTAAATTATATCAAATATTGAAAAACATATGTCTACACACAGCTACGTCTGAGGGTACATCTAATATTTACTATACAATCATTGAAATAGTATACTATATACAAGCATAAGCTTGCATGAGGGGGGAGGGGAAGCAGGGAAAAGAACAGATTGTGTAATCAAGTTTATTTACCCAAGTATAGTTACAGGACAAGAGCTATACTCATGTTTTCCTGCTTTTCCTATAATCTTTGTCGCATGAAGCTTAATTACAGGGAAGACTGACTAGTGTAGTTCTCCTCCTGTAGCTACACTTGGGTAATTACACTCTGTGTGTGTATGTATTTGGGGTGTTTGGCAGATGGACAAAATGCATGCTTTGGGTAGAGGAAGGGAAGTTGGTTGGAATAAATGCCTGTGTTTTGGGTGTTTGGTGGGTAGGTAGATTGTGGAGTGGGGGCCAGCTTTGTGTGTGTAATTTATGAGCACCTTACTACTCGCTCTCTTGCACAGTTCAATAGGTATTTTACTTATCTACACATACTTGTGTATGATGCTCATGAGCGCCCTACTACTCACTCTCGTGGACAATTCAATAGGTCCTTCACTCATCCACGCATCCTTGTGTGCATGCAAAAGTTTTATTTTTTGTGTATGGGAAAACTATACTAAAGGAAGAAAAAATAATTTAAACTATAAAGTAGGTCAAAATAAAGCATTATTTGTTTTGTTAGAAAACATTAAACTGTACTTGCTTCTGGCAATGTTAGTATCTGTGAGCAGCTATGCTGGTAAGTACCACAACCATTATTACTCTTTATGGAAAAGAATGTTAAACCAAATTATACAGATTTGCAGAAATTCAATCAAATTACAGAAAAGTTTGCTAGTATACACAAGACTGATTAACCTACTGCAGACACACTACCGACCAACTTGAGCAATCTAGAGGTTAGCAGGAAGGAAGGAAAGCATCTCGGGGTTTGCAATGAAGACTTACACATATTTTCAAGTGAGTACTTGGCTGTCCAGCCCAATTCTTTCTTGGCAAGGGTAGTGTTGGCAAACATGGACACAATGTCTCCTTCTCGCCGAGGTTTCAGCTCATAAGCCACTTTAGTATCAGTCACGGCCTCGAAAGCCTTCACTAGTTGCAACACAGACACTCCCTGGCCTGTACCCAGGTTGTATGTCTGTGAAAAATTTATTGGCATAAGTTTCTACATACAACAGCAAAACAATGCCCCAACTGTCGAAGAGCTCTGAAAGGAAAATGGTAAGAAACCATGAGATCCCAGTACAGTACTTACACATGACCTGGAAATCCCTTGTGGGCTTCCATTTGAGTTCTTTTATGCCTCTGTTCGCATCACACACCAGCGTAGCGACATCTCCAACTCTTCTGCCAACGTATTCATACGGGATGTGAACCTTCGACACACGCTCAAATTCCTTGATAAACTCCAGCACCGATAACCCATGACCTAAGCCCAAATTCAGGGGCTAAAGAACAAAAATGCATCTGATATTCTTCTAATGTCAAACACTCTTTTATTAATACTAGGAGTAAACAAGTTTGCAAAACTGCCTCCTCAGTGAGTAGCATTCTTCCTAAAGAAAATGTTCGTACATTTCTTTCTCCTGACAGACACGCAAACACCCAAGCTAATAGTTTCTAAGGAGCCCATTACATTATCCACCTTTAATAATATAGCTTCCTTAATTAATACTATACATCCAAGACAAATTTAAATTTATGTTCTTTTATTATGATACTAGTACTTTCCTTTCATGAATTAATGAAAGCATTGTGACCCATATAATCAAACATCAAAGCTGCCATTACTCTATACCATATCTTGTCAGAATTCTAAATTTTATATAAATTTTATGTTCTGCGATGCTCAAATCCTGAGCATCGCAGAACAAATCTTGTGTTGATGCAATTTTGTGTGTGACATTTACCATCCAGCACATGCAAGTTTCCCAATTTTATTTCATTGAAACCTTAATTTATTACAGTTGTGCATCTGAATAGATTTAGGTGCCAAATGAACAGGAGGGAAAAGGTAATTTATAGAGGGGAACTTACTCGGTGGCTTTTGTACCAATTTCTGACATTTATCATCAAGATTTTTATCAAGATACCTTACTTCCCAACCCAGCCTCCTGAAATCATAAAACTTAGTAACCGTTTTGTCAAAAGTACCAGTTTCCTGTATAATGATAGACCACCCGTAAAACACTTTTTGTAAAGTTAAAGTTTTCTATTAATTTTAAAGTCCAAAAACAATAAAGCTAAAAACCAAATTGAATTATTCCTAGTCCTAGTATAGCAAATATATGTACTATATTACAGTACAACTAAGACCGCATGTATTAGGCCTATAATTGATAGGAGAGGTAAGATTAGGTTTAATATTTATGTTGCAGTTAAACAAGTTTCTAGCTTGCCCAATTCAATAATGTGAAAGTCAGCTTTATGGTGATCTATCACTACAGATTGGTACTTTCCACCAAATAATTACTATAAGTACTTTTATTTTAGGAGGATAGGCTGTATTTGGATTGTGGATTTGTTCATTTGATGCATCACGTTAGTGTGATCTCTGTGTGTGAGGCTGTAGTTTTCCCCCTGACACTTGCAGGCCAGGGCTATCAAAAGTGTCACTAATATATATACAACCACCTAAACATTTATATAGTTTCTTTCTCTTCATACACTTAAAATAAGCATTGGAAACACAAGATGCCAGAGGACATTTTTAGACCACAACTTCCTGAAAGTAAATCTGATTTAGTGGCAAATTATCACACAGATAATGTTGAAGTCAGAGCGTAGCTAAGTTGCTTCAGCAACTTCATCCATTTTTAACTGTCTACAATTAAAATTATAATTAATTTTTAATTCATAGCTCCATATTACTGTGTGAACCCATTTCATTCATATAAATCGAGCAACACAAAGGATTAAATCAAAATATGAAAATTATGGGGTTAAATAACTGAATAATGTAGTGACCACCAGCTTTGACACCAACTTTAATATTATAAACGTAAAAACACAAGACTAAAGGAAATTGCAAAGACCTATTGGTGCATACACGGCAGCTCATTTTTAAATAAAAACAAAAAAATTAAACACTGAATACTGTACAAGAATAACAAGTTGCTCAAATTTGTCAAATTAAGGTTATAATTACTGAACTAGGCATAGTAATTGCTGTTAATGTTTCGGTTAAGTGGGAGAAAGGCAATAATTATAAGATACCAAACTATATGGATGATGGTAGCATATCTAGTGGGAAAGCAAGGAAAGAGACCGCTCCCCCGCAAGGAAAGAGATCTTCCTTTTTCTACTGAGTTTTGAAAGAGTCAAGCTGATAAATGAAGGTATTGTTCAGATATTGCAAATTTTGTAGAAAAACTTTATTTTATTAAGTAAACCCAGGTATCCTTCTTTAAGTGAATATCGATTTATAAACAGATTCCACGTTAACTATCAGGCCATCCCAATCCTCCTTTTATTGTAATGGCAAAATCTTAGAACCAACCACCCCCTTCAAAACAAGTGATAGGGAAGGGGGAAAGGTGTTTTTATACACACTGTTTAGAATGCCAAAAACAGTAATACCCCTTCCAACCCTGACACTACCTGTAAGATCTAATTGACAAAGCTAAGGAAACTAAGCTTATATGATGCTCAGATATATATGCAAGGCTAAATTACAAAAGACAGTCAGATTAATCAAGATACTTACTTTAAATCTAAGATGCTCCTCATCAAGCTTGGAAAGAGCAGATACATGACCAGAAGCCAAGTCCATCACATGGATGTAATCACGAACACCTGCATTAACAGAATCATTAGCTGCGTACAGCAGATATGGATGCAAGATGGAAAACAATGAGAAAAGTATCAAAATAGGTTTTAAATAAGCATGGCAAGGATTCAGAATAAGTACATCTAAGCTCCTACTAACCCCCGGTGAGGATCCTGCACATTTCAAATTCTGAACATTCTTCAATTTGCACTGCCAGAGCAGGTAACTTTATAAATTGCCTGCACCCTCTGCCCCCTCAACCAGGAAATCTAGAAATCTGGTACAGTTAAAAGTAATATAAATGCAACTATCTTTGTATAAACACTTTGGGAAGTACTGTAACAAGGATCAAAAGTAAAGTCACAAAGTCTTCATTTATATATACTTGACCCAGGTTTGTCAATCTCAATACTAAATTTCTAAATGTTAACCTTTTATTCCATTTAACATGTGTTCACCTCTTGTTTGGAAATTAAATATTATTCTAATTACATGTTTGAGCCAAATTATACAGAAAAAAGTAATACAAAATCACTTACCAAGGAAGCTCGTGTATAGTATTCACATAAATATAAAATGATTCAGAAACATGAATTTTGTAATAGAAGTCTTTTATAGCATATTTTCATACTGCTGTATTTAATTACTGTACTTGCGAATGTTTGAAGGTGAACTTCCATACTTTGCAAGAGTAGCATTAACATTAAAAGAAAATCCAAGCAGGTTCATTAATACACACCAGTGCCATCTGCAGTGTCATAGTCACAACCAAATATGGTGAGGCTTGGTTTCTTGCCAATAGCCACTTGACCAATATATGGCATCAGGTTAGTAAAGTTCTTGGTTGGGTCTTCACCCAACCGACCAGATGGATGGGCTCCTACAGGGTTGAAATATCTTAGAGCAATGATGTTCCACTTCTGTTGATGGGTTTTAGCAAAAATTACATTTTGGTACAGTAGTCTATATCTTCTATACACCTTCACTTTTGACAATTTATCAAGAACAGTATACAATACAATTTACCAAATCAGAAAATTTTTTAAATTCCTCCACAACTTACTTCTTCTGCACGAGACAAATCTTTCAACATCTCTTCAATAAGATACTTGGTGCGGCCATACACATTTGTCACAGCACCAGTAGGATGGTCTTCAGTGATGGGCAAGTGCTCTGGGTCACCGTACACAGTACACGAAGAGGAGAACACCATCTGATATACACTGTTTGCCTTCATGGCCTGTGGACATTGATGTATTTTTATTAATATCTACAAAAGTTCTTTAAATTTTGGGTGAATAAATGGCATATCTTCTACATTATTTGCCTAATTCTGATAATTTTTAACTACTTGACTAATCCAGCAAGAATGAATACAATTAAAATTTACTCTTTATTCAAGCACACTTATCATACCATAACTTAACATTATTATTACTGTAATGGGAACAATTACTTTAACACATCACATCACCATTGAAAGAATATTGCAGGGAACATAAAGCAAAAGTCAAATACTATACTGTATTGTATTCTGTGTAGGATAGTGCCAAGCAATACTTTTATATCCAAGGTTACAAGATCATTAAAACTGCATCTCTTATTAACCTGCAACACAAATTAACAGGCAAAGAAGGAACTGTTAACAGCCAAGCTGTATATACTGGAAGATAGAAACATATGAAAGGATAGTAAAAAAAATAATTATTGTAAATATAGGATGAAAGATGGCAGGACAACACTACATAAAAGCCAAGCATATTACTACATACAGAAGAAGCCTGTACACAAGAGGAGGGACAGCATGACATGCTTATTATACATCATTTTGACTATTCTAAGGATTGAATACAAAAGAGCTTTTGCTGTATGTATCAAGAGCTAAATTCTATCAAATACACAGATCAACTTACTTCAATTAGGTTGATTGTTCCAATCACATTGTTCTTGTAATATATTAGAGGAAACTGCATTGATTCACCAACAGCTTTCATGGCAGCAAAATGAATAACATAATCAATCTTGTGCTGAAAATTATACAAAGACCTTTAAAATACAATATCTGAATTAAAATAAACCTGGTTAAAACTAAAGTGAATAACAGCCATGCATATACTATATTGGAAAAATAAACTACAGTAAATGTTTTGTGGTGCGAAGGAAAAATGCCTAGATGAATCAACTTTTATATCAAGCATAAAAACCAGACAAATAAGAGAGACTGTTAGTGTACTGCGCTTACCTTAGCAAATATGGCATGTACAGCATTGCCATCAAGCAGGTCACACTGGTAAAAGGTGACACTCTTGCCTGTAATCTCTTGCACCCTGCTCAGCGCTCCAGCTCTGCTGTTGGTCAGGTTGTCAATGGTGATCACCTCATAGCCCTCATTCAGCAGGTCAATGATGCAGTGAGAGCCAATATACCCAGTGCCACCCGTCACAAATACTGTCTTCTGGTTGGCCATTTTTACTGAAAATATATACATATAGACTATTTGAAGATGTGTTAACACAAATGCATTCTTCAGTCTTCAGTCATTTCAGTCTGAAATGAAACCTTCAGTCATTTCTTGTCTAATTTTTCCCATGTAGCTATATATTTTCTCATTATTCGTATCTAAGTCTAATCATCAACCCAATATGTTAAGGTGTTCTTCAGATCAGCAAATTTTGGAAAACAGTATGCAAAACAATTATGTATCTTCCAAAGATATGCAACTACTCTACAGCATGAATTTAATGTAAAATAACAAATCAATCGGCTTTGATTTGCTGACAATCTGTAGCCAATATATAGTCGGCTACAGACTGTCGGCACACAATCTGTACCAAGTACTGCATAGAATTTTTACACCTGATAGTGTTGGTCACACCTGATAACGCTTGTGATATCTTTAAACTTTATCTTATGAGAGACTCATGGTCAGGCAAAGTGAGGCTATACCTATGCAGCTTAAGAAAACATCATATGTGCATGGTAACATTACCTATATTATTGTAATTAAACTACTATTGGACACCATAAACTATCACAAGGCCAAATATCCGTCATACATATTGTGGTTTGATTTAGTTCATTATAACTGCCCATAAGCACACATGGCTCTGATGTGCTATATTGTGGAATATGTAATAATAAACAATAGAGTACTAAGTTCATTTACATAATTACATTATCAGGAGAAAGCACTAAGCTATTATGACTATGTAGCACTTGGAAGGGGTGAGGATAAGGATTTGGGTTAGGACAAATGAAAGGAATGGTGCCCAACCACTTGGACAGTTGTGGATTGAACACTAACCTGCAAGAAGTGAGACCGTTGCTCTACCGTCCAGTCCAAGTGGTCCCTATGGTGCAGTGGTAAAGCAGTCACCCAGTGATTCACAATTGCTTCAGCCTAGGTTTGTATCCTGGTCGGAGAGGATTGACTGGGTGCCAATCCTTAAATGTAACTCTGTTCACCCAGCAGCGAATGGTTGTTAAATTAACTCTGGTTGTTAAACAATTTGGCGGGTCGTATTCCAGGGAAAAATTAGGATTAAGGACCTGCCCAAAATGCTATGCATGGTAGTGGCTTTACACGAATGTAACAACTCTTGTATATATATTATATATACTGTATATATATTATATATATATAATTTTATATACAGTGTATATATATATATACTGTATACATACTGTATATATATTATATATATATTATACATATATATATATATATATATATATATATATTATACATATATATATTATATATATTATATATATTATATATTATACATATATATATATATTATATATATATATACAGTATTGTCAATGGTGATATATTATATATACATATATATTATATATATATATAATATATATATATATTATATATATATTATATATACATATATATTATATATATATATAATATATATATATATTATATATATATTTTATATATAAAATATATATTTTATACATAAATATACATTTTATATATAAAATGTATATACTTATACATTTTATGAGCATAATGCACAGTGTAATTTGTGGGGTAAGCCATTTTCTATGTTTATCACCCACTTCTTAGGCAAGTAACATCACTTGCACTATCTAATCAACCCTCGACACTTAATTAGCATGGCTAGCAGAATATGGGTGAGTGTATATACAGTATATCTTAAACTTTTTTCTCATATGCTAACTTCTCAAGGATGGGGAAACTAGGGTTTTTGACAGGGTCTTTCCACCCCTTCCTTCCCTCCCCTGGCCAAGAACAAGGTTGTGGCTACTGGTAACTCATCAAGTCAGTGGCCAGACCTATCATGTTTCCCGTGACAATGGCGGGCGTATCACCAAGCCCCCTGACACGGCATATGTCGTGACGTGGCTGACGTGAGAACCCAGGCAAGTGGTCAGGTGCCTGGGTTCTGCTTCCACCATCTTCCTTTTGTCTGGGCAAGGTTATGGTGGTGGCGGCAGTGAGAGGAGGAATGTTGCCGTAGGGCTTGTGTGGGTCATCGCTCCCACCCACCACAACGACCTTGTTGACTCATTGCACCACTCTGGCCATTATAAAAAAAAATTAAAAGCACACTAGACCCACGTTTATAGCAATTATTGTCTCTATAATCAACGTAGACGCAAGTTGCAGCCCTATTCTAATTGAAATGTATTTCTTATTCAGGGTATTTACAATGAAATAGTAGGTAGGGAAGTGAGCATGCTATGTACACTAACATGGGTTGTTTGGCCAAGCCAGGAAGGTCCAAAGGTGCAGGAAACGCTGACCTCGAGGATGGTATGCAGACCTTTGTTGACACTAACGTCACTGACCAACACCACCTCCACACGGCCAGCCTTCCCACCTCCCCTGCTACACTACACCTCCACACGCTGAAATAATTTTAATGTACCCTGTAATTTGTCAGTCAAGTATTTCAAATATGTTATGATTAAGTGAGCAAATATGATTAGGTGCCTTTTCTTGTTATAAGAGAGTTACACACATCTTCTCTCCCGCCCCCCCCCTCCCCCCTTCTCCCATCCGAGGCGTCCTTGTGCCTTTGACCCCTGACTAATATCTGATGCTTGTAACCTTCTCTTGTTCCTCCGTCGTCAGCCTAGTCTTCATTTACGATGTTCCATGTTGCACGGCCTTCCCACAAGAACCCTGATAATTGTACCATTATCTACATACTAACCCCTCACTATAATATAAGTGAATTCAACCTCTTCCCAAGTTCCCACAATAACCTTAAACATTTGCCGTCGGAATTTACATTGCAAACCATTAGGAATAATATTTGCTTCTCACCATCCTGGAAACACACGCTATACCTTTGTACCTCAAGTTACCCGAGGGTCACAATCTTTAGTGGCCTCGACATGGACAGGAAGCCGGCGACTTGTCCTAGATCCCTCCCCACCTATTATTTCGAGGATTCTTTCCGTGTTTTACTTTAAACTTGAGTAGTCATATTTACAGCGTCGGGGAATAGGCTACTCATAATTTTATTAGCCTATTTGCGAAGAAGCATCTGCTGTTGTGTGAACTAGTGTAGATTATAGAGGAAGAAGCATCTGCTGTTGTGTGAACTAGTGTAGATTATTGAGCTTGAAGACGCAGCGAAGAAGCATCTACTGTTGTGTGAAATAGTGTGGATTATAGAGCTTGAAGACGTTACCTCTCAAGGCAAAGCGTGATTAGCTTGACCACCATGGCTCGAGGGAAGAGAGAATGTAGATATTAATTTAAGTTGGTCATTACTTCTCGCACGCACATTTCTGCGCCATGTAGGAAACTTAACATTTTTGAGTGAACTCCACATACACAAACAAATACAAAGCCCTCTTTTGAAATTTATAAAATTTAATCCATAACAAATAAAAATCATTCCTTGAAACTAGAGCAAATTTCGTATTGTATCCCCATAAGGAACAGTTAAACCAATGTTGTTTTAGCATAGATAACCTATATATGAGAGGGTATAGAATGACATCGACCCGTTACTATAAACTCAATTGACTGTAATTGCACCCTTCAGATATGGCCATAGGCTATCTCAAACGTTGCTCTGCACTGCGTGATCACACAATTTTAAGTGATAAACTTTGACGAAAAGTTTCGTAACAACATGCAGCATTAAGTTTAGATTTAGGGAAGACTTGGGTAAATACTGGTTCGGTAACAGGGTTGTTGATTTGTGGAACCAATTGCCGCGTAACGTGATGGAGGTGGGGTCCCTCGATGGTTTCAAACGTGGGTTGGACATGCATATGAGTGGGATTGGGTGGTTATAAATAGGAGCTGCCTCGTATGGCTCAATAAGCCTTCTGCAGTTACCTTGTTCTTATGTTCATTATATTCAGCTTGCTGGTTGTGTATACTCCGGGGCGCACAACTTACGACGGGTCGGGTACTAGCTGAACATATAAATTACAGCCCTACTCTTCGAAAGTCAGTTAAGCCAATGGCAACACTGGCTGTGGCCCAACCATGACAAAGGAGCTTATTTTTGCTAAGTACAGTTGCGTTCATTCTCGATTCCCAATCGGGAATTCCTGGTTTGAATCCCCAGCGATACAGAAATGGCTGATCGCGTTGTATATGTACACTGGCTGCCTGTCTCTCCAGACAACATGAATTATTATTATTATAGCCAGAAGATGGACTTGACAAGCGCCACACTGTTGACTTCGGGGTCGTCGGAGCTGCAATTCTGGCATGGTGTTGTTCCAGAGCTGGAAAGTAATCTGTAGTCTGGTGAGAGGAAGAACAAGAGCTGTGTTTACTAGGCTCTAGTGTGGTAGAGAGGACCCGCCAAGAGCTGTGGTCACTAAGCTCTAGAGTGTGGTAGAGAGAGGACCCGCCAAGAGCTGTGGTCACTAAGCTCTAGAGTGTGGTAGAGAGAGGACCCGCCAAGAGCTGTGGTCACTAAGCTCTAGAGTGTGGTAGAGAGAGTGGACCTACCAAGAGCTGGTGGTCACTAGGCTCTAGAGAGTGGACTCGCCAAGAGCTGTGGTCACCCAGGTTACATCAGCAGTAGGCCAGTTCGCCGCAGAACAGTCTGCACAACGGTAGCCTGCGGTGTTTCTGAAAATAACGGGGGACGCAACCAACAAATTACAGCTAATTACACACATACTTCGATATCAATATGGATGTAGCTTACAGTATAGGAGTCGTCGTTAATTATGGAAGCGTCTCGTGTCCACACTGAAAATAGTAATTCCTAAAACAGGTTATCCATAAATATATGTAATTATGATAAAATTACATGGATCTTCTGCTCGCCTCTTCAAATTGCACCATTAGTAAGCCAGACAGACAACAGTCGGGTAGGTGACAAGCCCCGAAAGGTAGACGGGTGAGCAGTTTAGAATTCAAACTACTTTGGACTGCTGAACCAAGTTCTTAGTGTAAACGTCTTCAACACCCATCACCCTTACCTCGGCACAATACACTACAATAGCTAAGCACTACAATTATGGACCAGTCGTGCCTGCCAAGGATCGTATACAATTCATCTAAAATTTACTGGAAGCAATCAACCTACATACACTACTACCTCGCACAGTGTGGGCGGAGACCAGGTAAGATTAGAAAGGCTCGAGCACAGAATAACAGCGATATGGTAACGCTCAAACACTGGTGATGTTGGGGAAACACAGCGAGAACACGCATAACATAGAGTTTGATGTGTGGGCACCACACATCAAACCCGACACACACCAGACTACACACATTGCCACACATTGCCTTGGGTAATTATGTGTAACAATGATTGGCAGCCAATAGCAAAGGGAAAGGTAGCTCCCGGAATTTAAAAATAGTAACCTAGAAGACAATGACAATGTTAACACTGAGCCCGTTTTCTCGATTCTGCCACAACATACAAAATAAGGGGTACTAAAATGTACGAATCCATGCCACCTAACCTAATCACCATCAGCATAGAAAAAGTGTATATTTGTGAGCCGCTACTTTTCGTAGTACCCCTATTTTGAACGATGAGGACAACAGTCTCCAAAATGAGGACACATAATACCAGAATCACATCAGCGGTATATGCAAAGTAATACGTTTCGGGAATTTGGCCAAGGAGATATCCAGGGCACTGTACAGTATTCATGCGAGGGCAGTAATAGGGGTCTATACCGGCCCCAGCATGGAACTTTCTATCTCAAAAAGAAATTACAAAACGACAGTTTATAATGTGCGACAAGACTGAATCCAGAACCGAGAGGACCTGAATATGAGGCAACAGGATCTTGCTACACAGACGGAGAAGAGGAGATATGATGCCGTGCATGATTCCAAGAAGTATTGACAAAGTAGAACGAGATTAGCGCGTGCAACGGCAGGATGAGAAGTCATGATGGAAGCCACAACCATGTAGATAGATGGAAATAATTTCTGGTGACCACTAATCTTAGAGTAATGAGTAAATAGAATGAGCAATAGGACGAGGTAATAGAAAATAATACCGTATATCGGTTTAATTGTAGATACAGTAGAAATGAACTGGGAACAACCGGAAGCCTATGCTAGCCGAATGATACATGAAAAGGTGCGGGGAGGGGAGGGAGCCTAAGTGTTAAAGTTAGGTCCTGTAAGTACAATTACAAACACACACAAATACAATCGAATTCTCTGGACTTCTCGTGCAAACATTAATAATTATCCCTGCAATGTTGCACGAACACGCGTCTCAATTTCAAAGAACACTCCTCTAAATAAATATTATGTGGGATTGAATTACAGATGAATTATGTCGGTGTTCAGTACAAGGTCAAGAACCATTGTGGGAGTGACGGGTATGTGGTGTGTGATGTGTTATTCATGTCATAACATCCTCCGCAGTAATCAGGGGGTCACACTGCGCAGGGTGGAAGGACTGGGGGGTGGACCATCCATCCACAGTCAATCCACCACAGCAGCAGCTGAGCTGGTCGTCGCCTCGCCCACGTATCCACTTTATTTACTTGCCCAAAGTGTTGTCACCGTTTCCCTGAATGATGAAAATACCCCTAAAACTATATCTTTATTAACTGGTCGTCCAATAACTTTGTTAACTTTAGAGTATACAAGAGAGATGTTTCAGACCCTTGCGTGCAGAATAAGTGCACTCCCTCCAGCAGCTCATCTAAAGCCGTCACCTTCTTGCTGTTTCACTGAACACGACTCCGCTTGGTTCAGTGACCAACAGTGAAGGAACGTGCGTCAGTGCGTAGCGCAACGGATGAAGTGCGCGTCACTGACTGTCAGGTTAAGTACCATCTGGTCTTGCCAGAAACTGGACAAGTGACTATGCAGACTACCTCTCTCTTTTGATAAGAGGATCTCCAAGCTTAACAAGTCTTTCAGTCCCCGAGAATGATAAACTATTATCATATCTATAAAAGCTAACATTTTTATAGCATTTAACTTAGGCTGGTCGGGGTCGACCTATGTCCGTCTTGTACCCAAACCATTCCCCCTGCAAAGTTGGATGAGGCTATCCCTAAGCTTCTGACCTCTAGCCTTTGACAGAAACAGACATTTCCTCTTAATGTTATATAGATATAGATGTGTACATATAAATAGGTAACTCTTGGCCCTAATTGGAAATTCCCAATCCTATTCCTTTAATGCCCACTATACAAACTATACTATATAAACTATACACACTATATAAACTATACACAAAAATCCACTAAATTAATAATTAAGACATACGCTGGTTGCCACAGTCCCGCTAAACTACTAACATGTTAGTATAAGAAGTACCACAAGGGAGCCGGTCGGCCGAGCGGACAGCACGCTGGACTTGTGATCCTGTGGTCCCGGGTTCGATTCCAGGCGCCAGCGAGAAACAATGGGCAGAGTTTCTTTCACCCTATGCCCCTGTTACCTAGCAGTAAAATAGGTACCTGGGTGTTAGTCAGCTGTCACGGGCTGCTTCCTGCGGGCTGTCCTGCACTTTTCAGCACTATTCAGCACTTGGGGTCATGATAAGGATTTGGGATGGGTGTGGGGAAAGGAATGGTGCGTCACTTAAACATTCAGATGACGCTCCTAGAAGGCGCGGTAAACATGTTTGCTAATTTCAAAGAATCCATTAACCGGATATTGTTAGATATGGCAGTAATCATCGGTATGCAGGAGGAGTGATAACGCATCACCCACAACCACTGTTAATGCCACTGCCCCCACCACCACCCGCTCCTTACTGCTCTCTACCGGAGTGACCGCTACATATGTACTAACATGTCGAAAAACACCAAGCTCTGAAGCATTATTAAACATGACGTTTCGTCACTTAATAAAGTCGACGCCAAACATGGTGTGTCTACCACTCTGTACCAGTCGACAGCATCTTACTACCCACAAGACGCTGATACACACACCGCGCCCCTTACAAGATTTTTGAGGGCGTGAGGGTGCACATAGGCGATATAAATTTTATTAATTGAAATAAAATATTTGCAACTGCAAGTTTCATGGAAATCTGCAACTGCGAGTTGTAGCCTATGGTGTGCATGTTAAGAAATAGGTTAAGTGACCTTAATACCTATACTTGTATACCTATTCTACGTAAGTATAATAAGGCACATGCCTTATAGGTAAGAATAAGGTACGTAATTAGCAAGGCACATGCACCCGAACATAGTAGTACGTAAATAAAGCATACAAGTTTAAAGAAATAATTCCAAAATTATAAATGTGGCATTTAACAATAACGAAAGATGCATATCGCCTATGCACAAGTAATCCTAAATAATTAGCATTATTAATTACCTATAATTACCCATATATATAACTGTCCTAACATTACACGTGTAAGTAAAGGGACAAGCTACATGCATACATAAACATTGAAAGAGTATGCATGACGAGTGTGTATACATGCGCACAAATATCCACATTAAAAGGAGTCGTGGCAAGCATACGAGTTGAACATTATAAATTTGTACCGGATGAGGGGGGGGGGCGTCCGGAGCCTCAGCCCTCTACCCTCCCACGCTTTTATTTTATACCAGTTTCACAGCATATTAGTACTTTATTTTGTACTCTTCCTTGCCTTTTTGCTACACATTACATCACAGAGGTACAGGAAATAGGCTTACGTGAGTGATCCTACAAAGAACCGCTCTCTTACCACCGTGTTATATCAAGACAGTCGTAAGTGCTTCATTTAGCAACCATGGAAAGTTTACATTGGGCACTAGTGGCTTTGTTTCATCAGGCTGATCTTGTTACCTCCTTACATTATGTTGCTCCATCTTAGTTCACCTATGAGAGTCATTCAGATATGAAATATTTAATCGAGGACACCGGATATTAAACTAATTTTCAGTTAGTCATTCGTCCCTCCTAATTAACTTGTCAATATCAAGACTAATCAAACTACCAAACCAGGCCTTAAACCGTAGAAATATGACCCCCCCCCTCCCACCTAACAATAGCCTACCAACCTAAAACTGCAATAACAGGTTTCCACCAAACAAGCCAACCCTAGTCATTCAAACTCTCTACTACATCTTGACTAAACTGTCCAGTTTCCTATACTCCCCACTGGACCTACAGCATCATACTTGCGCTACTGCTCACAGGATGAGTATGGGGTGCACAATAAACTAGCCAACAATTCGAAGATACACTGACCCAAACCAAAGAAGTATAGGAGGGGTTGCATTTGTTGATCTGTTTAACACTGGCGAGTATGGGATCCAATCCTCCCCTGAACTGTATATTGAAGACAACAACTGATCTTTTGATCTATGGTGACAGGAGGGCGGCAACGGACAGAGATGACAGGATAAGGAATGACGGGGGAGGGGGGGAGGGGATAAAGGAGACATGATAAAAAGATGGGGGAGAATAGGAGGGGGAGCGGAGCTACAGGAATACATACAAGAATTAATAATGTCACAATATTTCAGGTCAATAAAGACGTGAGAGAAGAGACGTGATGGGCCAAAGAAGAAACCCGTAATCAGTACTGATGACACTTGGACGGTCGTCACCAACACTACTGACGTCACAGGTAATGTCAACAATCAAACACAATCACACTACATATTATTATATAGCATTACATTTACCCAGAATTCCGGGATCCTATCAGAATGAGGTTAAGGAATTTGCCCAAATGTTTATCGTGAGATCAATCTCATTTTTAGTGTTGTGTTCCTAAAGTTCAAACAAAGATATTTTCCTGCTGGAACGCTGAACTTTGGTATATGGTGGCCTATGTCCCCTCCCTTCAGCCCCTGTGCTCTCGCCGAGTTACTACTGATGCCACAGAAGAGGACAATACCTGTGGAGAGGTTGCGGGTGTTGCCAGCAGCAGGAGGAGGAGGAGTGAGAGGAAGGTTGCCAGCAGCGTGGTGGTCCAGCAGACTGTGAGAGTGGCAGGTCCGCCCCACACCTCCACTACCTAGCCACGACCCTCCTCCTCCTCCTCCTCCTCGTCTCCTCTCGCTCCTCCCACTCTGGCTTCACTCTCACTTCTCTCTCTCCTCTTTCATTGTTATTATCTTTTTATTTCGTTAATGGGTTAGTTGTCTTGCTAGCTCCGTAGCTAATGTATCGTGTATTGAAATAAGACAGGAGAGGTTGTTGGTGTAGACTATAGATCACCAAATTTCCAGCAGCAGAGCGTTCAAACACAGCGACAAGTGCTATTGACTGCGGTGACGAATACAAATAATTGTTTTTTGTGTAATGACGGACATCAGTAGTACTTCTTTATGCGATGTTTTGACGCACTGTTCAGCCAGGACTGAGATAAAGCGCGAGAATCATCTCTTCCTTCAACTAATGCCTCCATGCAGGCACTAACATATGTAAGCGAGGTTGAGCGCTGCTGACGTGTCCGGAGCGCCGCGGGTACCCAGCTGATCTGTTCCCCCTCCTGTGGCCAGGCCGGGTCCCTCCCCCGTAATACTTCCCCTCCCAGGCCTCTCCTACCATCTTCCCGCCCAGAGCTCCGGTCAGATCCCCTGCCTCTCACCCTAGCCCAGCAGGGACCCCTCTCCCTTCCAAAGTCGGGATCTTTGCTTTTCCATAGCCCCTGCCGGAGTCACTCTCCAGTCCCTTTACCCCTGTCGAATTCCTTTTCAAATGAGAAAATCAGACTTGCCCGAAACGCTGTACTCACCTAATTATGAGTGAGCTGTGCGTATTGGCGATTTTAGGCATAGTATGTACCAGCTCTATCTAGAAATACAACATTATGTTTGTAACTCATTTTGAATGTATGTACTTTTACCTGAATAAACATTATCTTATCTTATGACTGTGTCTACAACCCCCTATATTTGTCTCCGGCGGCTAGTTTATTGTGCACCTCATACTCATCCTGTGAGCGGTAGCGCAAAAAAGCATTACAGAGGGCACAAAAGGTCTTTATCAAACCTCATCTTAGATTATTACATAAACAATTTCATCTATCATTCACACCTTATAGTTACAATGTCAGCTAGTTACAGAGCATGTGCTATTTCAAGAGCTATATATTTACAGTAAGTCATTATGCATTAATGGTAGGTCTTATATCGCTAATACGTAATAGTTTGATCAATGGAGATATTACCGAGTCACAGGGGAGCTTCTGTTTATTATTAGTCTTCACAATACACTACTTGTTTCTTAATCTCATATGTCGTTTATCTACTGGAAGCGAAACATGGATACAGTGTAAGGATTTCAGGTCAAAAATATGACACCACGAATAGAAGAACAGGAGATATAAAGCATGTACATAAGCGCAGGAAATACTTGTGAAAACCTCAACCATTCTCCAGCCACCACGCAACTCTTGCAAAAAGAGACCAAGCTAAATTGTATTAGCTGCCAAACCCACAGCGGAATGGTAAGCTCGATCATTCGAGTCTCATCCAAAAGATTCTGGGTTCGATTCCCGCGGCAAGACTAAAGCGTTTGGGCAACGGTTCCTTCCACCTGATGCCTCTGTTTACCTTGCCTAAGGGGATCTTGATAATCCTATAGCAGGCTTCGTGTCCCCGACTATGGAAAATCATAAGGTGCTATTTATTTATTTATTTATATACAAGAAGGTACATTGGGTTTGAGAGAATACATAACATAGTATTTACAATCTTGTAAAGCCACTAGTACGCCCAGCGTTTCGGGCAGGTCTATCACAATTCACAGGCTTCATATCAATTCATAGGCTTCATATCAATTCATAGGCTTCATTCATATCAATTCACAGGCTTCATTCCTATCAATTCACAGGCTTCATATCATAGGCTTCATATCAATTCATAGGCTTCATTCATATCAATTCACAGGCTTCATTCCTATCAATTCACAGGCTTCATATCATAGGCTTCATATCAATTCACACGCTTCAATTCATATCACAGGCTATCACAATTCACACTTTTTTTCAAAACTTTCCCTTATCCACACCTTTCCCCATTCACATTAACCTCACCTCCTCTAAAAAAGATATTTTATAAAATATTCCTTCCCCTCTAGCCCCGCCCACCCAAACAGGGTGTTCTTCCCCCGTGATTAATGCAGGCTTGTCTCCCTGCTTGTGAGTTCCCTACATAGTAGATACGGACAGCGGGGGAACACCAATTTCCTAAGTCACGCAAACGTGCGTTACACGCTAAAATCTCATTAATAAGAGATATAGTAGGTACAAAACACAGTTCACCAATAAGGAATGATAAGCAAAAGTACTTAATAATTATTCAAGTACATAGCTTGTGAAAGACTTGTAAATACACGCACTAGTTAACTTTTGGGAACATGAAACAAACGGTGAAATACTAACTCAAGAGTGTTAACAAACGGGTAACTCTAAACAGAAGAAAGTTGTTAGCAATCATTGACACTCAGCAGGTGTAATCATCACTAGAAATAACACCATTTTCTATATTCAACATTCCTAAAATTGATTCAACCTGTCCTTAGGCTAGGATAGTTAAAGAAAGGGGCCCCGGCCACCCAAAGATGCAGTCGTCATGCACTACAGAAGGCTTGGTGGCCTATTCGAGGCACAGCTCGTCGATGAAGATTGATGAAGATTAAGCCACCCAAAAGGTGGCACGGGCATGAATAGCTCGTAAGTGGTGGCCCTTTTGAGCCATTACCAGTATCAAGAGCTGATACTGGAGATCTGTGGAGGTGCGACTGCACCCTGCGTGACGGGAGATGTCTCCCGGACCAAATGGTGACCAGATGGTGCACAGCTCATCGTTATATACACCCAAACTCATTCCTATATATGTCAAACCAACGTTTGAGACACTTCAGCGATCTCATATCTATTAATTGCTCGTTTGGTGCGTGTGAATGATGTGTAATAGTAAATTATCTCATGAATATGAGATAACAGTGACATATCACTGTCAATGTCAGTCGAACGTCACTGTCAATAACAGCGGCATGTCATTGTTGTCAGTGACATCAATGCCGCCTTCACTGTTTATAATCAAATGTTGTTATAGTAAGCTCAACTTCTCCTGTGCGATAATATTAATGAAATAAAAAATAACAATGAACGAGAAAAATAAAAAACATGGACAGTAACAAGAACAAAAACAGCAATAACAGTAGCAAGATTGACTGATTGATGAATATTAAGCCACCAAGGTGGTGGCACGGGCATGAATAGCCCGTAAGAACAATAACAAATGTTTAGTTCATTTATGACGTAACCCAGACCCATCTCACCGGTAACAGTGGGAACAAGAACATCAACTTAATACAATAACAGGAACAAACACTAAGACAACAATAACAGTAGAACAGAGACCATCGAGGCAGCAGGAAGGGCAAGGTCGAAGTTACTAATGCAAGACAGCTGGGATCCTCTCGGACTTAGGTTCGAACCCTCGTCACGGTCCTTGTGGATTTGTTCAATATAGCTGTTACTACCCATTGTGCAGGGATCGAAGGATAGCGGTCATCATCAGTGAAGGATAGTGGTCATCCTGGGTGAAGGATAGCGGTCATGCAGGGTGAAGGATAGCAGCAGACGGTGGCGCAGGCGGGGGCGAGGAGCGGGGGGATGGAGGGAGAAGCCTAGCACAAGTGTGCTGGTAACGGTGGCGGCAGGTGCACCTTGTGCTGTACAGGTGCGTCCGGTCGCTGACACGTACACTGCTGTATGAGGTGTAATGTGTACACACTGCCCACGTGTGCAAGAGTTGTTGTTGCTCCCTGTCACATTCTCTCGCTCTCCATCTATTTTTTTTCTCTCTCTCTAATGACATATGAAACCACATTTCACTCTAACATCGTACTCGTACAACCAAGGACGAGCATGCAATTTCAGGTGTTTAGCTGGATAATAAAGATTGCAATATGTGTTGCATTCCTGGACCTAAATGGGGTCTGCCTCAGACTTACGAGCAGTAGTAGTGCAAGTGTCGACATTTACCGGCGATTTTGCTTTGTCCTGTTCAACAGGACCCAGCCGGCGATTTTTAAATTTCATTAGAAAATCTAATCTCAAGCATTACTCTTAAAGCCTCAGTACATTTTAGCCTCGTTTCACATACACTCAACATTATAAAGTGACTTATGTATATGTTATCTGTAAAAAGAAAAAAATACAGCCCTGCCAACACCTGACTGCAAGTGTAAACTGCCACGTGGCCACAAACGTCACCCACCACCCAATATATTGTATATTATATTATATTATATATATATATATATATATATATATATATATATATATATATATATATATATATATATATATATATATATATATATATATATAAAGTGTAACACATTCTACAGTAATATATTGGTGTATATATATTGGTGTATACTGGCAGCAAGTTTTCTTTCAAACATGTCTCATTGAATATGATCGCATATTCTGTATTTACTATTTTCTGATTTAGGGCTTCTATCCCTCTATTTTCTTAGCATCAGGGCTTAGCTGAAATAGGAGTTCTCCAAAACTCATTTTCGTAATTTTAAGGTGAAGAAAAGAAGTGAATTACTATAGAATGTGTTACACTTATTTATACAATTTGCACAACGTTTCGAACCTCCATGGTTCATTCTCAAGTGAAAGGAATTTTGATTGATTGATGAAGATTAAGCCACCCAAAAGGTGGCACGGGCATGAATAGCCCGTAAAAAAAGGAATTTTCAGGTTTGGTTGATTTTATACCCGCACTGGGTCAAGTGATAAGACAATAACGGTGAAAACATGGGGGGGATACATAAGAACATAAGAATGGAGGTAACTGCGGAAGGCCTATTGGCTCATACGAGGCAGCTGCTATCTACATACAAAGATTGATCAAGTGTAATTGGCCTGTTATGTTGAACAGTTTCTTCTGTGTTGGCATCGTTATGTTCTGGTCTTGTCCTTACTCTCATGGTAGGTAGAGTACATAGTTCCGTGATTTGCAAATCACGGAACGGCAGTTATGGCGGCAGTTGAGGCTAATATGGAAAGTTGCACAAGTGGAAATGGCAGTTAATAAAAAGTTAACTAAACCCTAGGAATAGTCAAACCAACCTTTGACTGAAAGGGAAAATAGGTAATTATTCAACTATATAAATCTCTGGTGAGCCTCCCACTTGGATTATTGTATCCAAACATGGATACCTCATCTTCAAAAAGACGTAGATGCTCTGAAGTACAACACCTGGCTACAAAAATCATTCCTGAACTGCCAACTCTGGTACCAGGAACGGGTGAGGGCAAGGGTGCTAACAGCACTGCTCACCAGACATAACAGGGCTGATCTCATCGAAACTTTTAAAATACTGAACAATGTTGTTGTTGTTATAGATTCAGCTACTCGGAACACGTCCCAAGTAGCACGGGCTATGGTGAGCCCATAACTTACCTGGCACAGGAGCGGGGCTGCAACTCTGTTTTTTTTTCACTTATAGGGTTATAAACATATTGAACCGCCTACCCGCCGAAGTCGTAAATGCCAAAATTGTGCTGAATTTTAAAATCCAGCTCGATAAAATTTATCAGGACAAATGAGGGGACCGTTGACAAGCCGCAGTCCTTCATATCCTCATCGAGACCACTAGATAGAAGTCATCAGGTAAATTCAGGAATCGGCACAGGAAGACCGTATGATAAAAATGGTGCAGTTGCTTAAATATCGGCATTTTCTCAAGACGTGTATTCACCTATCAGTGCTCGCCAATAAGCGTGTACGGACAGCGAGATCAAATGTAGACGATGAGTCACAATAACGTGGCTGAAGTATGTTGACCAGACCACACACTAGAAGGTGAAGGGACGACGACGTTTCGGTCCGTCCTGGACCATTCTCAAGTCGCCACCCCCCACCCCAAAAAAGAAAACAGAATGGACCAGGACGGACCGAAACGTCGTCGTCCCTTCACTTTCTAGTGTGTGGTCTGGTCAGCGAGATCAAGTTCTTGGGCCCTACCTCCTAGCAATAGGCAACTAGTGCTTTTATATCTAGACGTTCTTGTTTATCGTACTTGCTTTTTAATGTGCTTGTTTATATAGTCGCTTAGATATATGTGCTTAACTATAATTCAACATGGCACCCTCTTAAGTATTTAAGTTGTACACATTATCTAGTAGCTGACAGCGATTAATATCGTTAATTCTTTTGACGTTGATTTCGGGCAATATCCAATATTTGTCCTGTATCCTAATGGCGTGCATCCTAATGGCGCATCACCCAATAGGCCCATATTATAAGTTTCGATCGATGAACCTAACTTGTTAACTGTTTGCTTACAGACGTTATAGCGTTCAATCTGGGAGGAAAACCTGTATATAAGAGTCGCCAAAGGCAGATCAAGGAGGGTGGGATGTGGTCGCCTCGCCTACCATTGTCCAGACGCCTGCCGTGTGGGCAAGATCTCTGGCTCTCTCCACACACACACATATACAAGCCTAATACAGTGAACGAATATCTGTTACCTATTGCAATATATATATCCAGTATAAATTAACCTCAAGGTTTAATTAAGACGGCGTGATATTACTATGGGGTTTTAACATGTTAATTTCATACGTGGAATGTGAGTGTGCAATGTTTCGCTACAGAGGCAGCTTGTGAAAAATGATGTTTGTATATACAGCATAACGGAATTTTAAGACCAAGTGCATTTTACTGGGTAAAAAGTGTGCCGTGTATGTACTAGTGCAGAGTTCTGCAGAACATTAAAATTAAAGGTCAACCACAAGCTGGTAAAAATTTTGATATGGGTACACTAGGCCGTTTTGCATGCCTCGCTACCTGGTCCTTGGCTCTAATCGCAATCTGTCGTTTACTAAACTTTCTCATGACTGTACCTCAATATTTTCACAAGACAAGACCGGTGGTAAACATATCTCGGAGTACATCGCAGCCGTTGCTGACTGGTGGTCCGTCTGTAGGAGCACCGATGGTGATAGCTGTGTGCGAGGCTGCTGGCGACAACAACTACAGTCTGGTCAACAACGCCAGCACCTTAGAGGAGGCGCAGCAGTACACAAACCATCTCCGTACGTTGTGGGCGAGACAAGCCGAGCAGCTGACTACTATGCTCAAGACGCTCCTCTACTTCAGTAAGGCTGATAAATGGCGCATCATCGTCATGACGGACGCGCTGACCACCTTCCACAAAGTGTTAAAGCTGACACGAACGTTTCCAGAGGACCAGAAGCGGAGGCTTGAGCTGCAACATGAGAATGTTTGGTTCCCAGACAACTTCCCAGGGATAAAGGAGCACTGGAGGCCATGTGTGTGGGCTAAACAGTTCCTGGCCGAAGCTCTGCCTCACGAAGACGCTGTTGTATATTTTGACACAGATGTGGTGTTCCTGGGTCCTGGTGAAGAAGTGTGGTGGTTGTTGAGGCGGATGGAGGCTAGTCAAGCAGTGGCTCTGGCTCCTGAACCACAGTACACGTTGGATGACCCCAGACGGCCGTATGCAGGCAGTGTTGGACTCAACACGGGAGTCATGGCCGTCAACCTGACACGGCTGCGACAGCTGCCTGGAGGTGGCCTGGGTAGTGCTATACTACTGGAAGGCGCCATTGACCCACCACCGCGTCACGACCAGGATGCTCTAAACCACTTTTTAATTAACAAACCTCACCTGGTACAAGAAGTAACATCACGATGGAACTTCATACCATCTTCTTGCTTCAGCGTCGCTCCTCCGTGTCCAGACTGTCTCTCCTCCGGCATCCTCGTCCTCCACGGAGCAGACATGACTTTCTACAGAAATGTAGAAATCAAATTCTTGGTAAGCAGTATATATGCAACTTAGTGTTATGTTTTAATACATTTTTCCGAATTTGACATTTACATTCGAGCAAGCCATATTTTCAGCGAGTGATATAGTATCCATATAGCCATTTTTAGCGGTATCGCACATTTCTATCGCTGAAACTATCATAAATCATAATCAAATGCTGCAGTCTGAAATGTTGATTTTAATAAGATTGATAATTATTACTCACGCGTGCATACATTGCAACAAAACAGCGGATTTAACCGGTGCATTACGGCCGCAACAGCGCAAAAACAGTTAAATGTCGTCCAGAAACATCCATACTAAATAAAAATATCTCTTGGAGTTCACCTGGGATAATATATAATTTTAAAGTGCTCCATAAATAACACAGATCGGTTAAAGTGTGATACTTCCTTGCTTGCAGGTGATGTATGGTATTCTGTCGAGGCTGCAACTGGACGATGATCCTAGGAGGTTGCTAGCCCGAGTGAACGAGCAGCTGGCTGTCAGAGACTCGTGGACACCCTTGTTTCCCTGCAGTAACTACACCAACCTCACCCAGGCTCTTACTCTTGGCCTCACCGACGCCGCCTCCCTCACACCACTCACTCTTCACCAGTGACCGTGCTTGTATGTGCCTTCTGAAGATAGACCCAGTATGTTTTGGACGCCGTTTTGCTTTGTGACACAGTATGGCTAAACTTTCTGGCTAGTTTGTCCATGACTTAAAAACTTACGTTAGTACACCTCGATGGGTATTATTGATGTCAATTATCTATCGCTGGCGTCAAGTTTGTAGAGTAATTCTAGACATTTGGAGATATGCTAAGGATATAGGAAGCTATAGGAATACTATGTGAGGACGCCTGAGTTACGTTACATAATAAACTACCAAATATTGGCAAAGTGGTCGCGGTAAGTTGTGACCAATTTAATGTGGTTAGGGGATATGTCACGCAGACATGTTTTGGATCATGAGGCTGAATTAGGAAGAACCTTGAAGTCGTGGAATTTTATCATTTAGGAAAGAAGCTGCTGCTACAGTTTTCTACACTATACAAGTTTCATAAGAAGTGCAGGATTAATATTAACAAGATGAAGGGAAGAAATAACGAGGAAATACCTTAATGGTTGGGGGATACTGGACCCAGGGTCGTAACACCATAGACCGTCATCACATCACCTGCTGTGAATGATTTAAGCAAAACAAAATAATAAAGTTCAGAATTGAATACTTGTGTGTTGGACCACATAATATTTATGTAGCTATACTAGTTACGTAAGAGTATTACCAAATTGACATGTTTTGCCCAGGACGCAATATATATGCCTTGCCTCACCAAACGTCCCCCCACGGGAGACATCTCCCGTCACAGATCTCCAGTATCAGCTCTTGATACTGGTAATGACTCAAAAGGGCCACCACCTACGGGCTATTCATGCCCGTGCCACCTTTTGGGTGGCTTAATCTTCATCAATCAAACGTCCCTCCCCCGGGCAAACAACGCTAATGTAACGTTTAAATCAACATTACCGACAATGAACGTTACACGGCTCTGTCCTGCTACAAATTACGTTATGATGAACTAGCATCTAAACTCGTGAGGTGAATAAGACACTTAAACTACCACGTACAGGTAACACTCCCAGTCTATATATTTCTGTAAAACGGTTTTAAGTTTTAATTTAGTTTATTTATTAAGCACCATATTCCCTTCCCTGTGAGTAAATGCAGACGCAGCTATATGTTGCCTAATTCCTAATATACAGTATATTAAATTGCTTAAAACACTAAACTATTTTCCTTCATAGTATATTTACAAGTGTTATATGTTGCCTTATATATGAATTTGTTTTACCTAAATGTATTAAAAAACATTCTTAAATGTATTTAAGTTGCTTTATCTCATTATGTCTTGAGTGCTTTACTTTTATCTTTCATGAATTGTAACAATACGAATGAGTATTTGAATAATAACAATAATAATAAGTGTTGACACATGGAGGAAAAAGCGCGCTAAATGCGAGGCTGCGGCGGACTGCCGACGTCAGGCTTCCATTATCAAACGTGGCACACGTATCTCATGATCAAAATAATATATTGATATATAATAAGAATTCAAGAAATACATACTTAATTAAACCTAGTCAACTTATATCCTGAAAAAATCTGCCGAGACATATCCTGGATGTCATAATATGCATTTGTAAGAGGAAAATTGGAGTGCAGTATATATGAAGTGGCTGAGGATAAGCCGGGCCAGTAACTTTGCTAGAACACGGGTTGTCTACATGCGTGGAGGCTCAGAGCTCACCTTTGGTAACTTTCGGGACAGTTTTGTAAGTCAACACTCTTACTGATATCTAGTGAGCATTGGAAATGTTGCTGTTGTTTTAGATTGAGGTACTCGGAACAAAGAGTTCCAAGCAGCATGGGCTATGGTAAGCACTTCACTACTTACCTGGCACAGGAGATGTGCGTCGTTGGAAACTATTTAATGTTGCATTTTTAGTCATGGTAGAGTGAGGTACTAAGTGGGCAACTGTTGATGTCCATTGGTGCGCACTTTAAAGTTGTTCACTGGAGAATATGCTGAAGTTAAGCTTAAATTAAGACTTAATATTTTTACGTGAACGTTAGTCTTAATATTACCTGGATTTATAAGAATATAATTAGTAGTACGTCACAAACTATATTATACACAAGACTGTTGAAGTAGTGTCGTATAGGCCTAGCAGAGCCATGGATGGTCATGTAGTTTGAAGGCTATGGTTAGTTGTGTAAAAATCATGGTTAGTCGTGTGAAGACAGCGGTTATTCCCGTAAAGACCATGGCTGGTTGTGTGAAAACCATGGTTGGTTATGTGAAAACCATGGTTAGCCGTGCGAAGACCAGGAGTAGTCGTGGGAAAAAAATTAATCGTGTGATTGTGAGAAACGTGACAGTGGTGTTTATTATTACTTCGAGTGTACTCAAGTTGCTCATGTACTTGCCTCAGAACAGCAAAGAAGCAGCGAGGATTCTAAGGTCACCCTACGTTGTACCGGCGCCACTGGTGACTGGAAGTCCCTCTGTGGCGGCGCCCGCAGTGGTGGTGGTGTGTCACGACCCTAACACTACCAGCAGCAGTCCGGCGCTGGACGCCGCTACCAGCAAGGAATCACATCGTCTGCTGGGGTCGTGGCCCAGGCAAGCCGAGCAGCTGACTACTATGCTCAAGACGCTCCTCTACTTCAGTAAGGCTGATAAATGGCGCATCATCGTCATGACGGACGCGCTCACCACCTTCCACAAAGTGTTAAAGCTGACACGAACGTTTCCAGAGGACCAGAAGCGGAGGCTTGAGCTGCAACATGAGAATGTTTGGTTCCCAGACAACTTCCCAGGGATAAAGGAGCACTGGAGGCCATGTGTGTGGGCTAAACAGTTCCTGGCCGAAGCTCTGCCTCACGAAGACGCTGTTGTATATTTTGACACAGATGTGGTGTTCCTGGGTCCTGGTGAAGAAGTGTGGTGGTTGCTGAGGCGGATGGAGGCTAGTCAAGCAGTGGCTCTGGCTCCTGAACCACAGTACACGTTGGATGACCCCAGACGGCCGTATGCAGGCAGTGTTGGACTCAACACGGGAGTCATGGCCGTCAACCTGACACGGCTGCGACAGCTGCCTGGAGGTGGCCTGGGTAGTGCTATACTACTGGAAGGCGCCATTGACCCACCACCGCGTCACGACCAGGATGCTCTAAACCACTTTTTAATTAACAAACCTCACCTGGTACAAGAAGTAACATCACGATGGAACTTTTCACCTGCTTCTTGCTTCAGCGTGGCTCCTCCGTGTCCAGACTGTCTCTCCTCCGGCATCCTCGTCCTCCACGGAGCAGATGCTACTTTCTATAGACACATCGACAGGAAATTCTTGGTAGGTAGTACTGTAACTTTATATATAAAGATAGTTTCATTCTTGCTATAGTCAGCGCAGTAATCAAGTTAGTAAGCTCGTCACTATTATGGAAGAAAAATTGGAACAAAATGAGAAAATTTAACAAATAAGAAATGTTCATTTTTCGACCATTCTCAAGTCGATTGCGATCGATTTGAGAATGATCCAGGACGGACCGAAACGTCGTCGTCCCTTCACCTTCAAGTGTGTGGTCTGGTCAACATACTTCAGCCACGTTATTGTGACTAATCGCCTGCAACTGTTGTGAGGTTGCGTCCTGGGGGAGCGTCATTACTTCGACCTGGGGGGGGAAGGGGGGGGGGCGTAGAAGGAGGTCGATACAAGCGGTCCTTCGTCCTTCGAGCATGTCAATGGTTGCCTTCCAACATAACAAAAATCGTAGCATTGCCTTTCTTACTAACTAGGTATTCATAAAGGCTTATCTTGTTTCGTCAGGTTGTGTACAACATCGTGGCGAGTGTCAGGCTCGGGCAGGACCCTCTAGCAGTGCTGGCGCAGCTGGAGTTGCATCTGGCGCTGGTGGACGCCGGGAGGACCATCTTCCCTTGCAGCAACTACACCCATCTCAATCACGCTCTTACACTCGGGCTCAAGGACGCTGCCACACTAACAGTCCAACACCAATTACAGTCCTTAAGTGCACGGGGACATCTGCCACAGCCCTGAGGAATATAGGAACACCTGTTACATGTCACAAGTATATAGAAACATCTACCATAGCGCTGAAGTGCACAGGTACACCTGACGCAATCATGCGGTCCATGGAAGATGCTTGTCACAGTCCTGAAGTACATGGGTACACCTTTCACATGATGCACCTGAAGTGCATGGGGACACTTGTTACAGCCCAGAAGTATATGAGGATATCTGCTACTGCCCTGATGGAGAACATTTGTCAGGAGGATACACGGTTACAAATACAAACTATCGCAGTGCTTTCTGTTACGGCCAGCTTGAGCCAGTAACCGGGTTATTTCTGTTAACGTGTCTAATAGTCTCTTCTTCTTTATCCTACCCAAAGTCGATGGCAAGTGGTGGTAGCAAATAACAGTGCAAGGAATAAAAAGGAAGGGGGGATAAACAATACGTAATTACACCTTCACCAATATATATTATATCTAAGTATAGCTACACATATTCACACTGTGTCGCTTTCCTTCAGGACACTCAATAGACCTGCAGTGTTCATCAAATCCCGGCGAGTCCACTACGTCCAGGTACACGTCGTCTACGCTCAATGGCAATCACCAGCGAGTTCACCTTCCTCAACAAGGGCCAGACCACACACTGTATCGTCACGGTGTCCCAATACCCCACATTCACCCTCCAGAAGTACACTGGCAGAGGGTTTCAGCAACAGGCTAACAAATAATCACGTACAGGGGTAGCTAACACCTTGGCAGAAATGTCTAGCAACACACTAGCAGCACTTCTCAACAGATGCACTACTGTCGTCTCGTAACTCTTCCTGGCCAAACCCCGGGTACGTCTGTCCATACAACACTACATAACTCCAGCAGCTAACACACTGCTACTACCGATGGCGGCCACAAGTCCTCTCACAGGATCCAGTTAAGAGTTATGGACTGGCCAAGGTGAACTGCCCTCCTTACTGCAATCGCCTCCTCTGTCTACATAAAACATTATTAGCAGGACAGACAGTATACTGGGTGACCTTAGGATAATGCCTTTCCACCGGGTAACTGACATTGTAATTGTTTACACAACCTAGATGGCGTTGATATCGTTATGCCACCCACCAGAGGCCATCATCATCAACCTCACCTCCTCACTGAGGTATGAAACAGGAGCCATTCACCGACGCCACACCACCGCTAACAGATGGCATTGTCAGCGTCTCGCCCAATAACTGGGAGTTGGAGTGCAGGTCCATAGATGGCACCGAAATCATCATTACATGCAAAGGTGTCGATACTGTAATAGGAGTGGAAACATTTGGTATCAGTTATGGTGTAATATGGTTATATCAAACTACGCAACCACTTACAGCAGCATTTTTTAGTCGTGTTATTAAGTGTAAAATTCCTGGTCCTATGAATATTATTAATCTACTTCTGAACATTGTATATATGTATGACATTGACTGCATTTTTCATATTTCATTTACTTCTTTGCAACTTTTAAGTAACACTATAGCCAGTGCAGCCTTAGGGATTATAATTGTGGATACCAAATATTGATGGGAATGGCTACCCAAGTGGCTAGCGTACTTAGGACACCAAGTTGATATCAATCAGCAGAACTGTAACAAATTATGATTTCAGATAATATACAGGCCCTCTATTCAAATCCCTAAACAATGTTAAACACTTGCATAGTCCATATATTCTTTTGTGCCCTTAATTTACACTTACAGGGCTCTATACCTCAATATTAACCGACTTCCTAAAATGGTGTAATGGAACACATGAACATCAAACAATAAGTATATTTATCTTTGACAATCCAAGTGTCAGAGTAAATCTATACAAATAATAAAATAAAACATTGCTTAACCTATATATTCTGTACTAAAAAGTAAAGCAAAGAGGCACCTAATTACTTCACAATTGCAAGACTACTCTACTTTACTTCTGTAAGCTGTTATTAAATCACAATCTACCAAAAAAATTGTACAACTACTACATTTAGAGCTGTGTTAAAAATATATATTCACTACAATATAATTTAATTTTTATTCATGAGCTATGGTAAGTTTGTTAACGATCCCAAATGTTATCTATTCCTAAACACACCTGTGCATATATTTTTTTTTTGCTCCGCTCATAATTAGGATTTCATAAACTGAGCGAGACTGTTTATGTAGTTGTGTATTGAACTTAATTGGTAAGAAAGGAAATGCCTGAATTTCCATGATACTAATTTATACCCAGTCTGGCATACCACAGTCAGCAACTGTTGATAAAGTCGATGGTCTGGCAATATCAGTAACAAATGTCTCATTCTTAAAGGCAACATTTCCATGGCCTTTCTCCTAAAACATTAATAAGTGGTAGGAAACGGCTGTGATTAGGTTGTAAACTGATCACACACTAAAGGGCTTTCAACGGAACAATACCTTGCTCCTTATTGTCTCAGTCTGTTGTTGTTTAAGATTCGCTACTTGGAACAAAAAGTTCCAAGTAGTATTCATAGTATAGTATGAAAGTATTCAGTGAGATATGTGTTTTTAGAGATAAGATTTTAATATCACATTTTGGTTTGATAAGGCTAGTGTATGTATACAGTACTGACATTTTCAATAAATCTTATTTCTCATTTATTGCAAAGATGTTGAGTACATTGGTGATCATTCAATTGATTTACATACTGTATAATAACATAATGGAATTTCCGTCCTGGGTACTTGCATTTAATTGCTGGGCATAATTCCATTTAGGTGGTTCTGTGAAGTACCCCACAGTATTTATCCAATTACCTGATGATTAGAAGCAATGGTAGAGCAACCATGGTACAAGCAACATCACATGAGAGGATATTTTGATAAGTTGTATTATAATCCAGGATGGTGGATACTGTAACAGTAAAGTGCAACAGATTCACTAGCTTTGCAAATTATTTAACCCCCACTCATAAAAGCCATTCACAAAAAAGGGCATTACAGCCATTTACTATACAATTCTGATGGCTTCCTTACGAACATAAATTATTGAGCTAGTTATGTTAGTTTAAGTTAGGTTAGGTTAGGCAGGGTTGGTTAGGTTCGGTCATATATCTACATTAGTTTTAACTCAAATTAAAAGAACTTAGCTCACACATAATGAAACAAATAGCTTCATTATTTCATAAGAAAAAAAATTGAAAAATATATACATTCAGGAAAACTTGGCTTATTAGGCAAATCGCCCCTTGCATAGTAGGCAAATTATTGCATTCTGGCTACTAGGTACATTATATATATATATATATATATATATATATATATATATATATATATATATATATATAATGAATGCTCAGTCCTCAATTGACTAAAAAATACAACATGTCAAACAACATTTTATTTGGCAAATAACATCCGTCATGATAGAAATCTGATGATTGAGCATTAACAAGATACATCTATACAAAGTGATGTATAGATGTAGTTATAGATCAAGAGAAAGCACTAAGCCATTATGACTACAGAGCAGATATGAAGATCGGGATTTATGGCAGGAAGGAATGGCGTCCAACCACTTGGATGGTCGGGGATTGAACACCAACCTGCAACATGAGTGACAGTCGCTCTACCATCCAGTCAAGTGGATGAGCTAGACCAGTACATAGCTATCTTAATTTTTTTTTATAAATATGAGCTTATAATAAAAAAATAGAGCTATTGTATTTTAACAATACAATAGCTCTGCCTGTAGGGAGGCACTAATATATATATATATATATGCTCTGCATATATTATATAATATATAATATAATATATAGCTCTGCCTGTAGGGAGGCACTAATATATATATATCAAAGTAGGTATACCACGTGTTACATTTTAGAATCTTACTTCCTTTAAGTGAAACTGTACATACCATTATGAGGTTTCAAGTTTTAAATAAATTTATATATATACACAGATTTATAAGTATGAAAATAATTCACAAAACATGTATATAATTAAAGTACTTTATTACTAAAATTACTAATCACTTTCATCCATAAAGTCATCATCACTGTCCTCATTCCAAACAGCAGCCTCATCAGAATCATCGTCCATATCACTGCCATCTTCCTTGTCCTCGGCTGGTTTCCCTGCTGGCCCTCCCTCTTGTTGCTTACTTAGCTTCTTAAGGTAAGCCAACTCCTGTGCCTCCAAGTCATCTTCATCTTCATCAGAGCTAACGTCTGCTCTCCGGTTTAGTTTCTTTGCCATTTTCTTCTTGGCTAGTTTTGTCATGACTTTTTTCTGTTTTGCTTCTGTTGTACCTTCTTCTACATCTTCATCCGATTCCTCCAGTTTCCTGTCCTTCTCTGTCATTTTCTTCCTCTTCAGTGGTTTTGTTGATTCTTTTCCACATTCCAATTCTGTTGCACTAACTTTTTCAGCTTTCATTGTGCCATCTGATTTCTTCTGCTTCTTGGTCTTCTTTCTCTTTTTATTTGTTATTTTCTTGCTTTCTGGTTCTGACCTCTCATTATTTTCTTTGACTTTATTTGCAACATTTGAAGTTTTCTTATTCTGTAAATGCAACAAAGAAATATTGAATAATAAAAATTAAATATATCAGGATCAATATCCCCCTTACTTCACTACATGTAATATAATGTCTTATATTACATTCAAATCAAAGTTTTATAATGTTCTAGTACTGATAGTAATATTAAATAAATATTTGTTTCTCATATACATACCTTTAGACGCTCCATTCTTTCTTCTTCAGGAAGTCTGTGAATATTCTTCCTCAAATTCAGTGCTGTAATACTGCCATCAGGATAAACAGTAACCACCTTTCTGGATGCTGTAGTAATTACACCTGACACAGGCTCCTTCATGAATATAGGCTTGGGATTGATGACACCAATTGCATTCAGTGAACCTATTTAGGAAAGGTAGTTTACAGAGTATACTCTTTACAATTTACAAACTTGATATACATTATCAGCACACCACAAGTTCAAGCAGTCAAAAAGTTATTAACAGCTGCAAATATATTCTTGCAAGGATCAATTTTAACACCACTACTGTTCCTAACTAAATGAGCTATCTTAGGATGTAAGCTTGTACCTGTTAATGACTGCTAATGAGAAGTGTAATAATTTTAATGAGAATTGTAAAATTGAGGATTACTGGAGAATTATCAGAAGACCTCGACAAACTCCAGGAGCACCTAGACAAATGGCTGTTAAAACTTCAACCTCAACACGTAAGATAATGAAGATGAGAAATGGATATAGACCAAAAGGAAGACAACTAGAGAATTCATAAAGAAAAAACTTGGGAGTATCCACTCACTACACATTATTAAATGTATTATTATAGTAATGCATTTAAAAACCTAAATAAGGACTCTTTCAAGACAATCTATACAACTCCTGTGCCTCCTAAGAGGTCATTACTAGTACTTAAAAAAAAATTAAATGCACCACCAGTATACTTCACCTTGTGAAATACAACGCTAAAGTTTAAAATGTGCAAAATTTCCAACAAGACGAGTACCAAAATTAAAAGGTCTTTGCTATGAAGACTGGTTAAGTGAACCAAATTCCACAACCCTACAGGAGAAATGGAACAGGGATATGATCACGACATACAATATACTGAGGGGAAATAGACAAAGTAGTCAAGGACAACCTCTTGAAATGAATGGAGCAGAAAATGATATGGATGAATCTGGAAGTACCCCCTGTACAAACTAGTCAAAGAGCCATAAGGAAGTATCCATACTCTGCAGGTGGGTAACAAGTCAGAAATGCTGAAAAAAAGTTTTGTCAGCCACCTCTATTCACAACTTCAAGGCCAGATACAACAAAATACTTGATCATTGGTACGTTAAAACACACCAGGTACAATATGGCTAGTATCCTGGCATAAAGAGCTAGACAACACTGCTAGGTAAGCACTCATCTATGGGTGGAAAGGCCAGTCAGAACACCTAGTTCAATGGCTGAAAAGATGAACACTCACTGAACACCTGCTGTACTCTACAAATCCCACGAGGGCCTTGATGAGGGTTCGAACTTACGCACGAGACATTACCCGTGCGATGTTATGATTTCTGTGTGTACTGCTGTACTGTCTCATCAGGAAAGAGAAGGCACAGTCTAACCTGACTCAGTACCAAGGGGTATAATATGACCTACACTCAGTGCAAAAGTGAAGATGCACCATCCTCAAAATAAGTTGGTGGGGTGCATAATCCCTGCAACCTGGAGACACAGGATTGGTATGTGATCATACTAAGAAAATGCTCAAACCATCCAAACTGAAAAATGGATAATATTAATCAATTATAGAAAGTTTTTGTACAATCAAAAAACAATTAAAGAATTCACTAAAAAATAGATTTATAAAACATACCAGTTCTAACATAAATAGGAATTGATATGGAATCTGCCAGTTTTAGGTTGAGATTCATGATGTTCTTCCATCCCCCTGGAATGAAGCGAGCCAACTTCACAGCAGTTGCCTTTATATTTTCTGCAATCTGTTCATCGGTCTGACTAAGACGACCAATCTGGAAAAAAATAATAAATATATACACACACACACAGTAGAGAGAGGTTTAGACAGTCATTTGATGAAGCCCTCAATTTCTAAAGTCAATTAAGTTGAAAAGTATTACACCATAGTTTTCAAAAGCCAATGAATATAACGTAGGATGTGGTAGCACATTTTGAAGTTACTTGGGGGAATAACTAATTAACAAATAGGGGTCAACTTCAACTGGAGTTTACCTCCTTCCTTGACTAGAGTTGGGCAGTCATTTCCTAGAGAAAACTGTTTATTTTAATTGTTGGAACTAATTCCCAGGAAGGCTGGGGCCTCGCCTAACTTCTCTGAAGTGGTATTTCCAGCTAACATTCATTACACTTCATGTATAAGACCAAATTATAACAAATGGTTTGGAAATAAGGTTGTTGATTTATGCAACAGCAACATAATAATGTGGAATAACTGGATTTTTTTCAAGCACAGGTTAGACATAAATAGATGAATGAGTTTGGTTAGGTAAAAACATGAGATGACTCATATGGTTTAATAGTATCTCTGTGGTTTCATATATTTATGTTCTTCCTAAATGAGCTTTGTCAAAATTAGCCGTTTATCTGATATTTTTCTCTCATACACAAGACACGACCAATACATTACCTTCATAAGGGCGCTGTTTCCTCCCATGGAAAATGAAATTTGTGACACTGACAATGCACGAGTTAGCTCATTATGAAGAGACTGTGACTTCAGGTTCACCTGAATCGGGATTCTGAAAATACCAAAAATAATTAGACATGATTTAATTATCTGGGTGATCCGAGGTCATCCCCAGTGCCTTACACCTGCATATTCCATAAATATATACCTGTATGAGTACAGTATTATAAATAACTGAACTTATTTCTAAAAATGCAAATGTTTTTTCTTTCTACAGTACTTTCCAGCTTCCCCTCTATCTCTTTTCCTAGCCAAGCAAATAAAATTTTCAAAATTTTACCTTATATTTTCATTTCAATATTTATTAAAAAAAAAAAAGGTGATGAACGAGATGAAAATCTCTTTTTTCTGAGCATGCTATTCAGTTGTTCCCTAAGATAATGTCCCTGCCACATATTACTGGAACAAGGGATAACAAATTGGAGAATATTGCATGAAGGATCCATGTTACACAAGTGTGAAATGTTGACCTGCGATTGCATGTAGTTGTGTTTATGGCTAGCAGCACGACCTTGCCTGAGAAAGCAAGAACTTTAATGGTACAACTTAGAAATCCTCCAATAATTACGCAATTTTAATCATATCCGAGATTAACTCATGCATGAAGCCTGAAAATCAGATGTATAAGATTAATCTAAAAACTAGAATGCCTAAGTTGGCTTCTATATATTACATACAAAATTTATATACTTACTTTTTCTTACTGAAAAAGTGCTTTCCCAAGAATTTAGGAACGAAACGTATGACTGTGTCATCACAGAGGACAACATCAAAACGATTGGCAAGATGCCTCTTGGCTTCAAACTCCTTATATTCCACTTTCAACTGTCTGAGAGGAATAACCTGTAAACCAATTAACTCCGTATATAGTATATACTTAATCATTCATAATGTGTATAAGGGTCAACCTAAAAAAATAGATCTATAGTGCAAAACTAAATAACAATTTCTATTCATGTTAAAAACACAAGATTCATAATGCTATTCATTACACACAATTTGGTTAAAGTTTTAATTATAGTCCATGCTACAGCAGCATGTCTCAACATCTCCCACAATGCATTCATGACAATACAAAATTCTCTGTCTGTAATTTAAAGTGCAGATAAATCACAGATTACATACAAGGAGACATGTTCCTTGAACAATTATGCAGTTATGAAACATGAGTTTAGAAATAAAGAAAAATCTATAATACTCTAGTGTATGCTAAATCATTGTAACCATTTATTATTCAGGAAAGACAACAAAAAATTTATGATGTAGCCTACCTCGTTAACAAGTTTAGCAGCACCGTGCTTCTGCAGTAACTCTGTATAATGGTGTAGTGAATTATCATGGTCAATCCGAATACCTCTTTCCAAGTCCCGTGTTATGAGCAAAACTTCCGTTTTATCGTTCGTTAGACTATACGGCAGTTTCCTGTTGAATGCACACATGATTAGTCTTAAAAATACAATTGGGGCTATATTTTGTCTAAGTACTATACATTTTATTAGGAAAATGTACTGTAGACGTTCAAAACTACAAAAGTATTCATTAAGAACCCATAGTAACACAGTAAGCTAAATACATTTTGATTAGGTTTACTCATTGTATTCATAATGATCTCTTGGAAAAGCCAATTTTTTTCAAGTGTAAGCAGAGCTCATCAGGGGTCAAACTAAAGTGTTCGAGATCATCTTCGCCAACCACCCCATCACAAGACATGATGGGGTAGTTGTGATGTATTTAAGGTTCTACCGACCTAGGACCTCTGCTTGTGATTATTTTCTCGTTTGCAAATTTCGTATTGGATAAACATGAAAATTATGTCTATTTTTACTGCTATATAAAATGATCCCATGTGCACATGTAGTTTTTTATGCCGAAAAATAAATGAGAAATGTTAAAAAATATTATATATATATATATATGTATATGTCTATCTATCCATCCAGTGTTGTTGCACATATCTATTATCAATATTATACATTTTTTTTACAGCTATACTCTAAAACATTTAGTTGCGAACATTGACACCAAATTTATAATTATAAAAAGATACAAAAAACAAGAGGATAAACATTTCTGGTGTCACTGAGTGGAACCATGCAAGGCGCTGAACATTATGGTCAGACATATACAATGGGGGGGGGGGGTTGGTGGTCAGAATGTTGAACTTTTTAATGTCATTATTTATTTTGCTACATATTTAATATGAACCCTGAATACAGCAATGTAAATATTTTCTCATCAACTTTACTTTATACAACTCATGGCAATTCAAGTGTTATTTAATTCTTACAAATTTACAGACTTCTACTTACACCTTAATATTTGTCGATCCAACTAAGTGTTGGTCTTGAATTGTCTCTGGTAATTTGCTCAAAGAGACTTGCAAGAAGATGAAGGTTTCAACTTCATCAGACGGGTCATCTAATAAGTTCTTCTTTTCCTTTCCCTTCTTTGCCACAGTCGCTAGCTTTCTAATGCCAATAATGGCTTGTTGTATCTGCCAAATGTAAGGTTTTGATAAAAAAAGTCTCAAAGAAAACACTGCAAATGAAGGCAAAGAACATTTAAAAGCATACTATCAATGATGTAACTACAGTACAAAGTAACAGAATTCTACTTAAACAACTGACAATTTAAACATAGTGGTCTTAGTAGGGGAAAGTTCAAAGAGTGTATTAAAAGTACAATGCAACAGACCTGGTTTCATGTGGGTTTATGGTGACTTAACGTACTCATATTATCAGCACCCAGAACTAATCCTATGTTCAGAGACAAAATCCCAAGGAAAAGTGATGGTGGGAAAAACAAAGGAGGATAATCAATGTTGAGGCACTAATAAAACCAGCAGATAAAGTAACTCTGCAATGGCAATTAGCAATGAAATCCAGAAACATGAAGTGACTATGTTTACACACTCAAAAAGCATCCAGTGATGGCATGTTCCCATTTCAAAATTAAGGAAAATTCACAAGGATTAACACATCACTCAAGCAACCTAAAATGCACAGAGAACAGTCAGGAAAAATGTACAGTAGACAGAATTTTACATATAGGTGCTGACACCTGGTGACAGTTAAGGACAATGGTGTGGACTGGCCAACTAGCAATCAGCAAAGCTCTTTCTAGCAATCTCTCTGAATCTAAATAATACATGGAAGGGGTTTAATGTAAGACTCTCTGTCTCATCCACGGTAACAACATGACCATGCCCATGGAAACAACTGAATGGTACAACTGAGAACTGTAGAAGATGACTTTATTACTGTGGCCAATCATAAGAGGAAGAGGGACCTTCAACTTACATTGGCTGGACTGACAAGCTGTGTAGAATCTGAAACTATACTGTCACTAGGGGAGTCACTCTTCATTAATTTGATATTCTTTGAATTTACTTCAAATTTTTTTCTGAGAATTTCATCTTTTTTTCTCTCATCTCTCAAGAGACTAGTATAGCTGCCTTTAACTTTCCAATGTTGGTGCTTGTTCAGTGTCCTCTTGCCTTTCCCTTTCCTTTGTTTAACATTTGATGATTTGTTAAACTTAGTCTTCAGTTGGGGCTTGCCCAGCTTTTGCCCCTTCTGTACATCTTTACTTGTGGGTTGTGCCTTTTGCTTCTTATGTTTCCTCTTGGATACTGAAAGATCATTCTTCTTGGATTTCTTTGCAAGAGGTGCTTTGGCCATTTTTTATGTTCTGAAACGACACATAGAAGAATTAACACATTAATATTTATATGCAGTTGCCTTCAGACATCAATAAATCAATTACTGCATGAAAAAAATGGTGGCAACAGAAAGGAACCATTCTAAAGGAATGTTATAACAAAATATGACCTAAACTAAAAAACTTAGAATTTCTCAAAGCTAAGCAATTCATATAATTATATAAATAATAAATATATAAAATATTTTCATACAGTATTACTGGCACAGTAAGGAATGTAGAATGTGATTACACATAATATAAGTTGGAAAATACTAATTTTTATAACAAAATATGACTAAAATAAAAAACAAAGATTAGCCTACTCAAATTAACCTACAATTATGAAAATAAAACCAATATATAAACTATTTTCTTACAAATATATTAGCAATGAATGTACAATATGAATAAACATAATTTGACTTTAATTTAATACTTATTGTAAACAAAATATTACCCAAAACAAAAAATGAAGAATTCCCCAAAGCTACCCAAATCTTTGAATAATTATATAAATAATAGATACTGTATATGAAATATTTTTCTATGGTATTACAGAATCAGTGATGAACGTAGAACATGACTACACATAACTGAAATTCCAAATATACTGGACAACAACTGTCATTTATCAGGCTCTTCAACTTCTACAAGTCACAAATGAAGTAATCTAAGGCACACTCCTTAATCTTTCAAAGCTCTCCATCTAGAAACACACGAATGACTGCCACACTTCAGGAGATCCTCTTCTGTTCTTTAACAGACTGAATTATGCACTCTCCTTACAACACAAGCTAGCACACACACGCATTCTGCCCCATGTGAACAGTTCTGATGGAATGTTCATGCATGTGAACAGAACTAATGGAATGTAAAATGCTAATGTACAATTTAATCAGACAAGGGATACAGGTCACTTCATACCCAAGACAGTCAAGCCTGGCCTCTGGCTGTGCTCGGGGAGTAGAAGAACTCCCAGAATGCTCTCCAGGTATTACAGTTCACCAGCTTATTGTAAAACCTAATCCACCTAACCTTAATCTAACCCTGCCTAGATGATCAGCGCCTCAAGATGATCAGCGCCTGCGCTGCCTGCCTAATGAAATACAGCTCTCCACTGTTGAGGACAGGAAGCCTCTTAAATCATTGTGTCAGGGGACAAGCAGCCAGAGTATACATTTTAGGCTTATATTGAGGTCCCCCCCCAAAAAAAAGATCGAATTACTGACCATCCCAGGAAGTAACCCCACAAGATGACTTGACTCCTGGGTACCTAATTACTACTAGGTGAATATGGACATTAGGTGATAGGAAACATGCCCAACCATTTCTGTCCTGCCTGGGATTCGAACCCGGAATTCCCAATTGTGAGTCGGGAAAGAACCGGGCTGTACAACCGAAACACTTATCAAGGGTCCTGGTAGTACAGTCGAGTTCGTTCTTGAAGCACACTCGAGAATTCCGGGTTTGAATCCCAGGCAGGACAGGAATGGTTGGGTATATTTCCTTTCACCTAATGCATCTGTTAACCTAGCAGTAAGTACGTCCTCAGAAGTTAATCAGCTTGTTGTGATGTTGCATCCTGAGCGGGTTCAGTAATTCGACCCTGGCAGAGGGGGGGGGGGGAAGGGGAGGAAGACATCGATAAAAGCTCAACATGTAGGAATATACTGGCTTCCTGTCACCCGACAATGAATTATAATTATCGAGGTCTCCCCTAGACCAATTACTGACCTTCCCTAGGTTGCAACCCACAACAGTTGGCTAACTGCCACATGCTACAATTACTGCTAAATGAACAAAGGCATCAGGTGAATGGAAATGTGCCCAGATAAACGGTAAATCAGGTAGATACTTCTGAACGTGGAACCTTTTAGGTTGACCCAACTGCACGTTGTAGCTTTATCTAAATGCTATGTGTTGTTGGCTTTATAATAACAATAAATACCTATCACACACAGAGATCACACTAACGTGATGCATCAAATGATCCAGTAAGTTAAGTAGAACTTCGGTTTCAACCCTTTTACCCTGTCGTAGCTCAGTCGATTAAGGCAGTGTCTGGGATGCTCCCGGACGCAGGTTCGAATCCTCGTCATGGCCCTTGTGGATTTGTTCAATAAATACCTACTATGTAAAAACTGTACTCAAACCCTCCTAATATTTGTTTGCAAATAAAATAATATTTGAGCGTAGAGGCTGTGCAAGGCCCTCCACGTGGACCTCTCACCACGCCTGCCACCTGCACTAACTCACAATACCCTGCATTAACCCCAGATGGTGTACATGTGTGTGTGTGTTCACCTCAGGTACCAGAGAAGCAACAGGTATTGGCTGTGTGCTACAGGAGCCACGAGGAGCGTCAACAGGAGCCACAGACCACAGCACACGAGGACCAACACCAAAACAATGTTGTCAACACCTCACTACGAGAGTAAACACTTCTTTCTCACAGCATCAATATTTTCATTAATAAATTGACATTAAATCATATAGTTTTATTTATTTCTTTCAATGCAAAATTTACTTCGGGTTGTGAATTACATAGATTGGTGTATGAGCATTACATTCTCGCAGTCACTAACACGTACAGTATAGTGTTTCGGGCAGGTCCTTCAGCTAGCAATAAATGTAATTATACAGATGTATTGTAACTAGAATTTGAATTTAACATAAAAACTACATTACAAATTTATAACATTGTTGTATGTCTCGAGTAGATTGACTGGATGAGGTTGAAGCACAAAAGTGGTATGACACTCGCCCGGGGTTTTGCGAGCACTTTGTCTTGGGCTCGTATCCTAGCCGGGGAGGATTGACTGGGCGCCAGTCCTTAACTGTAGCCTCTATTGACCCAAAAGTAAAATGAAAGTCGTACTCCAGGGAACATAGGCTTAAGGACTTGCCCGAAATACTATGGGTGCTAGTGGCTGTACAAGAATCGTATAAATATAATATAATATAATATAATATAATATAATATAATATAATATAATATAATATAATATAATATAATTTAATAAAATATAATATATATATATATATATATATATATATATATATATATATATATATATATATATACATATATTATAGCTATAGTGTAGCCAAACTATATCTGAAACAATATATTTAACTTTGTCAGAGCTGCCAATTATATATGCCTTATAATGGACTAAGTTACCTGAGGGTCTCTATCTCTAGCGGCATCTATGGGGAGATAGGATACCACCAACTTGCCATAGGCTCCCCCATTATTCCTGAGGATTTATTCCATTTGTAGTTTAAACAGGGCATTTACATTGGCTTCAATGGGTATATTGATTCCATGGACTTATTACCCTCTAGGTGAAATGCATCTCCTGTTTTCTGTCCTACATTATGGTTTGTTGAGTTGCACTGTGACCAGTAGCACAAAACGATTACTTTTACCAGTACAGTAGCACGAAAGGATTACTTTTACCAGTACAGTAGCACGAAAGGATTACTTTTACCAGTACAGTAGCACGAAAGGATTACTTTTACCAGTACAGTAGCACGAAAGGATTACTTTTACCAGTACAGTAGCACGAAAGGATTACTTTTACCAGTACAGTAGCACGAAAGGATTACTTTTACCAGTTCAGTAGCACCAATGGATTACTTTTACCACCACAGTTGCACAAAGGATTACTTTTACCACCACAGTTGATTGATTGATTGACAGTTGAGAGGCGGGACCAAAGAGCCAGAGCTCAACCCCTGCAAGCACAACTAGGTGAGTACAGTTGCAAAAAGGATTACTTTTACCAGTACAGTTGCACAAAGGATTACTTTTATCACCACAGTTGCAAAAAGGATTACTTTTACCAGTACAGTAGCACAAAAGGCACAATTATAGATGGTGTTAATCAAACCCTAGTGGTTGTTGTTACGGTAATCTCCTGCTTAGGCAGTAGATCCTACCTGTTCCCTATACTGCCTATTCACCAACGTATCTGCATGCTCCAACATAAGGAATCATCAACAACAATACGTGCTCAAAACGTATGAAATTTCTAGACAGACACCACCCCACTCTACCCTCTAGTACCCAAGACACCTCGGCACCTGCTGTCTGGGTAAAGGCCTGGATGCCACTCGCTGGGCGACCAGACACTAGTTGGTTGTTTAATTGCCAGCCGATGGTTACCCACAACATTAGCGCCATCTATGCTGGCCTGGCCCATATAAAAGGAGCTTTGTGCTCCAAGCTGCAACATCTACTCTCGCTCCCCTGGGTGTCGGTAGACTCGAGCAGCTTTTGTATATTGTATTAATTTGCACCTCTCTTTTGCTTAACATAAAAACTCCCCTGTATTTATATTTCTTTTCATAATAGTGTGTTTTAGCAGAGTGGATAGTTATGTTAGTCATTTAAGTTTTTCTTGCCCGAAACGCTTTGCGTAATAGTGGCTTTAGGCATTGTATGTACTAGCCCTATCTATAAATCCATCACTCTTTGTAAAATCTCTTGTATGTATGTACCTTACCTAAATAAACATTTGATTTTATTTGATTTGTTATATTAAATGTTCCAAGGTTTTCATTCTTTGGTTTTTTACTTGCAGCTCTCGCACAGTAGAGGTCGCAAGCAGTCTTTACTTTATTTTACGTTTTTTTTATTTAATGTGCGATTGGCACAACACCAGCCAGAATAGCCACTGCTCTATTTCAGATTATCGTCACATTGTTGACATACTTTTTGTTTAATTTATCTGTACATCTAATTATATTAAATTACAATGGTAAATACAGGGTAGTGTAGTTTGCCTGAACCTTGGCTATTAGGATCAGCATAAGAGTAAGGCGTCTATAATCTCTTTAGGATAACAAAACGGATGGATATTGAAAAGCAACAATCAACAATATATATTAATAATGTAAGATACACAATGGTAGCAAACAATTCACGAGAAGTTAGGTCACTTGAGTTGCTAGAAGGCTTATTTAAGAAGAGTCCTGTGTCGACTGGTGAGGAGTAGAGAGGAGGGCTATTACTCTCAAGAATAATTATAGCTTTTGCTTCCCACATTACCATAGATCTTTGTCATCTTTAAATTTCATGCTGGGGATTATGGTTCTGTCATTTGTCATAGACATACATACTGTATATTACAAAAAAGGTTTGGCCCTAAAATGAAATTTTCTCATACTCTGCACAACATTTTTCCCAGTTAGATTCCATTTAGGATGACATTTTGCTTTCTTTGTTTTAACTGTTGCTTAATGCAGTTTATTATTTAACCATTTATTCCAGGTGCTTGTAGTCTCAGCCTTTTTGTGGTACCTTATCAAAAGCTTCCCCTATATATTATATATTCATTTGACAAATCTTTTTTAATATATTTATGGCTACTAAACATTTAAAAAGAAACACTAGCACCTATTCAACATTTTTCTAAAAATGGTTTCATGTTACAAAAACAGAGCTCAATGACAACACATTTGGGACTTTCACAGGCCTGGCTTGTGTAACAGAGGAGCTAATAGCAGGGTACAGTATATGCAATACTGTACTGCAATGCAGAAATAAGATCTCATAATGAAGGAAAGGAAAATATATGATAATAGAGTTCTGAGTATATTTTCAAACATACATCATATAAAACACTAATTTCCTCATTCAAAATTACTTCATTGTATACAGGTATTCTCATGCTACACATAATCAAGCAATAAAGGAAAAAATGTAATTTTGTTATACAATGTATAACAAAATTACTGCCATAAATTAAAGTACTGTACTGTATTTCAAAAGGACAAACTTATCTGAATAGTACAACTTATTTATTTCACCTGCTAAATGTCACGACATATTTAACTCATAGCAAAGGAAATTGCATTATAAATTGTGAATTGCATTATAAAACTGAAAACTTAAAGGAATGCTGTTATTATTTCATCCAATTTTAAATTTGTAGTAATCAGCACATGAGTAAACATTGCAGTTGGATCTTGGCTAAACGAGTTGCTACTGTAACCAGGTTTTGACTGTGTGTTGTAACTACAACACATGCTAAACTTGGTATTAATTTTAGTACTCAACCTGCTACATTTGTTATTTATTGACCTGGTATTATATGAAGGTTTTCCCTTAGGTTTTAGTGTAACCCCTGGGGCTGCTGATTTAGTTATGTCCTGGCTGAATATACAATTAAATTACCAGTACCTGATCTACTGGTTTTATATTGATCTTAATCCTCCGGCAATACTTATCTTATTGAAGCAGTGATCATTCAACCCCTGCTGCAGTTGGAAAAAATTACTCTGGTTGTTTTTTTTACATATTTTAATATTTAATTTATTCATTTTAAATCTGCAATCGCAATCTTGCTATTTCCTCATGCAGTTTTAAATTTTCTTCCTTCAACTCTGCAATTTCATTATTTTTTTGCAAAACCTGTTCCATGTTTTCTTTTTTCAGCCTTGCAATCTCATTATCTTTTTGGAAAATTTGTTTAAAACTTTCTTCTTTTAACTTTGCAATCTCAATATCTTTTAGACAAACTTCTGATTTTGTAACTTTAATGGGGGCATCTTTCAGTTCATCTTGATGGCTTGATTCCTGTATTGCATGTGTGTTTAAATCATTCTTGTGATCGCCTATTTGAATTACAGATAAATTATTGTGTCTTGCTTTACATCTTAAAGCATCGTCAGAGCAATTAGATTGCACAACCATATCATGACTGTGGTAAATAAATGATCGTTCATCTGTAAATGGGGGTTTAAACAATGATGATTCGAGCGCTTCACTTGCTGACGGCCTATTACTTGGTTCTGGGTCTGAGAGTTTCAGTATCCATGATGCCTGAAATACAATTACATCATCAATATCCATGAACATGTCTTATCCTACATTGGGTGTACAAATTTTAGTATCTGTACTTTCTTCTTCAATGCAAATTGGGATGTGTCAAGCATAATGGAAAAATATTATCTCACCCAAATTAAAAAGGACTGGACACCATTTATATCTGAAGGTCTGTATAATAAAGATTAATTTTGCTAACTGGAGGAAAAATAAAGTATTAGGTGTGGAGTGGTGGTGAGGCGTGGAAGTGATGTCTGGGAGTGAGACGTGTAAGTGAGGCATGAATGTGAGGCAAGGACGTGAGGTATTGGTGTATGTGAGTGGGGGTGAGAGAGAGAATGAGAAAGTGCATCACAAGAAGTCTGAATTTTTTAAAGGTGAACCAATAGCAGGCAATTAATTTCATTGTTACAAATCTTAGGTTTAGCTTATCTATGCATACAAAAACAATAGCTTTATATTTATTCATAATAACAATTACTGTACAATATAAGCAATATCCTTCATGGAGACTCCTACCATATTAATATGAATATTGTAATACTTACAATATTAGGCCAAGAAGCAATTACATCTTGGTTCAAATGTCTCTTCATTTTAAGTTTGTTGATTACATGGATTCTTTCTGATCCTGTATTGAATGACTGGAAAAGCTCCAGAAGTATTATCCCTAAATTATGCATATCACTCTGAAAAGAATTGGAAAATTATGCTTTTACACACACAAAAAAAATATATCTTATAATTTATGGGTGACTAATAAGAAATCACTATTTGAGTAGAAGTTATCATAGAATAATGATAACATGTGTGGAGAGATTTACTGTACTGCTCCTAAGCTGAATAAAAATATGATAATGATGAGTATGTTCATAGAAATTTCTGTAGAGATCTGTTAATGATAAATTTATCTAGAGGTGAAATAGTTTAATTAATATAAAGATAATACATATTACACCAATACCTTTTCATCATATTGACCTCCACTTGTGAGTTCTGGAGCTGCATAGATGGGAGTACCAACACCGCGGGTGTTTGGTGCGTGCTCAGATATTGGAGTAAGACTGGACTGGGTGACAAAATCTGCCCCTCCATCTCCAGAAGTAGTCAAGTCAGGAAGTGAACGAGCCAAACCAAAGTCACCTACTTGGATATTTTTCCCATCCAAAGTAAAAAATATATTTGCAGGCTGTGGAAAAAAAAGTACATATGCTCAGTGACGAGAAAATAATTAGGCAAATGAATAAAGCACATATACATGCAAGCTGAGGTAAAAATAAGGCTCTGAATGAAGAGAAAAAGACCTTTTCTGAAGAGGCCATTGAGCTCCCTCAGGCGATGTCTGGTTCTTCCTTGGACATAGCCAAAATTCAGCCTGGTCAGCCCATCCCATGGGTGGTGGTGGAAAGGGTTACAGAAGCACATCGGTTCAGGAACTGAACCCCATAGTCTACTGCACAACGAAATAAATTGCTTACAAGGATAGTCACAAGTTACTTGAAAGATTTCTAGTGTCTGACTCTACACTCAAGTGAACTGTGTCCCAGTCAGCAGGAGGGGCCCACTGTTGTTGTTGTGGGAGCCGGTCGGCCAAGTGGACAGCACGCTGGACTTGTGATCCTGTGGTCTCGGGTTCGATTCCAGGCGCCGGTGAGAAACAATGGGCAGAGTATCTTTCATCCTATGCCCCTGTTACCTAGCAGTAAAATAGGTACCTGGGTGTTAGTCAGCTGTCACGGGCTGCTTCCTGGGGGTGGAGGCCTGGTCGAGGACCGGGCCGTGGGGCCCCTAAAAAGCTCCGAAATCATCTCAAGAAAACTCAAGATAACTAGGTAACTACTGCCTGGCCATTCATGCCAGGCAGTAGTGACTGAGAGTTCCAATTACTGGTCCTTGTGATGTCATGTATCATTTGAAAAGGGCTTTAGATGTATTGGCATTCTACTTCTTGAGGTCATCCCAGGCTGGATGAATAATCCCCAGTGTCTCCCTGGCACCACCATAAGCCGGAAGGGATGTTTGAAAAGATCCTCGCTGCCTGGTGCTTTGTTCCAGATTCTGCCCAGGAAACATTAGTATCTTACCTTAGTGATCAAGTCAGCAATGTAATTCAAAATTATGGAAACAATAGCCCATAGCTTCCTATACAAAATATTAATCTCAGTAGTACTGTAGTAACATTATTATATAAATTATTTAACAAAACCCTTTTAAAAGTTCAAACTTACCTTTATGTCTCGATGAATAATTTTCTGCGAGTGAATATACTTCACAGCTAAGAGCACTTGCCTGAATAAGGACAAGCATTCAACTCGATTTATGGCAGCCTGCGTGTTGATAGCACTGGAAGTATGAGTTTCATTCCTGCTTATTAGCCAGTCCCTTAAAGATTTTCCACACAGTCCCATCTGGATAAAAAGAGTCATTCGAGCAATAGGAGGGCATCTACGATTCTGCTGTAGATCATTTCTGAATGAACGGTAAGGCAAAACCGATTTTTTACAAATATCGTCAGGAGAGGAGCTGAGGCTAAAAGAGTTGCAATCTAGAGCAGCTGTGCACTTTTCTTTGACAAAGGGCAAACTCAATGAAATTTCAGAACTTGACGAACTAATTTTCTTTTTACAATGATTATTTTCAAAAAATACTTTGCTTTCATCTGTTGAGCTTTTGGCATTCAAGCTTTCTTTATTAATAAATTTATTTAAATTATGAGTGAGATTGGAATTAGACTCGCACAAACCATTATTTAAAACTTCATTACTTTTTACAGAACTTAAAATATTTTTTTGTGTCCTTTTATAAAAAGAAATTTCCTTATCTATTTTTCTGTCTTCACGAGTAGCAAGACTTTTTTTTGCATCTTCACAAATACCATTACAAGTCTTGTGACCTATGGATCTTAAGTTTGGTTTGCTTTGAGCCTTGGTTTCTTCTCTGAAAGAAATTCCACCTGAAGATTCTTCAATTGAATCATCTTCTTCTTCCGAGCTGTAAGATAAAAGAAATTATTTAAAAAAATCTGTTAATGACAAAATGTATGAGATATTTACCAAAATAACCAGCTTTGAATCTAATGAAATGCTATTTTCTGGGCGAGCCTCTGAGGCTCCCTGAAGCTATCAAACTGACATGTGCCATATTACTTTGGTGCCATCCATCCCTGGAGTTTGAGTGCCTACTGGGGGGCCATGAGCCAGAACCTGGCACCCTCAGAGAGTTGCAGGGAGCAATATGAGCCCTGTATATTTAGAGTTTGTCATGTCTGCCATCGACCGATAATACCACCAGAAAGGTAGGCAAACCATTACAAACCTCTAACTGGTTAAAATTGCAACCTATGTCCAAACAGAGCCAAAGAACTCTCCCTAATAGAAAACATGGAAATAAGCAACACGCCATCCAACAAGGGCGCCCGCTCATTAGCGCCCCGCCCTCCCCAGATAGAGGGGGAATGGGATCCCGCTCAGGCAAGCCAGCCGCACCACCCTCAGTGAGAATGATGAAAACCATCGACTGAAGGGAAGGTGTCAGGGAGCCTATGGGGCTCACCCAGAAAATTGCATTTCATTACATTCAACACTGGTTTTCTATGGGTAGCTCCGTCGGCTCCTTGAAGCCGGGAGGCGGCAGCACTGCATGTCACACAACAAAGATGAGACAACCGGCCAAGACAGATGACCCAAGGCAACACAAGGCTGCAGAGGGCCTGGAACGTTGACAAGATATATGATGGTGAGGATGCTGTTCGATTTCAAAAACCCCGCACCCGAATATCGACCCAAGACATATTAACAAAGATGGCAGCAAGAGCTGCATATTTCCGTACATCATGGGCATGACCGCAGGCTGGCGAGACTTGAAAACCATGCGGACAACCTGAGAGGGAACCAGGGAAACCAGGTTTACCCAGAGTGCATCTACTGTAGCTGAACCAATAGTGCGTAGGTAGCGACATAAAGCCGCAACCGAATACAAAACATGATGCACCCCAGCCTAACCAACCAAGCATCAACAACCCACGGACCCCTCCAGAAACCAGCTGTCTAATTCTTTGCCAGAAAAGAAGGAGAAGGCTGCAGACGAAGATGAAGAAGGCCCCGGAGGATGCACCGGCACAGACTCCCCTCCCCCCCACGAAAAATTGGTTTTGCGAAACTCACGGCCCCCGGTAGGCACTCAAACTCCAAGAACGGATGGCACCAAACTAATATGGCACATGTGAGTTTGGTAGCTTCAGGGAGCCAACGGGGCTCCTCACAGAAAAATCTTGAATTAACCTTTTGTTTGTACAGTAGTCACCTCCAAAATGCTTTGTTCCTCGGAGAGAAGAAATATTGCTAAAAATAAAGTGTCGACTGAATAATGAGCAGCACTTTGGAAGGGCCCCCCGTGCTTTATGCCATTTGCTTTCAAAGTCAAGCTTAGCAGGGTTTTCTTCCCTCACTGTCTAATGCAGGCCCATTTCCCAACCTGTGAGTTCACTAGATAGTAGATATGAACATCATGCCAAGCTCTGGAGACTGTTTATGCCTCAGAAGGTAAGTACTAAAAGTGTCTTGTACTACTAAAGGGGTGGGGATCTCAGTGGAGAGATTCATACCAACATAACAGATCACCAGAAACTTTTCAAAACATTCCAAACTCCCTCTAAATCAGGGGTTCTTAACTTGGAGTCCATGGATAGTTACCTTATTTATACTTTGTGTTGTTATACACTGTAAGAGGCAATCAATATTCAAGAAAATAAAGTATATTCATTTGCATACAAAGTGAATGTTTAAGTCCTTATGTGCATTCTTCTGGTGTTGGCATTTATAGTTTTCCCCAGATTTTCAAAAGGGTCCCTGACTAAATAAAAAAAGGTTAAGAACCACTGCTCTGAATGATCCTAGACCATTTGAGAATCAATAAGGATCACTATGAAACATTTAAAGACCCAGCACCAATTATGCTGACTGCCACTAGTGTTACCATGCAAATGAGTGATGTGAGGTGACAAGCCTAACTGTATGCCTGGCCTAGTCAAAACAATGCACAGGAATAGGGAACTAGCAAGGTACTGTAATACTCAAAAAGAGGATTGGCTGCGACATAACTACTGTATTTTAGTCTTGAAAATTATGGCTTAACTATCTATGCAAAAGATAAGGAACGACAACACTACACCTAAAACAATACTGAGGAATAGCAGCAAAATAATTTTCAGACTTACAAAAAATTACTTGTGTCAAATACTGTGCTGGTGTCGAAATTATCTTAATACACATTACTTGAAAAGCACTACTTACCTCGATAACTCTTCAATCCTGATTCTCTGCAGTGGTGATACATTCAAAACTTTTGGCCGTAGGATCACCGATGAAGGATTACGAGGTTTTCTTGCCAATGTCTCATTAAATTCAACACTGTGACTGAGGTGTGGTGGCAGGACATAAAGTTGTGTCCAAGCACAATGATAGCGTACAATGTGAGGATGGTCCAGCTGTGCCAGGGATGTCACTTCCCTCAATAAGTTGGCTTGGTCACTTTTACCATCATCTCTGCCCAAACAAAAATGTATATTATTAGTTGACAAACTTTTTTGCCTTTATGTGAGCAGAATTAGTAATGTATTTATTTATGCGAATAATTATTACATATTTGGATACAGTATTAAGAAATTACTGTGAAACAGAAATAAGATGACTGCAATTCTAAGAATTAAGAGTCAAGCATCATGCTAAATCTCAATGCAACAGGATCATGAAACGAAACGCTGCCCGAAACGCTTTGCGTAATAGTGGCTTTAGGCATTGTATGTAGTAGCTCTATCTATAAAGCCAACAAACTTTGTAAAATCTCTTTATGTATGTACCTTTGCCTAAATAAAAATTATTATAATTATTATTATAAAAATTATTATTATTATTATTATTATTATGAAAACTCTTATATAGATCAAATCCCTTGCATTCTGTTATATCAAGGTTATATTATGCTCACAGACTGCGTTATGAGCTAACCCACTCATTTAATCCCTAAAGCAGTCTTTTATGCCAAAAGCTAAAACAAATTGTCACTCCAGCAGCACAAGAGCTACACATCTCAGAACTTAGAACCCAAAAGAGAAGAGGTTAATTGTCTGGAAAATAGCCTATTGTGGAGAAACTTTGAAAGGGAGCTGAGAGATACAGTTAAGCAAATTCAGGTCTATGCAAGGCCAACAACTAGCAAGTGAACCAGTATAGAAGAATGAATGTGAATAGACTCACATAAGGAAATCCTGTTGTGGTGTAAGTGCTAGTTAGTGAGGGCATTGCTTAGTGGTCTCTGTGATGCTGAACAGCACTTGCTTAGTCTTTGAGTATACTGTACATTACTGTATATGAGTGAGTCTTCTAGATGTCATTCTGGACTGGACTTATCATTCTCCAGTGTCACCTTAGCACCAGTATGACCTAGCATGGACAATCTAAAAACATCCCTGCTGCATTAGTGCAGAGTGTTGATTTGCCTTGAGCATAATCCTACCCATGGAACCAGTAGGATTCTGTCTTAGAGAGCAACAGGGTGGGAAAGTTAGGAAAAACTGTCATAACAGAAATCTAATGTTGAGCAAACAGTGTCCGAGTTGATTAAAACAAAATGCATGATTAAAAAAAAATAAAAAATGATGGGGAAAGTACAATTAACTCACTTCACAGGAATAATTTTAATGGCGTAAAAACGCCCGTCTAGTCTATGTTCGGCCTTGACAACCACACCAAAGCCTCCTTTTCCCAAAATCTCCACTTCCGTAAATTCTCTAGTGTAGCGATCATCCAGGAGATGCCGATAAGAGTTTGTCATCATAAGTTGATTTCGTGGAGATGCTGGAAGTCGTAGCCTGTGTCAAGAAATTAACACAGTACTGTATAAACAATTAATTGTTACTTCTGGAATAATTTACTATCCTACCCTAATACATATGCAAGAGGTGACAAATGAAATGTTAAAGAAGCGGATGATGGTAGATTGGTGACAAAAGTGAATTAAATTAAATTCAAAAGTTAATTCTTAAATTCATGTGAATTTAAGAATTAAAAGGAGAGGACAGTCAAAAATAAAATGGCCATACATGGTCAGTATGAAGAAGCATAGGTGATCCATATGCAGATGAGGAGCCACAATAACGTGGCTAAAAAATGTTGACCTAACCACACACTAGAAAGTGAAGAGACGACGACGTTTCGGTCCATCTTGGACCATTATCAAGTCGATTATCACAATCGACTTGATAATGGTCTAGGACGGACCGAAACGTCGTCGTCTCTCCACTTTCTAGCGTGTGGTTTGGTCAGCATAGGTGATAAAAGGCAAGGCTGAGTAGAAGTGATTTTAAGGAGTGAATACATTTGTATTTTACAGGACAGTTCACGAGGAGTATTGTACACCTAGTCTTACTAAATGATGGGGAGCTGTTCTTGATGACTGTTGGGGTTTGACGGTGATATTTTTTCAGTGAATCTACACTGTAGTGAAAAGATTCAAGAAATAAACAAGCAATAACTGACTTTTGTAAATATTCCCAACATTTCTCATTACTGAACATTATTTCCCTTATTCTTCATGACAGTGGGAAATTGGGAAATAATAATGAAAGAAATTAATGAATGAATGTCTTTTTGAGTATAATTCCCATTGTTAGGGACAGAAAGCCTGTATTTCGGCTAATTGATATTCCCGAAGACTAACTATTGACTTTCCCCAAGATGCAACCCACAACAATTGTCTACTTTCTGGGTACCTAATTTACTGCTAGATGAATAGAGGAATCAGACGAAAGGAAACGTGTGCAACCATTTCTGTCCTGCCCGGGGATTGAAACTGGATTCTGCGGTTTTTAGCCGAGAACATAGATCACTGTATTATGGGACTCATCTGTTTCCTACGGGCAGATGTATCTCCACCCCATGAAGAATGATGGATGATGATTAATGATGAATGATGAAAACTTCTAATACTTGAACTATGACTGGACCAACTTGTCTTTGCTCGAGATCGCCAAGTGGCAAAAAACAAACAAAAATCATAATTTGCTCTAATTTTACGGTTACCGTAACCTTTTCAGCATTATTATCTTACTTTTGTCCACATTCACTTTTGTGGTCATCTCTCACATAAATATCAAGAGGGAAGTACAGAACAATAATATATATAATAAAGTACTAACAATTAAAGTCACATTATTTTAATAAAAATCACACATACCGTAATATGGAAATGCACTTGCTAGATAAAGCTGACTAAGGTGCTTATTTAAAATTTAAAAATAATAACGAGGAGGTTAATAAAACTACTAACCTGGGAAGAACCAAGTTTGCAGAGTTTACTGGAATTTGACTTTGAGCATTTTCAAACAATTTTTCAAACTGTTTTATAAGGTTAGCCTGAAAATCTTGAAGCTCGGGAAAGGCATGCAGTGGTAAATATAGAGATGAGTTACACTGTCCAATCACCGTACACAAGGCTGAAAGGTGGGATATAAATCCAGGTTAGTGTATTACTGCCTTTGGTAAGTAAGCCAACATGGTAAGCTCACTAAAAGTCTATGGAACTGCATGGGATATGAAGTTGAACTTGATGAATTATGAATTCAAAGAACTTTATTAATAAGAAGTCACTTGGGACAGGGCCTCAACACTATTAAATGATTGCCTCTAAATAGTGGGATCAAGCCCTTCTAATGTACAGCATAATTAAGTGATTTCATTATGTTCATGAGACTTGGTACAAAGTTTCTCCTTAACCTTTAAGTGATTCCAATTGCTATCTGTGATTACCTCCTGTGCTCCAACCACCAGATGCAATTTTTTACATTAGTGTGAGAACTAATTTTTTGTCATGTACACCACAACCTAGGACCTGTAATTAGCTATAGTATTTAAAGGTTAAAGCAAGATCTAGCACATTCAGGGCAGGACGAGACTCCACATCATCACAGTGAGGAACTTTTCAAAATGTCCCTGCAGGGTTACACTAGTGTTAAGAGACAAGATAATACTTACCCAGCCCTGAATGACCTCCAGAGGCTTCATTCCAACAAAGTCAAAGCCTTTCATAGTGCTTCTGTACATTACAAACTGGCTGTTACCCATGACAGATGGGCATGTCATCTGTCATCACCAAATGACAACCAACGCCTCCGCATTAAACATAATCACATTATTTCTTACAGGGCTCAGTTCAGTGGAGTGCAGTAAAATGCAAGAATTGAATGAAATGGCTTATGTTAACCTCTGAAACTTCTTGTTTCAATGTGCAGTGGGCTCATGCTATAAACTGATACTTTTTGTTAGCATATATGAATCTATCATGTATTATATATCTGAACTTTAACCAACTAGCTCACATCGTTCTGTTTCGGTGTACATCAAATGTGGTTTTTATCATTCACAAGCACCCCAAAGTGCAAGGATGCTGTAGTCCTTTTAACACTGGTTATGAATATATCCTGCCTAACTGTAAAATAGTTCTATAGAAGTGCAGCGGATCAAGCAGTTCCTACAAGTGCAATGTCACCTCCAAATTGATAGACTGCAAGCTCAGAAATTGTAATAGAAATTTCTGGTGTTTAATTAAATTGCTGTATATACTACAATTTAGATCATTCTAAAACTACAACACTTTCCTGAAAAGCAATTGACTAACCTTTAAATAACACTTCTCTACTAGCGGGATCAGCTTCACGTTCTCGACAGAGCAGCTTAACCAAAATCTCAATGACTGTACTATTGTTAACAATTCCACGGCTAATACTGGGCAGAAGGTCTCCTGGAATGGCGGCATCACCACCCTGACCTAGAAGACGATTAGTGCTTTCATCATTTTACAAAATGTTATAAGGGATATTCTTAAAAATTAATAATTTCTTCTTAAAATATACAAAAATATACACTAGAGAAAATGTTTAGCAATTAGTCCTGTCTCAGCTCACTATGTAATAAGCAACCCGTTCTCGCAAATTCGTAAAGTCAATATTGACTTATTAAATAAGTGCATAGGTGACATACTAAACATAATAGATACCCTTAAAAAGCTTCATAGAAAACACCGACCTTACCTAACCTTGTTAGTATGTTAAGATAAGCATCTTATAGCTTCATAATTACAATTGTTACTTAACCTATTATTGGTATAGGTTAAGTAATAATTGTAATTACGAAGCAATAAGATGCTAATCTTAACATACTAACAAGGTTAGGTAAGGTCGGTGTTTTCTATGAAGCTTTTTAAGGGTATCTATTATGTCTAGTATATCACCTATGCACGTAGTTAATAAGTCAATATTGACTTTACGAATTTGCGAGAACGGGTTGGTAATAAGTTTAGATTAAGATACATGAGAAAACATACAATAAGTAAGATATTTAACATCATACTAGTATCTTGTCAGAGTACTGTATTTATTATTGTCAATTTGATGCATTTAAGAAACTTTAACCAGCAAATTTACAATAGAAAATTGTGGGCTATAAATCCAGTTTATCATACTAGAGTGAACTCAAATCTGACTAAGAGCTCATTATTTGAGTGTCAGTCACCAGAATTTTTTGTATTACAGTATTTAATAGGAGAATTCCATGTGTAAGGGAGAATCCTAGAGATCCAGAAGCTGACTTAAGCAGCTTCCTGCTGCGAGGGCCACTTATTCTATGGAGCTTATGATAATTTTATGATTTTCCTTAATCATCAATTACCTTTCACATCTCGGTTGCAACACACTACAACTGGTTTAATATTTCACTCAATGGGTTGAAAATTTCAAGAGGCTGATATTCGTATTATCATTGCAGCGACAATAACAACAGGCAATATTCCAATGGAATGAGGAAATATCAGTTTAACCTAATAAACCTAATTAAACCTAGCCTCCCTAGACAGAAGACTACATACCATAAGAATATCAGAGCAACCATTTTATCCATAAGCATATTTAACATTGGATAAGAAAGTGTCACGTCAGGGAGAGTACCTTTGCTCTTGGGGGGCCTTCACGTTTCTACTACTAAACTTACTTAACCTCACACACTTCTTCTTTTCATTATTATTTTGATCCCAGCATTTAATCTCATGTACACTTGTTAGCTACTTTACTGTGGCTTATTTCACACATGGCGCTGCTTCACTAAACACTCAAATTCATAATACTTTGTTTTAGTTTCCTTATAAAGAAATCTACACTTTAGTCAAAGTTTCACAGCTAAGATTATAAACTTTGCTCAGTTTCTGTGCATATAATCTATGGTAATACAAAGACTGGGCTTGCAAAACTGAACCATACAACTTTCTTGAACTGTATCTCTTTAAATATGTTATATTATATGCAAGGAGTCACAGATTCTCAACAGAGATTAACTGGTATTACAATTTTAAATGTAGTTTCAATAAGAACTTACTTATTGAGCTGTAAGAGTTAGACATTATAAAAGAATGAGTTCTTGATGCAGAGAATGTCTATACGAGCTCTTGGTGTTGAGACTGTTTACAGGACAACTGAGCTGAACGTTCACCACGTGCACTACATCAAGACCCGGATGTAAAGTTGCCAACATTCAGTAACTTATCAAACTCATTACTGCTTCAATTTAATTTCCACTTCTATCTATTTATAAATATAATGTTTCCAATTTTACCCATCACAAATTAAAAGTATGAAAAATATGATGGAACTAGAAACATGCACAAATATCAAATACAGTAATCATAACCACAGCCTACTCACCTAGTTGTACTAGGAGAGTACAACTAGGTTAGCACATCCTTGCCCTTGATACAGGATGTTTGTTATCAGTAGAAAAATCTCCACTTTTAATGATCACAGCTTCAATCTTATGTGAGGCAGTACTATATTACTTACCGTCTTCTCTAAACTTTCATTGTCAGTGCTGTAATCTGAAATGTAATGGGATCTTGTTTAACTTATTATTAGTTTTAATAAAATGACCTTCCCTGTCTATTTTCTTTAATTCTTTTCTACACGTTCAGAGTGTTTTCATATCTGTGTGTTTAGTATTCATTTGCATGTGTACTTGCCTTGTTCTAGTTGCCTAAATGTACTTGTCTAGTTGTATATGAGTCTGGAACTCTGGGATATTTCTAGCAAGGTTAACACCAATTGATGAAAAGAGGCTATTATATTCCGTTGCAGTTTCTAAATCCAATACCAGTGCATTACCATCTTCCGAGTTTAATCTGCTTGTTATTTGTGTTATTTATACACTAGGGTATTTCAGATGGTTTTTCATGTGTTTTTCATGGTTCCTTTTGCTTCTTTAAATCTGTTTATTATTATTAAATCTATTTTTATTATATTGGCAAGTGTTGAAAAGTATATTTTCTTTTTACTAGTTTTTTTGTAACTCTTCCAATCCTATGTTTTTTTTATATTCATGTTTCATGTTAATTGCTTTAAATATGCCATTTGAGAGTCAGGGGTTATTTAATCTTCTGGCAGTTACTTGATGAGACGAGGAAAATTTTGGTTGGTCAAAAATCTGGGTTTTTATCATTTTAATTAATATATAAACAGTGCAAGTTTAAATTGATATAGAAATAAGTTGGTCCATATTAAAGAATTTGTTTTTTAAACCTTCCCAGGTTTCTTAAACTAAAAAAATCCACCTGGGTGGGTAAATGGGTTGCTACCATGACAACCCTGATATACTGTACAGTATATCCATCCCAATATGTCCATCCTATTATATCCATCCCGAAATATCCATCTCAACACATTCCCTCTCAATATACAATCCATCCTCCTGTTTAGATGGTGCTTTTTGTAACTACAGTATGTGTACCATCGTACATACATAGAAATAATGGACAATTAGATAGTAGAATTTGATACTACAGTATTCACTTTATAGTCTGAAAAAAAAAAAGCTAAAAACCAAACTTAAACATTCCTAGGCCTAGTATAGCACATATATGTACTATATTAGGCCTCAGATACAGTAGCATGTATTAGGCCTAAGAAGGTTAGGTTAAGTTTTCTTTGCAATATCAATACAGATGCTTTTCCGGTTTGTCCAAATTCAACATATTTGTACTGATTTCTACCTTCTCATTGCATTTTACATCAATATATATGTATGATGGTCCTCATTGTTGCTATAAGTACTACCTAAACTGGAGGATGGGCTAAAATATATCTAAATATGTCAATATAGTATATCTTCTTCTCCCTCCTTAACTTTGTGGATGTGTTTTCACAACTCAAGAAGAATGAAGATACTGTACTTTATTCGTTTCCTAGTAAACATTAAGCACTAGCTAAAGTCTATGCTATCTACTGTAATAAAACAATAATTACTTTTTAACAATGCTCACCTTGCATAGGTGAAAATGATGTGATAGGTTGAAGTAGGGGCAAGTCATTATGCCAATTGAATTGAGGAGTGCCTCTATGGTTATTGTGTGTGTCAAATGCAGTAGCAGAACTGGAACCAGATGGAGAATGTAAATGGTCTGTAACTTGTGTCTGTAGTGGCGTGCCTGCATTACTTGCCAGCCCACGTCTAGGTCTGTATCTTCTCTTTTTCATCGCTAAACCCAAGTCCTGAGTAAGGAAACTAAATTATCAAGGAAAAATGTATAATGACAACAGAAATTTCATTATTTTATTCATTACAGTTATTATAGGAAACTGTCATTGCCCTTGAAATACTCTTCTAGTGCAGACAATAAGTCACAATAACGTGGCTGCAAATTAGATACCCAACCCACACAGCTGAAAATAGTGAAGATTATCAAGATGACTTGATAACGGTCCAGCATGGACCAAAACACTGTCACTCCCTTTATTTTCAGATGTGTGAGTTCGGTGCCTTCCTATGATGTGACCGTGACAAATATTTTACTGTGACCCTGCTAATACAGTACAAAATACAGTATGCATATTTGACACCATCGGTCATTACTGCTTATCTATAATATCAGGATCGTATTGGTTACACTGTATGACTTACTGACAACTTTATGTTTGAAATTAAACTATGTTTACAATCGCTATAGGTAAACAACATAGACCCCCGTACCCTTACAAGAGGTAGGCAGAAGGCTGTTTTAGACAAACTTTAATAAATATATAGTACAAGGGGAAAGCACTAAGCCATTATGACTAAATAGCACTTGGAAGGGGGTTAGAATAAGGATTTGGGAAGAGACGGGGAAAAGGAATGGTGCCCAACCACTTGGACGGTCAGGGATTGAACGTCGACCTGCATGAAGTTCAACCGTCGCTCTACTGTCCAGCCCAAGTGGTTGGAGCCACATTGTAGGACAGAAAACAGGAGATGCTTTGTCACTCACAGGGTTATATACCCTTGGAACTGCCTACCCACCAAAGCCATAAATGCCAAAATTTTGCTGAATTTTAAAATCCAGCGTGATAAAATTATCTGACACAAAGGGGGAACCTTTGACAAGCAGCCGGGTTCCTGTCCTCACCAAGGACACTGGAGATATATTAGCCCTAAGGTAAATTCAGGTAAATACTTTAAGACTGGAGACTCCCTTAAGATTCCATGTATGTCTCACACATTAGTATTCCTTAATACATACCTCCATATGTCGTTCAGTAATTACCTAAGTGTAGTTACAGGATGAGAGCTACGCTCGTGGTGTCCCGTCTTCCCAGCACTTTGTCATATAACGCTTTCAAACCACTGACGGTCTTGGCCTCCACCACCTTCTCACCTAACTTGTTCCAACCATCTACCACTCAGTTAAAAGTTAATTTTCTTGCATTTCTTCACAGTGGTGACTCTTCATTCTTCTTTGGTATATGTGTAGTTTACATTAAAGGTATCTCAGTAGTACAGTTGTACATGTTTTCTTTCCTCTAATGCCTCTGTTCACCAAGAAGTACCTAGGTACCCAAGGGTTAGCCAACTGTTGTGGGGCAGCATCCTGGGGTCAAGAGTTCCACCTTGGGCAGGGGCTTTGATACAACCCTAACGTACACATATACAGTATATACAAAGACTGCCTGTCCCCAACAAGGAATTATATTCTTCTGCTTCTTGAAGGTAAGTGGAGTTTGCCTGAAGGGTTTACCTTCCTCCCTGAGTGCAGAAGGAAGTGAGAGAGTGAGGCTGGTGGCGTGGTGCTCCCCAGGCGCCAGTGTGTGTGTGTTTACCTCCATCAGCTGTGTAGTTATGGGTTCTTTACATAACACTACCTCCTTATAATTAATCATATTATACATGTGTGTAAGAGCCGCCCGTTGCTGCTACATTTATCATGAGTGTTTAAGAAAGGCGAGGAGTGAGGGTGACATGACTGAGGTCAATATTAGCACATTGTCTGTCAGCACCTGACACTTGAGTGACACCTAACACTTGATTGCAATTTAAACAAGTTAACAATTATACAAAAGACAATTAAATATAGCTTTGTTTACATAGGATTGTTGATCTATGCAACAAATTACTAAGTAATGATATAGACGTGGGGTCGTTGGATTGTTTCAGGTGAAACAATGACATGAGATTATTTACCTGAAAAGCTGCCTCGCAGGTGCTAATAAAGTTCATTTATTCATGTGTGTGTACTAATAATCCCAGTTAGGAGGCCTTAATACAACTGAGTGTATCTTAGCTAGCCACGTATCTAGTTAGCTTCCAATAAAATCCTATCATGGGTCGAGTTGATAGGAGGTTAATATATGATTATTGGTGCCATCTGCAGCCACTTTATCACGTAGATATTACAATTACTTATGCTATGAGCGGTAGCAGGAAGAGATTACCTTGAGGGTAAGTTATGATATAACTATACAATAGTGTGGCGAGGCAGCTGTGGTTCTCACACCTCGTAAAGCAGCATCAATTACGGAGCACATTTTTCTCAACACTTTATTACTCAATATATATACATCTTGAGGTGTATTCTGCTTAATACTCTATGTATATACTCTAGAAGTAAACTTTTTGCTCTAAAATATGTTCAGGAATAAAGTATGTTTGCTGATTTTTTAGTAATTAAGGTCTTAATAACCCTGCAAATATATAAGCCTCAAGCCAAGCCAAAACCAACTTATAGCGATTAAATATTTTAGATTTGGGTATGAGTTAAGTTACATTTAGGTTACATTTAGTGTACTAATGCGTTGTTAGTTAGTGTTTGGCCTGTAGTGATGTAGGAAATGTATATGTTTATCTCTCAGAATGTTCGGTAATACGTTTTATTGTTTGTGATGTATATCTATGTATGTATTAACACGATGTACTGAATGTGGTGAGAATAGCTTGAGCTACCTCATCCCTTTGTGTGTATTTTACCTCAATAAACTTATTTCAATTTCAATGTAGTGATGTGTGGTGAAGGTGAAATTGAAATTGAAATAAGTTTATTGAGGTAAAATACACACAAAGGGATGAGGTAGCTCAAGCTATTCTCACCCCGTTCAGTACATCGTGTTAATACATACATATAAACACATCACAAACAATAAACATATTACCAAACATTGTGAGAGATAAACATTTACATTGCCTCGTAGTGGAGGTGAGGGTTGAGGCTGACATGGCGTCAGTGGGGCGCCGCAAGCCACACCATCATCATGGCAGACCGTGAGGCTCTCGTCGCACAATTTACAGCTGTGTCTGGCGTGGATAGTGAGCGGGCCAGGTTCTTCCTAGAGTCAGCAGCATGGAATCTGGAGGTGAGAAAGTTGGTGGTTATGTTGAGTGTCATTAATGTTTTATGGGGACAATGTTTACCAGGAGTTTTGACATTTTTTTGTTTTTATATATTCGGTGTTAATATTTGTGTTGTAAAGCTGTCATGACTTCAAGGATTGTTACGGTGTGTTTAACCTTTCGTGGAAAGGCTAAAACGATTAGGAAATGAAGCATAGGTTAAGCTGTCGCATTGCGTCACAACTGCAATGTCACATGTTATTGTTGATGTTATGTTTACTGATCTACATGCAGGACGGACTCCTAGTTCAACTTTGACCACAACCATAGTCTGTGGTGCAAATTTGCCCATTGGGGTCTTGATACGGCAGTCAGATATTCCAATTCAACGATCCGGAGTGTTACGATACCTGACACACTTACTGCCTCTGGGGTCACAGGGAAGTAATAGTTTTTTTTCATTTTATGGGTGGTTCTTCGGGCAGAGGAACGGTGTCCGGCACTGGTGTGGCGGAGAGGTGGCAGGTGTTGGTTGGCAAGTAATGTGCCCTCGGTGCATGGTGGGCAGCTGGCTCTTACTCTATTGTTGGTTGCTGGAAGACGTTTGTGAATTTGGCCATTTGGATGTGCGTTTAGGAGGAACCATAGCTTGCCTCCCGTAGGGACTCCTAAGTGGGGGTTCCCCAAACTATGTGTTTATTCACCTCAGTTTTACCCATGCATCAGAGAGGTTTACATGTGCTGTTAAAGAGTATCGTGCTGTTTATATTAACTCTACCCATCTCGACTACATCTAACCTAAGCTAATGCAGCTTAATCTAATAACGAATATGGTTTGAGTAATTAGAAAGCAAGTGTTGACAAATGTTTGTTATGTGGATGATGTGACTGCACACACACGTCTATTCTTCTTTGGACTACCCTTGACATGACAGTAAACTTGCACAATAGTAGTTAACAATATATATTTGATATAGGTTACAGTTTGCACAGTCGAGATACAGTGGGTCATAGGGTGGGGCTGGCGGCAGTTGTGTCCGTAGGGTAGCGTTGACGTCCATAGGACAGGGGTGGTGGCGATGGCATCCATAGGGCGGGGCTGGCGGCGGTGGCATCCGTAGGGCAGGGTTGGCGCCGATGGCGTCCGTAGGGCGGGGTTGGTGGCAGTGGCGTCCATAGGGCGGGGCTGGCAGTGGTGGCAACGGCAGCAGCGTCGGTATGGTGGATCTGCCGGTGAGATCCATCAAAGCACTCCATGTAATCATTCCGTTTGCAATGACATACGTGTATGAATATAGATTCGGTTCTCTTTAGTCAACCGAGACAAAATCTAGGAATTGCCTTAATCCACAGGTAAACTTGCAGATAGCAATCAGCATGACAGTTCCACATTCTGACAAAATCATGAATGAAAATCAGGAACGAAGAATTCACTGAATTTTATGTTAACAATTGGGATTGATTTTACCATTTACAATTTTTTCTAGTGGCTCAATTTATATTGACATTTTATGCACTGAGTTAAAAACTTTAAATAAGTTCAATTTGTTCACCTGCAGTACTGTATGTGGTTAAACAATTAGAAGTTTGACTTCATCTTCAAATGTGATATTACTTTTGTAGTGGGTGCAACATATATTGAACATTTTCTAGGGAGTGCAGAGCATAGAAAAGGTTGGAAGCCACTGACCCATACAAGTTCTGGAAGAGATTAGTCTATATTTTGGAGGTTACACTGCACAGTGTATATTTTCATTATTGACAGTTCTACTGTTGTTTAATGCATTTTTTTTTCATTTGGCATCAGTCTGCACTTAGCAGTTTTTACGAAGAGGGTGATGAGGAGGCAGCCAGTGAATCCTTAGGTGACCGTCCAGAAGCTGAGGGAGCACCCAGTGCACCGCAGAGGCCATCATCACAACCTACACCCCTCCAGAGGTACTTAATCTTACTATTACTAATAGTCTTGTGTGGCTCTTATTGCTTGAAAGATGCAAGATTAAAAGTCAAGTGTGGAATGCGTGTCCAGTTTTGTTCTTGTAAAAATTTTAAATAATACTGTACATAGAGTATTTGGAATAGCTACAGTGGGGGGAGACATGAAGAGAGTGGTAGTGGTCATTTACAACCAACAACCAATCATCAGGAAGCCTGAAAGTAATGTAAAAGGCAAGCCACAATGCCTTGGGCATTCAGGGTTAAAACTTTAATGCTTGAAGATTATAAGCAAGTAAGGCTAGGGGAAATTAGTTTGAAATAGTGTATGTTTGGCATATGTGAGAAATGTATAACTAAAATATTTTCTTTGTTTCATGTAAACTATAGAGCAGTGATCAACATGGATCATGACAGTGACAGCAGTGGCGAGGAAGATGGCCAGGCATTTTATGCTGGTGGTTCAGAGCATTCTGGCCAGCAGGTTCTGGGTCCACCCAAGAAGAAATCTGATGTTGTCGCCAAATTATTTAAATCTGCAAAAGAGTGAGTGCTACTTATGTGTGTTAATTTATTTATAAATTAATTCTGCATCTCTTGCCTTTTCTTTTATAACCTGTATACTGTATATATCTGTATAACTTGTATACTTCTAAATATATAAAGTATTGCCAACTTTGTTTCAGACATGGGGCAGAGGTTCTAGAAAGTGGACGGGAAGGGAAGAAACCCAAGAAAATTACCTTTGGTGGTACTGGGTATCGTCTGGGCGAAACTACTGATGACACCCAGGGTAAGAATTGGACAAATTCCAAAGGAATGTAACCATTACCCTGTATTTATATACAAATCTTGTAGCATTGTGTGAATTAATAATAGTGGCATAATTGAAAATACGGTATTGGGGAAATGAAACGGTAGTTTGAGTCTGCCCCTTGTTTGCTTCCTTAGCCAGGGCCTGGGTCCACTTAGGACACCATTCATGTGCCAAGCTCTAAGCAACCTTTATCCCTCCATGACAAGTCATTTTATAAAGGATTTTCCTGTGTAGTTTAGTCAGGTAGATAGTGGAAAGTTTGTTTTATTAATGTAAAAAGAGTGCAAGCAAATAGCAAGTATGACTTGAATTGGTAATGCATCAGTGAAGGTGAAATATGGGGGAGCTGCCAGTATTGATGAGGTTTAGACAAATTGTGTATAGATGGGATAATAAAGGTGGTATAGTTAAGTAAACTATGAGAGTCTTGTGTGTGTAGACACTAGTTGTTATGGTGGTGTTGGAGAGAGAAGAGAACCATGTGTCAATTTACAATTTTATAGCAACTATATTAAGAGTAATATAGTTGTTCCAAAGTTCCTCCAAAAGTCTAAAAAGGGGGGGGAGCATTTCTTATGAGCTAACAGCCTGATTTTTTTTTACTCCCCCCCCCCCTCACACACACAAAAGTCAGTAATGGGTAATGATGATGTGGCTAAACTATACAAGTAACATTTCTATATATTTCAGTAATACCAGACAGTTCAAAGAGAGAAGATCGACCACGTGATGTTACACTGAAGATGTGGCGGACTGGTTTCACTGTGGATGATGGGCCTCTTCAAGCTTATGATGACCCAGCAAATGCAGAGTTCTTGAATTCCATTAGGAGAAGGTGAATGCTTCTGTTATTACTTTAAGGAGTGAGGATAGTATAATAATAATTCATTGTGTTTGGGGGGATAGGCAGCCAGTGTATATACTGTATGCACGGTAGGTTTATGTTGACCTTCCCCAAAAGGTCAAACTATTTAACCCTCTCTAGGATGCAATCCCACAACAAGTGAATCTTTGGTACACATTTACTGCTAGGTGAACAGGGGCATTGGGTAATAGTTAGGAAACATACCCAACCATTTCTGTCCCGTCCAGGATTTGAATCTGGAATTCTCAATTGCAAGTCTAGAACGAACCCAACTGTACTGTGGTACTATGCAGTCACATAAATAACATACTCCTCGGGGACAAGACCATACAAATTTATATATAAAAAGGATTTTACCATACTTCAAAATACAGCAGGCCATTGACCAATGTGTAAATGTAGAGTATGGGTATAGAGTATGTGGCTGGCAATGTCTTGGTCATAGGTTCGCACCACCTCTCAGCCATAGTGGATTTTCTCATGAAAATGTTATCTTTTGTTCCCTGAATATGTACGATTGATAAAAAATTGGTCCTGGGCAAAACTATCATTCTTATTTTACTATAGGCCTTGGTACTTCTAGTGTATATTGTTTCTCACATTAATAAACATGGAATATTTCTTTATAAATGGCATGAATAGGTTGGATTTTATACAATTATAGATGGTTGAGGGAGGAGGAACACCCAGGCAGCAGTCTCACTTCCTCCCCACTACATGCTTTACATCAATGAGCTTTAACAAATGTTATTTATTGGGTCACTTTTGTGTAGACTGTGTGTGATATACACAGTGACAAGGAACGCCGAGTTGTCAGGCCTGGGCAACGAGTGTGTACATAGTTTGAGTCAGGGTAGTACACTAGTATTAAATAGTAATACTTCTGATAGTAGTATGTACTACTTAGTATATAGTATTTTTAAGAATGTCTATATTTTGTAGGAACCATATGTTGGCTAACCAACTACAGTATTGTATTCTTATTGTAGTAGCTTTATATAAGAATTGGAGAACAAGACAGTATCAGGGACAACTAACAGTCAATTTACCTCAATGCTTAAAGATTTGGATACTTTTCCTAAACCACATCAAAATATGATCATAAATATTAGAACATTCCAGTTTAGCAAACATAGGTGTCTTGTCATTTTGTTCCCCATGTATGTGTGCATGAGCACATCTGCAGCGAAATTGTTTACTTCCACTTGCAGATTCAAGTAACTTCATTTATTGTTACAGTGAAGTGCCCCTAGAGCTGATTCGAGAGGCAAGAGGTGGGGAGGTGTATATTAATATGGCTGACCACCGCCATGAAGATTATGCTCCATCTAAATCAGCTCGGAAGGCATTTACTGGTTCTGGACACACATTAGGCAGGTATGATACTACGTATTTAGTTTTAAGTTAAAAGGGCATGATAGCGGAATATTGTGTAATGGGCAAGGTTATGGCAGCAGTGAGTCGTATACAGATCTTAAATTAAATACTGTATATGATTAGGACTTATCAAACTATATTACCATATCAGACATGTCCCCCAGAAGGCAGATTTAATTTTGGATGCTGTTTCGAGTTTCGTGATGCATATCGGTCGCATAACATATGACGCATAACTTTTGTGTGTAGAAGCTGTTAATAATGTAACTTGCCCTATCTTAATGTCTAAGTGTCCTAGATAAAAGTTTTAAAAAGTTAATCATTATTGCAATTCTAGCCCAGCACCCATGGTGGTAGGCCAAGAAACCCAACCTACTGGAGCAGTTGGTGGAGCAAGCAAGACTACTGCTCTTGTAGGAGCCTCCTCACCTCTTAAGACATTAGAGCACACTGCTCAAGAAAATCTAAGGGTTAACATGACAAAGCCCGTCACAAACATTCAGGTATGTACTTAATAACAGCTTTGTATCAGAATTCATTTGATGTTCTTTGGGATCTGCCCTTTTAATAGATGGTGACCATGATAGACTCATCTAAGTATTCTTACCATGTAATAGCTTTAAATATTTATAAAGGATGCTGCATGTGTAATATGTTTTAAAAGAGTTCTGTATTCAAACTCTCATAATGCTTTCTTCTCTTTTTACTGTGTAATCTTGGTTGTCTCTTGCTGTACGCTGTTAAAGCAGTTTATCCATAGCCAAGTGTCTGACTTGACTAAAATATGACTAGCTTAATTTAACATTAATTAATTTTCCATATGAATAATTTTGATTAATTAATAATGTGAATTCTATACAGATTTTTTAACTTAGCAGGCATAACTTTATGAATATTTTAGATATGGAAAATTGATTAGCATCATCTGGTCATGATTTTTAGTACATTGTTTTATTTTCCAGATTCGTTTACCGGATGGTTCTCGTCTTGTGATAAAATTAAATCACTCGCACACTGTAGGGGATATTCGGGAATTTATAGTGACTGCTCGGCCAGCCCTTGAAACGGCAGAGTTTGCTCTTATGACCACTTTCCCATATGCAGAATTGACGAATGCCTCTCAAACTGTAGCAGAAGGAAAACTTTTAAATTCTGCTATAGTTGTAAAAACTAAATAATAACAGAGATGGATAGATAGATCAACCAGAAATGTGCACTTCTAAAATTACGATGCTTTCAGATGTGCTTATTACAATATTTTCATCCAAGGAAGAATATCTTGACAAAAATATTGACTAATTAGTGATATATTACTTAGTTAGGCTAAAAGCAAATGCTTTGTATAATTTTTTCTATAAATAATAAGGATATTGATATGCTATGAATTTGTATACAGTATATGTTTGCTTGATAATTTATATTTTGTATTCAGTAATGAAGTAGCAATAGTTTCATCAGCAATTGTTTTTTTTACCTTTATATAGTAGTGTTTCATTTCTTAGAATTGTCTTTATTGAACGTTTTCTCCATTTGTAAGCATTATTTGGCAGCCTCTACATTTAACACTGTTTGCTACAGTTTGAAATTACTGTAAGTGGAATTTTTTAATAGTATGGATTTTATTATATTTAAATGTAAAATGAAAGGTTCTGATAACCAAATTTATTTAGCAACACATGGAAATTAGAAACTGTTAAATTTACATTTTCTCTTGACTAAAATATCCCAGTTCTAGCCAAATTGAACAGGCATTATTTTCCTTTAAAACATCTGTATATTAGCATAATTCCACCTTCCAACTGTATTGTTACCACTGTTGACTTCTATATTTAAGTCTAATAATTCACTTGATTTGATAAGGAAGCAATAATTCTGTGATTATAATACACAGGATTGATATTAACCAAATAAAAAAAAAATGCGTAAATTTGCAAGTACAATGCGTACACAAGATTCTCCCATTCCGTTGTAATGAGTACATTATGTACACAAGATTGTCCCATTCCGTTGTAATAAATGTCTTCTTCACTATTTGTGTTGTGTGTTCATCATCTTGTTTATTTACTCTTTATATTCTTAATGTATGTGCATATTTAATAAAGATATTAGTTCCTAACTGGGTACAAAAATCAACGACTATTAAAATATTTGTGAACCTATGAACACAGAAGTTATTGGCACTGATAAATTCACATAGGCTGTTTGAGATAGTGACAATTGGAATATTGATAATGTCAAGTATTCCCAGGCATCTACATAGAGAAGACCTGTTACACCACCAAATAGACAAGTGATTAAGACAGTACTGTACAAGCTACTGTGTTAACAAGGACCCAACGAATCTAACTTTTGTTAGGTCAGATATACATGCTATAGTCCTTTAATTTGTTTATGCAGTATATTAGCAGCATTTTAAGAGATTAAATTAATTATTACATGAAAATAGTTGGCTTGCAGGCACCTTCTCTTATTTTGGATGTTGGTCCTTAATATATATTTCTTAATAGATATTTTTTTACCCCCCCCCCCATCCCAGATAGGCCCAGTTTTTAACACATTAAATTATACAATATTTGAATGATACAATATATAAAGGGCCCCTGACAGCTGAGTGGACAGTGCTTCGGATTCGTAGTCCTGAGGTTCCGGGTTCGATCCCCGGTGGAGGTGGAGACAAATGGGCAAAATGTTTCTTTCACCCTGATGCCCCTGTTACCTAGCAGTAAATAGGTACCTGGGAGTTAGACAGTTGCTTCCTGGGGGATGTGTAACAAAAAGGAGGCCTGGTCAAAGGCGGGGATGCTAAGCCCCGAAATCATATCGAGAAAACCTCAAGATACAATATACAGTACAGTATATAATCATACACAAATGCATTGATTTTGTGTTTTAATACATAATTGTGCACGAGAAATAGGGTACATTAATTTTGTCAAATACCTTTTTGTAGCACAGGCTCTTTATATCTCAATAGGAGTAAAATGCACCTGCACCTTGAGCTATTTCCTCTGGGTTTGAGATCTGGACAGGGAGGGTTGACTGGGAACCGATCCTTAACTGTTATATATATACACTGGCTAGAACCTCAAGTGACGAGTGCCTCAATTGGCGAGCATTTTGAGTAACGAGCGCTCAGATCGCCGACAATTCATCTCGTATGGTGAGCGCTCATTTGAATAATGACAACACCACGTGGTGGGGTCACACTGCTTCTCGCACATTCTCAGACGCCTCTGACGATGCAAATAAATTGTTTTTTTGTTTAATGATGCTGGGATATAAAGGGGTGACTACTATGATGTTGCAAAGCATTGACTTTAATGTAGGAAAAAGAAATTAAATTTTTTGAACAACAACAAATGTCAAAAAGGTTTGTTCAGTGTTCGGCAGGTAGGCTGCTCCATAATGACATTGTTCTGCCTGCCGAACACCGAACGAACTTTTTTGACATTTGTTGTTTTTCTTGTTCATAAGGAGGAAATGACAAGCAATTACAATGGAGCCTCCGTGTAAACCCTGGTTAACTCTAGTCAGCCGTACTAAAAATTATGTTTTTATTTTCTTGGGTAATCAAAAGAACATTGTTAAAATTACTTATTTTGACAACTTTATTCTAAATTAGTTTATACAGTACATCTTAATAAACAATTTTCAGCATTTTTTTGTATATTTTTACAAATATTAAAAATAAAGATAAAATTATAAATCGATAAAAAGTACATCAACAACCTAGTGCCTTCTAAATTGTTTTTTAAATTTCTCATAATGAAAGTCATCTGTTGCTTTCTCTCCATGAGGTCTCTTCGGAGCAATGGTGGAGATTTTAACACCACCTCCCACCACAGGCTCCACAATCTTCTGCACTTTCTTCTCCTTCTTCTTTGCAGGTCCAGCTTCCTCCAAGTTAACTGAATCAAAAGGTTATTAATATATTAGTAAAGTCATACATGGACTAGAATATAGCACTAGTAGTTTTTATTATTAAAAATAAATAAATTACTAATTTTATGAAATAACTAATATCTGAGCTAGCCCCTCAGCTGATCCAATACTGTACCAAAGATCTGATTCACCCAGCATTGGACCAGTTATGTCATGCCACTATTTACATTAACCTCACCATGAATGGAATAATTAAAAGCATTCTAGTCTGTGAAACTGGAGATTACCCACAATCTACTTTCCCCCTTCCTCCCCAAAAATGTGTAATTCATCTGTAAAGTCCTGCAAGAAATACTTTCCTGGATTGCTGGAGCAATGGCCTCCAACAACCAGGAGGCCTGCTAGAGGACCAGCCAAAATCATCGCAAGGTAAGATAATCCTAGAAATACACTCAATCGTCATAAAATAAATTATCAGCTTAAACATTTCTACAATGTGACAAAGGAACAACATAAGATTTAATGTACCAAATCACATCACAAAGAGAAAATAACCTCTAGGAAAGTTTCTACCTTTGTTCAATATAAGCGAGTCCCATTTAATATACAGTATATTAAATAATACCATAATTCCAAAAAGATTGATATACTGTACTGTAGTTATCTCATTTAACTGCTATAAAAACTTACATCTGTTGTGCTGCACAAAGTTAACAGCCATATTTTTGGGCACAAACTCTGAAGGTCTTTCTTTCTTCATCATGCTTTCACGCAGCAACTTCTGCTTAGCTTCTTCTGTGGCTTCAATATTGCGAATTTTGGCTTCGAGACCCAAGTCTACTTCAGGGATACCACTCAACATCTAAAATGAGTTAATTTGGCATGAACCTTATGCTACATTATACAGTATATAAATATGCAATACTCTATTATATTACAGTGGGGAAAACAGACACATCGCTTGAAATATTTTAGGGCATTACGTGATATTCAACCCATGAGATGTCCAACGGCGGTGTCAAGAGAAGCTGATATTCATTAAGGATAACTATTATACATTTAATGGTACACACTTAGGTAATTACACACACATGCTTGAATGATTAATATGTCATAAGAGATCATTCATATTTATATGAATCATCACATAATAGCACTCTCACTTCCTCAAGGGTAACAGCATCTGGTATACCTGATTGCTCAACATTTCTTCGCTCCTTTTGCTAGTAGATTCTCGTAAAATATCAGGAACGGCATGCAGTGCTGCTTCCTCTAATGTCTGGTATCGCTGTTGCTCTTCGGGGTTTTCTTCAGATTGAATACCTTTGCGCTTTGCTAGATTTTCTTCAATATACTTTTGCCTGAAAACAAATGACAATTACAATAAAGTTTTTATTTTTAAAATCTACTAAATGCATTCTGCAACCACCTTATAATTTTTTGGTTAACAAAACATAAAAATTGGAATTAAAAAGCAAATTAAATTATTAGAATACATCAGTATTAAATACAAAACAAGAAATATTTTTCTAAGCTTTTATAATCAACAGCAGTGAAGGTCAACAGTGGCAAAGGAAATTTTTTTGTCTCATTGCTTTGACAATCACTGAAAGGATTACTGAACACCTATTTTCCAAATACACGGAAAATATAATAAGACGTTCTAATACTTTCAGTGACTCTTGCAAGAAAACTGGGAACCTATGTTATATTTCCTGCCAGCATTGAAGGATGCTAAACATGTTAAGTGTTATAAAGTCTCATGTCTTGGGACTTATAATAATCTACTGTGTTGCAATATTTTATCATGCTGATGTTATTTGAGCTTCCCTTACTTCTAAATATAAAGATTTCCTAATAAATAACCAAATGTCTTAATGCTAAGAGCTTAATAATCACTCATTTTGATCATATTTAAATTTAAATGCTGAATATTTTGTACTTTACTTTTTATACTGATTTTTTTTTGTATACTCAATTTACTACACTAAAAGGTTTAATGCATGTCTTTATTGACATCACTTATGATGGGGAAATAAACTAAAGTACTGTACAGGGATGGGCAATTCTAAGCACAGGTGCCAACACTTACACCTTCCCATCCCTGAGGTAATTTGTTGGGGCATACTGCTTGAAATATATGCTATATAGCAGCCTTAAATATGGGTTAGCTGTAGCCTAGACCAAGGGTTGCAAAATCAAATACGGACCAACCTCATTGGTTCAAAACTGTGAGCTCATTAAAGGCAAATATGTTTGGAAGGTGAACCACACCAGATCTACCCTATAAGATAAATATTTGACTCACTGACATATAAAATACAGTAGTTGAAATAACAGTACTGTACATTAATGCTAATGCTTAAGTATCTTTAAGTAATTGGAACTTGGTAATCTTACATTTCTGCATCTTCATCTCTTCTGTTAGTTTCAGCAGAAAAGGATGTTCCAATTCCTGTGTCATAAGCATCATCTGTCTTCTTGGCATTCTTCACTTGGCTTAAATCCAGCATTCCTCCTGACTTGGTCTTAAATGGATCATCCTATAAAAAAACACAAAAATAATTTGGGCATGTTTCAAACTAATATCTAGTATCAGGTACTTTTTAATACAACATGAATAATTACCTAAATTCATCTACATGTATTAGAAGAAGTAATTAAGAATGTGTATTTTAAACATATACGTACAGTATTACTAATACATTTATGCTCCTTCTAGTTCCTTTGCTTAAAATCAGTCAATTACTAAGTATGTAGACATCTTTCCTGGCTTCCAAACAACATTATTTGTAATGCCTAAAGAAATCCATATACAATACTTTACAGCACCCTCACCTGGTTGATGCATACTTTTACTACAGAGGAAACTCTTCACTTGCAAGAGAGTTTGGAGGCAACACTGTTGCTCTCTGAGTAATTCTTAAAATATGTGCACATCAAGAGCATCAAGTACATATAATAACAAAACTGTGTTAATAAAGTAATAACAATGTTATCTTACATCAGCACCTTCCTTCTTCACAGTCTTCTCTCCTACCAACAGCCCCTCCGCACTGATGCCTCCTTGCCGGCGACGATACTTGCGTAATTCCCTGCTCTCCTCCAGCTTTGCCCTGTAAAAGCATATCAGAGTATGATAAAAAATATTAAACATTTGAAGTTTATTTTAATACTTTTATCTCCAGCAAGGTCTACTACTGCTCTCAACAATATAGTTATTACCACATCACCATCTTCTCCACCGCATTCATCACCCATATGTACCTGGATTGTACGTGGATGGAGTTCTGGGAAATCTTGTACTCCTTAAGTTCAGCCTGGGTCCAGGCTCAACTTGTGATAACTTGGACCAACAGGCCGTTGCTTAGAGCAGCCCACAAGCCCACATATCTACTATAGCCTGGTTGGTCTGAAACTTCTTGCAGAAAACTCTGCAATTTTTCCAAAATTCCACTTTTGTTCTGGCAATATTTCTTATACTTGCTGGGAAGATATTGAACTGTGGACCTCTGATGTTCACAGTGTTTTTGATTGTGTCTATGGCACATCTACTCTTCACTTGCTCTATTCTGCATTTCTTTCCCTTTTGTTCACTCTAGTAAGTTGTTACTGTGTAAATTTGGGACCTGGTTCTCCAGCACTTTTTCATGTACTAGCCAAATTGTGCTTGCGGGGTCGAACTTCAGCTCTTAGGTCCCCCCCCCTCAAACACTATTTATTTATTTATATACAAGAAGGTACATTGGAGGTTAACAGAGAACATAGAAATTAAGTTATTTTACATTCTAGTTAAGCCACAAACACGCAGTGTTTCCCGAAGGTTAAGTATTGACCACTTTGGTAAGACAAGTTTCACACACAACTAATATATCACCTTCAAGAGATGTCTTACTTACAGAAGTGAATCTTCTTCGTTACTTGTTTCATCGTCTTCGTCCGAGTCTTTTTTCCGTCTAAAGTTCTTACATTTCACTTTTTTGAAGGCGATCTTAGACTTGCCGAGAACAGCTTGAGAGGCGGCCATGGTGTTTATGTTGGGTGGTCCAAGGCGGCCCCCGACGCCTGCCCCGGCACCCTCCCTCCTGTGCTGGCCGGAGGGAGGGCTTCACCTCTTGGGCCCCGCCTCTCAATTCTCAGTCAACCCCTCTACAGATTCCTAAGCCTATTACGCTCTATCATATTTACATTTGAAACTGTTTATGGAGTCTACCTCCACTACATCACTGCCCAGTGATGCGGTTATGTAACTTTTAAAGGTTCAAAGAAACCTTTAAACCACTAAACAATTTGTTGGATGTTGACCCGAACAATGTTTTCAAAAGGTCAGTTTCACAAGTCACTGGCTTCCTGTCCTCATCAAGACACTAGTATGTTAGTGGACCTCAGAGGTACAGTACTCAGGATATGTATTGTAAGATCGGGGGGGGGGGGGGGGTCCAAGTCAGCCACCGACATCTGGGGTGTGGAGCCCAAACTGGCATCCGACGTCTCCTGTACTCACCTAGTTGTGCTTCCGGGGGTTGAGCTTTGGCTCTTTGGACCAACCTCTCAACCATCAATCTACTGGTGTACGGATTTCTGAGCTTCTTAAGCTCTATCATATCTAAATTTCAAACTGTGAATGGAGTCAGCCTCCACCACATCACTTCTTGTGTGTGGGGGTCCAAGCCATTCACTGACATCTACTGTGTGGGGTCCAAGATGAACTGCCAAAAATACTATACTCTTAGCCAAGATGTATTCAAGTTGTCAACATCACTTAGTCTACCAAATCTGCTACATACTCCATACAAGTGTACTGTTTGATTCATTTCATTGATAGACAGTGGGTCTCCTAGCTCCTGGTTACACTCTTCAAATTCATGAGAGTTCTTGTCTAATGACTATCCATTATGATTCCATTTGTTAAGGCAAGATTATGTTCAACATTATCTATATTCAATGCAAGCTCGGCAAGTACACCGAGTTAATCGTATTCTTGCAGACAAATATGCGAGGGGATCCACAACTGTTTGATGTTGACTCTGACCCCATTATTAAATCCAGGCTGAATTGACAATTTTTCAATACCTCCCTCCATTGGCATGACTTAGTGAAAAAAATTGAAAGTTCATCACTTTGCTGGTGCAAAATATTGACTTGCAGTAACTGCAGTCTTATCCATGGAAGGAGCATGTTCTTACCAATCAGAACTACTGAGTGGTACAGGTGAAAAAATAATACACAGTATGCATAAAATAGTACAATAAAACAGCAGTTTTATTTAATTTCTTTTAAGTTCTTTAATTCAACATTATGCAAGTTGATGGAAGACTGTGGTGGGATACACAACATTTGATGCTTCACACGTCAGACTAAGGCAAAGTTGGCATGCATAGGTAAACCTGGATGATGCAAAAACTGTTAAGAAAAATTTTAACAATTTTAAATACAATTTGCAAGTCTTTTTATTAAAAGTACAAATTCTAATAAACATTTATATGTACTATCAAATACTGTTAAAGTTGAAATATATTATTTACTAGGAATATGATAATATGTTTCAGCCAAAAAGTCTTAACTTACGTTACACCTGTATAAAATTTGAGTTGCGCTACAGTACTGTATAGTATTCTCTGTACAATAAAAATATAGACTTGCATATAAATAGCATCACTTTTCAGGCACACAAGACCTAGATGCCAGCCATAAGCACTTATCAATCAAAAATGTATTTGAGATGAAAGGTATACAATGTCAATGATACAACCCATCCAGTGGGACAGCATATATTCTAATTACAGTATATAGTGAAAAAGGCATTTGGACATAATATGGACTTTTACCAAAATATAACATGTAAAATTTAATTTTGTTTAAAATAAAACAAGCAAAGTACAAATTAGAAAAACATTTAGACAACCTAACCAATATAAAGTTCAATATAGCTCATGACTAATATTATGTACTATAATAGTCTTAAGATAGATCAAGTTTCTTGGCTTCATTTATTGTTTATTTCAACACGAGCTTTGTGTCTCTGATTTTCAAGAGGACAAAATGCCTTTGTCACTACATGCGCTGCCTTATTGCTAACTGAATTGAGATGATGCATAAACCAGTTTGTGATACAATGTGTGATGTAAGTAGCAAATGATATCCTTTGTTTGAACATGTTCAAGATCACTTTCTTGATATATACATTACACTAAAATTAGGGCATCCTATTCAGCATTTAGAATGACAAAGCAGTTTCAACAAATTTTTAAGCATAAATAAAATTGATGATAAACTCAAGAGATGAAATTAAAGTTTAAGAAGACTGCTTAACTTTTCACATTTATACTATTTAAAAATTAACGACTAGTGGTGCATGGTGCTGATAAAAAATTAAGCTGTGGCATACTCTTATCTGAGTGGTCTTTCTATTCCTCTACTAAGCAAGGGCTTGGGTTTGCACAGGAAGCTGCTTGCACTTTTGGATCCACAGTGACCAAATGTGACAAGATATTGCAAGTGTCTTGTCACACACTGAAGACAATAGAGAGAATATTAATTAATATCCACTTACTATTCACCATAAAATGACCCTTACTATAAGACAAAAAACTAAATCAAACCACTCTACACCAACAGCAAGTGATCATTGGAAATCACAAGAATAGGCAATTATTGTTCTATTAATTAGCAACTCATCAAAGCACCACGAAGCACAAGGGCCACAGAGAATAAGTAAAAAAAAAAAAAAACATGCAGAGGCATAGAGTTCCACTCCCAGCATGAATTAGAGGGATGACAGGAGGTGCAAAGTTAAGTTTGGGAGATAACAGGAGGGGATGAATTGGTTTGTTGTTTTGTAAGGTAAGTGGTTACTTGGTGATCATTTGTGATACTCTCCAATGTCAACCCCCATTCCAGCTATGAGACAGGACTATTTGTCAAGTTCCTTCTCACAGTGAGGCTACACATTGGATAGAGCCTGGCATACGATCAGTGTCGAAAATGATCCCAGGCCCTGATTCAGGGAGCAACTGAGGGGACCCAGCTAAGAAAATGCAGCTTTAAAAATGAAGGTGAGAATGACTAGAGTACAACTCGAGTCTAGCATGGAGCCAAGGCCATGTTACATAAAAGGGAACACAGTACAGCTTCAAATGTTCATGTGTCCTTCAGATCAACAGGTACAAACAATAGATCAAACTTCATTAAGCTCAGTAGCAAATGAACCTGCATTTGCTTCCTAAAATTTAATACAAGACAGACAGCAAGCGATATTACCTTGAAATTATTAATTATCAATTGGTTTTTAACCAAAAAGTGTCCTAGCAACAATTATGTGCTGTGCATGTACAAGTTAGTATAATATTAAAGTTTTAAAACATAGTTTAGTACTAGAAATCTAAAGAAACTATCTTCCAAATGTAATCCATATCCTAATGACTAAACAGCACACCTGTTACTAATGTATAAATCTTGACCTGGATTAAGTCCAGGCTATGGCTTAAGAGGAGAAACTGCAGTGCTGTTCAGAAAGAAGATTTCAGTCAACTTGTCATCTTGATATTACCCAAAATTAAGTTAGTGAGTATACCACTTTTTATGGAACATAGGACCCCACCTTTTTCTATCTTCAAAATACTATCCCTTAAAATATTACTCTACTTTCAATAGGCCAAAGATATGATATTTTATTGCCAGTGACCAAACAATGTAGTTATAGCACTAGCCATACTGGGGGCTTCTGTATTTACTTTTGATCGATACTAGAATTCCTTCATGTTAAAAAAAATATAAATCATAATATCGATATACAGTATTATATATACTTTTAAATTCAAATAAAGAATGGTTTTTACCGAACTGTACTTTATTTTAAAAAATCAGATAATTATTATAAGGACTGAGGCCAAGCAAGTGACCACTCTGTCAGTACTTGGAATGCTGCTGGTCCGGCCTGTCTTCCTATAATTTGGAAGAGCACTAGCCTGTATATACACCTGCTATGCTTCTTCATATCTAAAAGTACTGCCTGCAGTCACTATCAGACTTAATCTTAAGACAGTCATCAGTTGTCAGACACAAATGTACTTAGCATATACACAATCATCAGACAGTCAGCCATCAGCCCATGACTTTGTCAGACCCAGTCTGACAAAGTCATCATAGGGAAATGGTAATGATAATTAAACAGAAGGATAATATGAGAAACAAATGTGAGGGGCATCTTAGAAATGACACCAGCACTGTTGCTGCCGTGCCAAAGGCTGCATAATGTTACCCTGAATATTATGAAATTACACGAAGGCTTAAGATACATTATATAAACTTTCATTAAACTACTTAAATTATACTTATCAGTAAGAAGCTTAATCGTAAGTAAAATAAAACATTAAAATTATAAACATTATTTACTCCTAAAATAAAATGAACTTAATATAGATTTCATACACGCTTTCATTTAATGATGTTCTTAATTAAAATATATTAAAATCTTATTAAAGCTACATACCAAAACCTTTTAATTCCTGACCAGAGTTGAGTTACATCCTCCTATGCATGACATAATCAACTAACATGGACATCAAGGATGCTGCATCAAACTTTAACCCCTACTGAAACAAGTGATGCAAAGGAAGAGCCTTTAATTCTCTGAAAACCAATTCTGTTTATGTCACTTATAAAGATGTAACTGAGATTCTGTAATAAGCCCAGCTGCACGTGCCTCCTCAATTGCTTGATAATACTGATCAAAGTTTACATAAGGATGAATTCGCCCATCTTCATCCAGAGAGAACTGTGTAAGACTAGGATTCTGGAGTTCAGATGATTCTGTTGATGTTGTGTTAGTGTCTGTGTGATGGATGGGGCCATGGTCATCAACAGAGTTGCTCATACTCTCTAGAAAGTCCAGTCTGTGACCACGAGACCCTGGAAGCATATGTGAGCCTGGGAGGCCAGATAAGATGTCTGAATCCTCACGCAAAGTTAGATCATCACTGCTTGATGATGACGACGAATATTCCTGTAAAAATACAGTTACCATATAACTTTTAATGTACAGAACTAGACAGTTAAATCATCACTGCTTGATTATGATGAATACTCCTGAAAAATATAAAATTAGTTTTTAATGTACAAAACTGGACAAGTTTTGGCTATATTCGTACACATAAAATTCTAAGTAATGCCTTCTGAATCACCAAGAGGAAAACAAAATAAAATTGATTAGCACATTAGTAAAAAACAGAATAAAAAAAATCAAATTCAAAGGAATGATGCTGTTTGCCTTCACAATGATCCCTTCTAACCATTGCATGTGTTCACAACTTTTATAGTGAATATTTTCTTCCTGACACCTTTGTGGCTAATTTGTCTCTCTTGTTTTCCACCCCCCCCCTTAAATTTCTCTCTCTTTTTCAACAGTACCTCAAATGTGCTGTTGGTATAAGCTAAGGTGAGTTACTGAGGTGTCTTCCAAAAATAGACATTTCGTTATACTCAATACCCTGTTTTCTGTGCTTATGCGAATTATGAAAGATGTAATTCTATCCTATTTGTTCGTACATTTGAAAACTTCATTCCAGGAAAGGTATCTAGGTTTCATAAATACAGTCCTCAAAGGGTTGATGGTGAAAGCCTTAACTATAATATTACTATACTGTACAAATATAAACTCGAGTTGTTGAATTTTCTTACTTGCTGCCTGGGTCGTGGTGGATGTCTGATCAGAGGGCGTGGAGAGCTACCGCCCAGAAGAGCTGACGAGGAAGTGAGGGCACATCGCAGAGGAAAGTTGAAATTGCGGATTATGAGACTGATATCATCACGCGAAGTGACATTTCTCTGTTTGGTGAGGTAGTTGTCGTGGTGCAAGCGTACTACTTTGTCAACAACTGTTTGTGCTACACTGGTCAGAGTTGGCTGTTCCACAAACTAGAAAATATAAAAATGTTGTAAGTACAATCAATGATTATGTTCCTATTTCATTTGAAATGAAGACTAGTCAGCCACGTGCTATCAGAACCCCTCGGGACCGAGACTGAATGGATAACATGTTGTGTTTGAATTAGTCATCCTGAAAAGCTAGGGGGTGGAAAACTTTGACAATTTTGAAGCAGAAATTCAACAGTGTTTTGTTTGTATTCACCAATATATGTTCTGATCTGCATAATAACAATGTTCCATCAACTATAATCTTCAAGTTATTTAGATAGAAAAGATGGTGGTGGATGATGATAGTGTTGGGTTGACTGAAGTGGAGATTAATGGTGATGAGGATTAGAGCTGATTGCAGAGTAGAGCTGCAGATTAGAGCTGTTTACAGCCCTAATCTGTGGATTAGAAAAACAGCTCTAATCTGTGGATTAGAGCTGTTTTTATCTTAACAGACCCCTAATCAGCTCAGCAGATTGCTTTTCACCATGTACTCTAATGTACCTAATGCCATGGCAGAGCCAAAAGCTTCTGAGCCATCCATTAGTGTATGAACACTGCTGAAGTGGTGCCGTGTACGGTCACTGGGCAAACGTGTTCCATCTTTATTACACATTTTTATTCAGACTGCCTCATTTGCAGGCTTATACTATCAATCGTAATTTTATTCATAAATGTTCATTTTGTACATTTATAGTTCTTTAGTTTACACAAATTTACAGTAAATTATTTACCTAAGAGGAAGTCATAATAATAACATAACATGAAATAACATCCTACTTTTCATCACAAGTAGGATGATGAAAATACAATTTAAAGGACTAATAATCAATACTAAAAACTCATTGAGTTGGGGGGGGGGTGCAACTATATAACATTACGACTACATAGCATTTGGAAGGGGTGTGAGGACATGGAGGTAGGACATGAGAATGGTGTCCAACCACTTGGACCATCAGGAATTGAACGGTGACCTTGCACAAAGCAGGGCCCCTTGTTCTCCTGACCAGCCCACATGGATGACGCCTCAGTGAGTGAGTTTGGCTCAGAGTGACATCACCATAGTGTGCAGGGCCATTATTGTTTAGGGGGCAGTTCTGCCCCTCTCAACCTGCTGGCTGGCTGGCTAGTGGGTAATGGTGTACTGGATACAGAAAATACATTTCACTTATTAAACGCAAGAATGACTAACTTGTTCAACAACCATCTGGGCGATCTCTTTATTGACTTGCTCAGAACCAGTGGAATCTTGGTAAGACTTGTAGAGGCCATCACTCATCAGGAGGAGGAAACTGAAAAATATTTTTCTCAGTGGCACAGAAATGCACTTAAAATGTTTTGTATTTTGGGAAAATTCTAGTAAAAATATAAAATTTTACAAAGCACTTTATATGCACAGCATTTAGAACAAGCTTACAGTAAATAATTACAATATTTAAGTTACCCTTTTGGGATAAATATTATTTGACAAAGTAATACTGTAATATAATGCTAATTATTTATAAGACACAAGAGTAATGTATATTACTTGGTAAGTAAGAGAAGCGGTGTTTTAATCTTTTAACCAAACTTTAACTAACTCAACACTCCTATACACTGCAAAATTCATAAATACAGTTGAGCCTCTGTAATAAAAAAGCAGAAAGTCACGCAATACACTGGAAATTCAAAACAGTTGATACACGGAATAATCCGACCTGTGACTTGGCTCACCTGCAAGACTCATCAATGGGCATGGATGTGATGTGTGGCTCTGCTATTACTGGCTCAGCTGTGGCAGAGCTCAAAATGTCAAACTCCTTATACCCTCCCTTCATGAAGTAGTTACCGATACATCTTGTCAGCTCATGATTACCAAATTTGGCTCCTGTTATGAAACACTGGTTAAAAAGTTCAAAGTATTGTATGCATTCATAGTGGCAAACAATTTCTAAGGTCAAGTACAATTTTTGTGATTTCTATCTTGAGGTGATACTAAATTCCAGTTTGAGTTATAACATTTGTATAATATTTCTCCAAATTTTCCAAATAAACAAATGCAAATTAAATTGCAATTACATGATTTTATTACTTTGACACAGTACTCCAGTTACTCCAGTACAAGAACTAGGATAAACATCATATCTATGAAAGAATATAATATTTAATTCAGTAAAAACAAACTTAATGCCATGCACTCTCACTAAAATGTGTTAAATCATATTATTACCTTGGATTTTAGAAGCAGATAGATTAAGGGACACTAAACGCTGAACTTCATCATGGCTACTCGTCGTGTGATCAGCTGTTAGTTGCTTCACTTTCAATACTCCCAATCTAGTGGGAATGAGTCAATCATGAAAATATTACTATATCTACACGAGGGACAAATATGATGAATTACTCGAGTCAACTGTATATTAATAATACGGTATACAGTACAGCCCATTAATGAAAAAGTAATTTAATTTTACAATTACTGTTTACATTGAGAGGTAAAGTCTGACCCATAACCCACCGTAACCAATAAGAACAACAGGGCAGTAACCTGTCCCTGATCTCACGAAGCATGTTACACTAACTGCATTCTTTTCTGTCATGTTCTGCTTAGAGTTTATAGCCAGTGGGTTCTGGAGGTTGAACTGTAGCTTTGCTGAAGGTACCTGCTGAATCTTCTGCATCCATGAAGGCAGTATACTGCTCTAGGTTGCCTCTCCTCTATCTGATTCCTGTTCAGTGGTATGGTATCTTGGCTATGTTTCATCTCCCCACCTTATAACCCTTCTTTTCCATCAGTACTCTCTTAAGTCCCATGTCTTCTTTCTTAGTAGAGTAGTTAGTAAATGGTTCTTTCTTCTATTGAAACTGGCTCAATTGAGCCACCAATGGGGAATTAGCTGAGAAATAGAGCAAAGAGTGAAATTAAACACTTTCTTAGCTGATCATGTAACATCCTTTTTGTGTTAACTTTCCTGTGAATGCTTGAGTGGCTTGAGTTTCATTTCAGCTTGAGTAATTCATTTCAAATTGATCTCATTTTCTTTTCTAACAGCACCCTTTTTTGTGAAAGTTATATATTTGAACCTTCTGTTTGCAGGTGTATCCCAGTCTTCACATACATAACCACTAAAGGGTACTACCAATATGCATGAACAAACTGTAGCAGTTGTGTGTGAAATGATAGCTAAAAATATTCCTAAAATATTTCATCCACTAATCTTATAGTTTAAAATTTTGAAAGGCATAAATATATTTGGTATTATACTGCAAGTACAGTAAACCTTGTGCAAAAGTCAAGGAAGTAAGGGAAGATATAGATATACTAGCCTTGAAAACTACCCAAAATAGTTTATTTAAACAGACATATGGAGACACAGAGATGTGAAGAGACGGAGATGTAGAGACAGAAACGTTAAAAAAAAATCACAAAATCACATGTGAAACTTTTTACTTTATGCTTTACAATATTAGAAAGAACAGAGTACTCATTACCTGTCTTTCTTACAGAGAAGAGCCCTGGAATCTCCAACATTGCCAACATAGAGCATTCCTCCATGTATGAGTGCCACAACTGCTGTTGTTCCTCCTCTAATATCTTGGTCAAGCACCTGTGTTGATAAACAAAAAATTCTATTTGAATGTAATACAATACTTCTATCTGCCGGGTCCCCTTGGTGGCTTCCTGAGCTACCCGTCTAGTTAGCACAAGCCCAACTTATCCCACCAGGCCCTTTAGTCTACCGCAGACAGGATCAGAATCTCGTCCACTCAATAGTGGTATGGGAGTCTGGGGATATTAGATCAATCCCAGCCAAGAGAAAAAAAAACACCAGATAGTTAGTGGCCCTAAACAAGTAACTGCATGGAAAAACACTGGCAACCTTGACAATGATGTCAGGGGGGGTCAATGTCTCAACTTCCTTCATTAGCAAGTTCTAGCTGCAAGTGCAAATATCTATAACATCACAGTATGATTAGATTAGATTGATTCTACTTCTAATTGTCTTATCATCCTAATTTTGATATAAATTGTGTCAATGTCTTAGTATGCTAATGGTAAACCTCATCTTGTTTTTACCTTTAAAATGGTAAGTTAAATGTCACTCATTTTATGCCAAATTTTTAAATTTTATTTAGATTGCTATATACAGGTTTAATTCAGCAACTATTGTAAAGAATGAAATGTATAAATCGTTAAAATAAAGAGTCTGATTCTGGTTAGGCAATATATTAATAATATTTAATTTAAATAATAATTCACTGTGTCGGGGGACAGGAAGCTGGAGTGTATTCATACACGTTCTGGCTTTTTCGAGGTCCCCCCCCCCCAAGGCTGAATTACTGACCCTGCCCAGGATGCAACCCCATAACAAGCTGACTAACTCCTGAGTACTTACTCACTCCTAGGTGAACAGAGGCATTAGGTTAAAGGAAACGTAGCCAACCATTTCTGTTACAATGAAAGATATATGTTCAAAGTTTTTACTGTTGTCATTCTGCAAATTAAAGTAATTGTTGACAACAAAATTAATAAAACAGATAACTAACCTGCAATCTGTTGACAGTTTCAGGAAAATTTTGAGCAGCTTCAAATTGAGACATTCCATCAGGTATTTTGTCCAGCAGTTGGGTGCGTTCAGCAATTTTTGGGTCAATAGATTCAAGAAAGGCATTCTCTACAGCCAAGAAGGCATCTCTAAAGACCTCCTTTACCTCCTCCTCTGTTGTTTTTCCAGTCAATTGCTCAAAACTTAACTCGGCTGGCATTCTCTGTAATATTGTACATAAATATTAAGTTCAAAGTAAACAATGAATACTAACAAATATTGTCATGGACTCTACAAATAGTGCAGTAAGCTTGCACTTTCACTAATAGATGAGGAGCAAGAATATATACAAGTGACTATTGTATATTGTACACACATGGAGTGTGCCTCCATGTGGACCACATGAATATCATAAATTATGAAAACTTCATAATAATACTTAAATTTTACTCAATTCTTATTACCATAGGTTAAAACTTTATCTTTAATAATCACCATAAAAATTCAAATAAATTTATCTAACTTTTTTATTCGCTGCATCACTAGTTGCCTGCTCCTGTACAGATTTGTCCATTGATACACAGCCACACCACACGATCATCAATACGTGCACGTGGCAATAAACTTACAATGCCAAAAATAAAGCACCAAGTTAAATAAAAGGCCCCTTTCTAAGGTAGCACCTTGGTTGTCTCCCATTAGCTTACACACCTGTAGTCTTTGTAGAACTCAGTCACTGTGCCAGACTGAGTGGTTTCATGTCCCAAGAGTCAAATACCCATTTCAAATATCATTTACATTTAGGTTTTTTCTGTTGGACATTTTGGATTTTTTCCTGCACATGGATATTGTAAAAGCACCCTGGCATATCCAACTAGCCCAATCTCTCGATTTGCCTCAACATGCAAAATCCACCATTAAATCCACCATTAGGTGGGTAACCGAAGTTACCCACCTAGCCTAAACAACCACCATACAGAATTTTTTTTTTTTTGCGAGTCACTACTTTTAATAACATGTTGCATTTGGTATGTTGGGGTTGGTTACCCTAACATACCATGGTGATGTTCTAGTTGAAAGAATGGGTTAATTCAACATGGCCCTAGATCCATGTTGAATTAACCCTAGGGTGCCAGTGCTATTATGCAAGGAAAACTACTGAGTGAGTCTACCCAGAAAGAGTCATTAAATTTGAAAGTTATATTGTATTGTATACCTAATCAAGCCAGTGTTTAAGGAAAGTTAGGTTTTATAATATTTGTGTGTAACATGCTATCTGTATTTCCCAACTGTGCATGGGATAACAATGATTTAATGTGCATTATTAATTCTTATAAAATGTGCTAGTTGAAAGCACTAATTAATAATGCAGTAGACTGCAGTAAGCATATCTATGTTCTATGTATAATACTATATATTGGTTTGTAAAATATGATCCTGAGTAAACTATTGGTCCATATTATATACTGTACTTAATTAATATCAAAACAATTAATATTTATATGAAAATGTACCAAAAGAGCAACAATAGCATCACACAAACACTGTTTTGTTGATTTAATATTTAAAAAAATGTTTTTATCATACAACAATTAGTTCTGCTTTGTTATTGCCTTGAAAACATGAATCATCATCCTCACAGTGATAACAGTGACAAGCTAGATGTTAAGAAGTGCAAGACATTACCAACCTGCGATGCAAAGTAAGCAGCCTTTGCTCCATCATGGCCATCAAAAACCCCATAGAGGTAGGTTCCATTTTCATGGTCAAGACAGAAGTGAATGCTGCGATCCTCATACTCATGCTCAGAGCAAGGTGTGCCATCTTCACGGTACATCTGGTTTGCAGACATACCAACACCTATTAAACATCAAGTGCTGAATATAATGGAATACCTTTTTCTAGAAAGTCCCCAGTAGGTATCAAGCTAACTCTGATACTCTATCACCAAGCCTTATCCAAACATATCAGGCCAACAAGATCAGTTGTAGTGTAGTTTGCAATTTCCAACTATTAATTGGGTTTTTAGCTTTTCAATTTTTTGTCAAAGAGACGTTGATTGTTTTGTGACATTTTTCTGCTTTCTGGATGGTACCACAGCAGTTCCCCAGAGCTTTCTGCAGTGGCACCTCAGGGCTACCTCCAAATATCAGGCACCTAAAATTTCTCAGTCCACTGGGAGAAAAGGGTGTGGGGAGTGGATCTGGGTATCAAAGATCAACCAACTAAAGAGGTGAAAAACTGCTCACAAAGTGAAAAACAGCCACAAAATATATTGCACTCCCTTGCTTATAAAAAAAAAATCAACCTGTACAGGTACTGTATTCAAAAGTAGAACAATGAAGGACCTATGCAAGCGACATAGACCTTTCGGTCCATGGTGGACCGAAAGATCGTCATTTCTCCATTTACAGATGTGCGGGTTTTGAATCAAATGCAGTATCTAATTTCCTCACCATTGAATCCCATCTTGTGCTACTAACACACCTAGTACTGTACTTTATTACCTAGGCATACAACTACTGTATATTAAAAAAATTTCTTATTATCACTTTATATTAATAAATTATGTAAATTCAAATTCTGTCATTATATACCTGTCACTATTTATTTCTTATCCGAGATTGACCGCTTCGCTTTGCGATTTAAACATTCACTGCAAATTCTGTTAGCGTTTTAAGACTTGTCCAAAACACTATGCATGTTAGTGATTTTGCAATTAAGTACCACTTAAACACTAACATAAGTACTGTACTTTCAACACACAATGTACCTTTTTGCATATAAATAAAAATAAATTAATAAATAAATCTATAAAAAATAGGCTAAATTTATTGTATAATAAGTATCAATGTTAAAAAAAATATAATAGAATGTGTCTGGGAAGCTAAAGTTATAACCCAGGAGCCATAAGGACAGCTAAAAGATGTGCTTGAACACTGTCTTACAACACAGTGTAATACATTATTTTAAATTTGCATACAAGCAAACAAACAAATGGTATTTATACTTTAACAAAAGATTAAGAGAGAGAATTTGCCTCATAAAATTATAAAGATGTACCTGAGAGTTTACAGATGGGAAGGCCATCTGTCCACGTATCATTGTTTCTTATACCCGTCATCCCAAGAGATGTGGGCTTGATGGCCTGTGATGGCATTCTCTCCTACACGCACCTGCAATAAAAAAAATTTTAGAGGAAATATTAATAACCCCAAAGCTGAAACTGTATGGTCCTAGTTAAATAATTAGATCAAAACTAGGTTTTGACTAGGGTTGAAATTGGTTATGTGTTGCCAAACTAACACTTCTATAACTGTAAACAATGACAAAATGAGTAATTTTTATAAACAGATTGATATTCAATTAAATTAATCTAAAAGGAATGGTAATCTTAACCAAATGTAAAAACAAATAAGCATTTCTCTTAATTTGAGAATTGGACAAAAGAAAGAAGTGACCCTCAGTATGGGAAAATGGGGAAGAGTGAGCCTGCTGAACACAGCCAATAATGGCCACAGCCAGTGGACATTGACAACAAGACAGCAGACTGCACAAATACAGTACAGTAGCAGAAGACATTACCCCCTTCAAACAAAACTCAAGGGAGAAGTGACTTGACAAATGGAGAGTAAGAGTTACTGCAGAGACACTGCAACTATAAAAGTAAACAATGTACCCTGAATGGAAAATAAAGGCTCACTGTCCACTGGAAAATTCAAAATGTCAAAGTCTATCTGTACCAAGCATTATATCAATCCAGGTTTACCTGAGTTTACTTCTCAAATTAGGTTTTTGAGAAGTTTACTATATGGGGAAAAATCACAGCTCTACAGTCAGGAATCACAACACGTTCCCTAATGACCCTCAGGTGGAGCAGGAACGAAGCGTCTACCCAGCGTCGAGTTGAATCACGACTCCATTCGAACTTTTTAAGATACTGCACCAGGGTTTGGGGGAACAAATATATACAATAAAATAAGATCAATTCACAAACACAGTAAGGACCAACGGCATTTTTCCACCGTAGACTGACTTACCCCTCGACTCAACAAGAAATTATTACAATGACAACAACATAAAGAAATCCATTGCGAGAGTGAAGGGAGGACACTACTGGCCTTACCTCTCGCAGATCAGCTGAGAGCCAGACCAAAACACAGGTGTTCGTGAGCTCCGGATTCTCGTGGATTGTTGCATGCCAGAAACAATAACAAATCTTGCATTACACTAGTAACACTATCAAGATATTTTATTTATAAAATAAACAGAGGATTTGATTACTGTGAATAATTGTTGTTGTTAAGGGGAGCGACGGGATTAAGGCTTGTTTTTTGTTTTTTAAGATTCAGTAGCCATCAGTAGCATAACTTCCCCCACTACCATTAACAGTAAGGGTGCCGCAGGGCAGCTTCTTGGGACCTCTCCTATTTGTTATATACATCAATGATTTGCCAAATGTTTCTAACATTCTTAAACCTATATTATTTGCTGACGATATCACCTTCATCTATTCTGACCCCAACCCCCACACACTAAATAATATTTTCAACATTGTTACGGTAATCTCCTGCCTAACAGTTGAGCTTGTCTGTTCCTTTGCTGCATGTTCACCAAAGTACCTGTCTGCTTCAACATCAACAACAATACATGCCCAAAATGTATTGGTGCCTAGACAGACACCAACCCCCTCTGCCCTCCAATATCCAAGACACCAGCTCACTGGCTGTCTCCATTAATGCAAACACTCAAACAACAAGGTCGATAGGTACTTATCAACTGGGTGCCAAGTCATGTGGGAATAATAGGAAATGACATTGTAGACGAATCTGCAAAACTTGCAACTAAGAGAAGAAACGTAGACATTTACATACCACAGAGTCATACCCATCTTTGACTGCAGTCACTGTTAAATTTATTCATGTACATGACAGCCACCTCTCCACCATGATCACCTTCACATCACCTGAGGAAGCTACCTTTGCAACTAGCAACGGCTTCCGATGCTTTGGAATCGCCAGTACACCTCGACAGATCACCAAAGAATACTATTACCGGCTTCGTCAATGCTACAAGTGCTATAGCTATGAGCATTTCACAAAGAATTGTACATCTCAATACCAACAGTGCAGCAAGTGCGCCGGGAACCACCACTTCAAAAGCTGCATCGAATATCTTCACTGCCTTTTCTGTGATGGCGAACATACTGCCGTCGCCGACAACTGCAGTTGACCTGCAGTTTTCAAAATACGATACCTATCGGAAATATGATTCTTGAGTGTTATTTTCGAGCCGAATTCTGGATCATTGCTTGGACTTGGTATAGGTCGCTGTGCGCCAGACACCGTTCACGTCCACACTGGGCCAGTAACACTTGGTACAGGTCGCTGGTCGCCAGACACCGTTCACGTCCACAACAATCGGTGCACTGCAGGAAATTTAAGTCTTGATTAAAAGTTGTCTTCATGATTTGTGGCGTGTTATACACAACCAAGACATCGACGCTCGTCATAAATATAGTAAGCTTTGTGGCGCTATAGCATCAGCGGGTGTGTGGAGAGGGGCATGCCTGCAGTGTCAGGAGGGGGAGGGGCGTGCACTGCAGCATCAGCTGGGGGATATCAGGGTGGACAGGGACATAAGGGTGGACAGTCACTGTAGCATCTCCTGCTCGTGGTTGGATGCAAGGAGAGGTTGAGGCATTACAGGATAGGACATTGTTTGGTGACATCATGACGATTAGAGGCGGCTGTTTTCCCAGTTCTTTGCACTAGCCTGAATTGACACTGACCCTTTGCTTGATGGGCACCACATTGTTTTGCAGTCTGAACTGTGTATGCAAGGGGCACCACAACCCTTTCTCCAACCTGTCCTCCTAACAGAGCGTCTCATTTTGACATATACTCTACCCAAGTCCAAAAATCGTCGTACTAGAAAATGGTAGCGTCTCGCAAAATTGACATACGGTACTGTCCGGTTTTCTGTTTTGGATCCTCTGGTAGGTTAGGAGAGGGCACTTTAGTATGACAGTTTCTTGATGTTGGGAAACCTTAGGAGGACGGGCTGCTTTTCCCAGTGTTGGGAATGGTGGTTCAGGCATGGTCTTGAAGTGTTTGGTTCAAATACAGTACAGCATAGTATCTGGTGGTCTGCCCTCACACTCATGCTTTGCTTGTGTTTAATGCTTTAACTTTGAAGTTTTGATCGCAGGTCTTCTCTGGGGCTAGGTGTTCCCCTTGTTCCTCTCAGGTGTTCCTCCTCGGCCATCTCCCAAGGGCCAGCTCTGTTCTTTTTCCTGTTAAAAAATGTTGGCCGCCTCAGCCAAGGCACCGTTATGAGCAAGCTCGAGGAGCTAATGAAGAGCCCCTCAGAAAGTACCCGCTCCTACTCTGTTCCTTTCTTTATTGTGGGGATTGGCAGGAGGAAAGTGAGCATGTGTTGAGGCACCTCACGAGTAAAGTGTCAGGTTGGCAGAGACCCTCAGGTCTCTTTAGCTGCCATCTGCTGAATCAATGTTAGTGTATTTACTCCTTGGCAAATGCTAATTTGCCTTCTTTATTTTTAAGATCCTAATTTCTTTCAAGCAGTCATTTATTTGGGGCTTTTTGCCTTTTCGATATTTTTCCTGGGTTTTGGGTTGATCTCTGATCCCAAAGCTTTCTTTGCCTTGCAGAGTGAGCCAAATTCTGGTCCTGGCATTTGGTAATCAAGGGTGGATGTTTCAGAGGCTTGGAGCAATTGATTATGGCTTGGTAATACCAGCACTTAAGCTCAGGGAGCTAATTAGGTCCCACTAGAAAAGGACAATGATTGTACATATAATTATAAATATTCTATTGCATACATTACAGTATAACTTTTTAACTTCACAGTATTTAAGTATGAAAGCACAAATACAGTATGGTATATAAAATGCAGGTAGGCTAAACACGCCCCACAAATTTTAACATGAGGTTTAAAGAACATTACTTCATAGAGGCTGTTAGCCTCTTTAGGTGAAATTTGTCCCAACAAATAAAAATCATATTTGTGAATATCTAATAAAATTTTTAATCATGTGCAACAGTTTATATTAGTTTAGCTTTTGGTAGAGCTACTATCTGATCAACAAAAGGATTACTGCACGACTTGCCTTTGCCATCCTATTTATTTAACATGTTTTCAGGAGGTATGTAATAAAGGCTTCTTTTATTTTTGATTACCTCCAGGGTTAATAGCAACCTTTGTCAGTGGTCAATATTTTAGTGTTACATACACAAAGTGACAAAACTGATTTGCACTTCATAAACCATTCCAGATATTGCTGGCATTAGTTGTCATCTCGTGGACGTACACAATAATAGCTGGAGTGGCCATTGCTCGCCGACAACTTCGGGTCATCGAGTCATTTGCTGATCAACAGACTTGAAAATGGGAAAAGGAAAAGATAAGAATTTAGGTAGTGTTTCAAAAATTTATTTGTGATTCTTGAGTTGCGAGTGTTGCTCTACATGTGTAGTCATTGGAAAGTTACTTTGCATGTAGATCAAAAGGTTATTGGCTTTTACTTGGTTTTTCATGTTGTGGCCACCCTCGGCAGTGTTAGTATTTTGAATGTCCAATCTTTCTTAATTTAAAATACTGTAATTAAATGGATTTTTGCTTGCATGGCTACTTAGTGAAATTTTAGTTAACTAATTAATAACCAACTAATTTACCCAAATAAAGAGCAACATTAAACAAACATGGAGAACAATTTCACAAATATTGGGATCAAAAAAGTCTTTAAATAGCAAACCGACTCTCCTGTCTAATAACGATGGTCAGCTTTCAGCCTCTGATTCTGCTATTGAGTTCAATAGGTTCTTCTCTTCCATTGGTTCATCCCTTGCTAATGATATTCCATCTTCCAGTACTGACATTAAGGACTATCTTACAGGGAACTATCCCCAGTCTCTGTACCTAAAGCCTATTAATTCCATTGACGTCAATGAGATAATCCTTTCCCTTAAAACCAAGTCTGGTGCCCTTGAGGAGATACCAACTTTAATCTACAAAAAAGCCTCCAGATCTTTAGCCCCTGCTATTGCTTTGCTCTTCAACAAGTCACTTGAACTCCAAACCTTTCCAGATATTCTAAAAAAAGCGAGAGTAACGCCTGTCCACAAATGTGGTGATCTCACAGATGTTAACAACTACAGACCTATATCAATCCTGCCAAACTTGTCAAAAATTTTTGAAAAACTAATCTATAAGCAGCTTTACTCATATCTAGCCAAACTCAATATACTTAGCCCTTGCCAATATGGCTTCAGGCCCAAAAAAAGCACTAACGATGCACTTATTAGTATGCTTAACTCGATTCATACAGCTCTTGATAAAAATGAGTTCCCTGTTGGGTTATTTGTGGACCTGCGTAAAGCTTTCGATACTGTCAACCACCAAAACCTTCTTCTTAAATTACATCATTATGGTGTCAGAGGACACTCCCTACAATACCTCAAATCCTACCTTACTGACAGGCTCCAATGTGTTTCTGTGAATAATACAATTTCGCCCACCCTACCCATCAACATTGGTGTTCCCCAGGGCAGCATACTTGGCCCTCTCCTCTTTCTCATCTACATTAATGACCTTCCAAATGCCTCCCAACACCTCAAACCAATCCTATTTGCTGACGACACAACCTTCATTTACTCCAGTCCTGATCCCCTTGCTCTAAATGCCACAGTAAATACTGAGCTAAATAAAGTCCATCTGTGGCTAACTGCCAACAAACTCACCCTTAACATTGACAAAACTTTCTATATTCTGTTTGGCAATAAATCCTCTAATCAAATAAATCTCAAAATAAACAATACCCAAATTTGTAACAAATTAGATGGCAAATTCCTTGGCATTCTCATTGACCACAAGCTGAATTTCCAGGGACACATTCTAAACATATCAAAAAAAGTTTCAAAAACTGTGGGCATTCTTTCTAAGATCAGATATTATGTACCACGCCCTGCCCTGGTGACTCTCTATTACTCCCTTATCTATCCATATCTCAACTATGGTATTTGTGCTTGGGGCTCTACTACCCAAAATCACTTACGTCCTCTAATTACTCAACACAAAGCTGCTATTAGGACAATATCCAACTCTGGCCCCAGACATCACTCGGTACCCCTACTCAAATCTCTGAATATGTTAGACATTAAGTCACTGCACATTCACTCATGTGTATTATACATATACAAAACGCTAAATTGTAATGCCAATCCTGATCTCAAAAGCTTCATAGAAGGTTGTAACAGAACCCATGAGCACCACACCAGAAATAAATACAGTTTTGATATTCCTAGAGTACGACTTAATCAAACCAGAAATGCTCTACAAATCAAGGGGCCCAGGATGTGGAATGACCTTCCCAACCATGTTAAAGACAGTACCTCTCTCAACCAGTTTAAGTTAAAAACGAAGCTATACCTAATAAATTCCATGTAACCTACCTTACCCTTCTATTGTCAACCCATGTATGTTTTTGTTTTTTTTTTTTTTGTTTTACAAATCAACGCTGTTTTAATGTAATTTTCTGTAATAATTTATAATTGTATTTGTGCTGTTTTTTCAACAATGTTCCCCCCCTCTTTTACCTCTATTTTTATTTGTACTCAACGCATTTTTTTCTTTTTACCCATTAGTTTTAAGCTTTAGTCAGTAGTGTTTTTTCCTGCCCGAAACGCTTTGCGTAATAGTGGCTTTAGGCATTGTATGTACTAGCTCTATCTATAAAGCCAACAAACTTTGTAAAATCTCTTTATGTATGTACCTTTGCCTAAATAAAAATTATTATTATTATTATTATTATTATTATTATTATTATTATTATTATTATTATTAATTTCACAGTCTAGAGTACAAGATGAGCATCACAACAATCAACCATAATTCATTACACATCTGTCCATAAATACACACACCAAATTGTCAGACACTGCATGTCCTGTCAGTGATGAGTAGCACTTTTTCTCACATTGTGCTGTGCAGAGTAATATTTGCAACTAATCTTTGTTTCAACATATGGATATTAACAATTGCAAAAAATTATGGTATAATATAGATTACAATTTACATGTTCATACTGTACAGTATTTATAAAATTGCTTAGGTAATTACACTTTGGTAATTACTGTAATTAATTAATTACTTGGTATCTGGCCAAGGACTGGGACTACAGTAGTTGAGAACTTGGAGAGCATCTTAACTTCAGCGTGTCATCTACAAAAGATGACACAAAGCTGTGACTTGTATTTTTTATTCCCCAGCATGTTCATTTCCAAGGCAGACTTGTGTGGGACTCTGTCAAAGGCCTCTTCTAAGTTCAGATACAATCAACTCGACTATCTCTTTCCTGTAAAATCTCTATGGCTCTATTATAAACACTAAGTAGATTTGTTACACAGGATCTTCCTGCTCAAAACTAGACTGCTATTATATTATTCATTTCTCTCCAGGTATGCCATCCATTTTGGTCTTAACTATTTTTTATAGTGTTTTGACTACCATACTTGCCAATTATATGGGTCTATAATTTAGAGGCACTTTTCTGCTACCATTTTTGTAGATTGGAACTGTTTGCCTTTTTCCATATATCTGCAAAGATTCCTGTACAGAAAGATGTTTGGAATACAGTATCAGTTGGAGTGGAATGCTCAGCTCAGGTGCACATTCTCTCGGAACACAAAATGAAACTCCATTTGGTCCAAATTAGCAATGTGTCTGGCTTTCTGAAAATCTCATTTTGCACAAACACACATTTGGAACTGTTCATTTAGTGTTTCACATATTTCTTTTTTTATCTTTGTAAATCTGTTCTCCATTTACAAGTATTGGGTAACTCAGGGTGACCATTAGTGCAGTTGTTAGTGCTGCCAGAGAGCAATCATGTAGTCCTTGTTAATTTCTGAGGAAGCCAACTCATTTGGGTATATTTCTTACACCTGATGCTGCTGTTCTCTAGGCAGTAACTATATACATGGGACTTGTTCTACTATTGTGGTTTGGATCCCACAATGACCAGTTGTTGGATAGAGATACTTTGATATGTTTAACAGGCTTCGGTCCCCAACAGTGAGAAACCATACACTTCTCTTTAACAAAAATTATCATCTTTCCATTTATGTTACTGTTTTATCTGATAAGTTACTAATGGTATGATTTCATCTAGAGGTGTATTGATGTACAGGATCAGTGGTATAGGTTATTTTTGCACTGAAGGTGTAAGAACACTAAATGCATAAGCATGAGAAGCATGAGAACATAAAGATAATACAGAATGAGGTACCAGAGGGCTAGGAATGAATACCTCTGAGTGAAAAGAGAAACAGAAAAGTAATTCAGGAATAATACTGTATTGCAATTAAAAACATTTAACATTTTCCATCTTAATTACCAGGTAGTCCAAAGAGAAGTGTTGACAGCCCCAAATCCCCCAAAATGAGAGGCATTGACTCATCTCCTTCTTTTCGGAGGGAACAATTAATAAGAAGTGAGCCACTACCACCAATCAGTGTCACACCATACCCTTTGTCAACATCTACAGAGATGGCGATGGCCATGAGTTCAGAGGCACAAGCATTACAGGTCAGTTAGTGCAATTGTTGATATTTATGAAGTGCTGAGTTGGACAGTTTATATGTCTAAGGATTTACTACGATTAGCATTTATTAAAGGTTTTTGTATTAAATTTTGATAAATGTGTTATCTTTAGCTAATGCCATTATTGTATACAGTGGTTAATTTGCATTTACAGGAAAGGGTGAAGGTGCTGTCAGATTTGGTCCATGAGTTGCAGAAAGCTAGGGATGACAATATTCCTCATATGAATTCCATTAATGCACTAGGAGACAAAATTGTCATAGAAGAAAAATTGACTGTCTCAAACCGGGTAAGTTTTGTGTACAAAATTTGTTTAATTGGCCACTAACAGAGGCACACACTATTTGCAGGCAATGAGTCACAATAACGTGGCTGAAGAATGTTGACCAGACCACACACTAGAAGGTGAAGGGACGACGACGTTTCGGTCCGTCCTGGACCATTCTTAAGTCGATTGTGACTTGAGAATCAACTTGAGAATGGTCCAGGACGGACCGAAACGTTGTCGTCCCTTCATCTTCTAGTGTGTGGTCTCGCACACACTATTTGTTTAATCAGATATTAAGATGTTTTCTTAATCAGGGACTAATTACTATACAGTATGTGTATTGTATTTGTAATATCAGTTCATATTATAATGAGCTTCTTTATCTGAAATAACTAGTGCACCAGAAAAAATTTAGAAAGATTTGAGGAATAGACTACTAATTAACACAAGAATGAGTAAAGAAAACTTGGGCAAGTTAAGCAGTGTTGGTGTGAAGGGATGCCTAGAAGGTGCCTTACAGCCAGTCTCACGTAGCTTCAATGCCATCTCGCCATCTTCTCTTTAATTATGTAGACCTTCAATTATCTGGGCATCTGGAAGTACCAATTGATCTGGATAATTAGCACTACACTATATGTATACAAGGAATGTTTGGTTAAAAATGCCAAGGAAGTGTATAAAGTTTTACAAACTTACGAAAATGAGAGGAGCTGCTTGGTGGGATGAGGAAGTGGTGTGAACAGATGATAAGCAAAGTAAATGGATTTTATGGATGTAAGGTGAACAATGGATAGGCAGAGTAGAAGGTATGGTGTAAGAGTAAACTGTGTGTAACAATATTAGCTATACCAAAAAAAAAGTGAAAGCCAGGCCCAAACTCTTGTTCTGAATGCCAGATGTCTGGATGAATGTTTTAGGATATTAAAGTTTTGTTTTCTTTTATGCATTCTGCAGATACTTATCACAGTGAAAGACATTTTTGTTACTTAAAAACTGTATAGGTTTGTATCATGGCAAAAGGGTTAAACTCCAACATATTCTTGCCTAATGTCAAAATCTGTTAATAGTGTTTCTAGTTAGACTTTCTGCTGAAAATACCTTGTAAAGTAAGCTTTCAGCTTAGTAAGGTTTTAAAAGAATGTTACTTATTGCATATTTATATATTATCTGTCCTTATCTAGAATAATAATTTAACTTCTAATGTATTTCAGACAAAGCTCAAAATGATGTATGAAAAAGGTGTGAGTGATGCTGAGAAAGAGGTGTCGCTAGTAAAGAAGGCACTCAACACTGTGTATCAAATTCGTAACATCCGTCATGATCTTCGCATACAGGTGAGCTAGTAATAAATGACTAAATTGCTATAATTATCTTATGTTATACATAATGTATTGTAGCTGACTTGGCATTAAACACCAGTCAATTCAGTGGTCACTATTTTATTTATAGAACCAATGCTTTAATCTCTCTCTCTCTCTCTCTCTATTAGGAAGTGACCTCATCTAAAGCTTCAGGTTGTTCTATAACCACATATCTCTTTCCATGCTCTTCATTACCTTCCCTCGCCCATTCTTTCACGTATTGTTCCACTCGTTGGGCAGCTTCACAAGATGTAACATACCCAGCTGGAATGCCAGGCAGAATAATGTTGGGCATATGTATTAACATGAAGCTCCCGATTCCAAAAATTGAAGACGCCATCATACAGCTCTCCACGATGAGATACCAATTCAGGGTTTCAAGACTATTATTGAAAGCATGAGTGGTAAAGGAATTACGTGCTTCACTTAAGTCTCATTCGAGTTCCAAGTCCTGGCATGTAGTTGTAAAGTGGTGTTGACCTATGACAGTTGTTTTCTTTGGTTAGCACCTAAAAAAAGAAAAAGAAAAAATATATCCTTGCCTTCTTGGGTTTCTGGAACAGATTTGGTTCAACACAAGTTGATCAATGACTATTTGTGACGGTGGGACCAAATCAGCTGGGTTGTCATGAATTGTAAATTGCAAGAAGCTTTTGTGTGGCAGGTAAGACAATCACTTTTGGAAGTGAGGCTCCACAGTTTGGTCTATAAGCTAAAAGCTCCAGTAATCATCCATAGGTAACCATGAAATTACTAGGGATCAGGAATATAACAAGTGATAAAATCTGTAAGTATGTTTTCTTTTAAATTATTTAAATTATTGAGATACAGTAACTTTACAGCATAGTGTATATAATGATGAATTCTAATTAAATCTCTTATTTCAGGCTAAGAATTCTGGAAACAAAGAAACTATCCGTCGTGGTGCCCTGATGAAAATGTTGCTGAACTGTGCTCAGACATTGCCTCTATGGATTGGTAATGCAGGGGATAAGCCACCTCCCTTATGTGGGGCTGTTCCTCCAGAACAGAATTATGTTGCAAAGGTATCTTGTCATGTATTCAACTATGTTTATGCTGAAAATTTGAATAACTGGAAAACACCATCATGAAAGCTTTATTGCTACTTGATAATTTTATTGCTACAGTGTCATAAATAATCCTAGCTGCCATTTCCTATCTGCTTCTGATGCCTAAACCATATTTGAGTATATCTCTTGGTCCACTCTGTTCTTCCACACCTCACATCTTCAGTGAATGAGCGAATATTATTTTGTTTTATCATTTTTAACCCATTTTTATACATTACTGTCATTCTCTGAAAAATGCTACTTCAACTTATGGAAGTGGAAAGCAGGATAATGATAATGGTGGTGCAGTATTACAGTTTGGTCTGCCAAATATCTTTATAGACACCCAACATATGTCATAATAATCAGCAAGGCTCTTTATTCAAAACTGTTTTCATAGAGATTGCAGCATATCATCTTGAATACAAATCAGCCTCATTCTCTTGTTTTTTCACTTTGCAGTGTGTGATGTCTATTTACCTTTTAAAAAATGAGTTACAAATTTGCTACCTTGAGGTTACCTTGAGGTGCTTCCGGGGAATAGTGTCCCCGCAGCCTGGTCGTCGACCAGGCCTCCTGGTTGCTGGACTGATCAACCAGGCTGTTGGACGTGGCTGCTCGCAGCCTGACGTATGAGTCGCAGCCTGGTTGATCAGGTATCCTTTGGAGGTCTAAATATTTTTTTATATAAAATAATTTCAGGTGAATGACATGGTGGCATGTCTTGTAAGAGGTAGTGAGGGGGAAGATAATTGGATCTTGGCAGAAGTTGTGAGCTACAACACTACCACAAACAAGTATGAGGTAGATGACATTGATGAAGAACAAAAAGAACGTCACACCCTCAGCCGCCGTCGAGTTTATCCTCTTCCGTTGATGAGAGCCAACCCAGAAGTAAACCCTGAAGCTTTGTACCCTAAAGGTTCTATAGGTGAGTCTTGCATATCATATGGGTGCTAGTTAAATGGAATTCCAGAAATTATTTTAAATTTGCTCCATAAATAGAAATTACTGTACCCTGCATCTAAGTACCATTAACAGAAGTGTACAGTCTACTCTCAAGTAAGTGTATGTAGTCATAGTATGTAGACTGAATTTATGAAGGAGATATTCTGAAGCCCATTAAAATAATTTTCAAGGAAATTTTTTGTTTGTTTTAGCTTGCACGGTGATGTCAACTCCCTGAAAAAGAGCCACAGAATTTTTATTTAAATGTGCTTATTGAGTTTCCATAGACCATGACTCGCTATGCTCTGCCTTACAAAATCTTTGCAAATGCTGTTAGAGCAATATTGATTAATGGTGATATAGTACAGTACATGGAGAACATTTGATGGTTATCCACAAGAATATGACTATCCTGAGTTTTGAGTTTTGTCCCTGGACTTAGGTGGCCCAGCCCCTAATTGCTTTTCGTCAAGGTCTTGAGTGTCGCCTAAAGAGGAGTGAAACTATCAGTCAATACATGAACAGCATTAAAATTTTGTTTTAAATACTCTTGATTGTTTTCCCAGTCATAGTTACTTTCTTAAATGCTGTGTCCTATAAAAATCCCTGAAAATGTGATTAGAGCAATATTATAGGGATTACATTATGTGATCTCATCAAATGTCCATAGGGAAGGGGGTTAAAATTAAAATAGCGTATGAAATATTGACGAGATGTGTCACATCACGAAGAATTTTTGATTGTGAATCTTCAGTGTATTAGTTGTTCATTGAAAGCCAAGTGAACCAACTCTGTGTCCTTTTTATTCACTTGTTTCTTTACTAGTGAATGGCCCATTTCTCTTAAGCACTCGCTCAATACTAAAGTAATATATTTAGTGTAGAATTAGTAGTATTTTGGGTTCCTGTAAGTCACAAAATGGCTTGCCATTCACTTTCTATCCTGGATTTCACATAATGCTTTCATTTTTAACTCAGTTGTTTCCGTATCTGTAATTATCTCGTCAACCTTTCTTCTTGTATGGAGGGAATGTTGTGCCCACTCAGATTTGCTTCTTTGTCTCATTTTACTGTAATGTTATTTGTGCATATATTTAGTCCTCTTAAAACATTGGCTCAGGGTTTTGTTATCACTTGTTCTTGCCAGATTATTTCTGTGAGATCATGATTAATTAGTTTCCAGTTAATAAGTTGTGCAGCTCTGTTGTCTGTGTATGTTTCAATTTCAATTAGTCTGTGGTTTGAGTAAGATGTATTTGAAATTGTTGTATCATATCAGTTTATCATTAATTTTTTGTAAGAAGCTCTTGGTTTTAGAATGCATCATTTTTCAATTATAATTCTTAATTAAAATGTGTGTGGCTGGAATGTACACTCTCAGGGAACACTATTTGGTGTAGATTAGGGAGTCAAGTATATACTGTATAACATTTTTAAGGCATAATTAAATCTGAAGGAAGATTCGCTAATATTGTACTGTAATATTCTCATACTCTATTTATAAAATATGATTTAAAAAAAAATGTGTGTGAAAACAAATTTTGAAGTATTATCGAGTGCTACTGTATAACTATTAAATATATAATTGGTGACATTATGCTATAAAGTAGCACTATAAATATTTTCTTCCTTAGTTATGGCCCTGTATCCCCAAACTACATGTTTCTACAAGGCAGTAATCAATCGGCTGCCGACATTAGCAACTGAAGAATACGAAGTTTTGTTTGAGGACCCTACATACGCTGATGGCTACTCTCCACCACTAATGGTTGCTCAGAGATACGTTATACAGATTAAGGAAGTCAGCAAAAAGAAATAATTTTAGAAGTAAATAAAATATTTGCCAATAATCCTGCTTCTCTCGTCCAGCATTAGAGAAGGAAATAAGTCATATTTAAGTGATACTATATAGTACAGTATAGCACTTTTTTAATTAACATACGTTTACTGACTGTGAGAAGACTGAATTACAGTATGCTGTTTATAGGAAACAATATAATTATTACTTAAGTATTTATATGATATAAAATGTTCAGGGAATAGAACTTTAAAGCATCTAAAACAAATAAATATTACATTTAAAAATTTCTTTTAATCATGTGTCCAACTTAATTTTATTACCTAATATTCAGTGACTCCTTGATTTATTTTGGTTGTAGATGGTCATCACAGGGAATCTTAGAACAAAACATAGTTTGGCACAGAATACAGTCTACCATCTTGGTTTGTTACAAAGGCATTCATTTATTCTATTTTTCTTGTTCACTTTGAATAGTAGGTTATAACTGTTGATCTGTTTGCTCTTAAAACAAGACAGACATTAATTACGTAGTATTTTCGAGACAGCAATTGCACAGACCCTAGTGCATTAATGTATTATTTCATTAACTTAATTGCAATTTTTTTCAGCTGAATTAAAGAATTTGTAATATACTTTGAAAGGAGGTGTCCAAGGCTCTTTGAAAGAGACGTAGGAGGTGAAGGGACATGAAGACTTTGGGAACAGCTACTATAGATGATATTTTCTACTTGTTATAACTAAATTATCATTCTCAACAAATTGTTCAAAATTTTTCCATTGACAAATTACATAAATTATTTTAAATCGTCGGATAAGCTAAAACAAATTTACTTTTTGGTAGTTACTCCTGGAAGAGCACACAGCATTTCGAACAGCAAGTTGGCTCCAGTGAGTGCAGTTGTTCCCTCAAAATCATATGGAGGAGAAACCTGAAAATATAAGATACACTTGTTTAATCTACTGTTGTTTATTGAAAGTAAAGTTACGATAAGGGATGTTTTAAAATAGGTATTACTTATTACACACTAAAATCTTAAGCTCAGGATGTCTTGAACTGAGGATGATTGTTTATATAGAATTTCAGTATTAGATGAATCATACAAAGATTATTTTCACAAACTAAGAGATGTTGAAAATAAATTGAATAAATGATCAAGATAGAGACCTGCAGTGTAAGTAATGGTGATATAGATTCCTATGATACTTATAATGAACACAATTATGATAGATTCTACTTGCCTCTACTAGAGAGCCCTACAAATCTATACCAGTTGACATTACTTTTTCTACCAGGAGACATATAAGGGACTTGCTTAACTAATGGGGGTCCCTAATTGCCTCTACCAAGGGACTCGTTTGCTTCCACTAGATGACTGTTTACCTCCACAGATCATTCCTTACCTACATCAGTAAATCCATCTTGTTTTCACCAGGGGACACACACACACCTCCACCAAGGGTCTCTCTCACCACCACCAGGGCTCGCTTACTTTCACCAAAGGTCATACTGACCTCTACCAGGGGTCACAATCACCTCCACCAGGGGTCTCACTCACCTCCACTAGATCACATCCTACCAGATTGAGGCCACGACATCCCCGCACGATTTCCAGTGCCTGTATGGGGGTCAGTCCTCCTATTTCCGGAGTACCTGCAAATCACATAAGGATTATTGTTTTACCTTGTTGGGCATTTATTAGTATATTTTATACTCTGCTATCATTATCAGAATAAGATGCAAGTCATATGCATTTGCCTATGAAAGCATTTGCTGCAACTCATGATTTTTTTTAAAAATTGACTGTAAATATAGAGTACAGTAATTGACTCTGGTGGGTAATATTTGTATTGTCTTCTCTAAATTATTAATTAGTTTTACAGATGTTAAGGTTTACAGCAGTCTATAGCATTTCTTGGTCTGATCTTGCATTTATTATTCAATTTCCAAACAGGATTAGTTATTGGAGGAATGTAATCCAGCCATTGCTTATATTAAATTACAGCAATATTCAATATCAGGAGTTTGTTATGCTGTATGCATCTTATTTATACTGATACATGTATGTTTTATTAATATTGAAGTCTGAGCTATGACTTTACTTTTCAGAAGATCTGAGAAACTTAGTATTGAATTGCACAGTGGACTTCATACTCGACTCACAATCAAAGGACCTGGGTTCAGTTTCTGGGTAGGATAGAAATGGTTGAGCATGCTTCTTTTCATCTGATACTTCTGTTCACCTAGCAGTAAACTAGGTACCTTGGAGTTTGGCAACTGTTGTGGGGTGGCATCCAGGGAAAGGTCAGCAGGTGGCTTAGGAGGACCTCGATAAGACTAAGTATATGTACAAGCTTCCTGTCCCCGACAACTTAAATTACATAGCAACAAAGTGTAACCAACTTCAAGATTGTAATGTAGCTTTAGCACTTTAAATACAGCATGGGATTAAGCTAACTTTGCCAACTTACCAGTGCCAGGACAGAAGCCAGGATCAATGGCATCAATATCAAAGGAGAGGTAGACGGGTCTGTCGCCCATCATCGCTCTCACTTCTTCCATGAGCGGCACGAGAGACTTGTACCAGCACTCCTCGGCCGTCACTACACGGAATCCCTGCAGCAAACATTGTCATTATATGGCATTGTACCACAATCATAATCCAAAATAATATATTCTTTCAATCTTAAAAATTTTGAGAAATATTAAGAACGTTGATGAAGTGCTGGATTTGCTGCTATAATTTGAAGTTAAAATAAAACATACAATGCTGGGTACTCCAATATTATACAAAAATAAAAATCGGATGAATCCATATCGAAGTGAGACGACAAAAAGCTAAAAAAAAAAAAAAAAAGAGTATGTGAAGTAGATAGCCACCATCAGTATCATCATGTGACAAGTCATCAGGGCTGTATCAAGTGTTGTTTTACAATGATTGTTTCAATTTCTATATACTGTATACACTGTTAACATTATTGTGCTACTGATTGTAACATAACCACTGTTTGTACTGTAATTGCTATATATATAACAATTATATATCATCTCTCATCACTTTACCTGACTCAACTGCCAAGCATTTGGTTCAGGTGAATGACTGGTACCTCGCAGACCAATCTGGACAGTGGCATGGGGGTCGATGAGCTCCTCCTCCACTGCCCGTCTGAAAGGTGTGCCGTGGTTGATCTTGGCTCCCAGCATGGTGTCGCTCACGTCAGAATGAGCATCCACATGAACCAATCCTACCTTGCCTCTCCTGGCCTTATCACATAAAAATAACATTACAATCAAAATAAACATAAATATTACCACCTTATACACACTTAAATATATATATCTAATTCACGAATTTAAGTGAAACGGGATTAAAAACATTTTGACATCTTTGCTACATCAACTGTAAAATTAAACTGTTTAAAACATAGTTTGCACAATAATTCAAAAGGGTTGACAGCAATCTGGCTTACTATACATTAGCATCTTTGGAGTAAGTATTCTTTGACTATTAAATAGCTGCCAAAACTGAAAACAAAAGCATCAAGTAGAGGCTAGAGATGTTAAACACAGTATGCCAAAGCTATGTGACAGAAGGAAAAGAGGCAATATGATATGTACAAAATGGTATCAGAATCGACAGAATTGACAAAGAGGAGCTTTGTAACCTGCAGCTTCAAGAACAAAAGGTCAAAGATTCGAGCTAAGAAAAGAAAGATGCAGAAAACATACAAAAGTTCTCTGCTGTGAACAGAGTTTTAGAAGGTTGGAATAAGCAAAGTGAGAAGGCTTTGGATGCCAAAACTCTCAGTAGTTATAATGTGGCACGTGACAGATTATTGGGAAGACAGGACACCATGAGCATAGCTCTCATCTTGTAACTACACTTAGTAACTACACAATTGTGAATGATGAAATTTATTTGTGATTTATCTAGCTTTAATGATGTTAATTAAAATTATGAACAAGAGAGTTCTCCCTCAATCTAATGGCCATATGATAAAGGGAAATGGTGAATTTGTTGTCAAAGAGCAGCTGTGAGCATTTGCTGCAAAATGTGCATAATGCTGTCGCACATGAAGATAATGTATACATCTGGCAAGAACCTAGATATAGCACAGAAGATATGCAATTTGGCAAAAAGAAATAATGATGACAGAAGTTGAGATGTGCACACCCCATCTTGTTGAGTTAATATTAGTACATGTGCATAGGTCATTAGTCACCTTGAAGGCTTGGAGTATGGGGTATGTTATGGTGTGGTCGCCACCTATGGTCAGAGGTATACAGTTAGTGCTGAGGAGCTGCATGTAGTACTCCCTGATGTTGACACAAGCCTCAGGCAGGCTGCAGCACCCCACCAGCAAGGGCATCAGTTAGTTGTAAACATACTTTGTGTTATGTATGTATGTATGTTCAGGTAAATTTATAATCTATGAAGATGGGAAATAAAAATAAATAAATATTAAATTAAGCAACTAGCTACATAATAGTTACTTCAAACTGATTATAGGACACAAAACAAAGTGGTAAGGGTGACATACTTGTACATGTTAATCCATACATCGCCCACATCGGCCACATTAAGAAAGTCGTAAGGGCATGCTCCTGTGGCAGAGTTGTAGGGCCGCAGGAGAACTGACTCGCTGCGTATCTGACGAGGCCCCATGCGGGTGCCGCTTCTGTTCGATGTTCCCACATCAAGTGGAACACCCACGAAACATGCATCTAAATCTGAAATATTAATCAAAGTTAAATTTGTATAGAAAATTGTTGACATGGAGAGTACTTGTCTGTTGGTGACTATCTGGGAGTGAGATCTAGTTCTTTATGCCCCACTGTTTATACCTGATGTGTTAATTACCTCTCTCTTGACATTAACATTTTCATCAATTTTGTTTTCTTAAATTTGTGGATGGAATTAGCTTCAACAACCACTTTCTTCAATGCATTCCACTAGCTGACTGCCAATATAGGGAAAAAGAACTTTCTTATTCTCTGATTGATTCTTGTAATTGCCTTCTTTCTTGTGGAGAGAGAATTAAATGCAGGTCTTCTATATTCTTTACCCATTTTCCTTACTTTCCACTCATTTGGATTAAATTCCAGCAGCCATTTATCTATCCACTCCTAAAGTTTGTCAGGGTCTTCTTTCAGCACCCTACAGTCCTCTTCAGTTCTTACTCTCCTCATCAAGTTTACATCATTGGCAAACATCAATATGTACAAGCTTATTCCCTCTGTGAGGTCATTTACGTAAATTAAAAAGAGCAGTGGTCCTAAGACAGGGCCCTGTGCAACACCTCTTTCCACTCCTCTCCATCCTGACATATCTTCTCTGACTATTGACTGTTTCTTGTCTGTCTGGTACTCCCGTACCCAGTCCAATATCTTTCCTGTTATCCCTGCTTGTCTTTCCATCTTGTGTATTGGTCTCTTGTGAAGAGCTGTATAGAGAGAGATAATAGGTGTATGCATCTAGGGAGCAAGTCCAGGAGATTGAATTTGGCTATAAGCAATAGACAGATGTGTGACTGGTAAGAAATGGAGGTGATAGGTGGTAGTTACACATAAATCCTTTACTTCAATTCAGCCTTTTCAAATTATGAATGCATTGATAAAATTAATCATACCATCTTGTAGATCAATCTTGATTAGTTTAATTAAGGTTACAGAACAATGGGCAAAAATCAATTGTGTCTGTTATAGAAGCAACTGCATCCTGATTAACCTGTCCCAATACTCTACAACACCCTCACTTCCTCAGCCCTTAAGGCAGGCTACCCATATACTCTGATCTAAATGGGCACAACTACTTGGGTATAAAAGTGATCGTCCATTTCAGACCATAAAATGGTGCAAGACTTTCAAGGTAAAATGAAAATGCACACTGGGTTGGTTTACTCAGCTGCTATAGTTACCTCGAGTGTCGGTGTGAACGGGGAGCCGCATGAAGGAAGTGATACCCCCTGGACGTGCCATCTCATTGGAGGTCAGGGGTTTGTTGAGGTCTTTGCTTGGGGTAGTCTGTGTGATTGAAAGGTGCAGGCTCCGTACAACACCAGGAACGCTACACCTGTTGCTTCCTATGCTTAATCTCATTAAGCCCGCCATATCACACATTTGTTTCCACATGCTGGCCATCTCTGTACATACAACCATGCAGTCATTTGGAAGTTAATATAAGGGAAATAGTTTGTTTGGTGAATTAAGAGCACAAAGCTTCTGGGTAAATGTGAGTTAATAATGTAGCTTGTATAACAAGGATAATAACAGTAAGGCGAGTTACTATGGTACTGTATAATACAGTAATTGATGTACAATGCAAGAGTTTAAGAATCTTCCTCAAATTTATCTGAATTTACCTGAGGGCCAATAACACACTAGTGACCTCGATGAGGACAGGAAGCCATCAGTGTGTCAAAAATCCCTCTATATGTCCTAATAATTTTTTAAAGCTGGATTTTAAAATTCAGCAGTGTTTTGGTATTTATGGCTGGAGCATATCCAACATGATAAGATACAGACAAGGCAACTGAAGATAAGTGTAACAAATCTGAAATTTAACTAGACATAGGCATTCTAACCCAGATCAGCAACTTCCTCTCCAATATACCACTCACAGGATGATTATGCGGTGCTCGGTAAACTACTATTCACATGATGAGTACGGAGTGCACAATAAACAACCACTCACAGGGCGAGAATGAGGTGCTCAATAAACTATGTTCAACCGTTGGAACTAGGCAGATACGGTTCAAGGTGCTGCCATATACATATGTATTATCAAGTACAGTATAACTGTTATCACCTCAACTTATTCGTTTATGATAATACACAGTGGAGAGGCATGGTATGTTTAGGGCATTAGAGATAGTATGCATCCTCTCTATGATAAATGATCAGAAGACTTTTTAATATCGATAAATGCAAGACCTTGCATGTGAGGCATATCAACCCATGCCACAACTACCAAATTAACGGCATTGCTCTGCAGCAGACTGATGAAGAAAAGGACCTTGAAGTCAGAGTTCATCATTCGTAGAAAGTTGCACAACAGGTGGGAGCAACAGTAAAAAAAAAGCTTACCAAACCCCAGGAATAATCAAGCATACCTTTGACTTTAAGGACAAGAAGGTAGTCATTCAATTGAATAAATCTCTGGTGCGCTCCCACCTGCATTATTACATCCAGGCACAGAGACCTCATCTTCAGTCCCTATGTCTGCGACAGGCACACGTCTTGATCCGCAGCAGCTCCGTACTGCAGTTGCTCTCCGCCTTGCTGCCCCTATCCACACTGTTCATAGGTGTATTTGCGGCAAGGCAGATGCAGACTAATATGGATTGCAAGGTCTGCACTGTGGAAAATCAGGCGATTGGCACTCACGACACAACGAATTCTATATCATAAAGAGGAGCCTTGCCTGTGCCTAGTGTCCAGCAGAGAGAGTGTCACAATCTATTGAACTGTAACTCTGCTTTGCTGGCCGACCAGATGGAAATCACAATGCAACCTTGGAAAAATGGCAGACAATTGGTGTGGAACTATACTTGAGTATCCACCCTGGCAGCCATATACATCAACCTCTCTTTCGGCCAAGCAGGAGCTGCGGCAACACAGAGAGACAAGTCAACCAATTACAGGGAAATAGATCACCAGTACAACTTTGTTCCAATAGGATCCAAGGCCCTTGGTCTATGAGGAGAGAGTACAAGAAGGTTTCTTAAGGATCTTGGTTCCAGGCTCATTGAAAACACAAAAGACCCTAGAGCAGCAAGTTTTCTCTTCCTGCACCTCAGTGTGGCGTTCCAGAGGGGGAATGCCCGCTGAATCCTCGGTTCCTGCCCGGCATCGGAGGAGTTTGAAGAAATCTACAGCCTCTAGGAAACAAACTGCCCTTTATTTCCTCTTAATGTTCACCTTTTGTAACCAAACGAATCAGATATGTAACTGTGTAACCTTGTACAATAAAGTGTACAACATAAATAATAAAAAAGGAGTGAAAGAAGTGAAAACTCATATGCATTTAGAGTTAAATGGCAAGTTTTTCTCTGAATGCTCTGTATTCCCTTCTCCAAGGCTATGGGTCCCTACAATTGCACCAGAGTAGGGTGCACCAGTTTTATATATACAGTATATATATATATAACTGGTGGTTGTTTGGGTTGGTAGTAGTGAAGTAATACCCGTGTTATAAGGCGGCAGGGTGAGGAGCGGTGGAGTGTGGCAGGGATGGTGTGGCACTGTGGGGGCGGCCGGCCAGCACACCGGGCAGGCGGGCATGGTACCTGTTGCTAGCCCAGATGTGCTGCATCATTCTTATGTAGAGTACATGGGTACACGTTGTTCCTCGGGTCACACACCACATCTTCACTACACACTTGTGGACGCTCACTCCATACACACTGAAATGTAGATATGACAGCGCCAAGTAGGCTCAGGAACCTGTACACCATGTTTGTAATTACCTAAGTGTAGTTATAGGATGAGAGCTACGCTCGTGGTGTCCCGTCTTCCCAGTACTCTTTGTCATATAACGCTTTGAAGCTACTGACGGTCTTGGCCTCCACCACCTTCTCACCTAACTTGTTCCAACCATCTACCACTCTTGTGTGTTTATCTGCATGTTTAATTAACAGTTGTGTTTTTTGTTTTGCAGGTTTTAACAATTGTGTAACTAGCTTCATAAGATTGTCAAGGTGGTGGAAGCCAAGACTGTCAGTAGTTTCAAAGCGTTATATGACAAAGACTACTGGGAAGACGGGACACCACGAGCGTAGCTCTCATCCTGTAACTACACTTAGGGAATTACCAGTTGACAGTTAAGAGGCGGGACCAAAGAGCCTAAGCTCAACCCCCGCAAGCATAACTGAGTACTATTCAGTTCAGTAAATAGTACTCACTATTTTAGTATTATTCAGTAATACTATTCATCAGTATTCAGTAATACTATTCATAGTATTCAGTACTATTCAGTGATTGACAGTTGTTAATCTATCTGCCAGTTACCTAACTCGACCCCGGGTACCTGCATGTTTAGTACTAAATGAGGCATCTTCACCTGATGCTAGAGGCCTCAGGTGAAGGTGAAATGTTGCCCAACCGTGTCTGGCGTGCAGTGGGAGTTATTAGGGTGGCATAATATATGGGTGGGTGGCCGGGGGGGGGGGGTCACCGCCCCCTCCATCATCACCGGTCGATCGTCCTCTGGTTCCTCACATCAATTAACTCATCTAACAGCTCGTTGAAATACCTTGCTTACATTTTAGCCGTAAAAATTATATATGTTAATTTCACAAGTTAAAACGAATAAAAGTTTAAAGTATATAAATTGATGTAGTATATGTTTGTGTTGTTCGTGCGGTTGCTAGGCAACGGCGGCGTGTCAACAGAGGCCGGGGGCTGGAGGAAGGCAGCTCTTGTGTTGCTGTAACTTCTCCAGTGTCTTGTGTGTGTCGTGGCCAGCAGGAGAGCCATAGCAGTGGCTGCCACTACCACACACACACCACCACAGCTTATCTTATGACCACACTGCACGACGCTGGCGCCCTGGCTGCTGACCACTTCTCACTGAAGCAATGGTGTCTTACTGTTAGCTTGATCGACGACCACCTAGGCCAGGCTAGTCTTCTGAGCTCGTCGTCTTGTTTTCATAATTACTTACGACACCAACTGAGCTTTTCAAGGATGCAACCAACAATAGTTAACTAACTCTCAGGTACCTATTTGCTGCAAGGTGAACAGCGGATCTGGGTGCAAGAAAAAGTGCCTAAACGTCTCGCCCTGCTTAAGAATCGAAGCTAGGACCAATAACTTTTGAACCGAGTTTATTAACCATTGTTATACAAGCCCCCCCCCCCACCTAGTCTGTTTTGTTTTTGATGGACCAAACTTAATCTGGAAATGTATGCCAATTTTATTTTGTGAGTTGAAAGTACCAGCAACTAATTATCAGTTGTGAGTTGAAAGAAAATTGAATGAAAGTTACTAGTGAATGAAGCATTTGCTATTTAGATGACTAATAGGTTTTCACATACAGTACACTTCACATTTATAGTGTATTTATTTATTTATTTATTTATGCATATACAAGAAGGTACATTGGGAATGTGAGGATACATAATATGGTAATTACAGTCTTGTAAAGCCACTAGTACACGCAGCGTTTCGGGCAGGTCCTTAATCTAAGAAAATTTTAAGTAGGTAAATGCTTGCAAAATTTATAGACAAAAAAAATGATAACAGTTACATGGAATGAAAAAAAGAAGATGAAACCATTTATACAAAGCAATATATCTTTTAAGGGGAAAAGGAGGGGGGGGGGGTAAATTTGGGATTGAAGCCAAACACAAAAGCCAAAGAGTTGTGATATAAAATGAGTTCTACAAATTTAAGTTATATGAGAATTTATGGACTAAGTAACTAGTGAGCAAAACATCAATCATCCAATAGCCTAGGTGAGTTCGGACAGACGAGTGTCGTGTGCTGGTTCCAAATGTTACCTGCTGCTGTCTCCCCCATTACTCTTCACCAGAGACTGGATGTATGCGTGCTGCAGTGACACTCACTGTACTGAGAGTCTAGACAGGTAGATACATGACTCAGGTACACAACAGATTGTATCCCCACAAGAAGATACAATCCCATAGCCTTCAGTATACTTAATGGCATGTTCCTCTTCATCCTGAGCTCAGGGAATGGTAACTGGAAAACCCCTTGAAGGGACCCACCAGAAAGAGGTATTTCATTACATTCAATGAAACAATTTATTTTTTTCACATTCACTTTTAACAGTCTTATCTTATACATTTTTGTAACATTTCTTAACCTAATCTTCATAGCTTTCTTTCACACACTGATAAAAGAACTGTATGGAGTAGAACTATCATTAACTATCATAAATACCAGTATGACATAATCCAATTAGTCATATTAGCCCTATACACTACACAAGGTAAACGAGGGATTTGCACCCCTCCATTACATTTTAACTTTGATGTCCGTCATGATCTACTTCATTTGTACAGTCCCCCCCTGGCAAAGTGGTATGTTACGGGCCCAAGCCCAGCGTCCGAGCACGGAGCAGTGACGACCGCGCCATCTGTGGGTCAGCTCCCGAAACTCCCTCCAAATGGATGACGCCAGCTAGTGGGGACGAGAAATACCAGCCACAAGGGCTAGTTTCCCGTCCTAATCAGCTCATAACACAGCCGCTGCTGACCTCTGGTGAGGCGACGCTTGGACAGCAACGCCATCTATGGAGTGGATAGGTGGGCGTTTGTGTCTAAGCCTGTAAGTGGGGTGCCCTAGAGTGTCCCTAGTACTGATGACGTGTCTGATTACAGAGTCGACCTGGGACTGCTGTAATGAACGTTGGATCAGTCTACCCAAGGCAGCCGTCTTGTCTCCAAGTATTTGCTGCAGCAGCTGTGAGTCACCCCCCGGATGAACACTGAGGTGTTAGCCTGCCTGTGACGTGGCAGCTGAGGGATTGTCGTACCCGGGACTGACTGGTGGAGACGCTTAACCACTGGGGTGTTGTGAGGAGAGTGACCTGTGGGATCACACGAGGCTCCTGACTAGGGCTCGCTACCCTAGTATCGGTCGTCGAGTGGCCTAACCAGCGTTGCTGATTGGAACCTGCCAGCTACAGGCTGGATTTGTGGTTGAAGGCCTCCACGACGGTGCCCCCAGTGGAACTGTGATTTGGCTGGCCTGTGGCCAGGGTAGACTCAAGAGAATCGAAGGATTCGTCGTGAGGCCACAAGAGGACCAAGAGTTTAGCATCGTCGAGCACCGTGGAACACTCCGCGTCTTCAGAGGAAGACCACACTGTATATAATAGTGTTAATACCTCCCCCGTGTGATAAGATATATATTATTTATGGTGACGGTAATAATTATATTATTAAGTTTTTGCCTTTATTTCCCTTCCCCTTTAATTTACTTGCGTTACGGATCACATCCCTTGAAAGCCACTACTAGCTTGGGGCCGGATACCCAAACTCTACTTACATCAGAGAAAGAACCCGGTTGCGACCCGAGAGGGCCGTAACATGGTAAGACACTCGCCTGGTGTTTCACGAGTGCTTTGGCCGGGGAGGATTTACTGGGCGCCATTCCTTAACTGTAGCCTCTGTTCACCCAACAGTAAAATGGGTACCTGGTTGTTTTAAGTGATTTGGCGAGGTCGTATTCCGGGGAACATAGGATTAAGGATTTGTCCAAAACAATATGCGTGCTAGTGGCTGTACAAAGAATGCAAGAACTCTTGTATATAAAAAAAAAAAAGGAAATACAATAGTATATTAAATAACAAAGGTGTTATACTGATATACTTGTACATTAAAATCAAAGCAGTTACTCATTATACCATTAACCTTTACACATACACTACACCTTTACCTACATAGAAACTTATCAGAGCATTTAACCGTATTTTGCCAGCTCTGTATGAGCCCTTGTTCCATATTTAGTGGAGTAAAACAGTTTAAAATGGTACTTATTCTAGTGAGGCTAAATGCTAGTCTGAAAAAATAAGTGTTCTAGAAGGGTCCAGTGCTAAGACCTTCGAAAGCGACCAAGGTGCCACTCATAAAGTGAAGTCTCATTTAACTCGTTGCTTTATTTTTAGCCACTTCAACTAATGCTGGTTTTCAGCATTTACTTTTCATTATGCATCTTTTACCAGTACTGTACTATCTATTTATTCACTTTTTTTTATTCTTTTAAAACAGACCGTTGACAGTGGTAGAAGTTGTATGGTGAGCGACCAATGAGAAACTGAAACGAGGTATGTCGCGCTGGAAAAAGAAATCCTATGATGGCATTCACAGTTACGTAGAGCAAGTAGAGGACGTTTTGTTGAGTGAGAGTTCATGGTCGACAACTGACTCCGAGTGTTCAGGTTGCATCCACTTAAGTAGGGACGGTAATCTGCACAGTGAAGGTTGTAGTACCTCAGGACTTGAACTGGCAACTCTTTCTCCTATACAGACATTGTAAGTGATCGGTCCATGTACTTGGGCATTGTGATATTCCTGTCTGGTTTCATTCATTTCTTGGTTCTAACATGTTTAGATTCTCATAGAAACCATGTATGTTTTGGTTGTCATTAGTAGCTGTGTTTAGCTGGACTAGTTGTCTTGTACTTTTTCTTACTAAAGTCTTGGTAAACTGTACAGTACTGTTTTATGCTCGGTTTGATTGGTTTCAGTTGACTTGGAACCGTTTGTTTTTCTTAGACACCTCTTTTATTTATTTATTTATTTATTTATATAAATAAATAATATATATATATATATATATATATATATATATATATATATATATATATATATATATATATATATATATATATATATATATAAAATAGATATATATATATATATAATAGATATTATATTATATATAATATTGTGTGTGTGTAGTACTGTATATGTGTATTGTATACACTGAGCATGTACTGAGTATGCAGAAAAACCACATGTAAAAAATAGAGAATGCTAAACGCGTTTTCGGGTCAATTCGCCTTCATCAGAGCATTTTAGAATGAGGGCATTCATTCTAAAATGAATTCTCATTCATTCTCATTCTAAAATGCTCTAAGTAAAGCGAATTGAGCTGAAAATGCATTTAGCATTCTCTATTTTTCACATGTTGGTTTTCTGCATATTTGGATCAGTGTTTTTGTGGTCGTTGTTGCGTACTGAGTACAGTATGTGTATTTGCTGTATAAGGTTACTGTATTCACAGTATTGTTTTATGAGACATGCCTTCATTGGGATAAAGGCTACTTCTTTATTGTGTACGATAAAGACATATCTTATTTGTACTTATTTTTTTGTTAAAAATTGTATTTCATACTCTAAGGGACAACAGCTGTGTATGGGATCTCCATGGAAATGCAAATTACATTCAGAGTGCCAGCAGTCATTGTGTACTGGGGGGAGGACTGAAGGCCTCCGTTGACTGCTCTCCCACACACTTAACCTCTGGTATAAGGTATTCATCTGATTTGCCATTTTGTAGAGTAAATATATGGATTTTATAGACATAAAATTCTTGTAATAGATTATTGGTAAATTTTATGGGTGTATGTTATAGGAATATGGCAACCCTGTTGCCCACCACTGTAGTTCAGTTTCATATCCTTTGAGGTAAAGGTTGTGTGATAGTTTGCTGGGACCCATCTTTCTAACTCAGTATTGTATAGTCATACTGGCTTAGTACATTCCCTCTCATAAGTACTTCACTACAAAGGACAGAATAGGCCTTGAATCTATGACTTTCACTTGTCTGGTGTCCAGAAAAGCTATTCAAGCTCATATGGACACGTGGAATTTGCAAAGAATAAATGAAGAACATAAACATTTATTTCTGTCCCCATGGCGCAGTGGTAATGGACTCGCCCGGCGCTTCACGAGTGCTTTGGCCGGGGAGGATTGACTGGGTGCCAATCCTTATCTATAGCCTCTGTTCTGTCTCTGTAGCCTCTGAATGTTGCTGTCCCCTACACTTTTAGAGCAACATTCACTCCTTGTCTCTCTCTGTAGGGGCAGTATGTTACAGCAACCCTCATTCCTTGTCTCTCTCTGTAGGGGCGGTATGTTACAGCAACTCTCACTCCTCGCAGCTGGTGGCCAACCTTGGCATCACAACATATGTACTGCTCATTCTCGACGCTTTGCCTATGCTGCAACACTTGCCATTTATGTGTATGAGGTGAGTTAGTGTGATACGGTGTTCACAAGATATTATTATTAGTGCTTTGTAAATTTTCTGTTATTCACAGTTCTGCATTTTATTGAAAAATGTACAATGATTATTGTTTATAATAATTTATTAATTTTCATAGATAAATAAATACAGTTGTTGTACCTATGCAGTAGTCAAAACCTCCTTCAATTTCCATATTCCAGGTTTTGTACATAAAACATCCTTCTTGCATGAAAACTGTGCATCTGGCCTTCATGTTTTTTTGGTTTTCTATCATATTTATTTTTGTCACTCATTTCTTTTTAAATGAAGCTTTAACTGTAAATAAACAGTTCAAAGAACTCTGCAGCTTACAATGTTCTTAAGAGTGAGTCCCATGTCAATGATTATGGGCCAATGTTGGTGGAGCCTTGCTTGCCATGAATGGGAATACTGCACACCCAAGTTTTACTATTTCTTGAGCTCTTGGATTCATTCATTCAAGGATCAATTGACTATAAACAAATTTAGTTATGCATATAAGCAGTGAATAAACCCTCACTTCATGACTCTCAAATTTGTCATACCTAACACCTGCTGATGCCAATGTACTCATTTTTTATATCGGTTCATTGTTACTGAATGGAAAGTGCACAATATAATATATATTAATAAACATACATTATTTTGTGATTTACATAATTTATTTATTATTAATATTGCTAGGTTGAGACAGGAAGTAATCAATGGCAGTTGTGTAGCATCTTGGCTGACCACCGCAAGACCATAACCTGTCTTGATTGGCACCCTTGTAGTGATGACCTCCTCGCTAGGTGAGATATGTTTCATTGTTATTGTTTAAGGTAACTAAATTCCAAATCATTAGAGAGAGAAGAATGTACAAAGTGGACAAAATTATTTAGTGTACAAATATTTGTTCATGTTGTTGGCATATTTTGTTTGCATAATTAGCGCACTCTAATTTTTCCAGTCCATTGTTATAACTTTGTGAGCAATTGCTTACTTTATTATTAATACAGCTTCCTTTTATATTAGATATATTATCCCATAATGCAATTATATTTAACAGTGCATCCTTGGATCAAAGAGTTTGTGTATGGAGTGTGGGAAGACAGTGTGTACTGCACGCAGTCAGCATCTGCCGAGTCCCTACTGTCGTTGCATGGTGCACAGGACACAGGTTAGTCAGCATCTGCCGAGTCCTCTCTGTTGTCACATGTTAGTGTACTGTAGATGTACAGTATAGGAAAGAGGGGAGTCAGTGTCTGCCGAGTTCCCTCTATGGTTGCATGGTGCACAGGACGCAGGTCAGAAAAATGATTTCATTGTTCCTGTAATTGAAATTTGAAAAATGTTACATGTCTGAGTGCATTAAAAAAAATTGAGCGAACTCATTCTATTGCTTCCTAAGGTTCCAGTACTGTATATTATCCTAGGCCACAAGGGTGGGGAACCAATGGCACATGTTCCGAACATAATAGATGCGTAACTATTTTGCTGTCATGCATACTCGGTTACTGGTCATTTAAACAAAGATTCTTTAAGAATGCTTTCAAACATATTTTTCTCAAATGGCACTCACGAGAACTTTTTAGAAAACTATCACCAGTTTAGTCACACGTTCTCAAAAAGGTTCCCCACCCCTGGACCTAGGGAGTCGCTGGATATTGATCAGTCCAATCAAGAATAACTGACATGTGTTTTAAGTATTGCAGAATCCAACCTCTTTTAGAACGGGATAAACCCAAGAAAGAATTGATTAACTTCCTTTAACCCTCTTTGTGTACTTTTCATAAGATAGTCTATGTTCTAGGGTTGTTTAATTTCTTAAGGTATATTTTACTATAATTTTGTGTAATGTATCCATTACCTACTATAAAATTAATCGGCAATTGTGACATTTGAGTGGCTGAATTACATGTTCCAGTAATGAGATGTGACCATTGTGGCTTAATGCTTTCTCTTGATAATTACCTTGTCTTTATTTAAAACAGTACTGTACAGTATATTATAATGTATAAATTAATGCATTTCTTTTATTCAGGGATCTTCTTTCATTCTCCACTCAAAGTGGCCCAATTCAGTTGTGGGACTATACCGATAACAGTGAGCCTTATCCTGTCCGTGAAGATTATGGCTATACGCACCGGATTGTCACTTATCGCTGGCATCCCACTGTTCCAGGAAGGCTCGTCATTGGCCATGATGATGGAAAGCTTACTGTGTATAAAGAAGGTAACTTATAATCATCTTTATGACCAACGCAGAATTGTGTAGATATAATGATGCACAGGAAATATTTTTTTGTGTTGTTGGGTAATTTCTCATATTGGTGTTTTCTTTTCCATTTCATTGACTCAATTTGTTTTCGTGCACAATCCCACTTTTTCAAAGGTTATGATACTTGCATAAGTTTTCTCTTTGGAATTTCTTGTCCTTTGTATTCTTGTGTAATTTCACATTCCTTGAGGAATCTGCATTCATTTTTCATAATCGGAGTATCCCTAAAATACATAATTTTAGAAATGCAATGTGTAATTGGAGATTTTACTAAAATTTAAAATTCAGAATTTACATATCAACCATGTAACTTTATTGCATGTATTCTTTATAAATAAATATTTCATATATGCCATACAATTTGTAAATTTTGGTCATGCTTACCCTAAAGTTTCTATTTGGTTATACAGTATTTACAGAGAATGAAACTCATGTTGGCTTTTGGTCAGTTTTTTTAGAATCTGCATTATAGAAATGCTTGAAATTGGTGTGTGTGTTACTTGGTGTTTAATTATCCATATTTATTTTAACCTTCTGGTCAAATTGTCACTACATACATACATACATACATACGTACATATACAGTATTCTGCAATACCGACTGAATAAAATAATGGGGGGCTTAGACCCTTCCTTTTCATCCCAACGTCCGTTGCATCTGGCATTGGCATAAGCTTTACAATTTTAATTAAAAATTAATTTGTTTTTCTGGAAGGGCTCCCTTTGTAGCTCCATGATGTGGCATAGCTTGGCACTGTGGCTGCCAAGCCTTGGGGGTATTGCATCAGGCCTGAGATCCACCTGAGCCTACTGGGAGCCAGGGCCAGATTAGTGCTCTCTGTGCTTGGGGAACCTAGGGATCTGATATCAACCCAAACCCCCCCCAAATTCCATAAAAGTATAAGCAAATCAAAATAAATATTTGCTTGAGAGAATATTAATTACCCTGAAGAAAAAGACAACAATCTTTACTTTGAAGTTAGTAACTCTACTGTGATGCACTCGAGTGCCACTAAATGGCAACCCAGGTCACTTGTCTCCTTCCAGCTTGGCCACGAATGAGACTTCACCGTTCTGGAAGGTGTCTCTTAATCATTGATGCTTAGTTTGTTCTGCTGATGATGCATTATACACTCTGGTCTGTGGCCATGGTGTGGCATTTTCTGTGCTACTAACATGTGGTGAGTGATAAGTCACTCACACCACATGTGAGTGACTAATCTGAATGACTACACTTAACCCCGCTTCTCTTGCTTTGTTCCCAGTTTTTCTGTTTCGGTCAATTGTGAATTCTTCCAGTCAATAAGTGCAAGTTTTGTTTTTTTCCCCTAATTTATTTTCAGCTTCTAGGCTTGGGACTTTTGGCAGTCCAACAAGGTGTTAGTCTCCCATTATTTATTTGATGTTCCTTGGCCTCGCCGCACCTATGTAGCACTTGGGTGTTCGACATACCACTGATGTTCTTTAGCCCCAGTCTTCCTCTCCAGTTATTCTTCTCTGATTAAGCCCAGGCCATCTGTTTTCATGTATTATTTTTTTGTTTTCAGCTCTCATAGACTTCCTCTCTCTCAAGGCTCCATTGTGAGAATGCTCAAGAAGCTACTGAAGCTACGTTCAAGCGTTCGAATGTAAACAAGTGCATTTTTTGTTTGGAGTGGCCCCCCCAGTAGCTCTTTTTTTTTTTTTTTTTTTTTTTTTTTTTTCCCCCTTATTTTCCATGGGGTTGGGGATGGGAGGGGGCTGGTCACAGATGGTCCCAAATGAGGGGATAGGTGGAGTGTGATTGTGGGTGACCTGGGCTGTCATTTGATGGCAAACCACATCAGTTAGCGTAGTTTCCCATGGCAATGAACGTTTGCCTTATTTACTTGGGGATCACTTTTTCATTCAAGCAATCACTTGTTTTATTGCACCTATGCTTTCTGGTGAATCTAACTCTGGTTTTGGGTTGATCTCTGATCCCTAGGCTCTACCTCACGTCAAAGTGAATCGGATTCTGGTCCCAGTTTCTTGTAGGCGACAAATGTGTTTCAGAAGCCTGTTGTGGAGGTCCAAGGCCTAGTTACCCTGTATATAAGCTATAGATGCTTTGGGGGGCCCACTAAGAGAGGGCATTTCATTACATTCAACACAATTATTTGCAAGTTATCATAACAAATACTGTATAGTTAAAAGTAAATTCTAAGAGAAACTGCAATGTATATTGTGATGAAAAGGTATACTCTCTGCTGCAGATGCTACTGTTTGGCACTGGGCTTCCACAATAATTGACACATCAAGCAGCGTCAATAACAATACATGTTGCAATTTTTTCACTTCAGGTAAATTGGCATTGCTTTTCATAAGTCATGTTTGTAATGGGAATGTTATCATTTTGATATTTGGCACCTGTGCAAGTTTTTGTACGATATGTTATAAATCTGCAACAAATATAGTATGACTGAGAAGTTCTTTCAAATTTTGAAATGGTTTGTGTGTTGAACTGTGTGTTGTTTACAGAATAGTGTTCAAGTTTGTTGTGTCAATTCTTTCTTAATCCATGTATCATATTTACTCAAAGTTTTCTATGCCTTTCCTGGAGGACCCCCTCAGTTGCTGCCCAAGTCTTGGATGCATCAGGTCTGAGACCTATTCAGGCCTAGCGGGAGCTAAGACTCTGGCTCTCTCTTTGAGGCAAGTGAAGCTTGTAGATCAGAGATCGACCCAGATCTGAGAAAAACCCACTTGAAAGATTAAGCACACCAAAATTAGCAAATACTTGAAGAAAATTAGTTACCTGAAGGGAATTAGGAAAATTACCATGGTGTAAACACCTTCACAATGATTCCTCTTCTCCCCAAGAGAGAGAGAGAGATCTGTTCCGTGGGTGTCTGGTTTGACATCTACACCCTAATTCCTCTTAAGGCACCTCGCCTCTGAATAGCACATGGAAACCCCTTTCTCCAAAGCTGTTCACACTTCTCTGCCATATTGCAGTGACAGACTTCTATGTGGCTCACTCTTCCTTCTGTTACTACCCCTTTCTCTCTCTCCTCCTATTCTGGTAGGGAAAGTTACACAGGATTTGTGCCATAAGTGCTTCCTTTTAGTCACCCTGCAAAGTATTTTACCTGCAATTGCAAGCATCCTGGCTTCAATTTCTAGAAATTTCAGCATCCTTGTTTTGACTCCTGGTGCACTATTCTGCCTCCATTCCATTGAATGAGGTGGCAGGCAAAGTGTAACAAACTGCCAAAATGTGCAACTTGGATGACCTGGGCTGTCATCTGGTGGTAATCAGGCATACTAAAAGCTGTGGTGATGCATTACAGCAAAGATTGTTACTCGTTTTCCTCAGAGTTACTAATTTCTTATCAAGCAGTTGCTTAATTTGATGTGTGTATGCTTTCTGCATGTGTTTTCTTGATTTTGGGTTGATCTCTGATCTTTAAGTTACCCTCGTCTCATAGAGAGCCTCATTTTGATCCTGGCTCCTAGTAGGCTTGGGGGAGTCTCGGAAGTCTTGTGCAATTCCCCAAGTCTTGGCAGTCCTAGTACTATAGCTAGGGAAGCTGGTGAGTGGTCTACCAGAAAGGGCATTTCATTATATTCAGTGCTGGATTTTTGTTTGCACATATGCATACATGAACCAATGACCTTTGACTTCCGTTAGCAGGCTTAGAGCTTTCCCTTTCCACACTTCATCGTAAACACAGTCTGTGGAATTTTGCTGTGTACCGAGTCATATGGATAGATTTCAGAAAAGTGGCTGATAAACTGGCAAAATCTGCCATTCACATGTGCCTTCCCCCCCCCCTCCTGTTGGTACATATTACTTTCACAGAAGTACACAATTACAACTGATGAAAATGTACCACATTAGGGATATTCACTGCATTAACATGGAAGAGGAAATAAATACCGAGTGTTTTGGGGAATCTCTTATACAAAGGCAATTTTTTTTTCTTTTACCTCTGGCGAGATAAAAATCTGATCATAATCAACTATTTGACTGAAACTCTTGATAGTTAAATCAGTAGATGATTAAATTAATGTAGAGTGAATGAAGGATGTATTTAATCCATGCATGCTCAGGTTAACATTTAATGCAGATTTGGCAGTGCAAGGTTCATTTTGAACTATTATTTGATTTTGATGCTACACTTTTGCTTGCAAATTCTCATTAGCAGTAAATTGAAGCAACAAATGTGCACCTTGATGAGACTCGCTTTACATTGTTACTTGCTTTCCTCACCGACAGAGAACACTCGGTGATAAAATATGTGCTTTTATCCACTTCAGTATGATTGCTTACTCACACATTTATGCTTCAGTCCTTAAAGGATAACATTGCAAACACTTTTCTAGTTTTAAAGGTAATTCATAGCTTTTAAGAATATTTAAGTGATTATGAGTTGTGATTCAATGCTAGTTATACTGTATATAAATGATGGAGAAAATGTAATTGTCATATTACACCTGGGGTGTTATGTGTAGATTACATTAATGTATACCTGAAAGTAAGTCTCAAGAGCACATATGCTTCCTGTTCATTGTTAAATTATCTCAAATGGAAATTACTTAATTATACAGTAAATATATTAATTTTTCTCTTTAAAATTGGTTGTTTGATCCATACCCTCCGACTATATTGCAGTACATATATGAGTATTTTCAATGAGAAATCTCTCGGAGCACAGAAAAGAAATGCTGTACTGAATTAAAATTTTGTATTAGAAGTTAGAGGGAATGATATAGTAGGAGCATTAAATGCAGTACAAAAGTTTTCCTAGCAGTAGTATTGGTCTGGCACATTTACAAAAGTTGTGCTGGGAAACCAATATTGATGCCACTGTCTACACGTGACCCAAGCTGCTTTTATACTGTGTGTGTTTTTACCTAATTTAGCCTCATTATTACTCAGGAATTATTGTGTAATGTAAATGGAATATATTCTCTTGTAATGTACAGTAATGGAAATTTATATATTTTATATATAAATTATTTATATATTTTTTCTGTTCCCAAAATAATATCTACACATTCTTTTTTAATGTGTTTAATGGTAATGTAAATTTTTTTTAATTTAATGTATTTTAATGTAATAATTATGTTTTAATTACATAAATGTAACAAAATCTGTAACTTGGTGAACTGTCAGAGTAGTTACAGATGCTTGCACTAAGATATTTATAAGACTTGAAACTTTGCCTATGCACGATTGTGACCCTCGGTTGCTGGCTTTATTATATACTATTATCTTTTAGAAATTAAATATTAATCATTATATGTACTAGGATATCAATTTAAAAAAATTATTTTTAGATGTCGGGAAGACGCATTACTCTGCTTTTCCCGAGGGTGGAGAGGACAATGAAGATCACACTCTTGTTACCCTTGAGTGGGACACTTGCTCACCAGACTACATCCTGGTGGCTTATAGAGCAGGTGCCCTCTGGCTTGTCGACGTTAATGCTATGAGGATAATCACCAAGTATATCATGCCAATTTCGGCAAGTGTGAATACGTTGGCATGGCTTCCCGACGCTCCAGGGATGTTTGTTACCGGAGGTATGCTCTTGAAGTCTTAATAAATATCTGTACTTTAATTAATAAGTTTAATGACAGTTTAAAGATTTTTTAATATTAAAATAGTTCAGTATGTTAAATTTAACAAGATACAGTAATATGGGAATGACCCATTTTCATATTTAGTCATTTTATAACTGATGGTATTAAAGCATTATTCGCTGCATGTAATTTCTGAGCCCCCCCAAAAAAAAAAATTTTGTGTTTGCGTACCAGCTAAATCTATTATATATACAATATATATCTGGATAACAGTAAAACACAGTACTGTGCTACTGGCCTGGATGACTAGCTTTTTGGATGACCAGCTTGTTGGTTGACTGGCTTGTTGGCTGATTGGTTTGTTAGCTGACTGGCTAGTTGGCTGACTGGCTTGTTGGTTGACTGGTTACTTGAACTTTCAGGCCATCTCAAGGAAGATAGATTCTTGGGGGAAACAAGATATTGAAGGGTACTGGTAAATTACTTCATAGACCAAAGAATATCAATGTGTTTATATGCCATATCTCAGTACTGTAATTGAATATGCCATATTATTCTGTACTTTGTGGTTACCCTGACCTGTTTAAGCATCTTTAGTTGTCTGTGTACACATGTTGGGTTTCTCAATCTATGAATAACTTGGTGGATATTTATTAATTGATTTACTGTACTGTATTTGGAATAATCTTGCAGCTTACTTGCTGATACTGTAAATGTATTTAGTTTAATAATAATTTTCAGACAGGCATATCAATTAATTTCTGAACTTTTAATAGTAAGTTTTCCTGATAAGACCTCTCATGTTTCGTTATAGATGCTGAGAAAGGTATTCTCCGTGTTTGGACAGTCAATAAATCAACACCTATAGAAAATAATGTTTTAAAAGACACTGGGTTTCACGTTCTCTGTGCTACAAGAGCTAAAAATACAAATGTACCTAGAAACACTCATCAAGATCAAATTAATGATCTTTCTGGTGATAAGAAGGGGCTCATGATCCCTAATGTGTTGGTTGTTACACTGTTTAAGGACGGAGGAGTTGGTCTCTACCACCTTAGAAGAAAGCAGTGGATTTTCAATCGAGAGCATGTAAGTTTATGATGTTCATTCATTCACTAAGAATACTTTCTGCATTATATATATAGGTATTGTACTGTATTTCTATACTACTAATATTGTTTTTTGGAGGAATTCACCCCCCATCAGTAGTTTCCCTGAACTTTGGCACTGGACCTATCTAGGTCACTGCTTATATAACAGGCACTGAGGAAAGGTAAATTTTGTAAATAAGAGACAGGGAAGTGAATGGAGAGAGTGCATTAATCCACCACTGAGATAAACCACCCATACTTCTTGACTATTTTGGAGCCTAGCTTCTCTGGGGTGTCTTTTTTTGGGGGGGCCCCTTGTTGGTCTCTGGGTCTGACAGTCACTCTGGGCCTGGCATATTAGCACTGACCTGGAAAGGTTCAGTGTCAAGGCATAGGGTAAAGACAAAAATGTCAGAATAGACAATTCATTCCACTCGATGCTCTATTTGTAAATTGATGTTTGCTTGCATACTAATTTGGTAAATATAATTATTCATTAATAATCTTATGTTCAGATTCTTCTGTAGTATTGGATTATGTATTAGAAAGTGTACATAATATTCCTTAAGGTATAATAATGATGTAGTATACAGTACAACACAGTAACAATAATAATATAATTTGCAGGGCCACACAGAAACCATATTTGACTGCAGCTTTAAACCTGAGGATAGTGACCTATTGGCTACTGGCTCTTTTGATGGATCTATTAAAATTTGGAAAATAGACACGATGGAAACAGTAAGTGTTATTGGCTTTTTATCTCCTGTTTATAAACATAAAAAAATACATATTTTATTTAGGTAAAAGTATATACATAATGAGTTACAGAATGCTGGATTTGTAGATAAGAGATAGTATATACTATGCCTAAAGCCACTAATACAGCAATTTGGGCAAGAAATGTATAATGTTGTGACCAGCAATGTTATCAGATCTTGTTCATTGTTGGTGTACATTTCATGGGGGAGCCCCTTGTGACTTCCTGAAGCTACACTGATGATACAGTGCCAAACTACTTGGTGCCATCAGTTAGTTTTTTTTGCTCATTTTACTGTGGCCCCCTTCGGTCCATGACTGCTTTCATAAGGCTCTGGTTTTGCTCTCTCTTGCCTCTGGTTATTGTGTGGGTGAGCTTCATGCTGTTCTTCAGTGCCGGGGTTTTTGTTCCTTCAGCCTTGGGGTTGTTTTGTTGATCTGTATCCGGCTCCTCCTTTTCTGGCGAAGGAGGAGTTGGATAGCTTCCGGAGGGGTCCTTTGGTGGTTGTTGCTCGGTTGGTTTGGCGGGGGGTACATCATGTGCTTTGTCCAGTGGCGGCTCTGCGTCGCTTCCTTCGTGCAAGTGCTTCTACTTCAGTGGACTCATTGTGAATTGTTTCGGTTCCTTGGCCCCCTGTTCCAGGGTTTGTGTTTCTCAGGTCGTCCACAGTGTTCTTTCAATTTGGCTAGCCTGCAGTCTACCCTCATTCCCATGACATTTGTTAGTTTGCTGCTCTACTGGCTGTTTGTCAGTGTGTGTGTTGGGCAAATATTCAGGTGCGGGAATTTTGGCAGTTGAACAGGGTCCTGGCAGTCTGGTATCCAATCGGTGTTCCTCCTTCCTTTCGACCACATGTGGCCTTGGGTCATGTGTTGCAACATGTGGCTTCTTCATTGTTATGATACCTGCAGTGCTCCCTCCTCCCTGGTTATTTCCCTTGTTTTCTTTTTCTGTGGGTCGGTAGCTTCAGAGAGCCTCAAGGGGTCTTCCCCAGAAAACCAGTGTTGAATGTAGTGAAATGCCAATTTCTGGGTGAGCCTCGGTGGCTCCCTTACACCCTCCCTCTCGCAGGGAGTCGGGGATTATTTTACCATCGTTATAGAACTGAGGGTAGAGCAGCCGGCTGACCCAGTCTGCCTCCTTCAGATCATCTATTAATGGGAGTTGTAATCACACACAGGGAATATGTGAGGTCAATGTAAAAGGAATATAAATTTCTTGAGAATGTGTGGGGTCGTATGCATGAATGGAGTAGCAGGAGTAAGGCACAGGGGAGGAGAAAGAAACCACTGATGAATACTATAGTGGCTATTATATTGTTTTAATTTACAAATGTTTGCAATAGAACTAGGAGAAGCAGCTCAGGAATATGAAAGGAACTTGCACCAAGAGCAGGAAAGTTATAGAGATCATGAAAGATATTTGTGTCAACTGTTCTGTAATATCCCCATTGCTTGAAAGCGTTGCATCTAAAATACACTTAATTCCAGGATTTTTTTGTTTTCCTTCAGGTAGACACACTTCCCAACTGTAATACCATCATATACACACTGTCTTGGGCACCAGCTGATCTTAACTGTATAGTAGCAGGTACTTCTGGGGGAGAGGTCTTCATCTGGGATGTTGGTAAACATAAGATCCTGCAAGGAATACGTTCACACAAAGACAAAAAAGTGTTTTGTGTGGCATGGAATCATAAGGATGCCAGAAGGATAGCATCAGCAGGTGAATATTTTCTCTGTATTATTAAAGTATGTGTGTTTTATTTAGAAAAATATAAAAGGTACTGAAAACTTACGATCATTATAAAAATGTTGCATTTAAACCATTAAGCAAGAGTTGTAATTACATAGCCTGTTCTTTACTTTATATACATAAATTTAATTACAATATATAAAATAAATATGACTATAGTTTTCTTGTAATCAACTGTTCTTCCAATTTCCTCATACAATGAAACATTCTCTCATTCTTTTGCAACTTGTGGAACAGCACACAATTGTATAACATTCTCAACCATACATACCATGTATACATTCCACATGTCACTGATTATTTGCTCAGTCATTTCCTCCTAAAACACAATCAAATTGTCTTTTGTACTCATTAACTAACTTAAACCTTCTTTCACCTTTTGGATCCTTGTGAAATAATAAATAATGGAAATAATTCTTTTATCATTGAAATGTTTTCTGTTACTATACTCCCAACATGTGGATAAATGGTATAAACCTCCCTCCAGTGTAATACAGTATTTTGTATTATGTTTGAATCATTTGTTGGAGCTGTAACTAGACAATTTTCAACTGTCTGTATGTGCTAATAGAATTGGGATATTTCTTTCAGCCATGTTATTGTGACTTACTCTCCACAACTGCCTGTTGTTTAAGAGTGATCTGTTCAAGGCAGAAACCACTGTAGTATTCATATAATACGTCTCTTGACAGGTGAATCAGGTTACTGCTATATCCACCAAGTGAGTGGGACACTTTTACAAGACTACCGTCACCCTGGCCCTGTTTATGGCTGTGATTGGCGTGATGCTGATATATTGGCTACAGGCTGTGAGGATGGGAAGATACGAATTTATAATGTAACCAAAAATAGAAGAGAACCTGTAACAGAGCTGAAAGGTAACTAATATTATTTTACCTTGCACATGCCATGAAGTGAAATAATTTGGTTATATAAATAAACAATTTTAAATGCTTGGTACCAGTTATGTTCTAATGAAAGATATTTTCTTGGGTTTATTTCTGAACAAGACATCCCCTGGTAGTTTCTCTTAGCCCTGCCACTGGGGACACCCAGGTCACTGACAGCAGACCAAGCCCCCATATGGCCTTAAGTCCCACCAAGACAGAAACCTTGCAAAGTGTCTTGTCTAGTAGTTTCTGGGTGAGGAGCATAGTGGAGAGCATACCTCAATCCACCAGTAGGAGAATCAGCTCACAATACACCAAAGGTAATCTCAAGCATCATGGCAATCCTTGGGATCATGTAAGATACTCGAGCATCATTCTGAAATTACATGTCAATCAACTGTTGTAATTCCCCAAACATCACCAGATTGGCAGCATTAGCTAGACTATAGACATGGGTGAGTTAGGGTTCACCTCTTTTTAGCTCTGCAGAGACATGCTCAAGTGCCAGGAACTGAAGATGTTCTAGTGCTAGGACCTAGAGGTGCTGTTATTACACAGTATGAAAGATTCATGCAATCAGCAGGTTGTTAGATATGTAACTCAAATAATGACATTAAAATCAGCACAAGTCAGGTATGTTACTTCGTCTTGGGAGGAGAATTAGTTGGATATTTAATGAGTATTAGGCACAGCTTCAAGTGCTAATGAGAGGTCATTCTGGGCTTGTATGAGCTTTTCACAAGTGCCTCCCTAGACTCTTATACTGTGTGATATTGGATTTTGAGTTATGGAAGCAAGTGAATAGACCTGGTCAGAAAGGAGCTATTGACATTGACTTGAAGCCTTATTTGTTTTATCAATATAATTTTAAACTATATTTTGCCTACATTACAAGACTTATTTTTGTAAAGCTATAATATCATTGTGTTTCAGCTCATCTGAAAAAAGTGTTTCGTGTGAAGTGGAACCCTGTGTATGATGATATCCTGTGTAGTGGCAGTGATGACTCATCAGTCAGAATATGGTCGTATTCTAAAGCACAATGTATAACAATCCTGGTTGGCCATTCGGACAATGTACGCGGTCTGGCTTGGTGTCCTGAGGTTCCCTTCCTGCTCATTTCTGGTTCGTGGGATCGCACGATAAGGGTGTGGGATGCACGTCACGCTACCTGCCTTGATGTTGCTCTGGACCATGGAGCTGATGTCTACGGTAAGCTATGAAAATCTCATGCTCGTCTCTTCATAATTTTCTTTCTGTTTTGACCTCGAGTTGAAATACAGAAGTTTCCTAAATATAAAATGTGGAGACAGTTGTCTTGTGTACATGAACTGCTGTAATAGTCAGGCATATAAATGAGCAAATCCACAAGGGCCGTGACGAGGATTCGAACCTACGTCAGAGAGCATCCCAGATGCTGCCTTAATCTGGCATATACCTTATTGAACTGGGGTTTTGTTTGTAAACTGATGTGATCATTTGTTCTTCATTCCTTATATATAATTTTATACATAAAGTACTGTACAGTGGAGTCCCATTCTAACAATGATTGTTCCTGGGTCCCTCAGTACATCACATCTTTCTTGGCATCCAATTGTTTTTTACACAATTTATGTTTATATTAGCTCAAACAAATATTTTGATGTCAGTTACATTTTTTTTTTTTTTTTTTTTTTTTTTTTTTAAGATATATACAAGAATTGTTACATTCTTGTACAGCCACTAGTACGCGTAGCGTTTCGGGCAAGTCCTTAATCCTATGGTCCCTGGAATACGATCCCCTGCCGCGAAGAATCGTTTTTTCATCCAAGTACACATTTTACTGTTGCGTTAAACAGAGGCTACAGTTAAGGAATTGCGCCCAGTAAATCCTCCCCGGCCAGGATACGAACCCATGACATAGCGCTCGCGGAACGCCAGGCGAGTGTCTTACCACTACACCACGGAGACTGCCACATGGAAAAGTACATTGTTTATTAATAAACATTCAATTCATCAGCTTCTTCCTAAGTTAAAATTTGATACTTTGTAAACCAAGATCATGCACTGTCAGACAGGATGACATAATGGATCAGCACTATGCAAACTTTTCATACTGTCCTTGCAAGGTCATTAAGGTTCTAGTCCAGTACTGAAGAACAGGCAGATGGTGAGTTACAGTAATGTTGTAAAAATTAGACTCCAAACCCACAAATTTGAAAATGAAGAATTAACAATGTTTTGATCTGTTGTAGATCATTATCAAGTTGTGTGCACTTGATGATGGTCTAGCACAGACTGAAACGTCGTCAGTGCTATATTTTCAGATTTGTAGGTTTGGTGTGTGAAGAACACATCAAAATACTGTATTTTGTACTGTACAAAATACTGTAGCCATGAATTCCAGATAAGGGTTTGCTTATAAAAACCAAAGCCCTACATAACCCTGCCTTCATGTCACAGTTTGTGTGGTGCTGGTTCAGTATACTATCCTGCACAATTTCCTGTCTTATGGACCCAGCAGGAAAAAAATAACCCGTTAATATTTATACTCTCATCTGTATTTCAAATCTGGTATAGTTGAAATTTCTTCCATAGTTTAGATGTCTAAACTGCTGCATATAACTAACACTAACCACATCACATTTGTGTCTGAAAGAAAATTTGATGCAACACATCGCCTGTTGCATCAGATTTTCCATCAGATGGGGAGTCTGTTGGACCTGAAATCCATGGCACTGTGTACAGTAATGTATATATAGTGTTGTTTTATATATTAGGTTAGTGTAATCAGTGTATGGTATCACATAACTACAATTACAGTACTGTATAAATATTGAGAAATTAAACCACTTAGTCATTCCCTTACTCATGGCCCGACAGGGAGAAGAGGGGACGTAAAAAATCTACAGTGTGTTGGGAATGTGAATGACCTTTTGTTTAGGTTAGAATTTGGAAGTATCCTTTGGAGAGCTGTACATTTGCCAAAGGGAATGACCAAGTGGCTTCCTCAGAAGCAGCTTTCCATCTTAATTGTCATTTTTTAATATTTATAGGACTGAGCATCCACCCTGTACGTCCATTTCTACTAGCGTCCTGCTCAAGGGATTCCACATTGCGGCTTTGGTCATTGGCCTCATTTGTGATGCCACTCCAGCTTAAAGTTTTAGCAGGAAAACCCATTGATGAAATTATTGAGAACAGTGGTCAGTATCTAATTTTATTTACAATGTAATATATTACTGTACTTTAATCATGAGGTTGTTAGTCTTTTCATAGTAGTTTCCAATTGTCAAGAACAGAAAGCTTGTTAGACTTACCAAGTTCCCTCCTCCCCTGCTACCAAATGACTTGCCATTCTTCAGGGATTCAACCTACTGTACCTATTTACTACTAGGTGCACAGAGTCATCTGGTATAAAGAAAGCAAAGAAACATTGACAAGCATTTCACTCTGCCTGGAAATCACACCTAGGACCAGTTGTGAGCCAACAACTTTAAATATTGAGGTGAAAGATATGAAGTGATTTAAGCTATATAGGAGCTGTCTTGCCTACATCTGTCTTATACAATAGGAAGGTTGTTAACCAAACCACATACTAGAAGATGAAAAGATGACATTTTAGTTTATCCTGGACTATTATCAAGTCAATTGTCGACTTGATAATGGTCCAGGACAGACTGAAATGTCATCGTCTTTTCATCTTCCAGTGTGTGGTTTGGTCAACATTCTTCAGCCACGTTATTGTGACTCATCATCTGCATAGGAAAGTTGGCCCAAGTTGAAGGAGAGTTGAAGGTTGGCCCAAGGCACCAGGCATTTGTCAATATACTCCACGGGTGGCTTTCTAATTCACCTCGATAGTTATGTTTACCAATTGTAGTGCTTGAGATTCCAGCATTACTTATTTGGTAGCCCTATTTACTGTGCTCTCTTTGATAATTGGTAAAGTCATTATTTCTGCCTAGCGCACACTACTATTAGTGTGGATAGTTGTCCTCCTCACAACACACCTGTTGCTCACCATCATTACAGTGTTTACATATGGTAAAAATACAGTTATAATTATTATTGATGAAATATGACATTATCAGAATTTCGAAATGAAAGTTGACTATTTTTAGGAATCGACAAATATTTATTATGTTGTTCTCTACTTTTAAAGTTGATCACTATTTCAGAACAAAAGAACTTTTCCAGTGGCCTCCACTTATGTGGCCTGAGAGCAGACCACCTCCAGACTGCCTTACAAAAAGCAGACATCTCCCACCGACCCAACAAGAGACTGAAGTTATTCGCTGATCTCTTCTGTGTTGGTGTTGTATACTCTTGTTATTGGATTTCATTCCTTCATTTTAATGTATACTTTTGTTAAGTTTGAAGCTTTCCGTTCTAATTTTATGCACTAAAGCCTTGTTAAAGCCATTTTTTTCATATTTAATTGGTTATCCAAGCATATATTTAACCCTTTACATTAGTCTTTGACACACAGGAACATTAGTGATTTAATTAATAAAGTTTTGACTTGTGAAATCAGTACAATAATGTCTCCTGTTCTTGTTATATTCTCATTTGTGTTTATACATATAACAATTACATTCAGTACATTAATGTATATTGTACCCTATAAGATTTTTTACACAATTTTATTTGTGAAAAGCTTCTTTCTGAATGTGTTATTCTGCTGCATCCAAAGGAATTTCAATATCAAGAAAGTAAGTGACTTCAATGAAGCAGGTGAACATGAGGTACTATTACTAGTACAGAATCCATAGCATCTCCGCATGGTCCATCCAGCACTTAAATGTCCATCAGTCAGTTTATATTCTTGTCCATTTCTGATTCTTAGTGATGTCACTTTTGTGTCCATAAGTACGGATTAAAATACCCCAACAGCTTATCATAATACTCCTTGCTTCCTCCCTGCAAGCCCTAAGGTGAAACCAGCTTTGCTCATTGAAGTGCAAACTAACATCAGTACTTGTAATAGATCTAACAAAATTATCAAGCTAGAAGAGGGATTATTCAACAAATTCAATATTAATAATAAAAGGATACTGGAAAAAAATAAGCTTGGAACCTACCAACACTCGATGGGACTCTGTTCTAAGTAGTAAAAATAACATACAAGAAATAGAACAACTGACTGCAGTAGCATATAAAGTCTGTCTGAAACATGTTCCTTTGCAGAAAGCCAGAATGAGAACTAGCAGGTACGTTGTGTAACCTCAAAATTCCCCCGCCCATCCCCCTTCTCTTGGCTGATGGGCAGTCCATTGTTCTTGTTGGGAAAGTGGCATATTGTGTCATTTGTTGGTCATGGCCTGAAAAGATATTTTCTTTGAGACCCCATGCTAATCAGCCAGAAGCCACGACCAGAATTAGGCATTTTGTATGAAGTGAGGTGAGCATTGGGATCGGATTTAACCAAAATTGAGAATAACCCACCAGAAAGACTAGATCTCATGGAGTACTAGACTCTTGTCGTGGCTTCTGGTAGGTCAGCATGGGGTCTCAAGGGCTTGGGCACGTGTTAAGGCTTAACAACACCAGCATATAAGCTAAAGGGAGCTACTGGTGACTCACCAGAAAAGTGTATTTCATTACGAGCAATGCTTGATTTTTACAAAGCATTTTCAAAATATTTAAATTTTTAGTATATAAAATGCATTAATGTCGTGTTGTTGTGCAGGGTGATGTACGAATAAGGAACTTGTGGGATCTGGTGTCTGTGCTACAAGGACACACTGACATCTCGCAGCTTTCACCGAACTATACTCAGTCCATAATGCATCATTCTCACCTCATCAAGTGTTCACTGGTTGGTCTTAAAAAACTAACTTTTTAGGGGGGTCTTTTATTTTTTTCTTGACTGCAATCTTTATATATTAAGTGTATGTTGGTCTAATCTTTTCCTACATATTGTATATAATATTATGTGTATGTTTCCTTACTGTTAAGTGAAGGAAGGCATAAGGTGTAAGTAGGTACTCTGGGGTTAGGCAACTGCTGTGGGTTGCTTCATCAGATAGATCAGTATATATTAGCTTAGGGGGGACCTGAGCCTGGGAAACACATTAGGCTCAGTGAGCCTAACAGGTTTCCTGTCCCCAACAACGGGAAACCATATTCCTTATATTAGGCCATACCAGCTCCATCACCAACATCACTATAAGGGATAAGATATATCCATATAATGGGTATTTAGCACATTGTGGAATACTATACAACATAATAATTGGCATACTAACAAGGGCAGAATGTGACCTTACAACACATCATATATTAAATTAGGCCAGAAGTAGAAGAAGAAACCACCCAGAAGTAGATCTTAAAGTATCAGATTAACAACTGACCTACCATATGGCAAATATACTCCCAAAATTCACTCTAGAATGAATAGTTTACCAAGCATTTTTTAAAATACAGAATTCATCTTTCAATTTTCATTAATAAGATTGTTTCAATAGTTAATGTTTCACATCAGGCTGTGGCAGCAGAGCAAGAAATGGATGTTAATCGTGGCCAGGGTGTGTCCAGCCGCAAGCACTCGCTGGCAGAGAATCAAGAGCATCTGGCTGAATCATACCTCAGATGTGGGGCTCTTCAGCAGTACTGTGAGTTGATGACCAGACTCCACCAATGGGACCATGCTCTTGCCCTAGCACCAGCTGTTTCTGTGGATTATTGGCGCAAACTGATGGCCAGGTAGGTTGTGCAGCTGTACAGCTTCATATACTGTAGTTGTAAAGGATATATGGTATTATTCATCCCTTGAAATATAGACAGCGTAAGTACATTAAGCCTCTGCTGTCCTGACCACTTCCCACAAACCTCATGCAGGGGTAAATTCCAGCCTTAATAGGGTTGGCTCAACTTGTAAAGGTTATAACATCGGTTATTCGTGGCACTCTAAATAAGGCACTGGGACACTGGATCCAACACAAACATTTGTTAATATTGAACAAAGGCATTAAAGTTTTAAACTAATCTTGTTTGGGACATTGCGCCACTTTAATTACCACCTCATCATTAGAAAATCAATTTAGAATTAGTTTGCCAACACGAAATCTACTGCTTGCTTGATATTTTAAACTTAATAAAGGACCATCATCACTCCACCCACGAGGTTCATAAAACAAAAAAACACTCCACAAAACAAGGGATTGGAAATGTCAGCCTGCAGACACACTGCCAAGTCTTACAGAGCAAATGCCATCACTGAACTTAAATGTTCTCTACATTGGTGGATTGAAATTGAGTCAAAGATATGTAAGGAAGTTCCTGTTCCTTGTAAGGGTGATTAGCAAGTGAAGGAAGAGTTTGTTGAGGCCAATTCCATCCACAACTTTAAAAAGAAATACTGTATGATGATAATGTTCATAATGAGAGGTAATTAGTGCGCCAAATATAAATGACTGGGAGGCAGAGCATAAAGAACGTTGCTCTCCTGTAGTCACTGACAAGCAAGCATTACTGTGCCTGCAAAGTTCGGAGGAAAACACACTCCATTAAACACAGAATTATAATCACAGGCTTACCCAACCTATATGTGCTGCAATAGCTAGACATGGAGAAGACAAATTGGCTAGCAAGCCCCCAAAACACCCGATCTGTGATGCCCACCATCACAGACTGCTGCCATGACAACAGCAACACAAGAACAAACTACTCTTGATAAAGCAATCCCAGCTAGTTGCAGATGCCTCAAAAGTTTGCTCTTAACAAAGTGGAGAAATTTAACTCCCACAATGTTAATTACTTTTTTAATCCACCTGGACTTATCTTTGAGTGGATAACCAAGAACATGAGTGGATGTTACAAGCTACAACACCACATAAACAAAATGCGTGATACTGAACTAAACACCACTCCCCCAAGTGTAAGCCAACCACGAGAGCTGGATCCCTCACCCTTAAAATAAGGTCCTGAAGTGCCTTACTAAAACACTGCCATCCTACTTGTGCTAATCTGTTTTATATTTCAATTCTTATATTGAATCATCACATTGTTGATGCTCCCATCTCTCCTTATTGTGGATATATCCCCCACTTTTTTTGTCTTATTTTCATCTTTCTTTTGGCCCATTTTGACTTATAAAGATTGTTTACAGATGTTTTCTGTTAAGAAATATACCTCTGTCAGCACTTGTACTTACCAGTACAGTACTGTAGTACTATATTTACTCTATCTGATTTTCTAGAATAAATATAGAATTTAAAAACATACAACAGTGCATTGTTTAAAGTTTAGGGTAAAGAAAATAATGTGGCTTCAACTTCATTATGAAAGTCATTTTACTTTGTGGAATGTTAAACAGTATAGCATTGTAAGGCCATATAATTCATGCTAACTGTAGCACTGGTTATTAAGAAAGCAAAATGGGTAGTGTTGTGATTTTATAAAGTTGATTAGTAATGACATTTTACCAAAACATTGGGACTTTCTTTATTATTTATTATGATTCTTTATTATTTGTTTATTTTAGGTCTTATGAAAGAGCAAATTGTTATTTTTGTGACCATAATTTTCCTTTAGATGTGGTGCATTTTAATGTATACATATCATCTTTTTACTTACTGTAGTTTAGCAAAACAAAACTTTGTTAATAATTTTGTTTATATCTGTACATGCTTTCAGTGTGACCCCATATTTTTATCCTGATAATCTGTTCCATCCTCTGTACCCTAACAACCATTAACCTCAAACCCTAAGGCATGCAGAGCAGCTTTTGAGTGATGATAACGAAGCGTGTGTCCCGTACCTCTTGGCCACTCGTGATGCAGATAAACTCATCAATTTTCACATTGGCCGAGGTAGAGTAAACAACGCCATCCTTTCCCAGAGTTGTCACTGCACTGGAATGCCCACTGAGAATGCCGTGAGTGACCGTGCTCATATTTCACACAAGAGACGAACCACCAAAGTAATGCTTGAGCCTCCAGTACAGAACTGTTGCTGCTACCTAGTGATAGACTTTAGTGTAGATTTGTGTTGATTAAATTTGAGGTAAATAATGGAATACAGCAGCTGATCCATGAGTTGAGTCTTCATTGGCTGATTACTTAGTAAATGCACATAATGAGCATTAGTCTCATGTCATTGGCTAGATGATAACCAGGTGTCACAATCACAGAATTTAGAAGAGAATTTGACTATTATAGTTATAATTGACACAAACAGGATAAATGCCTGCTGTGGTTATTGGGGTGCAGATATTTCTCTGAGTTTGAAACTAGTTTTATACACTGTATAAGTTATTGTAGTTGGCACAAGTGCACTCTGTAGCACAATGATTAGCTCAGTCACCACACAACAGATTTGTCCTGGGTTTGATTTTTTAGGCAGGGCAAGACTTTTTGGCATGTTTCCTTACACCTGATGCCTATATTCACCTAGCACCAAATAGGTACCTGGGAGCTAGTCATCCTAGAGTGTGTGTGTGCCAGTCACTGGCATGGCAGTGGATGATGCAAGTTTCACTTGGTCAGTTGCTCAGATATTATTTGCTGCATTACCATGCAGACATTCTAGTGACAGGCTCCCTGTACACCAACAGTGTGATATAATACTAAACTAGTTGTGCCATGAGAGAAATCTATACTGCAATCTTACTGATCAAATGGAGAAAAAACAAGGCAGTTATATAAATAGTATCATGCAGTCAAACATTAAAAATTCCACATGGTTTGGGACCAAGCTTGTTACAGATATACTGTAGTGTAGTACTGGGTACCTGATACACCATTCTAATCTAACTTGATACATTATATATACCGGTAATGGAAACATAACTTTGTACAGTACTTAACAAACCTGTAGACCTCACTTATTCTTAACTAGCTGTACCCGGCCACGCGTTGCTGTGGCTCAGCACCGTATGCGTGTTGCTGAGCTACAGCAACCCCTCCCCTGTCCCCTCGTCCTCCCCACCATTTCCCACTCCCGCGTCCCCTCATCCTCCCCCACTCTCCCATCCTGTCGTCCTCCCTACCATTCTCTCCTCCCCCGTCTCCTCGTCCTCCCCACCATTCCCCCCCTCCCCCGTCCCCTCGTCCTCCCCACCATCCCCCACTCCCCTGTCCTCTCGTCCTCCCCACCATTCTTCACTGCCCTGTCCCCTCATCCCCACCGTCCCCCACTGCCACGTTCCCTTGTCCTCCCCTCCATCCCCCACTCCGTCCTTAATCCTATGTTCCCCAGAATACGACCCCGCCAAATCGTTTAACAACCAGGTACCCATTTTACTGTTGGGTTAAACAGAGACTACAGTTAAGGATTTGCACCCATCAAATCCTCCCCGGCCAAGATACAAACCCCGGCCAAAGCTCTCGTGAAATGCTAGGCAAGTGTCTTAACACTACACCCTGTGGACATTGGTTTGGATTATTCTTGTGTATACAGTTCTGTATATTATAAATTACAAGAAATCTAAAAGCAGAACTTTTATCAGGTTTCATACATTTTTCTGATCGAAAACTATTTCCAGATCTATGAGGTTTGTTATGCAAAGTTCCTGATTATTTAGGTCAGACAGTACTTTTTAAGATTTCTATACAGTACTGGCATAGACTTTCTCAAAATTAAATTTTTATATACATGTTTACACCTACTATCCCACAAACACTTGCACTCCTCTTCTACATTTTATCATTTCCTGCTCTATATTTTGTATCTAATCTTGCGATGACACTGCACTACTAAGGCTTAATAATGACTGCTCTCTTGCCTCTTGTAATGTGTCCATGCCCGGCAGTGCTTCTTCTGCTACTCTAACTCGGCACTTTTTCCTGCTGGATTTTATATTAAAGCTACACTTGACCATGGCAGATTTGTCCCAACTAGAAAATTCTCTTTACGAAGTTTATTCAATTTATTTAATAAGAAGAACACAGTAAAATTTACATGCATGTAAATTAGATACATAATTTAAAGACACCTAAATGGCATCCTTGTTTGAAATTGCTTAGGTTATTGTCATCTTGACTTTGCTCTGTTGTTTATATAACTTAAATCACAATGTATCAGGCTTTTACCTATAAGCAGGTAAAGTTTTATTCATATTACATAATTAGTTTTGTAGATTTTGGGTGAAATATAGTAAATAGGTGTAACACTAGTTAGAATGTTTTATAACCCTTACCAATTCTGAATATAAATTTAATGAAAGACTGTTTAGATTAAACAAGCTGTAAGTCTTCAAGATTACTGGACTACACAACTGTTAAAAATGAGGAGAGATGGCATAATTCACCCTTCAGATTAAGGATAAATAGGTGTAGTGCATCTGAAGTCTCTCTCCAAATCTCAGTGATGACACTGTGCTGATTAAAACCAGTTTTGACTTTCTGTTGGGTTTCCTCAATTTTGGTTTTGGTGGTCATTTCTTATTCTCTCCTAGCTCTTTTGTTACAGGTTGATATCCATTACTAGTTCCTCATACTATTTGGCATTAGCAGAGCTTCTCTAACTTTGTTAAACTGGTTCTTGCATTATATCATCCCTGGCTGACTCAAGCTTCACTAGAATGTACTTGATCCTTGGATCATGTGGTATTGTTCATATTTGCTAATCATTTTAGTGTGTCCTTCATTGGAGAACTCATTCTGGTATAGCATATAGTAGGGGTGGTACAGCATAAGGTAGCAGTGGTACAGTATATAGTAGGGGATGGTACAGTGTACAGGTATTGTAGGGATGGTACAGTAGTGTGGTACTGAAAGCAATAGTCAATACTAAAGAAGAATGACAAGTTGATGAGGTCCTTAAATAATGAAGAAGTGAACAAGAGATACAGTTTTCTCAAGACTGATCAATACAGCTAAATATCCCAAAATGGAAAGAAAAGATTTCGAGGCGAAGATTTGAAGAGTGTACAAACGAAGTTAGTGAGAACTATTTTGTAAAAATGCTAAAGATATGCTTGATGAACAAAGTAAGACTTGTGGCAAGGAGTTGACCATGCTGGGCTCTAGAACAGTGAAGAAATATTGTACATAAAGGGTAAAAGGAGCTAACCATGCAGGACTTAAGAAAATATCTTGTGATAAGGCATGATTTAACTTACTGGATAAGGAGGGAAACTGTGTAAGATATACACATTTCTAGAGATACACTCATGCATATTCTTACATAGAATGTAAAATTGTTATATTTTTGTCTTTTAATTATGGCTCTAGAATTTTACTGCTCATGAATGACTTAAGCAGGAACATTTAAATGGAATGGAATATAATGTGGCATGAAATGTATGATTGCATGAGTTTTTATATTCAAAAGACATTTTTAAATTTTGTAATATGCTGCATGACTATATTATATTGTACTTGCAATTTGCTGATGTATTAGAAACACTTTATTTAGTGAATAACCCCCTGAAGTCCTGAATAAATTCTCCCTATACTCATGAGTGGAATGTTTCCTTACGAAAAAAGCCTGTTGTTTAGCGGTGATTGTTGTAGAAATTAGATATGTATTTTCTTGTGATATAGCACATTGTTGCCTTTTCAGGCCACCTTGACAAAGCATTCTCAGAGTGTGTGGCACTGAGTAAAATTGGCAGAAGCAGTCGGAAAGGGCCCCCACCTGAGGTTCCACACAGAGTGTCGGCTGCAGAGATAAACGGGGCTCACGTTCAGGAGAGAACAGTGGAGTGTGCTCATTTAGTGGCAGAGTGGCACCTACTTCATGGTTCACCAATAATTGCTGCATGTGCCTTGTTGGCTGTGGATGATGTTAAGGTATGGCTGTTTTCTTTATTCAGTATATAGTATATGCTTCATACAAGTCAATCCAAGATATGTCTCATTTACCCACATATCACTCATGGCTTGGGGAAACATTTTCATGATAAAACAAATACTGTAGAGCAATAAGGAAATAGCTTCATATACATTAGGTAAGCTCCATGTTCAGTATGCGTATAAGGATGGTGATAATTACAATAATAATAATAATAATAATAATAATAATGATACCTCAATAATAATAAAATAGTAATTTTCTCAATAATAGTAATACTGTGCAGTTAGGCTTAGTATTATGTACTATTATATTATACATTTAATTTCTACACAATACATAGCATGCTCAGTTAAGAACGCTTAAATGGAGTGTGGCAACAGAAAGCTTAGCAGCAGCAGCAGCAGTAGTAGTGGTGGTGGGCTGATATGGGCTTTTCATATTACCCCAAGTCTGCTTTTAAACACTATGAAGCTCTTTAGCACTCCCTTGACAGTTTTTTATTATAATTAATTCTACAGTTAGCATTCAGTTAGCAACTGAAGCCCAGTCAGGGTTTCATGCATTACCCCCTTGCACTCTGGCTTTGGTCCAGGAGTTCTACCTTCAAATGCACATTGAAATATAATGTGATGTGTCAATAAGAAAATCAGTAGGAGTCATGAGGAGGATTTGAACCCGCACCCTAGGTGCCCCCAAGCACACACACCTATGTTGTGGTGTAGTGGTCTAGGGCATGTGCTTGGGAGTACTGTACCAAGTATGCGGATTCAAATTCTTCTCGTGGCTCCTACTGATTTTCTTGTTGATACATCACGTTAATGTGATTTCATTTCCCGTTTGAAGAGAAACATTAGAGGTGGAACTCCTGGGCTGCAGCCAGAGTGCATGAGTGCAATGTGTGAAACCCTGATTGGGCTAGAGTAGAAGCCTCAGGACCCCTAGAGGACTCAGTTGAATCACAGGTTGCATTTTTTTTTAAATCATGTTGTGGTGTAGTGGTCTAGAGTGTGTGCTTGAGAGTACCAAGTGTGCGGGTTCAAATTCTACTCATGGCTCCTACTAATTTTCCCATTGATTCATCACATTAATGTGATTTCATTGTGCAATATTTCTCTTTCCAGAGTGCACTTTCACTGCTTCTACGTGGCCACGAGTTGGAGCTTGTAGTTGCTGTAGGTCGTTTGCTAGGCTTTGAGACTCCAAAGCCAGAAAATGCAAGTAAGACTGATACTACAGAAATGAAGGGTCTGGTGGAAACATCATTACGTTACCTCACTTACCGTGCCATTCGACTTTCACTGTGGGAGCTTGCCATTGATCTCACCAAGACTCTGCCTGAGGTAAAGGAAAACTTTCTCGAATTGTCTACACTCTTGTTAATTTATTCTTGATCTGTCATATTATATTTTGTTCATAATGTGTACTATATACAGCTAATTATACAGCTAAATGTGTACTATATACAGCTAATTGAACAATACTGTAGTTTTCTTATTTTATGTTTATTTTCATAATGTAGGGAACAGATAAAACCATTCTACAAGCTGAGGTGTTGTTGTCATTTATGGGTGGGCACGAGGAGCAAGAAGCGTTATATGCTTACGCAGGATTCCCACCATCTGCAGATTGTCCAGAGAAAGCTATTGGTTCAGTGCTTGATCAAGTGCTTTATTTGTTGCTCTCACCACAACCACACAAGGGGCTTTCTAAAGGCCTAGAATTTTTACAAGGTAAAATTTTTTATTATATATACAGTATATCACCGTGTGATATCACGGTGATAATTTTGGAGGCGAGCATTTTGTCTCGTATAGCACTGTCAAAATTCACCGGTTACTTCAGTTAAACAGAGTAAAGTACAGTAATACCAGATATTCTTGGCAGTGACATAGAAGTTGCAACTAAAGGGTTTGATGGAGTGGTGGCCTGTATGTACTCGCCTAGTTGTGCTTGAGGGCTTTGATCTCTGGCTCTTTGGTCCAGCATGCGAGACGCTTATGTGGTATGATCATGACGAGTGAAGAGTTGGAGCCATAAAAATGGATTATCTGAGAAGCATGTGCACTGTTAGTAAGATAGAATAAGGAATGAAAATGTCATAGGAAGTGTGCAGAATTCAGTACAGCAGATGATTGAAGAGAGAGCATTGAGATCATTCATTTGTAAAACTAAATTATGTTTCTGATGAATGTGTGCATTTGAGGTAATTTGAAGGCAAGAGGAAAGGAGGAATGATAATAAGTTGATGAACAGACATGTTGAGTGAGTGAGGAAGCTTTGCCTCAACTCTGTCAAACTTTTGTTCATTAATTTCACTTGGATAAAACATCATTCACAGTCATTAATCTTTGTGAAGCATATGTTAGTCAAGAAGGTATATCATTAATAGTCATGTTTAAATTATGAAATTTGTTAACAGATCAGCTGATTGGCGGGAATCTTGATCGACCAAGTGTGTGGTATGTTCTTCGTCTGGTTCAGGCTGTCCCTCTTATCCAAACTGATGGAAAATGGGTGATTCGAAACGACCAGCGAGGAGAACTACTTGCTGTTTCTGCATACCTTGGGGCAGTGAAAGCTGCTGTATTAGAATATGGCCCTATTGTTCTACATCTTTTGAGTCATGCAAGGTATATTTTACTCATATTCTCTATCTGATGATAATTTTAAAATTATTTGATATGAAAAATGGAGTCGTCAGCAAATAATAATAATATACTCTATCTTGAATGATATTTTAATTCCTGGTACTGTATTAGCAAAAAAATTTTCATTTTTCATTATTGTCATCCCATTTCCCACTCTCAGAGGATGTAGAGGTATATGCATAAACAATCAAGTAGGTTATGTGGTTCCCACATTCTTATGCTTCGGGCATTCTTGTGGCTCCTTTGCAGGGATGAGTCGATGTCCTCTGTGTTGAGTGTTCCTGTCCCAGGAGACCAACCTGGGTTTCTTTTGGCCTTCGGTGTTCTGGTCTGGCAAGACCTTGTTTTGGGTACTTCCTGCACGTTCGTATACTGAAACCTACCTGTATGGTGTTCCACTATTTGGAATACATTTATTAATATGTGCATCATTTTTCTGATTATTTCTATTTCCTGGTCAGTTTGGCCTTCATCTGGGTGTTTTTCCAGTTTACTGGAATTGTGCAGGCTTCAGGTTGGGTGGTCCAGATCCCTGTACTGTATTTTTGAAGGTTTCAGGGGATTGATCCTGTGTTTCTGGGGGGTTGTTTCTGCACTTTGCTGGTACTCGTGTATTTTAAATTCTAAAAACTGAAAAAGGAGCTGCCTGCATTACCTAAGCAGCCACCAGCCAGTTATGAAACTGGCTGGAAGCTGCTTAGGCAATGCAGGCAGCTTCTCTTTCTCTCTACCCTTGTTCTGGCTTTTGTGTGTATAACTTGTTTTTCTCCTGTGATCTTCTTAAGATAGAGGTGAGGGTTGTTTGGAGGACTGATATACATTTTCATTTCAGCTCTACTGTCTTTTCAATGACCTGGTTGCTTGGATCAGTATGTCTTGCTTTGGGTTTATCGTACCATAAGTTTAGGATGTGTCTTGTGTGAGTGAGGCTTGTGCCTTCATGCTGGGATGGCTGAGGGGTTTGTCCACTGGGGACACTCTTGTGACCTCTGTATCCTTGCTCTTTGTTTGTGTTAGCCCTTCGTAAACTTGGCACCCAATTTACAGGTGTATTTTGTGATGCCAAGTTCATTGACTTCATTAACATGGAGAACCTAATTAACAAGGTAAAAAAGAAAACGACAGTTGGAGTTATGGAAGGGTTAATGGAACCAATGAATATGGAAGATCATGAAAGTAAACTCACTATTCTAAACAGTGCAAAGGTTCTGTGCTCATAATGCCAATCTATATTCCTTAAACTTGCTGACCTTCTTTAACCTCTTGTACTCACTGCATCACCCCCGTTTTTATTCTGAGACATGCCAGGCAGGATATGCCACTCTCAGTCACCCTCATGTCATCACCTCATATCTAGTCATCACTCATTTTATCTAAGAAATGAAGTGAGACAACTCATGATGCAATGTATGTTTTTCTCATATTCCTTTCTTCCAGTTATATCCTAGAGAAGCATAGGCCATCGAGCTGTGAGTTTCTTGCCGACCACATATCTGCAGCAAAAGCTAAGTAAGGGCTCCATAAAATATAAGCAGCACGTATGTATTTTCTGTAAGTGAATACTGTATTGCCATTGCTTTTGACTGAGTTAATCAGTAATCCTTGTTGGTCTCCTGTCACATGTGGGATATGTATCTTGGCTCTGCACAGGCAAAATTTTAGTTAATCAGCCTGTTTGTTCCTTGGGAACAAACAGGCTGATTTCTGTTCAACAAGGCTGTTCCTTGTTGTTGTTTCACAAGACGAGTTTTCCACATGACGAGCTCGGTGCCGGAACGGTTTAAACATTTAGCAGTCCAATGACTGGTGTTTAACCAGTCCTGGGTGGGACAGAAATAGTTGGGTACCTTTCCTACCACCTAATGCCTATGTTCACCAAGCGGTAAATAGATACCCAAAAGTTAACCATCTTGTTGGATTGCATCTTGGGGAGGGTCAGTAGTTCAACCTTGGGGGACCTCCATATAAGCCTAACAATATCTGTTATAGTATTACAATTGTTATTTAAGGAATTTTGAATCAATGGCCATCATATCCATCCCATAACAGGTGGGATGAAGGAGATTGTGACTGGGGTATCGACAGCAGCAAAAATCCTGAGATTTGGAGTGACGTTGGCATTACAAGAGTTAGCGGGTCTCATCTGCCCCGCCATTCTGACTCTCAAATTTGCTGCATAACTAACAAGATGATAAAGGTCAGTTAGGCTATGGCTTTTCTTGTTATAAACTTGGGAAGGATAAATCAGACATTGAATTTAAGATGATAATTACTGTAATAAGTTTCTTTCTATGAATACTGTAACTGGCTTCATCCTTGTTATTGATGAGTGACATCTCCACATACCCTTGCTAATTAGTACTTCTGAAACCTTGTTCTTATTTGGAATGCATAGTCATGCAATTAAGTTTATTATCACTAGAGAGTATTGCCTATTATAATTCTAAATACCATTTCACTTTTTAGGGTCCCAGTTACTTTCTGGAAAATGGAGAGTCCGTGATGGGCCAGAACGATGCACTCATGTGGGCAAAAGTCCACCCGTATTCACCTCTTGGCACCGGCCACCGACTTAATCCATTTTGAGCTACATTTTAAAAAAAACTGCACGCTGTTTTTAGTATAAAATTAATAAGCCAAACAAACTGAAATGATCTTGTCATTTTTCTCACCGAGATCAGGAAGGTAACATGACAGCACTTTCCACTTGCTACAGACATATGCCAAGTTCAATGTTGTACTGCTATAAAGACATAATGATAATTTTTAAACAATATAATGACTAGTTATATTGTTAAGGGGTAACATTTTGTAATTTTATAAGCATTTTGCACATTTTTATTCTGCAAGATTAATTGCTATTATTAATAGAGCTCTTATATTCCACTTATGGCTTGTCTAGTTGTCACAAATAGTAGGTAATAGTTCTGTTATGAATGATCTAGTTGACAACCATTCACAGATGGTAGCTACAATGTGTAGTGGTTTTACAAACCATTGAGAAAATTACTGAAATAATTTTATTAATATTTGTTTGCTCATAAATAAATATATATACAGTGGAACCTCGAGTGATGAGCGGCTCCAGTTATGAGCATTTCGAGTAACGAGCGAGTGACTCGCAGAAAATGTGTCTCGACCGATGAGCGTTCCCGCTGGTTCTCGGACATCTTCGACGACAATTTTGTTGTTGTTGTTTCACAAGACGAGTTTTCCACATGACGAGCTCGGTGCCGGAATGGTTTAAACTCGTTAATCTAGGTGCCACTATCTATCTATATATACTATACACTATAGTATATAATCTAGGTGCCACTCTATCTATACACTATACTCAAGGTGAGATTCATTCACTTATCTTCATAAATGTTACAGCAGCCAACAGGTGCATTGTTTGATATAATTTTGTCGAAAACAAAAAATAGTCTTTTAAAGCAAAGGAATTAACTTAAAGCTGAAATAAAGGGGCTCTTAAATTTTGAAACTCAAGCAGACATTGATGGCAATAAGGAATTTATTCTTTTATTACTAACTTTAGTATTTTCCTGATGTTAAATAATGGTTTGAAGTGCCAAATAATATGCATAACGAAATGCTAAAATGCCTGTCTTCAAAAGCATTAGAATAACTAATCGACATTTTTCATTTGTAGAAACTTTTATGTGAACGAAAATTTACCATTATTTGTAGTACCGTCAAAAACTGGAAAATCAGGACTAGAACCAGCAATCTACAGGTCTAGTGTCCTAAGAAGGTTCATGTGTAAATATTAGTGACAGATACGTCCCTGATGGGGTTTTGGGAGTTCTTCTTCTCCCAGAGTCCGGCCCAAGGCCAGGCTCGATTTGTGAGAGCTTTGCCCAACAATCTGTTGCTTGGAGCGGTCCGCAGGCCCACATATCCACCACAGCCCAGTTGGTCTGTATTGGTAGATAAACACCTACCTTCAGTGGTACAATACTTAGAAATCAGATATATTATTAGTATATATAGCTCAATATGGTCACATATATTACTGCCGAACTAAGATTTAGCACGACTCGTGCCCTTCAGTGGTTCATGGTGACAGCCTTAATAGCATGAACTTTTAAGACAGACAAATTACAAATATTTTAAAGTGTTATTTTAGCTACTGTATTTAAAAGTTTTATAATATTAGTATTGCCTTAGTCTGATGATATCCAAAGATTATAGGGTTTTTCTACACTGTTTTAAACACACATCCCTCATTGCCTTAATTCACTGTAATAATATTAGTTTGATATCAGTTATTATTGATGTTTTTTTACTGCACACATTATCAAAGATACATGAGAAGTAATTTAATTCAGCTTCAATGTGTGTACTGCACACACAGAGACTACTTACAAATGCCAGTATTTTATTCTAAGTACTGTACTAGTAAGACTACTACCATACATTTTGAGTACAGTAGTAGTAAGACTAGAATACTACAGTTCCCTGGCTGTACATAGTCAGATATATAAAACCCTTGTTCATAATTTCTGTCACAAATATTGGTAGGAGTAATAAATTACTACTAGTTGCAACCTAATGATGAAGACCACAAACATTCCTAACTTTATCTATTAAGTCACAGGGAACCCTTAGTCCAGTATTCACAATTCTGAAGTTATGCAACCTTTTTTTTTCTTTAATATTCAGTTTTAAGATTACTGCATTTGTGTAATGCTTTTAAAAGTATATTGTATGCAAATATAATCAAACCTCATTATGAAGCCTGTGTAATAAGTCCCACACATTACATAGCAAGGTCATAAATTATTTTACAATAATTGATTATTAAAGTAATTAGGCCTATCATTAGATAATACATAATATAATAAAATGAAGTTGTATACATGAGGATAAAACAAGTGACTGTCTTTAGGAAGGAGAAACAGGACTAAATTGTTAAGGGCATAATATTACTTATTAAGAGAAAAACATGAGGTCATAACAATTTATTCCAGACCAGTTGTTTTTCCGACCAATTAGCAGCACCATAATCTGTGCATGGCAAGATCTCTGCTTCTGTCACCTGGATGGTCTGCAGTAACACGTTTACAAGCCATTGTAAATTAGTTGATTTCTATGAATGACTTTTGCATGCTGCTTTTCACTGCTGTTGTCTGAAATTATAATAGAATGTATAATAATTATTTAAAAATTGTAATATAATTTGTAATTACTGTACTGTAATACAGTAATACAATTTTGTTGTTGGGAGGAGAGGTTATTTGGTATCTCTTATCAAAAACTGTTTCCCTGCTCTTAGGAAGTAGTAACAACTATTATTAAGGCAATTATAAGTGATTTCCTGTTCGCAAATAGAAGCATCACAAATATCGACAAAGAAATCACACTATAGGGTATACTGTATAAGCAAATTAATAAAGTCAACAGCTGGCTGTTGTAGATTATCATGTTCAAATTATGTATATGGTGAAGGTTTGATGTTGATCACTTGAATATGATCCACGATAACATGATTAATACCATGCGTGATCATCTGTGGATCAACCAAATGTGATTACCTTGTTAATGTCCTGGTAGAGGATTCTGAGTTGTCCTCACTGATTTTGTTCGAAGTTGTTGTGCCTTGTAGTTTATAGTGATCCCTCCAGTAAGTCCCTCCATGAATATGTTACATGTTATTTACAATGTACATCATCAAATGTTATGGATCTTCCCAGTGGGCAAAACATGCTAGAGTGGCGCTGACTCAAAATTGTTTGCCCAACATGTCCTCACTGGGTTTATGGAACAAATATTGTTGAGCTTGTTGAGCATTGCCAAGAGTTTAAAATCACAAGAATAACAGTTATTGTTTTGCTAAATATATGATATTTGAAGTAGACGTTTCACATGGGCCTAGTTGTCAACTTATGAGCTTTCATAAGTATTATTTTGTGCATAATGAAGTGAAGCTTCCAGGGCACGTTATTGTAATATGCCTTACATGGCTTTATTCTTTATTTAGAAAATGCAAATAATAATTAACAATATAGTAACTGCACTAGGTTTACAAATAACAATGCTGTAGCTAGGGCCATATTTTATATTAAGAATTTATATTACATAGTTTCAGTTATATTTCTTAAAAGTAGTGTTTGATTTTTTTTATATATTGACTGGGCTTGTAAATACAATATGTACAGTATATAGCATTTGAACATCCAGAATTTGGCATCTTCATGAATAATTTTACATGCTGAAAAATGAAGCAAATGGGAATATTGGAGACATGATACAGATGTGTATCATCATGAGGAAGTTTGCTATCATGTGTGTCATAGTGAGGAAGCCTGCTATCATGTGTATCATCGTGAGGAAGCCTGCTATCATGTGTGTCATAGTGAGGAACACAAGTGGGATGTTAGTGGAGAGGAAAACGGAGAAAGGAAATACCAGTACTGTACAAAGACAGACGACTTAGACTTGTAACTCGGCCAGGCAGGTGTTAAGTGTAGAAATTGTTTTTTGTTGTTAAACCAAAAAATTGAATTTATAAAGAATAAGTTTTAATGATGTAATTTATACAAGTGTGTGTAATAAAAATAAAAATTTTAGAATTATTTTTTTTTTAATTGCACTTGACATTGTCACCTTTTATAGATATGATAGATGAGAATATAGCATACTACTGTATTGCTAATCTTATTCAGTAATTAGGAACTTCATTACCAGTGCAGTTTTACATAGTGTTTAAAAAAAGGGAAACAGAAAACACATAAGCAAAATACTGTACAGTATATGGTAGAAATTTTGATGTAATTTTACAAGATAATGTTAAAGATTATTTGAAAAGAGATTGTAAATGTTAGTATTTTGGCTGTTGATAATAGTTAATAGAAACCATGTCAGTACAGCTTGATGGACATGGTAAGATATATGCCCGGCATATAAGCAGACTAAGCAAATGTAAAATCTAATGACATTCCTGTTTGCTTTTCAGTTTTATAATGTATCACTTATATCTTAAATTGAATACACTGTACTCTCAATACTGTATTGTTGAATAAATTGATTAATGTTGTAATGGGGGGGAGGGCCAAAACATTTCATGCTTGGGGCTCTCTGGGAATTAATCTCACTACTATTAGTAAGATTGTATGGCATTTTCAGAAGAATCTTTCAGAATATTCACACATTTTTTAATTTTAAATTTTAGTAACTTACTGTATTAGTCTGTTTAAATTTAAATGATCTTAGATGACCTAATAGTGAACAGTACTCGATCTACATTAACAATTTAATAATTGGTAAGTAGTGGATATTTTGCCCAAAACAAATTTTAATATAGTATAGTATAGTCATTTTGCTGCAACTGCTAATATTGGATGAAATGTATTGTTTATTATTGCAATACATCTGTTGCAGTCTATACCAAAGTACTGTAGTGTAGTTGTCAAGTGACCTGTGTCACAAAAACTGTACCTTCAGTAAGGACATTTTGACTTATCCAAACTTGAGCTAACTTGGGCTAATAAAAAGGTTGAAGATGTATGCTTCTTCAGACTTATGATCATTGGCATCAATAGGTTAGGTGCAACAGTGTAGGTTGGTTCTCTTGTGTTAATAAAAAGTGTAAAAATTGAACATTTGTCTAATCATGGGAAAGAACTGAAAATTTAAGCAAACAAATGCATATTTTTGAAAGAGTTGTTTAGAAATTTTATAAGAATTCAGGAAAGTTAAAATATTCAAAATAACAAAATAGTTTTTGTGAGCATACATCCTTATAGTGAGTGTTTGGTGATCCACAGTGGAGCATATTCCTATTTAACCTAAAGCTTGTGTAATATGAAGCATTGTTGCACTGCACATATTAACTTCCCAGTGAACAGGTTTAGCTACAAAGATTTTTGAAACTTTGTGATGGGACAAGTCTCATGTCATCAAGTGTCACAGTGGTCCCATGTTGTCAAGTGTCAGAGCTGTGAATTGGAATCCAAGAACAGTAATGCAAATAGAATATGAAAGCTTCACACATTGCATTATATTTACAAAAAAAATCTTTGTAAATTAATAAATTATTTAAATCACATGGAGAGTAGGTCCATGCACATTCTTGTGTTCAGTTCCAAAAATGTACAAGTTTATGGTACAGTTTTGTCATGTGGGTTACCATAGTCGGAGTCAGAAAGTCTGTTGAGCTTATCTAGGTCTCTAGTCTAGCTACTGACTCTCCCCAGGATGCAACCTTCAACACCTGCCTAACTCCTGGGTACCAATTTACTGCTAGGTGAACAGAGGCTTCGGGTGAAAGGAAACATTGCCCAAACACTTCTATCCTGCACGAGAATTGAATTGCAGACCTTTCAGTTGTGACCTGACTGCACTGATCTCTGCATCAAAGAACCAAATAACCCTTAACTTCACTGTTTATATGTATACATCTTGCTTGAAGCAGGAAGCTTGGGGTTCCTCTAGCTAAGAATAAGATTGTCCATGTGGTCATCTACCTTAGTGTTTTGCCTTAACATGGTTGAGTGATATCTGCTGCACTCTGCCATTAGCAATACACATGATAAGTTTGTTTGCAAAAATGTTAATGTGAACAGCTTATGTAGCCTTCGTTTTGCATACTGTATTTGCAAAATAAAACAATTATCAACTTGCTGTAATTTTTTTCACCATATATTCTGCTTTATGATAAGTTCTACTCGTCACATTTAAAGAATAGTTATACAATACACTACTACAACCCCCTAACCCCAATGACTATGACATATAGGGTGGCTTTAGTACTTCAATGATCCAAAGAACAGTCTAGCGTAACCTGTGAATTACCATGAACTCGTGCTGTAGTGACGGGGCAGTATGCCACAATGGCACTCAATAGGGTGGGCTTCCAATATGGGTCATTGGACTACCCACCAGAGGTATAGTCCATGACGGACTACTCTGCTTGTGGGATTGATGGTCTTTGAGGGTGGGTAAATTATCACTGCAGTGCTCTTCCCTGCTCAAAAATCCTGATGAATCATGGTGGCCCTCAGGTAAATTCAGGTAAACTGTACTTCACCCACACGTACCACACAAAAGCTGTGTTTTCTCCTAATTCATCCAGTACACACCTTTGACAAGCCGCCGGCTTCCTGTCCTCGTCAAGGCCACTAGGGTTAGTGGCCTTGAAGTAAATAGTTAACTATTCTGCATCTCAATCTACACCAATTCGTAAAGTTGGTGTATTTGTTTTATGCACTAAATTTACGTGAGTGTCACTAACATACTAGTGGCCTTAACGGGGACAAAAAGCTGGCGCCTTGTCATCAAAGGTCCCCCCATTTGTCCTGATGCTCTTTCAAGCTAGATTTTAAAGTTCTGCGGTGTTTTGACATTTACGGCTTCGGCGGGTAGGCTGTTCCACGGGTTTATAACCCTGTGGGTGTGAAAATCATCTGGTGTTCTCTGTCCTACATTGTGGCTTGTTGAGCTGGAAATCCTTAATGCTCCTTGTTTGTGTTACATCTGACCTACTGAAGGAATTATCTGGATCAACATCCTCCAAATTGTTCAGTATTTTCAACTTTTCGATGAGATCCGCGCTCTCATGTCTGGGTTACAGTGCTGTTAGCCCTGTGGCCCTCAACCGTTCCTGACATGAGAATCTTGGTGTAGAATGATTTTTGTCCGTGTTGAACTTTCTCCGAAGTATCTATATGTCCTTATAAGATAGTGAAGAACAATGCCAACTATACTACTACTTCTCAACAAGCTACAATACAAGACAGAAAAGAGGAGATGCTTTATCACCCATAGGGTTTGTAATATTCTCAGTTCTGCTTTAAAATAGCAAGGTTTGTGTTAAAATTATCAAAGAAAACGCGTGGGTGTGAGAGTCATCTGTTAGTGTGATGGTGAACTGTGAGGGGCAGGTCTGCCACACTCCTCCAGTGACTTGTCTGTCTATGGCTGTGTTGTTGTCAAGGTGTCGGCTGGTGAGGGTGTCAAGTGCTTCCCGCACCAACGCCAACATACGCTAACTAGCCGTATTATAAGGCACACGAGACTGGGTGAGGTCTCTACAAGGTAATGATATGACGGCCCAAAGTTAACTGGCAGGGATTTGTCATGTGAGAGCTGGCAACAGTCCCAGACTTGACCTCTCCTCACGTTGACGCCAGACCTCTTCCCACACCTCTCATGCCAGGCTCTCATGCCACACCCCTCATGCCAGACCTTCTCTTCTCATACCCTCACGCCAGACCCCCTCTCCCCATACCCTCACGCTAGACCACCTCTTCCTATACCCTCACGCCAGACCCCCTCTTCCCATACCCTCATGCCAGACCCCCTCTTCCCATACCCTCATGCCAGACCCCCTCTTCCCATACCCTCATGCCAGACCCCCTCTTCCCATACCCTCATGCCAGACCCTCTCGTAATTAAGAAGAATGTCATCGTTCGGTATATATACCTATTGTCAAGTAAATACTTTTGTTTCAGGTTTTTGTAATATATTGAGATGGCTGAAAGTAAGAGTAGTGGGGAAGATCCTCAGGAGACCACAGCAGCCACTGAGGCTACCAACACGCCTGACACAACGGACACGGAGAGAGAGTGGGCCCAGGCTGCTCAGTCGGAGTTCACAAAGGGCAACTATGCTACTGCTCTAACACACTTGAACCAGCTGCAAGGCTCCAGACCAAAGGATGCAAAGGTACAGGTGTTTGAGTGATGTTTCCCAGATATCATAATGTGCTGGAGCCATGTGAGGTAACCAATTAAGAATTTGAGATGTTAGCATTAACGTTAAAACTCGAGAACTAGGGGAAACAAAACAGAAAAATATATGTAGTATAAACATTTTAAGCATCGCTGAGAATGACCCCGAGATGTCCTGAGTGTTTATGATCAAGAACACACTGATGGGCGAGAATATTAGCCCTCAAACTGTGTATCCTATTTCTGTACCAGTTTTGACATGCTCGAGAAAAGTTATTCTGAAAAAATATTAAAGTGGTTTAGATATGGTGGGTCAGGAAAATTGAGCTTTTTCTGTAAAAATGAGGTAATATCACACAGGAATAACTTTGTCAGTTTATTTTCATTGTTTCTAGCCTTGTTTAGTTTTTTTTTCTGTGCTATTTCTTTCCAAACTGGTTTATTCATAGGTTGAAATTTGCAGGTACTTATGAATAAGGCTGTAATCGAGTACTACAAGAGTGATCTGAAGAAGACTGAAACGTTTCGCAAGCAGTTGGTAGATATTTGCTCACAGGTGAGAGCTTTTCTGTTAAATCTGTGTCCATGCTGGTTTTATATTCTTGATATACCACATCTAAAAAATATATTTTTTAAATGGGTCATATCTATTTGGAATAAAAATATTTTCTTCCTATGCAGTGTGGCTTCAAGATTGATGAAGTAGACTCCACAGATGAGGTTGACCGAAGTGTAATACACCTTAACCACTGCATCATCTTGTACCACCTCCACCAGTACCGAGCTTCACTCTCACTACTGGACAAGATGTATACAAGCTTGGAGTCCTTAGGTAAGCTTACATCCCATGGTCTTTTACTAAGACCTCAATTTGAAAGACTTGCCTTTTACTATGTACAAGTTTATATACAATCATTGACCCCTGTATTCTAATATCACTTTTTCCAAACAGGCTACTTTCCTGACAGGTCTCCTTCCAAAAAGTGATTAACCATCCCATCTCCAATCCTTATCTTGACCCCCTTCCAAGTGCTATATAATTGTAATGGCTTGGCACTTTCTCCCTGGTAATTCCCCTCTTATAGTCATCTGCCCCTCTCCCTTCTCCAAAAATACTTACAGTACTTCCATCCACACTAGCATATTAAAAAATATGTAGCCTATATAGTACTGTAGTGTAATAATGTTTTTTTCTCAAATACAAATTGCAGTTACATATATTGCACACTTCAGTCTAGGAAGATATATTGTAGCCATCCTTTTGTCTCTCGTGTTGAAACTTTGACTTTGTTGAACTTGATTAGGTTCATATGCTATACCTTTAGCTTCAGACATAAAGTTAGTCCTCTCCAGATATTCCACCATTCTCTTATTGATTTTCTTAAATGTTTTACAGAGTATACAAGTCATTAGTAGGCCTATAGTTTAAGGCCTCGTGTCTTCTGTATTGCTTTAGTATGGGCATCACATTTGCAGTCTTTCAGGTTTCTGGGAATTCCCCATTTCCTACTACAGTAATTCATTATAGATGTTAGTCAGAGGGTTCATGGCATATTTGCTGCCTCTCAATATCCATGGGAAAATCTGGTCTGATCCTACTCCTTTGCATGCATATAATTCATGTGGGTGCTAATTTATTTGCTTCTTAGTACCATTTATGTATTTTTTAATGGTTCCTATTCTTCCATTATGACTTGTATATCAGTTATATAATGTATAGCCATTCTGTCTGCATGTACCACTTGTAGTAGTCTTTTGCTGTGACACAATCATAAAATCTCCTATTGAGCTCTTTACAAACCTGTTTCTTTCTGCGAGGACAGTACACTTTTTCTTTTCATAGTCAAATTTCTTGGTTCATTACTATTGATTATCATCTTGTATGGCTGTATAGTAACAGTGGCTGCTCTTTGGCTTTAGCAACCATTTAATTTTCAAACTGCCTGTCTGCTTTTCTCCTGGCTAGTGTATTAATTTCTGGCCTACCTTATTGCCTCTGTACTATTGTCTGTACTTTTTCAAAACCATCTCTTTTTTTCTGTCTTTGACCTTCTTGCTTTGTGTCTTGAATAATGGGTTAATCACTTTGCTCTCCTTCTTTCTTGAATGGTATATACCTGTACTGTACTATCCTGTGGCTACCATGTATTTATGTGCTATGTACTCAGTCTCATTTGTTGCCCTTTAGCGTGTCCTCCTACTGGACTTGGAAGAAATCCTCCCACTCTCCTGTGATCCCATCTTCCTCTGTACCTGTTATTCCTCCTGCTCTCCTCTTTCAGCTCCATTATGTACATAAACATACAACACAAAAATATATATATATTTCACAGTGGTCACTGGCACCAAGCCTCATGTCTTAAACCCTTGATATCCACCTCTCTGGGTGAGTACCATGTCTTGTGTTGCCGGTTCATTCTCTCCCCTCCTGTATTATGTACTATGTCAGTAAGTATTTATTGTGAAAACCATAATTTTAACCTCTATGTTCTTGCCTCCATCGAGATCATGCATTAACAGTCTATTTTCCTGTAATTTAAGTTACAGAGAACTAGGAACTTAGCCTTTATCCAATCATTATTGACATTAGAATGTGAGGCATAGAATTTAATAGATTAGGAACAAGAAGGCTGGAATCATCGATATTAGAAGGGAAAAAAAAGTTAAATTTGTTAGAAAAATACAGCTATAGACCCATCAGCTTTGCAGGAGTCCTCAATGTACTGAAATTATAACACTAAAAACACAACATATAAACTACAGAGTTTTACATGAATGGGGTTTTGTGTTACTGTGGAAAGTTTGTGTATGCAGGTTTTAGTCCATATATATTATGGGTTTACAGTATTGTTCATCTATATTCAAGCTAGGCACATAAAAGGTTGTATATTATAAATTACTAGTTTTATGTATCTAACATTTGAATTTGTTTCCATTATTTTACATTATAGTGAAATTTAAAATAATGTATTAAGGTAATAAAGTAGGAGATTGACCACCTGCTTGTACAGTCGTTGTTACCTGCTTGAAACACTGACCTTTCAACCAGGTTCTTAATTTTGTCCTTGCTCTTATTTCTAGTTTGTTGCAAGGGGGCAAATTAATGTAAAGTGGGTAGGAGAGGACTTGTTACAAAGAAATGTTAATAACTGCAGCAATATAAATATTTGAGTACTGTACTTGGGACAAAGTGAAATTCATTAGATCATTTGATTACAATGCTGTTTAAGATGAAACTGTGAGCAGGATATATGAGGAGAGTATACTATATATGTTTGTATGTAATGTTCTCTTGCACAGAGGAGAGTGTGGGAATAGGTGTGTGTCTGGTGATGGCCGAGTGTCACCTGGGGGCGCACCACCCCGAGAGGGCTCTTGCCGTCATTGCTCACACGGAAACTACCTTCCTGCCCCAACCCCTTCCCCACACACCCTCCCACAAGCAACCACAACAGGAAAAAGAAAACAAGTAAGAAGACAGTTTTTCTTTGTAAGCAATAGTAAATTGATATACAGAAGAATTTAGTTGACATAGCCTAATTCTAAAGGGCAATGTTTATTCAGTTAGGAAGAACTATATAGGCATTGCATAAAATTTCATGTTGCTTTTGAAGTTGGCCTATATTGTCAAACTAATTATATAATCAATGCTACTTATGGCATGCCATATTTTCTGGTTAGGCCTCCTTAAAGCTTCCCAGAACTTTAGGAAAGAATGGGGATAAGAGATTGACCTAAAATAAAAGGAAAGCTGATCATAATGTCAAAGCAAAACAAAAACCAATGCTTGAGATAGGGAAAATTATGTTAATGAAAGGTTTGGTATCATTTGGCTTTGATGGAGCCCCTCTTGTTCAATTTTGATTCCCTATTTCTCGAGTAATCTCAAGGGCTTTTTAACTTCCAGGTAGCTCACTCTCCAAGTGTTCTTGGTCATTGGATCTGGTCTGGGTATTTTTTCCTCTCCTCGAATATTGGCTCCCTACATATTGAATGTTTTTTTTTGTCCTTGCCATGATTGTGTGGTGCTTTGGTTGCTGGACACAAAGCTAATGTTTCTCTTCCTGAGCATGCACCTCTGCTATCTTCAACTACAGTACATGTAAACCTTATTCCAGCTTTGATTATTTTCCTAATTCCAAGGAGCTGCTGTGAATAAGCTCTGGGGAGCAGCAACTGAGGGGAGCCAAACCAGAAATTGTGTTAAATGTAAGTGCCTTGGTAGCTCCCCAAGTTCAAGTTCAAGTATGTTTATTGAGACAAGAAAAAAAATACATCTCAAAGGGATAGAGTAGCTTAGGCTATTTCTACTCCCCCCCTTTCCCCCCCCCCTTCTTCCCCCCCCTTCCCCCCCCCCTTTCCCCCCCCCCCCCCCCTCCAGGGTAGCTCCCTATTCCAGCCCTGTCATTCCTTTCTTTCTCATGTTTTGGGGGGCTGGCACTGGTGGCTAGTGCATTTGGACCTTGGGTGTCTTGAACTTCCATCTTGAAGCAGTCAAGCAAGTTGGAACTATAATTAATCACCTTATGCCAACCAGCATTTGATTTGTTTTTCTTGTGTTGCCTCTCTTTCAAGCAGTAGCTTTTGTTTCATCTAGATTTTCTGGTCAGTTTTCCTATGTTCGGGTCGATCTCTAATCCCCATTTGCCTTGCCTTGAGAGGACCAGATTGTGGTCTTTGTTCCCAGTCGGCCAGCATATTTCTTAGACTTGGTTCATCCTGAAGGCTTATCTATACCAGGGCTTAAGCTCCAGGAAGCTACTGCAGGGCAGACCAGCAAGAGGTGTTTCATTGCATTTAACTCTTTCTTGTTGCATGTATGATGTTCTATATTAGTGAAAATTAACATTTATGTTCATCATTAGGTCCCCTGAAAAAAGTAGTGTGTCTGGAGGTACTGGCAGCACCAGCAGCAGCAGTAGCAGCAGTAGTAGCAGCAGTAGTAGCAGCACAAGCACTACCACAGATGAAATACGATGTAGTGCCACCCAAGAGCAGCTGAGAGGAAAGCTGCAGCAATTAAGAGTTAGGTCATTGCTAATGATGAGAGCTCTCAGGGTAGCCAAAAAAGAGTTGAAAACAATTGTCACACATGCCGTTACTGCTGGCAATTCTTTGGTAAGGAAAACCTGTCTACTGTATATATATACCCCTTCACATTTGATGGTCAAATAACAAGTTAGCAGTGCATGATTATGTTAATTTCTTAATTATATATCCTTGCTGAGGGTAGGAAATTCCTACTTTATTTTGCCACTGCTTTCTTTACATTAATTTGTAATTTAAAACACACACATTTATAATAAAACAAAGCTTGCTTCTGAAATTGGGTATTGTGGCCCCTTGCAGAACCTTTAATTATTTGCCTTGGATCTTTGCATGTCACAATAATGTATAAATGGAACTTGACAATTTCACTCCCTAATAGGACGATCTACTGGATACCATTATACTTACTGTACTACAGTACTTATGTGTACCTTAGTTGTAGTATACTAAAAATACATGTGTATACAGTACCTTGTACGCTATAGTGCAAAGGTATACCTTAGTCCACAAAGAAATCACGTTAAAGTGAGGTATTGGTGAGAATATCAGTTGAAGCCATGATAAAAGGCTTCGAACCTGCACAATGGGTACTCTCAAGTACAGTATATGCTTTAACCAACTAGGCCACGACATGCACATGTTGCTACATCATGTTAAAAGTTGTGGATCTCGTGGAGCTCATCTGCTTCCGGACAAGAACCGAAAACATAGCAGGCATTTCCCCTCTGGATCTCCACACTGAGGTAGTGAAACAGAAAACGGACAGCCCTTGGGTCTGGTGGTGCCAACGAGCCTGGAACCCAGTTCTTTGAGACGGCTCAGGGCACTCTTACTCCAGGGGGGCCGATCATCATGGATACTACGGGAACAAGGGTGTGCTGACTTTCCAGTTGCCTGTACTTGTTTGATTTTGATGTTTTCATGCGGTTGGCTGCATCACATGCTTGATCAGTACTGAGGTGTGTGTAGGTGTCAGTGAGGATGGATACACGTGTACCCCCAAACCAGCTAGGGTACCAGCCCCTAGGCATTCTGATGTATACTATGTCTAGGGGTTGGTGTACATAACCAGGCCCTATGCATTTCAACGCCCCTAGAAACCATGTTGCACATGGTTTCTAGGGGCACCAGCCTTTAGACTGACCTAGATAGGTCAGTCTTCTCGGAAAGCTTTTTGGTGGTCATACCAATAGAAGTAGAGTGACGGTGACATCCTTCATCTGGGCATATAAATTGGTATAACACACTTGCCTTTGATGAAGGTTTTATTGTTTATTAGGTTGTTCTTAAGTATTAAATAAAGTCCTTTTTGTTTTATAGTAAATACATTTATGTATGCATACATACATACATACTGAATAATATTTTTTGTTTTTTGGCAGAATGTAACTCTTATTAGTCTGAAGAGTCAATTAGAATATCTTCGAGGCAATTTTCGGAAGGCAATTAAAGTTCTCAATCAATGTGCAGCAATACCACCACCTAGTCTGTAAGTACATTGTGTATTACAATTATTTTTACTTGTGCATTATGTGAACTAGAGCTCTTTCACACCCACGATTACATGTGTGTGTGTGTGTGTGTGTACATACACAGGTAATACACACAGATGCATGTGAACACAAATACAAAAATCGAGGAAAATGCAGGACCTACTATAATTCTCCATGTAAAGTCATTTTGTTATATCCAGCCACAGCTTTTCATATGTTCATGCAACCTACACTTTAAACAAATACATGTCTATTGTTACTTAGTAATGTACTCCATAAATTAACAATATTATTTCCATCCCAATAATAACCAGGTCTTCTTAATCTCAACTTACTCGGATAGACAATCTAATTTGTCTATCAGCATGAAATAATTTGTATACTTTTATTTACTAGTTCTGTTTTCTACATTAATCTATGTTTCTATGATTGCATACCCTTGTGCAGGCACAAGTAGTAAATGCATTCGCTACTTTGGCCAAGTTTAGAATAACGTGAGAATGATTACATTTTTATTTACAAAATACATGAGATTTCCCAGTATAAATATACAGCAGTTGTATGGGTGTATATTTATACTGGAATACTAACAGAAATATAAAATAGAAAAGGTGCTATGCAATTGCCACATGACTTACAAAACGAGCTATAAAATGCTTGTCACTTTTCGTTGCAAAATGGGTAATGATACTGAATATTAAATTTTACTGTTTTCTATAAAAATCATCATTGTCTGTATTGTGAACATCTTAGTTTTATAAGCTTAAGTGAGTAAAGTAACTTTTGTTTTCTCTTTGTGAACTAGAACTTACGGTCCTAGTTTAGGTGTGATGTACTACAACAATCTAGGTGTAATACATCTTGGTCTGGGAAAGCCCACCGTAGCTTGCCTCTACCTGCAAAAGGCTCTCCAAGAAACACAATTATCTGAAGAGTCAAACTCATCAACACTGCCAGGTACTGTATTTATACAAATGTACATGCTAAGGCAATAGGAAACATGAGTAGGCACATACAACCTGCTAGGGATCGGAAACGGGTTGCTTGTTGGTTCAGTCAGTCTTCTTTATAGTTTCCCCAAGTGTATTTAATTAAATGCAGCTCTCTCGTAGCTTCAGTGTTTTTGCTGTTCTGTAGCTTTGCTTCTCATTGTATGAAGAACTTGTGTTCTGTATGCTACTTTGGTTTGGCTAACTAAACTGTTTCCTCTTTTGTATCACGATAGATCTCTTAAAGGAATGGTTGAGTTAATCCTGTCATTCCTTGTTTTGAAAAGTTCTCAGAGTTTGTCTTCAGCCTTTCCTAGTATTTCCAGGTGCCTTAGTTCTTGCATGAATTATGTTGCCCTACTCTTAACCTTTTCTAGTGTGATAATGTCATTTCAAGGCAAGGTGTCTATGCTTGAATACTCTAGAATAGTTCAGCTAGGGTTGTTTAAGGAATTTGTAATGCTGTGCCTTTTCAAATGTATGCAAGATTATTTCTAGAGTTTGATTGGCTTTTATAATAGCTGTCCAACTTGCCAAGTTGCTGTTAATGTTTTGTTAACTATAACTATGATGTGAAGGTTTCTGCCACAGGTGTAGTATTAGAGAAGTGTTGCCATTAGTATGGCAATACTGTAGTAATGCATATTGTTATGACCCACACATATGACAGGACCACCCATGACAAAAGTCAACCAAACTCAAGGAATGATCACATGTTCATTTGAATGCAATGACACAAAATTGTTCAATTAGCTTTACAGATCTCCTGTACAAGGACTAGTGTATTCAAGCATGGAAACTTCGCCTTCAAAAAATATGCAGGCGATGAGTCACAATAACGTGGCTGAAGTATGTTGACCAGACCACACACTAGAAATTGAAGGGACGACGACGTTTCGGTCCGTCCTGGACCATTCTCAAGTCGAAACGTCGTTGTCCCTTCAATTTCTAGTGTGTGGTCTGGTCAACATTCAAAAAATATATTATTTAGATCGAAATGGTCTACATGATGAGTATCACTCGGATCCAAGTTGGCTTACATATAGTGCTTTATTATCAAATACAGTATAATAACATTTAAAAAATTTATAGGATTTAAGTGAATACTGTATATTGATGAAATATTTAATAGGGAAACGAGTATCTCTTGTTTAAATCCAAAGAGCTTTTTGAAACCACTAATTAATCTTTCTACAACACAGGTGATACATTATCTAGTCGTCCTCTCTACCAGCTAAGCAGCAACGTTCAGCCGCAACTTTACTACAATCTGGGAGTTACCCTTCTACATATGAATAAGCCTGATAAAGCTTTTGATTTTCTGCTGGAAGTTCTACAAGTGCACTCCATGAATCCTCGGCTGTGGCTTCGACTCGCAGAATGCTGTATAGCTGTCCACAAATCTGTAAGTAATATATCTGAAGAGGGGACAGATTTAAATGGAACCTGGCTAGTATGAACCATCAGGGATATCTGCAGAGGGGCAGATAACCAAGATCACACTTGCTAAGACGATACAGCATCTAACTATGTACAGTACTGTACTGTACTGAGAAAGGCAAGATTCAGCAGCAACAAAGCCAGAACTAAGGCTCATGCTGAGCATGTTGTGTGGGAGAGTTTATTCAGTAAGACCACATCTCTATAGAATAGAGGTAGTCAAGATTATTTTGCTTGAACATCAAACTAGGATTATTTTAGTCATTAACATGAATGAAGAGAGCATTGTTCATTGTTGGTAAGAACACTTTTGTGTTCTTTAATCCTGACATTAAGAAATGTCATCACTTTCATGTCATTTGTATGACTTGGGTTATTATTTTAGTATTGCTATTATCACAACATTATGACTTCTCGATATTATCACTATTATTGCAACAATTCTCACTCATTTTGTAAGTAAATGTCAAAAGAAGGTTCCAAGTCATAGAGACTATGAAGCACTTATCTTGTAAATATGGTACAAGCTATTTAGAAGCTCCTCGTGCTGGAGTTTGTCACGTTTTAGAAATGTAATATTTGTTTGTGCCATGCAGGGTCTTGGTGAAGATATGGGTAGCAAGAAGGCCATCGTACAAGGCACAGTAGGGCTTGGCCTTCACCGCAAAATCTGCCTTGCCACGTGCATCAGTGACCACAACAGGAAATGGTAAGTCGTGTTGAAATTGGTTTTATATATTGAAAAATTAAATAATTACTTTTTTGTCTTTAAGCTTTTGGAAGTGTTTTAGCAGAACCTTGTTAGCCTTCTAGGACTGAATTTGTTCAAATGAATGAAATATACATGTATGTTATATCAATTCGGATAGCATATGTTGCACAAAAGCACAACCATTTATTCTGATATGCAGATATACATATTATAAATAGGCCTACACAAATTTAAAATTTTATAATTATTATAAGCAAATTGAACAGTTAATGCCTTCCTAGAAACTTTCAGTACACCTGAAAGTTGTCATTAAAAGAAAGAGTTCACCATTAAAAGTTGCAATAATGTAGAGGATTTGTTTCACAAATGTGTGGCATTGCTGATAAAAACCTAACATAACGAGGAGTCCCTGCAGTGGGCTGATTGTATATCTGTTGGTCCATCTGGCCAACTCCTCTTCCCCATATATCTATTGTGCCTCTATTTATTACTAGCAATGGCAGTTCTTTGATGTTGGACAGCAACCTATTCCTTTCCTTACAACCCTGTTGCTAAATAAGTACATCCTCATATCCTTCCTGAATTTGAACATCTCCATCCTTATGGCCATTGTTGGGGTATTGTAACCTGGTCTAATAGTTTCAAGACCTTACTTGTATCTTCCTTGTTGATACCTCTTCATCCACGTATACCTTGGTCATATCAAGGTATTCCCCTTTCTCCAGGGAATGCAGGCCAAGTAGACTTAATATCTCCTCATATGGGAGGTCCCGAACACCAGGAGTTAGTCTGGTTGTCCTAAGTTAGATTTTCTCAAGGGAATTGATGTGCATTCTGTATTACGGTGAGCAGAATTGGATGGCATAGTCTAAGGGCCTCACCATGGTCAAGTATAATTGGAGGATACTGCCAATGCATTTATTGCTGATGCTTCTGGTTATAAACCAGAAAATCTCTGCACTTTTTGTGCATTGATACATTGCTGCCTTGGTCACTGTCAGTCATGACCCTAACAGGAAAATAAAACAAAAGGTTGTTGGAGAGGGGCAAGCTGCATTGAAAAGTACTGCTGCCTTATATATTAGGTCAGTGCAGGAATATATATCGTGTAGTTGTCACTGGGTTCTCTGGTGGTGGTGGTGGCTACATTTGTCATTTACACTGTAAGATCTTGTAAAGTTTAGTTTTAGTTGAGTGCTATTAATTAACTGCTTTGTGAAAGGTAAAATTTATGGAACAAAATTTCATAAAAATTCTGAATAGTATACTATATGGTGGATCTGTTGTGTGTGTTAACTTGGACTAGCCTCAATTCATGCACACAGGAAAACGTGTGTAAATATTGAATACTGTATATAATTAAATAATTTTTTGTCAACCCGTTGCAGCTGTGATCCACAGTCCGAATCAGATGCTGCATTTCCTGAGCCCACCCTAGAGTTTGCTCGACTGTGTCTTAGTAATGCACTCACACTTCTACCAGAAAATGCATCTACTGCCTCACTTACCGATGAACAGGAAGCTTCAGGTAGTAAACTGGTTTGTTTTACGTGCTTGCTTTGTCTAAAGCTGACGTACTATATGACTGTATAACAATTAGTCATCTTTCTTTTTCACTATTACTCGTGGCTCAAAATAATATTGTCCACTTGCTTTTATTATCCTCTTACATATTTTATTCTCAGTAAGCCTTTATCATTTCTTGCCAGAAAATTACCTCTAATTAAATTCTTTGCATGCTTTGTTATGGTTTGTGTTACACTTCAAGTACTTTCTTTTAAGTTTGTATAATAGAAAACATTGGATAAAGTTTTCTCAGTACTACACAAAATGCTTTGTGTCTTACTTAGTGTCACATTTAAAGTTTATATGTTATGTTTTTGTTAATCATTAACTAAAATATATTTGTGTAGGTGTAATGCCCGAGCTGTACCCTGCTGGGCCCTCTTCTCCCTTGCGAGGGACAGAAGTGGTGAGTCTGCGGGTCTCAGCACTAGCGTGCAGTGCATATGTCAGTCTTTGCCTCTCAGACTACTCTACAGCACTCAGACATGCAGAAAAACTTCTAGTCACTCATCCAAAAATACCTGGAGTTTACAAGTAAGTTTTTGTCGTCGCCTGTTAATGTTACCAATACTTTTGGCCAGTTTGTATATATCTTTATATTTATATTGAGTGATCTTTACATGCATTACTGGTAGTTTCCTAATACATGTATTTAGTTTCCTTTATATTTGATTTGACTATAAAGAATGTTGCATTCTAGTCTTGCCTCCTTATCTTACCTACCAGAGGCCAGTGACTGCACAATTGTACCATACCTCTTAACATAACCTTCCTTGTGGTGACCTTTCTCATAATATTTTCTAATATTTGTGAGCTTACTGTTTTTGTTATTATAGCAGTACAGTATAGTGGAATCACAATAACGTGGCTGAAAATACAATGACTAAACCATTATCAAGTTGTGTGAGAATCACACAACTTGATAATGTTCCAGGGTGCACCGAAACTTTGTTGTTTCTTCGTTTTGTAACGTGTGGTTTGGTTATCGGCATAGTGGAATATCATTTCAATAAACCACGTGGGGTGGAGCCAATTCATGGCAACTGTGTGTGTGTGTTGTCCTCTCTTCTTCTCCCTAGACCCATCTGTCTATCACTTCCCTCAGTTTGTGTTTTTATTCATTTGTGTGTTTGCATACCTGTAATAAATGATAAACATTTATAAAGGTGTAAGCAATAGATTTTGAATTTTATTTCATATTTTAATAGAAAAAAGGGAAAAATTTACTTTTAAGAATTTGATTCCTCTTCTAGACTGTTGGGACACCTGTATGCTGGGGAAGCTCTTATATCTTTGGGTAAAGTATCCGAGGCTGTTGCCCACCTTGATCCTCGATTAGTGGGAGACTTGACCCTCTCTCCGTCAGCACAGGAAACTGGCCCAAGTCCAACACTTAATGTTTCCAATCAAGGTGAGTTTGTATTTATTATGCTCAAGGTCTAAATCCCAGCATATAAAATAATGCATATTAATCCCAACAGAATTATCCTTCATTTAAAAGAATTTTTAGAATAATGATGTTATGCGAGGGCCTTATGTACGTACGTAAGTAGTGTGTTGCATTATGTTCCTTCCTTTGCTTAGCATATTATAATGTATTTATTTCAGGCTGGTACCTGGGCTCAACAGCAACAGCTATGCAGGTGATGAGGTACAATCTTAGTGTTGCATATACTCTGAGGGGAGAATTGGAAAAAGCCAATAATTTGCTCAAAGAGGTAAGAAAAGTTGTAATTTAATATTACTTTGTTAATAAATTATAATTATTGAAATTGATAAAAGTGCAACTTATATTAATTTCCCCCTCTGGTGCAATGGGGACAATTGCACCATATTGATCAGTGTGCGAGTCACACATGATTTATAGTACCACACAAGATTTAAAACTCATACACATACACGGGGCTCATATTTGCTGCCTCAGGCCTCCAATAAACCTATGCCATCTTGGGAAAAAAAAAATGGTGAGCACCCCTCCTAGATGCAAGGGCCTCATTATTTAGAGGGTAACCTCAGGTAGCACATGCTGCACCAGCTACCCCAGGCGCAGTGCAGGGGTTAAATTGTCAATTTTACCTTAATTGTTTTTGTGGAGGTATGAACAGCAAGTAATGCTTACAACAGTTCCAAGTCATTTTAATTTGTGTTTTCCTATAGGTGTGGACAGAAAGCAATGGCAGTATGCCTGCACAGGTCATCATGCTGGCTATGTACATTCAACTTCGAATGGGTACGTACTGTTGCCAGTAACGTTTGCTGCTGCCAGAGTACATAAGGCAAACAGTAATGGTAGTGAAGAACATGATTATTTTTAGCATGCTTCTCAAGCAAAGATTTTATGACAAGCTACCATGAATTATTATTTTGTAACATAGCCACAAAATACAATGCCTAAAGTTATTTAGTGTTTGTTGTGCTTGAAAATGTTTTAAATTTGCATTATAAATTCTAGTTAATGTATTCTATATTAATGACCACTGTTTTTTTCCAGGTCATGTTGATGTTATGAAGAATATTGTTAAGAAGAACATCCTGCTAACGTGAAGTTTTTAAATTAAACTTTATATATTTTTTTTTTATTAAGATTTTTATGCCATCCAGCATTATACTCTCACTTGATATATCACATGATATAACATTATTCTGTCACTTGGTTTGCCACAGGATCCAGCATTATACTCCCACTTGATTTGCCACATGAACTAGCATTATGCTGTCACTTAAGGTGCACAGACATGGTGACTGTGAGAGGAAGCGAGGAGAGAGAAAGAGAGTGTGGCCAACACACAGCATGTGAGAAACAGAGCTGGGTGGAAACAGTTTGTAAGAATGGCGTGAATGTATTTGTATGCAATGTATGTGACATTTCATGACGAGCAATGTCCACAATGTTTTATCAAGCGGTGGGTACCTGCTGCGGATGAATGCTGGAGTGTGGTGGTGCACGAAGAGCACTGTACACTTGTCTCGTGAAGTGGTATGTAGCTGCTGCGGATGAATGCTGGAGTGTGGTGGTGCTTGTCTATCTCTGATGCTTTATATATTGTAATGTGAATGACATAATACACAAGTTATATTTTTTATCTTTTATTATTAATATCTATAATTTGTTAATATATTACACTCTTCTTCTTTCTCCGGGTTGAGACCCCACCCCATGAAAGTGGGAAATGAGGTAATGATAATGACTGTATGTAAGTGAGATTACATATTCTTGCCTCCCTCACAGTGTATATGGTTAATGTGAGTGAGGTAAGAGTGTAATATAGGTAAACAAGGTTGTAGTTCATAAAGTATTATGTCATACTACAAGTCTATTTTGCTCAGTAGTGTCTATGAATTATCCGAATTGTATGTTGTTTAATTAATTCAAAAATACATATTTCTCTTGTGCAGTAATGAAGCTGCTCATATAATTATATTATAGCTTTTGGGTATAATGTACATAAATTATATTCTGATAGTATCCCAGTTTTGCTGCTAATTTTGAAATATATGTTAATATCCTCGTAATGCCAGTTTAAATATCCTTCACTTACTAAATAATACTGTACTGTTTTTAGAAATATAGGAACTTGAACTTGCATTTATGACCTACACAAGTCCAGAGTACAATGTGTGATTAAACAATTATTTTCCATCAAAAAAGCAGGGGCATAAATTTTTATTACCTAAATTTATTTAATTTGTTAATTTCAGTAAAAAATGTAATTGGGGTAATACAAAACACAATAAATGTAAATGTGACCATGAAATGTGTGAACAAAGAACTTAATTTAATTATAATCGATGATCTCTTGGCAGACCACATCAGGTTAAATAGAACATCAATTTTAATTAAAGAACCTGTACTAAGTGGCAACTTAGTGGCTTCCCATGATTATATCACTGTCACAGAATTTAATGCATACACTAGCTCTTGTGTAACCTTTTGGTGTTTTAAGTACACTTCCTGTAGTTTTGCCATTTGTTATATAGGGTGGAGATCGGTGTGCCAGGGAACAGAGAACTGTCCGTTGGCACACATGAACCATTTAAGACAATCGTCCTCATTTTTTTTTTTGTCTGATATAGAACCATCAAATCATCTCTTGATATTTTTCAAGCACCCACTTCACTAACTATCCCGACAGCCACAAGTTGGCAGCTCTACTAACTACTGTCAGGAAGGGGAGCCACCTCTTTCCTGGGGCAAACTTCAGTGGTTCCCTGAAGCTACAATGTTGAGAAAAAAAGGCTCGCAATGAAAGGCTGATGACCCAGACATGACAAAAAATGCCAGTGGAATCTGAAAATGAAGGAAATATTCCCATGTCAAAAGACTAAACCACCCACTCAATGATCAGAAGCCAAAATACTGAAGGGTTAAAGTAAACCCCTTATTCCTATATTTTCCATTTCATTGAGCAAAATCTCATAAAACACACAAAATTTTGAGCCAACTTTGATGCAAGACACTAGTATTTAAAAATTTAATGTAGCTTAAGTTTATGTTTAATAACCATTAATATCCTGGATATGGCAATATATCTTAGATCATTAAAACACCAACTATTTACTCAAAGCAAATCTGCCACATACACAAACATTATACCAATTATTTAAACTGGACCATATTTACATTTAGTTCCCAGAAGCTGCTAGCCAGGTTATGGGAATGATTACATCTAGGAATGGCAGTTTAACTTCACTCTCCATCTCCATCTGACAGAGAAATGAGGGCATTAATCAGAGGCAATGTATCAGACTGGAGAAATGTCACTAGTGGAGTACCACAGGGTTCAGTTCTTGCACCGGTAGTGCTCATTGTTTACATAAAAGATCTGCCAGAAGGAATACAGAATTATATGAACATTTTTGCTGATGTAACTGTATTGAATTTTGTAACGTGCTCATCAAGATTGTAACTTGCTTAGCTAAATGAATTGTGGGATTCAGTCCATGAGCCCATTATGTGCCTTTGTAACCCTTTCCACTTCTGCCCACAAGATGGGTACAGGTGCATAATAAATAAACTAAACTGATAATGCTAAGATAAGAAACTTAAACGATTGTTATATTCTTCGAGAAGCCTTGGAGAAAATAAGAGTATGGATCAACATTTGGTAAAGAGAATTTAATGTAAATAAATGCCACATCATGGAATGTAGAATAGAATAAAATATGAGACACAACCCAAAAATGATGTGAAAAAGGTTTAAAGAATGCTGATAAGAGATTTACGGTGGTTATAGACAGAGAACTGTCAACTGAAGACCACACAAATAACTTTGTGCGAGGAGCCTATGCTATGCTTTCCAATTTTAGAATTACTTTTATATACATGGATGGCAAAATATTAAAGAAATTGTTCACGACCTTTGTGAGACCAAAGTTAGAATATGCAGCTGTTGTATGGTGCCCACATCTCAAAGAAACACATCAACAAACTGGAAAATGTGTAAAGACTTGCAAAGTTTAATCTCTCCCTCTACCCCCCACTCCAGACATCCAAGATGGGTGAGTCTAGCCCCAAGATTTGGCCTCCCTCTCTGGACACACACACAGACAGACCAGAGTTTGAAGATGAAGATTAAGCCACCCAAGAGGTGACACGGGCATGAATAGCCCGTAAGTGGTGGCCCTTTTGAGCCATTACCAGTATCAAGAGCTGATACTGGAGATCTGTGGAGGTGCGACTGCACCCTGCGTGACGGGAGATGTCTCCCGGATCAAATGGTGACCGGCCCATACGAGACAGCTTCTATTTATAACCATCTAATCCCACTCATATATATGTCCAACCCACGCTTGAAATACTACAGGGAGCCCTCCACCACGTCACGCGGTTACGCAGTAAGCCAGTGTTGCCAGATTGGGCTACAAGTAGCGAATTGGGCTACTTTTGAGAGCCCCGCGCTCCCAAATTTTTAATTTCGCTACTTGCTACTTTTTGGGCTAATTTAAAAGCAAGATGTGCTAATTTGGGCTATTAATGTTAAGAATGTACGATTGCGAGTTACATGAAAATAACTAAGCTGTAAATAATTGTAATTAATAATAATTGTATATATTAATTAATACTAAATAATATTATTTAATAAATTAGTCCCAATTTAATGCAGTTTTCTTCCAAGCACAGAAACTTGTAAATATAAATACAAGATAATAGATAGATCGATAAATAGACAACTTTCAAATATTGCACCAAGTAATGGCGAGAGGAAAAAACTAGACAGTATACATTACATTTGAAATTAATAATGGATGAATGGTAATAAATTGGTGTATGTTTGTAAATATACCAGACAAAGTTCATTTAATGGCAGAATTTAACCCTTTTACGTAAAAACTTTTATATCTCCTATTATTAATTATAACTAATCGAAAAAAGTCATAGTTTGTATATACAAGAGATGAAACAGAGAGCCATGAGCTAGAGCGATGTGCTGAGTCCATAAGGAGGCGGAGCTTCCAGAAATACCTTCCTGTGATTGGCTGTTGCGAGGAATACCAACACTCTTTTATGAATACAATTTAAACTAAGAAATAAGTTCTTGTGCACAACAACAAGGTTGTTGTGAAAAAGAACAACAATTTCTGTTTTGCACCTGACAGAAATCTCCATCTAACTGAATAATTTATTGGAATAAGAGGGCAGAACAGCGTATCATTATTTGTGTCAAGGCAACCCCCAATAATAACGTCACAAGTTAGGTAGCCAGCCCATTTTTATATAACATCTGTTATATCCTGCAATATTTAATTATCACTTTATTAACAAATTAAATAATTAACATTTCACTTTTTTGGGTAAATTAAAGTTAAAGCAGAATTCCATAAGCAGGACTGGTGGGCTGAACTAAGATGATTTACTTATAAGTGGATGGCACCTATAGCTGATCCCTTCCTGTGATTGGCTGTTGTGTGAATGTCAACAAAGAATATCTACCAATGATATGCCATATATTATGCACCCCATACCATCTGTGGGCGGAGCTAGGAACCTCCTACCCGAGCACAACAACCCGCCTTATGGGTTGCTGTTTGGCTATTTATAGTGCGTTGGAAAAATAAGAGATGGCGTTAGTTGTATTTTGTGGGGTAATTTGTTATAAGTGTAATTTGATGTCAACAGTTCTATAAACATCCTATAATGTTCATCTGTAACTTGACCCTAAATACTCGTTTATAAAACGAATTTATTGTTAGAGTTCATTAGGAGTCAACTGTGTTGAAGACTTTGTTCGAGTTTCCAACAAATACCTTCCTGTGATTGGCTGTTGTTGGGAATGCCAACGCTTATATGAATAAAATGCAAGATAAGAAATACGTCCTTTTGCTCAATAACCTTGTTGTTGTACAAAAGAACAACAATTTCTGTTTTATACAAGACAGAAGTTTCCATCTAACTGAATAATGTAGACCAATAAGAGGGCGGAGGCATTGTATCGCCGATATTATTTGTGTGTGGTAACACCCTCTGATGACGTCACAAGTTAGGTAGCCAGCCCATGTTTCTTTAACACTCGTTACATCCTGCAGTATTTAATTTTCACTATAGTAATACTTTTAAATACTTAACATTTCACTTATTAGGTAGATTAAAGTTGAAACAGAATGTCATAAGCAAGGATGGTGTGTTCAATAAAGATGATTTATTAAATGGATGGAGCCTTTAGCTGATCCCTTCCTGTGATTGGCTGTTGTGTGAATGTCAACAAAGAGTTTCTACCAATGATATGCCATTTATTATGCACCCCATACCATCTGTGGGCGGAGCTTGGAACCTCCTACCCGAGCACAACAACCCGCCTTATGGGTTGCTGTTTGGCTATTTATAGTGCGTTGGAAAAGCAACAGATGGCGATAGTTGTATTTTGTGGGGTAATTTGTTATAAGTGTAATTTGATGTCAACAGATGGCGTAAGCTGTATCTTATGGCCACTGTTGACCAGCCAGTTGATAGTGTTCTCGTCTGCCGACAGATGGCATCAGCTGTATCATTATTACTTCCGAATTCCCTTTAAACACTGATCTACAAATCCCTTGGCTTATGATAAGATTTTATACCATTTATGATAAGTATTAGATAACTGGAGTTCCGCAATTACTTTTATTTATCAACTGTTCAGGATATCATCATATAACGTCTGGTTAGGACGTACTGCTCTCGATTGATGAAGATTAAGCCACCCAAGAGGTGGCACGGGCATAAATAGCCCGTAAATACTGCTCTCGTAATATTACTCAGGGGGGCGGGGGAACTGTCAAGTGAAAGCGCTCTTATTTTATATGATCTTATTTTATCTATAAATTATTATATTAAAGTTCCTTATGATACACGTAAATATTTATATTTATGATCCTTTGGGTGTGATATTGTTGTGATTGGTCAGAAAGATATGTTGGGCGTGCGGTGATTGGTCGGCTGCGGCGTCTTGTGTTTACAACGCTGGTGCAGCTCCAGCTCTTGTCTTGACGGTGATGGGCTCACAGGGCTACAGGAAAGCTTCTTCAATGTATCATGGCTGCTAGAGCTGGCCTGATCTTATTCACTGTCGTCTGCGTTTTTGGTTGTATTTACGCCTTTAAGGAGAGCAAAAGTTTCAATTATGATAAAGGTGAGAGTACTGTAATGTGATCGCTGAATAACGAGTTCCACAACTTATCTCCACGGTATGGGGTGCATAATAAAGAAAGAAATTGAATCTCCACCCAAGAAATTTACTATTTCATTCCATTACAGATTACGGTGTCCTTATAATTATCAAAAGCTTCCTAAAAACCGCCTAGCAATAAAATGACATAAATGTTGCCCAAAATTTACATAGTACTCATAAATACTTTTAATGAATTAATGAATATTGAATGTGAAAAAAGTTTTTGAAAGTATATAATTTTATAGAGTTTGGTCTTTAGACCTGAGAAAAATTGGGGCCTATGATCAAACCTACCCTAACCTATCCCAGTCAAATGTAACCTTAACTAACCTTTCCAAAACTATTCTAATCTAACTAAATCTAATGAAAATAAGAGATAACATGTTGTTTTATATATACAGTAATTATATATATTACATATAATATATATACTACAAAAATGGGCAGCACTGCAATAGCTCCAGTTTCCCACTCCTTAATTCCTTGCCTTGCATAGTTCACTGGGGCACTGTAGCTGGATATTGAGTGCTTTGATAGTTCAGACTGATTTTTGGTAATTTTACTGTTGCCACGAATCATTTGGATGGAGTTTGAGTGTTTTGAAGTGTTTGTGTCATAGTAACCAGTTTCTAATACACCCGATTTACCCGAGGGCCACTAACCCTAGTGGCCTCGATGAGGACAGGAAGTCGGCAGTATGTCGCAGGTCCCCCATTTCTTGATGATCTTTTCCAGGTAGATTTTGAAATTCAACAAAGTTTTGGCAGTTATGGCTTTGACAGGTAGGCAGTTCCATGGGTTTATAACCCTGTGAGTGAAAGTATCTCCTGTTTTCTGTCCTACATTGTGGCTTGTTTTTTTTAACCATATCCTTCTTTTCCTTATAATCAAAAGTATGCTTAATTATCTCAAGATTTTGGTTAGTTTTCTGACTGCTGCACCCACCTTTTTGTGCAACTTTTAATGAGTGGTAGATCTTGACTCCAAGGTTCCTCTTAGTGATGAATTGCATTATACTCTCCATTGAGCTCATTGCCCCTTTATAGGTAGTAAGACAATTTGCAATGATACTACCAAGATGTTGCTCTAAAAGGGCATTTCATTTTATTTAATGTTCTATATTTACCCCTATCTTATAATTTTGCAGGTGTAGTGTCAAACCTCTCTCACTGCCCTGGACGTTATTGTGGTCGTACAAGACTAGAAAATGGATCGTGGTCAGCTTGTGGGGCATGCGAGAGAGGACTTCGACGCAATAATAGAAGTGCTTGTGAAGAGTGCAATGACACCCCAGAGTTTTATGACAAGCTCTATCTTGGTTTTATGGGTCTATTGCCCTTAACCTTTCATTTAGGCTGCATTGATGCTGCTGCAAAGAGAAGAACGTAAGTTAGAATTCTTTATACATACAGTATAGCACAGTTTGTATATCATACAGATACTGTAAGTACAGCAGGGCCTCATTATTTTCTGGGTATGTGTTTGTGACATACCTGCAAGTGATAAAACTACAAAAGGCTGAAACTAAGTTCTATGGGAAAAAGGCAGGTTCCTACCTGCCCTGACTTAAAAAAAAACAACTTAAACTTAACTTAAAACTTAAGACTCAGACTTAATAAAAGGACAGTATTTCAGTGTTCAATAAATGTTGAAAAAATAAACGATATACTGTTCTTATCTAATTGCACTTACATTAAAAGATATATGCTTGTGGTGTCCTGTCATCTTTATAAATCTTATCAAATGCATCATAAAACTTGTGGTAGTTTTGGCATATGAAATTTTACCCTGATGGTTGCTACATCCCAACTACAGTATTCTATTCTTAACAAATATTTTCTGATACAGTATTCTTATTTTTTCTACATTGATATTTCTTGATCTTCGATCTACATCCTCTAAATCTGTTTGGGATAGACAGTTTTTGAGGAGGGTCTTTTGTGCTGCGAATAGCAGGAAATAGCTTCTGCTCCCTTCTCTTGCCTGCTGTGGTGGTGCACAAGCAAGATCCATTTCCATATGTTGGCCATGAATGGAGACCCGAGAATGCCCTTGTGCTCTTTCATTTGGGAGTTGAGCTTGCCTAACAGTTGTGACCACTAGGGAGGAAACATGTTTCTATGGTGAGGGGGGGGGATGGGGGGCAAGGTTTGGTGCAGCCTATCTAAACAATTTGACTCGTCTGGCTATCCCCATCTAGTTAGACATTCAGTTAAGTATGCATTGTAGGATTGGTTCCCTTTTTGCTCCCTGGGATGCCATTCAGCCCTGCAATGAGTACTGTTCTGGTTACTCCTGAGGTTGCTTGCCTGTGTGCCACCCATGTGGGCTCTATGGCGGGTGCTAGAGAGTGAATTCTTTATCTATTACTTTTTTTGTTAACCTCTGACCTTATTTCTCCTCAGACTCGTGCAGTGGGCAACCAGGCCCCCCTAGCTGGACCGGTATGGAAGGACGGGCTCTATAGCCCTGGCTATGTTGGGCCCAGGCCAGGCTTCTTCTCTGACTATCCCTACTGACTTTCTCCATTTCCCTGGCTAGGTTGCATCCCAAGCCCTCAGTGGTGACTGCTTCATCTCTTGGTGTGGCGCCAGCTTCATTGTGACAACTGCACTGTTTATCCCCCCCTCCTTCATGTGGGTTCCCAGTACCATCACCATGCTCACATGCATTTCACTCCTATGTTCCAGGATTTGTTTGGCCTGCTATGTGGCCTAAATACTGTATTTTGATCATTAGCAATGAATGTACCCACCCTGAAGATGTGCACATCCATAAGCACTTAATTGACTGTGGAGTCTCAGGTTACTTTTAACTCCACCCAGGCTGGCATGTGTGTAGCTAGGGCCTTTTCTCAAGAGGCAGCCGAATGCTTAGCTACTTTATCCTGCAACTGGTGAGACCCCAGTTCCTGTGTCCAAAAATATCCTGTTGAATGCCAGCATTGGCACTGGTGTTCTCCTGCACCATGTTGCAACTGGTGATCGTGATCTGAAAGGCTGCCATGAGAAAATTAAATATATTCTCAAGCCCAGGGATATATTTCTATCCTCCAGTTGACTTCTTCACTCGTCCCCCTCGTCTTTGTCGTCATCAACCTCTTTGAATATCAATTCAGCGCATGGTAAAGATCACTTTTGATGATAGGAGCCTTCCAACTAATGTTATTCTTGCCAATTCCAGATGCTCTGTTCAGGACTACATCCCCTCTCCATGCCACTGCAATAGGTGTTAGAAATTCGGTCATGGTTCTTCCTAGTGCAGTAGCGAAATGTTCCTTTGCCCCTTGTGTGGCAACCTTGGACATTCTCATACTGATTGAAAGACTGATCTTTCTAAGCTTGCTGAATCAATTGCAGTGAGACCCACCCTACCTTTTCTCGTACATGCATTCATTGAGAGTTTGAATATGCCATCCTCGTCTTGAAGCATTGCGATTGTATATCTTTCCCTTGAAGCTCTGTGCCAGTTCTGCCATCTTGGATCTTTCTCTACCAATACTTATGCTCATGTGTTGCGCTGCTCTGCTCTTCCCCACACGTCTCCCTTTCATCATTCCAAAACCATTTCCAAACCTTAAATCCCAACACCTCCACCAGCTCCTCTTCTTCTGTTCTTCTCTGATCTATGGCCACAAGGGTTTCACTTGGATTTCTGACTGTCAGTTCCAACCTTCCTTCCCATTCTTCTTCCACCTGCCATGTTACCACATCTTCTCTACTTCCTCTTCCTTCTCTTTTCTCTGTGCCCTCCTTCACTTTTCAACCCCCATCTTTCTTCTCAGTCTTCCCCTCTGTCTATTGGCACTTAACTCCTGTCCATCCAGACTGATATCCATGCTCCTCCCAGTCATCTTCATGCTGTCTGTTCTCATTCTCCCTCACCTACTGAGACTATGGAGGCCATTCCACAGTACATTGCTATTGGCACACCTGTGTCTCATAGTCAGAAACGGAAACCTGGTTCCTCTTCCTCCCCAGTGGGTAACAACCACTTCAGATGGACGGTACCACATGGTACCATCTGGGAGGTGAAATCCTGTGAGAGTCAAATAGAGAAAAAGATCTGGGGGATGATATCACACCGGACCTGTCCTCAAAGTCCCACATCAAAAGGATATCATCAGCAGCATATGCTAGATTGACCAACATAAGAACTGCCTTTAGAAACATGTGTAAGGAATCGTTTAGGATCTTGTATACTACTTATGTCAGACCAATCTCGGAGTATGCAGCTCCAGCCTGGAGTCTATACCTAGTTAAACACAAGACAAAGTTAGAGAAGATTCAGAGGTATGCCACCAGATTAGTCCCAGAACGGAGAGGTATGAGCTACATGGAAAGGCTAAGGGAGCTGAATCTCGCATCCCTGGATGACAGAAAAGTAAGAGGATACATGATAACCACTTACAAAATTCTCAGGGGAATTGACAGGGTAGACAAAGACAAACTATTCAGCACGGGTGGAACACGGACAAGGGGACAGGTGGAAACTTAGTACCCAGATGAGCCACCAAGACATTAGAAAGAATTTGTTCAGTGTCAGGGTAGTTAACACGGAATGCATTATGCAGTAATGTGGTGGAGGCAGAGTCCATACACAGTTTCAAATGTAGATTTGATAGAGCCCAATAGGCTTCAGAATCTGTACACCAGCTGATTGACAGTTGAGAGGCGGAACCAAAGAGCCAAAGCTCAACCTCTCAAGCACAACTAGGTGAGTATATTTTTGACTGTCAGGCCTTCATCAGAGCTAGACAGAACTGCTGTCAGAACAGGCAGCTCTGACCTAAGGGATCAACCCTGAGAGTTCAACATTATCTCTAAACACCAGGGGATTTCTATAGAGCAACAAGGATGAACAAGGAATAACATAATTTTAAGTAAAAGTTATCACACACACTTCAGTTCTAGAGATCTTAAAGCCACGATTGGCAGCCCAGTACAAATGTGAACTGATACTAGCAAAATTGTGTTTTCCAGACAAGCGCAAATCATGGGCTAATTGCATATATAAATTACCAGATAGTGGTTTTATCTAATCTGTAGCTCTAATATCAATGATTTTTATTTCAGGTTTACTCGAGAAGTAATGGCTCTCTATGCTTTAGCCATTATTGAAGTAACTATAGCAGCAGTTGTAACACTACTTATGACTGAGCCATATGGGTCCTTCAGCATTCGCTCATGTAAGGTGCGAAAGTTAGCTGACTGGTACCCACTTCTTCACAACCCAAATCCAAATTATGAGGGTGTGTTGCACTGCACTCAAGAGGCCATTTATCCATTGTAAGTTGTTTAAGTGATCTGTGTTTTAAGTATAATATTGCTAGCATAAAATTTCTAATGTGACAATAGAAATGTTCAACAAATTTATAATCCATATAAAATAATATTTGTAGATTTAACATATTATTGGTTGCTCATCTGATTTACAAATGAAGGCAAAAAAAAGTATTTAATATCTATAAACTACAGTACGATGTAGTCTACACTACATTACTCATTAAGGAAGAAAATATTTTTGTTAAATATTTTCCTTTCAGGTATTCCATGGTGTTTGTGTTTTATACCCTTTGTTTACTGGTGATGTTAATGATCCGGCCATTCCTGTCATCAAAGCTTCTACCAGGCCGAGGGAAATCTGCTATTTACTCGGCACTGTACTTCCTTCCTGCCCTTATTGTTACCCATGCTGTAGGTGCAGGGCTCATATGTACGTACCCAAATATTACTTTGTTTCTACCTAATAGCAGCAGGTTCAAGGTATACACACACATAATATATATATATATATACATACACTGTTATGATATATACACACATTATTATGGGTAATACTCATTTTTTAAGCTAAAAACTTACATTTTATATTATCTTTTTCAGATTATTCATTTCCATATATGGTGATCATATTGTCTGTGGTATCCAATGCTGCACATTTTGCATTTCAACTGGATCAGGTTAGCATTTTGTTATGTTGTTAGCAAGTTATTACAAAAGGGCAATTTGTATTTGAGCAATTTCTGTATTACGGCCCCCTTGGTTCAAGGAGTCACATCCTTGAATCAGCAGCTTATGTGTATATATACAGAAATCGCAATAGTGTGATATATAAAATGAACAAATCCACAAATTCTTTTACCATGTCGTGGCACAGTTGACTAAGGCGCTTCTGGGATCATCCCGGACGTGTTCGAACCCTCATCATGGCCCTTATGGATTTGTTCATTTATATGTACAGTATATATACTGTACAGTATTTTCATTGCATCATATGACAAAGTACTGAGAAGACGGGACCTACCCTAGCCTCGAAATATCATTTTCAAAGGAAGGTGGCCCCATATTTTACTGATGAAAACCACTGCAACAAGGGGGAAAAAGAAGAACGTAAAATTTGGTTTTAAATACGCTCAAGTGGATTTTCCAAGGCCCAATTATTTCTTGTAATTTTGCTTCCATCTATGAAGTTGTTACCAACATCCTAAACAAATCCAAGGCGATGGTTTGGTACCTTCTTTTGACAATTACGTGAGCGATAAATGGGTCTCAGGGGCCTGGTAGTACAAGAGTTAAGCTTGGGGAGCTATGGGGGCCAGACAGAAAAGGTGGTTTCAATATAAGTGAATTCATTGCTTGATTTTAAAGATGAAAAGTCACATACATAGCTCTTAGTATAACAACAGTTGGGTAATTACATGCATGCATCAATACATTGGTAGCAATGATGCCAGTGTTCCAGTGTTGTGTAATGGTTTGATTAAATTCACTTACAAAAGTAACATGGATGTACAGTACTATAGAATATAAGCCCTTAATTATTTTCAATTGATCCTGTAATAATTAACATCCACATTTCTTATTTGTACATGAATATTAATTACTTTGTTGAAACTCACCGACTCCTCTTCTACCTTGACTTGTATTAAACCTTACAATGGTACCTGCCTCCTTCATATATATTTAATTGTTATCAATGTTAGGTAGTTGAAGTTGTGTTGAAAATACTGAAGCACTTGACAAATTTTCTTTTGTGGTCTACAGTCAATCTACACTTATATTATGCAATTTGTTGTTTATGATGGTTACACACAATATACATGTTGTACTGCATATATATATATAAAATACCTAATTGATTTTCCAATTTCTTGCAGTCTATGCCTGGTCTGCTGATGGGATGTGTTCGAGATGTACGAAATCTCGTTATTCTCCTCGGTCATTGGGGTTTGCATGCTTATGGTATTGTAGCAATTACACAGTTGACAGAAGGGGTCCTCCATGGTTCCCTTTGTGCACTGGTGCCTCTACCAGCCCTCTTTTATATCCTTACTTCACGTTTTACTGACCCTTCCAACATTGGTTAAGAGGTATTTATTAAAATAAAAATGAATACATGGTTTTGTACTTTGATATTACATGATTTTCCATGTTCCCTGCATAAAATTAGGAACTTTAGTATACTGTTTATAATATGTTAATGAGGAATAGCATATCGGAATCTCCAGGTACTGTTGTTAATAGGCTTTTCTGGGAGAGTCCCCAGTGGCTTCCTGACATTATCTTGCCGAGATTGCTCCTAGCTAATATACCTGTATGATTCCAAGGATCAACGTCCCTGGGGCCCGGTCTCTGACCAGGCCATCTGGTTGCTAGTCTAGTCAACAAGGCTGATGACTGGATGTCAACATATGTTGACTCATATGTCAGACTGCTCACAGATTGACATAAGAGTCACAACCTTAGTAATGGTACAGTAATGTCTTCTCACAGACATAATTACATAGGATAAAAAACCCACACTTGTATATTTGTGAAATTTATGTAAGAAATTTACACCAAGACTTTTGCACTCTTCAGATTGATTTGTCAAGGTCCGAGTGAGTGATTAGGACAAGACTTGCATCTCAATGTCTAATGACGCTGCTATTCTGGGTCCAGTCCTCTTATCCTTCTTGACCGCATGACCAAGTTACCTCTATTCCTGACTGGTGATGAAACCTGCGCTAATGTCTTCCACGGAATTAGGATCATGTGTCCTTTCTGTAATCCTGCTATTCTGAGAACAGTTGTTGTTATTAATAGAGGTATTTATCTGGATGCTAGCCATCTGCTTGATGGCTAGCAGTATCAGCGTAACCCTCTCCATACCCGAAGGAACGCAGCTAATGGGACTACAGGGTACTTTCATTCATACATTTATTGAGATCTAATTTTAATTCACTCAATCATTTTCCTAGTAAAGCTGTCCTCTGAAGTAAAGCTTTCATTGCCAGTTAAAGTATTCAGATTATTTATTAAAACCCCTTCCCCTACCCTTCTAGTTCTAATATTATTACTTTTATACATTATTTCACATTCCTTAAAATCAACATTGTGATCCTTTTCCCAACTATGGTTTGTTACAGCACTGTTACCCTCCATAATTATACATGCTTTCTTATGCTCTAAGATTCTGATCAAGTTTTTGCCCTGTTTTCCCCACGTACACTTCATTACAATCTCTACCAGGTAAAATATTAACGCCTTCCGGATTTCCATCATCCCCTATTCTGTTCTTAGTAATCTTTCCCCCCTAATTGTATTTGGGTAACTAAAAACAATTTTATGTTTTGTATCCGCTACATTACGGGTCAGTTTACTTAAAAAGAAGGTTATAAGGCAATTCCAAAACTATTTTCTTATCAAGATTCCAAGATTCGTTTTAGTGTAAAGGATGTCTTTAGCTTTACTATCTGTTTTTCAATGAACCACGAGGGATAACCTAAATTCCAAAAAACTCTTAAATATTTAGATATCTTAAATATTTATTTAAGAGTTTTTTGGAATTTAGGTTATCCCTCGTGGTTCATTGAAAAACAGATAGTAAAGCTAAAGACATCCTTTACACTAAAACGAGAGATGCCCTTGGAATCTTGATAAGAAAATAGTTTTGGAATTGCCTTATAACCTTCTTTTTAAGTAAACTGACCCGTAATGTAGCGGATACAAAACATAAAATTGTTTTTAGTTACCCAAATACAATTAGGGGGGAAAGATTACTAAGAACAGAATAGGGGATGATGGAAATCCGGAAGGCGTTAATATTTTACCTGGTAGAGATTGTAATGAAGTGTACGTGGGGAAAACAGGGCAAAAACTTGATCAGAATCTTAGAGCATAAGAAAGCATGTATAATTATGGAGGGTAACAGTGCTGTAACAAACCATAGTTGGGAAAAGGATCACAATGTTGATTTTAAGGAATGTGAAATAATGTATAAAAGTAATAATATTAGAACTAGAAGGGTAGGGGAAGGAGTTTTAATAAATAATCTGAATACTTTAACTGGCAATGAAAGCTTTACTTCAGAGGACAGCTTTACTAGGAAAATGATTGAGTGAATTAAAATTAGATCTCAATAAATGTATGAATGAAAGTACCCTGTAGTCCCATTAGCTGCGTTCCTTCGGGTATGGAGAGGGTTACGCTGATACTGCTAGCCATCAAGCAGATGGCTAGCATCCAGATAAACACCTCTATTAATAACAACTCCTGTTCTCAGAATAGCAGGATTACAGAAAGGACACACGACCATAATTCCATGAAAGACATTACCGCAGGTTTCATCACCAGTCAGGAATAGAGTTGACTTGGTCATGCGGTCAAGAAGGATAGGAGGACTGGACCCAGAATAGCAGCGTCATTAGACATTGAGATGTAAGTCTCGTCCTAATCACTCACTTAGACCTTGACAAAGCACACAGGAGAGTGCGAAAGTCTTGCTATAAATTTCTTGCATAAATATACATGTGTGGGTTTTTTATCCTATGTCACAGCCTTGTTGGCCAGGTATCCTTTTGAAAGTGTTTATCAAGTTCTCTCTCTCTCTTGAACTTGATATACTACCTTCGAAACACAAAGGTGGTAAAGTTCAAAACATCTTTGAGCTTGATAAACATAGGCTTCTAAGCAAAGTTGCCTTCACTGTTTGCCAGTGGCCACATGCAGCCAAAGAAAACAAGTAATTAGTGAATATAAAACAGGTTGGCACAAAAAAACTCATGTGAAGCCTGACAAGCAAGGGTCCTGCACAGAACAGAATCCAAAAGAAAAGCAAACTCTTAGCAGAGACCAATAGCCATTGAGCAGCGCAGCGCCCAATGGAACTGCACCAGACACTTAAGAACAACTGGGGTGGTTAGTCAGGTCCCTTCGGTCATTGGGACTACTGTTTGTGGATGAGAATTGTGCTAATCAGCAGTTGGATCCAAGACAAGAAGTGGGTACATAGTTCACATCAAGATAACATATGTTGTCCAAGCTTGTTTTGGTGTACTATCTTTCTATGCACTCCCACGCTCCATTATGTCTCTACTGAAATGTCCAGATTCTGTTCCTGGTCTCCAACAGGCACTCATTTGTTTGAGCTCAGGGTACAAGGCTAAGGGAAGCCAGATGGGTAGCTCGTGGAGCAGTCCTAGAAAGAAAGAAAGACAAGACAGTCAATCTTTCTGTCTATATATCTGACTGTGTGTGTGTGTCAGTCAGACACAGTCCGTCCATCCGTCAGTCAGGCAGGCAGACATACAGTCAGTCAATCCAGTCCTGTCAGTCAAGTCAGTCCAGTCAATCAGTCCAGCCAATCAGTCAGTCAGTCAGTCCAGTCAGACCAGTCGGTCGGTCAGTCAGTCAGTCCGTCTGTCCGTTCGTCAGTCCTGGGACAATGGCGAGAACACCATTTGTGATTAAATATATTAAAGATTAAACATTGATAAAGCTAAAATACTGTCACCATACCTGAAGAGAATGAATTCTGTTTGGCCTTTTGAAGATGATGGAAGAAAAGTACAAGTCTCTTGCCAGAATCTATAAAGTAAAACGACATGTCTTATGTGCTGGGCATCATGAATGTGGTCTCATAATCAGGACAGGAAGCCCATTTGCTTAAGAGTACCTCAATTAGTTTACCTTTTTCCCAGGATGCAACCCACAACAGCTGCCTAACTCCTGGATACCTACAGATATTTACTTATAAATAAACAGAAGCATCAGGTGTAAGGAAACATTGTCTAAACGGGTCTGTCCTATCCCCCGAAAATTGAGCCTTGAATCTTTCAGCTGTGACCCGACTGCACTGACCACCATATAGCTTTCTGGGCCAAGTGGTTTCTTTTGATCACTTACTCTTACGTTGTGGATGGGAAGCGGAAGTGTGGAGGAAAACAGCAGTACCCTGCAGCAGCAGGAGCCGGTCGGCCGAGCGGACAGCACGCGGGACTTGTGATCCTGTGGTCCTGGGTTCGATCCCAGGCGCCGGCGAGAAACAATGGGCAGAGTTTCTTTCACCCTATGCCCCTGTTACCTAGCAGTAAATTAGGTACCTGGGTGTTAGTCAGCTGTCACGGGCTGCTTCCTGGGGGTGGAGGCCTGGTCGAGGACCGGGCCGCGGGGACACTAAAGCCCCGAAATCATCTCAAGATAACCCTGTTCTAACATACACAAGAACACGTAGCAGCCCAAGTACAGTATCACTATTTTTTGTTTAGTAATTTTGCCAACTATGTTATTTTTTGATAAATAAAAGGCACTTTAAAAAACTTAAGTATTTATTCATAATTATGGCTTGGTAAAATGTCATGACCTAGTGATGGAGGTTTTGCATTTAATCAACTTTTACATATAAAGAATAATAATATCTAAGTTGACTGCCGTGCATTCATGACTACAGTGGCAGAACTTCACAACTCTATTTTCTCAATGAGATGGGATGGGATTAGGGAAAAATAGAATTTGGTGAAAATAGCAAATCTACAGCTTGCACACTTTTTCCATAGAAAAAATTGGCCTAGAAATGTTAAGATCCTTTCCCTGAAAGCTTTTAGTTATAATGATTGACATAGTGTACTCTGGAAGACCAGAGGTGTAACTATGGGACAATAACAACTTACATGCAGTACAGGTGGCAATTCTGTCTCAGGACACACTTCTCAAGCATCCATTGAGCAATGGTAACAAAGCCTAGCCAATCAATCCAAGGAGTTCCTTATACCATGACTGATTTGTTTACCATCTCCCAAGAAAGCATAATAATATACCCGAGGTGTTTTTTCTTCAACTTCTCTAAGCCAGTGACAACTACTGTCTACAACTCGATACCCAGTTAACCAAAAGTAGTGAATGATTACCTACTGAAAATGGAACTATGCCTCTATTGTATTCCACATACCTTGATGTGGAAGCTCAATATGTATCTTCATTACCTAAGTGTCCACAATATTGCCAGTTAACAATTAGTTTCATGACAAGTTGCTGTGCTATTATATAATGTAAATTAAGCTACCTGTACATGGAATTTTTCTGAGATTTTGTAGATGAATAGAATAATTAAACAAAAAATATATACTGTACTTGTATATGACCCGTCCCAAAATATTCACGCACTGCAATTTTCTTTATCCTGCCTGAAAAATGACAATACATTATTTTTGGACTTCTCACAATGTTCAATATCTCACAAGTTGGCCAATCTGCTCTTGTTATGACTTATTACATCACTGGCTGAAAATGTTGACCCTTTGGCTCGGCTCACTAGATACTTTAAGCAGTGTTTATAAGCATAGAATACTAAGCCCCTTCTGTACTAATGAAATTTATATGCTTATAAAATATTGAAAATTGTGAAGAGATTCCTACCTCTGTATTTACCATATACTGTATTACCTGGGTGGCATATCTGCCATAGATCCATACCAGCTATGATCATCGACTGCTACCGATACCACTCACATGCCCTCACTCAGTTTTACACAATATATACTTCTCTTTTTTTTGTCTGAAGTCATTAACAATTACCAACATTCTCAATATTAAAAAAAAATTATCATTATTCTGGGTCACTTGGCTTATGTAAATTGTGTGAAAACAGAACTACCAAAATCCAAATTATGCATAGTAATTCTTAAGCCAGAATTCTATACCAGATTTACAAACAGCCAAATCAATTTGGAAGAAAGTGGGAAAGAAAATCTAGACATTTTAATATCTGTACAAGAACACTGCTTCACTGTCCGTTTCTCTCTACAGCCTTGACTTGTAAATTAACTAACAAGGAGCTGGTGGTCTTGTATTATTCCAATAAGGCACTTTCAGTGTCAATACTACTGTAAACTAAAGGCACCTTATTGGAGGAGCATGCAAGAATAATGCTCACATTGCCACCATATAAAGTAGCATCCCAAAAGTTGTAACATTGGGTTATGCACCTCAGTGTCCAATGTAAATACCTTGCTGTCCAAAGAGTACTTACAAGCTGCATTTTTGAAAAACTTGAGTGGCAGTTATTGCCATGTATATGTATAGAAAAAAGTTTCATAAAATCATACACAGTAACATAAACAAGGGATGCCTATAAAAGGATTCATCAACTGTACAATTTTTACAATAAAAATAACAGTACAGCACTATTATTTTTATAATTTGCCACTTATGAACTACTATGGGACAAAACCACATTCCTTTTTCAGTGTATTTGGAAGGAATGTTTTATTAGTTTGAGTGCAAATGTTCACTGATCAGTGAACCTTATTTCCATCTTTATACTTGTTGCTAACATTTGGTTACATAAAATAGATATTATGTTCAAATTTATTCAGAAAATACTTGAAAATTGCACTTTTGTGGAACATGAAAAAATGATAAACCATATATCAGTTTCACTACAACTGCTTGAAGCTATGGCACGAAAGTCTTGAAGAAAACACACGGTGTAATTTGACTACGGAATATAAAATGGGAATAACCTTGACATGCCAACTATAAAAGTGATAAATGTTCAGCAATATAAGAACCCTGAGCATTACTCCAAAGGGCTACTGTTGTGTTACACATACTGTGTACATGAGCCACAATAACGGGTCATCAGGTTCACACTGGCCTAACTCGGGCACTACGTAATCAGCATGATGCACACTGATCAAAACTGTAGCAGGCTACAGCAAATTATAAAACAAAACATAAGCACCATATTAAATCACTGGTCACCACAACAATTACTAATTATAACAAATATTTAGGCGAGTGGTTCATTTACAAAAATAAAACAAAATTAATAAATAAATAAAAACATTAATACAATCAATCACTCCATACTTGTTATCTTATAAACAGGTTCCTATTAAAATAATGTAAAGAGGGTATTGCATCTAAAATTGAAGTCCAAAAGTTTGTGAGCATCACAAGTACTGTACTGTACTAAATTAAAGGAACAGTATTAAAAACAAAAATCTTACATATTTCAGCACCTGTGAGTTCATGAATATGAAATGAGTGTGGCAAAACCTAGGCATTTCTCTAGAAGACTTTAAAGTTCCAATAGCCTTGATACATAATATTTAAGTCCCTATGCACAAATTATTCCCTTTCTTAATATATTTCAGGTAATTAATATAGAATTGAAATTCTCATAATGTATCATCCTTTTTGGGTAACATAATGTAATCATACATACAATATCTACACCTATACACGTGTCTATGAAATCCCTAGGCCTCTGCATAAGCATAGTGTATAAACTATAGTTAATAAGTGTTATACACTATAGTTACTTTGTATCTTCCTGCAAACTGACCGAGTTTAGTCAACCCACCGATGACGACGACGACTTAACCCTACTGAAGACTGTGACACTGAACCTTCTGTCCATACAGAGCACTTCCAGAATTGTGGCAAACAAATTTTGTATTTACATTAAAGTATACAGTATGCAGAATAGTTTTGTGGCATTCTGCTCTTGACTAACAACTGGCCAGTTGACTCACCTTACAGAGTGGCTGGTGCACTAACCTCAACCATCTTCAACCTGCTACAACAGCCAAATATTTTGTATCTATTATTGTATCTATACATATCTACCTTATCTACCTCTACTGCTACATCTATCCATATATCTGTCTATACACATACTAAAGTTATTCTACAATAAATGAAAATAAATATTTTTACACAGTATTTGTCACTTATTTATGGATTTACTTGAATATTGAGCTACATACATTTGACACATGATTAACCAGCATCATAAATTAAAAACACCCTAATTGTGACTTAAGTTGTGAGTGATAAGGTTAAAACATTCTTCAAAGTTTTAGAACAACTATACAGGAAGACAACACAGTCATGTAAATGGTATACCATAATATAGATATCAATTCTGACCTTTAGGATTCTGGAAAATCAAGGTAGTCAAGTATGCAGACTCTGAACCAATTCTGTACTGAGCTGATATCCAAAATCTGAAATGGTGTGGTAGTTACCTGGCCAGCTTCAAAATACTAACATAATTAAATTTTCAAACAATAATTTTTACAAGTAAAATATATTTTGTCAGCAAGCTTCTCTTTTTCAACTTATCATTCCTGTGGGCACATTCTCAAGAACAGAGTAGCACGTGTATTGACAACTATAAGCACGTCAAATTTCTGCACAATTACTTGAAACTGTATCGGCAATACACGTTGTGAATATTAACAAACTACAGAGTTCTACAATTGCTGGTTACCCACACAGGAAACAAACTTAAAATAGTATTAAATATAAACAACAAAGCAGCTCCAGTTATGGAAGACATAAACAAACTATAACAATATGCAAAGGAGGAAACATGAGAAAAATGCAAGACGATGCCAAATAAAATTTGGACACCAGGATGGCAGCTATATATTTGTTTCATTCTTTAAGTACTAAAGAGGAAAACAATAATATTTTCAACCCTACAAGTTGATAAGATGTAACCTTCCTTGAAATGTCAACTCATATTGATGAGTCAAAGTTGAGGATCATCAAGAATGGTACAAATCTATGATGGACTGTGCATGCAGCACCACCATTCACCCTGCAACTTAAAAGTTCCAGTCATCATTATGTACACCATATTTTATACTTTTGGTTCATATATTAAAACATTTTTACTTGATGACACAGTAGTTGGACAATTGATTCTACTATATATATTTGTTTCACACACTGTCAAAATAGTTTTTAAATTTTGTCTGTATTAAAAGGATAGTCAGCAATGGAAATCATGCTATGCTATCAGGCGTTAAGTACAATACTGGGGGTGAAGTATATATAAATCCCAATTAAAGTCTCATTAAATTTTTGATACATATAAATATGTACTAAAGCAAGAATATATGGTTTTCTTTAAGCACATTTTGATGGATAATATGAACTTTAAGAATAATAAACACAATGCATTCATTTTGGGCACGAATTAGGTGTGAGGCAGACTGGATAACACCACCACTGTTTCCCCTCACCGTAAACAATCGATGACTGGCTTTCCTATTTGCCTGGGTGATTGGCACAAGGTGACAACGTCCAGCACTGATCTCCATCCTAGATCAATGCATGGATTTATAAAGCTCACATGAAAATATGGAAAATATCACAGCTAAGAAATCAGACAGAAAAGTTTCTTAAATTATCAAGGGAAATTTGTAACCCATATGTTGCAACTTTACAGTTTTGACCATTTCCAAATCCAGATTCTTAAGAGTTTATTTGAATAATATTCCGTTAACAGAACAATCTACTTGCTTATTAACCATGTTTTTTTTAATGTTTTGGTTTAGCCACAAGAATTTTAACTTGTGAAAATTTTGTAGTTACTCTATTTGTGGACATTTATACCTTCTGAGAGCCTTTTAAGAATCTGGATACGTAATCCCTCAAGCCTCAAGTTTTGAAATATTAAACAACCACTGCAAGAAAACAGTATATTCATCCCACTGTACAGGTTTATACTCACTAACTACAATGAGATTCACTGTACACTATTCACATTGTTCATTCAATTTCCGTGACACGACCAATTATAATGATGCATCAGCTATAAAACGAACAAAGGTCCATTTCTCTGCAGTGCAAATGATAAATGCACCTTATTAACATGCACACACTGAAGCTCATGATAGTTGGTCCCATCACGTTTGTGTTTCACACAAGTTTGTAATATCAGGCTATACTACAATCTCATTATATTTTTACAGCCGAATTATAACACATAGTAAAGCTTTCTGACCCCAAGTCTCAACAAATCCAGTATATATATATTGCTGCTTCCATTGTACTTTGAGGTAAGACCAGGTAATTCTTCCTTTGAGCTTGTCCCCGTTTCATAAAAATAATCCTATTTGAAAACTTTGAGGCAACTTATGCCCAGTTCCTGATAAAATATTAAATGCTTTCTTTATGAATGTACCTTTATTATGTTTGTGATAAAAGGCTCCCTCAAATCTGTCATTAAGGTGTACATGAGATCAGAGGGGATTAAAAATTACTTACTAAACTACAATGGTAATTTACCAAATCTTATTCATCCGTTTCCTAGAAAGAACTTTCAATTCCACTAGTATAAAATAACTGACTTTCCTCCACAAAGCATCAACACGCAGTTCGGCTCGGTTCTGCTATGTAGCCTCGGGGAGTCAACGTTTGTTAGTTATTACAATTTCTGAGGGGTTTTGTTGCAGCAGTTACCCCTCATCAAATCTGTCGTCAATTCTTCTGGCCCTTCATATATGCACAATGCTACAGCTTCATATTCCTCAAGAGAAAGACATATGAACACAACACACATTTAAAGAGATACTTCTCAATACAAAACAGTAGCAAAACTTGCAGATTACCAAACAATACAGCAAAATACATTAATATACATTTTCCAAACAGGCAGGTACCTTGAACTACTCATTAATATAATTGCCACTTTAGCCATGACACAGGTTCAGAAACCCTGCTGGATATCCTCAACAGTCTCCATTATGTGTGAGCAATATATATACAAGCATCCACTTCTGTACAATATATTCTTCAGCTTCTGAGTTGGTACTTAGGAGTGCGCTTTTAGTTAGTAAATATACCACTGGTATAACAACATTTACACTCAAAACATTAAATCCTTACATTGTATGTGAATAATATTTTTTATGCAAAATGCTGAAACTATATTTCTTTTTTATTGCTTGCACTATCAGTAATAGGCTTTGTCAATATACTTGGGCAAAACAGTAGCTCTGTGTGCCAGGTGAACACAGCACTCATCCAATGTAAATGAGTTTATCATTCAACTGTATTGGATTTTATTACAATACATATTGTACATCGATTGATGACATTTAGTGTTTGGTGGGTAATATTACCACAGAGGTACTATAAGCATGATTGCCGGGTGCACTTCCTGAACGCAGCTACAACATATCATGATGCTTGATTTCTTCTACAAACACAAGATAGGAAACTTTTTAATCACATTTCAATCTCAATTCTGCTACACTTCCACATAGGCAAACAGTTGAGCAAGAGTGCATGGGCAGCGTAGGTGGCACGCATGGTCTACAGAGATGGATATCTCAAGCTACTAAAACTCTTACATCTGGCAGTACTGATGGGATATAAATGTAGGCTTCTTGAGAAATTAAACACTAAAGCTGTGCTTAATTTTAACTAACTTCACATTGAAATCTTAAACTTTACTGAGATGCCAATACTATATACTGTAGTAATGCTGGTTGCCATTGATAAAAAATAAATAAAAATAAAAATAAACGATAAAAAAATAAAAGAGGTAACAATTACTTAACAATCTAGACGTCATTTATCATTATGTGGTGACAGGGAGCGTTGTGGAGGCTTGGCTAGACGTTGGCACACCGGCAGTGAGGGATGATCTTGCACCTGGCAATACAGTTATCAGTTAGTCATTGGCATTCATCATTAACCAATTATACAAATTATCACAAACAGGAATAGTTAAAAATATAACCCTTTTTTTCCTGAAGGGAAGGCTAGATAGGCTCTGGTAACAGACGATGCCTCCTTTTAGTCTCTTCACCAGATTTTTCAACTGACGGTATACATGCTTTGAGGCCATCTTCTTGAGGAAAAGAAGTTCCCAGGAAGAACAAGATGCAATGTAACATGTGAAAGTGAAGGCGATAAGTCACAATAACGTGGCTAAAGCAAGTTGACCAGACCACACACTAGAAGGTGAAGGGACGACGATGTTTCGGTCCATCCTGGACGGACCGTCATCAATTCTTCGACTTGAGAATGGTCCAGGACGGAGCGAAACGTCATCGTCCCTTCATCTTCTAGTGTGTGGTCTGGTCAACATGTGAAAGTGACCTTTAAGGGAAACATAATGCTCAGTGGAACATATGGCTGCCATACAGCTGGCCAACTTACTATGGTGGTTGTTGTGAGTGAGTTGTTGTGATTGGTTATTGGACGCATGTGATGCAGCTGCTGCAGGGTTAGGACTGCTGGGCACTCCTGGGGTGTTGGGGGTGTTTTGGTGAACCTTCTGACGTACTTCCCTAATCTTTAAGATCAAGCAATTCTTGGTGGGGAAAATATCAGAGTATCGCAATTGGAATGCTGCCACTGCTTGAGCTGCAAGGTAAAAAAAAACATACATTAACTTTTATGTATTGTACAATAACAAATATATTTATTAATTAGCAAAAACGTTGTGTATGTGAACACACAACATTATACGACCAATATATAATAAGGTGTAGAAATAATACATCACATGGATAACTTACAGTAAGAAGAAAACTATTTTTGTTTAATGCTTTGCCAATACTACGAGTTAAATATATAAAGACAATTACAAATTAGCCCCAAGCTCTGATTTGCAGATAACAGTTGGCTTTAGTCTAAGCTTGAAAAACTCAGAATAAAGTGTTTTGAAGTGGCAGCCATCAAGGACTATTACACCAGATAGCAACATTAAAGGGAATGCACCACTGCCAGAGAAACTAGTGCAAGCCGATTCAGACTGCAAACAGCGGTAATGCATCCAAGTGGTGCACTGGATGCACCATTGGATGCACCACTTGGATGCACCACCATCTCTTGTCTAGCTGCACTGTCCATGCAGGTTCTTTGCTGCAAATAAGTATACCATTACCATCACTACCTCATTCCCCACTTTTATAGGCTAGGGAGGAATAAGCCCACATGAAAAAGGAAAATAAAAATCAAGATAAACATGAAATCTGTGCATCCTGTAGTTGCATCTTTTACAGGGCATGTTAAAACATCACTCGCAGATTAGCAAAATGCCGTCTGCCAGTAAAAGTATCTGCCTGATGTCTTACTGCACAACCTTCTCGGCAGGTCCTGCCCTTCACTCTTACGTCAAACTTGATGTATATTTTGTGACAAGGATTTTTTTTAATAAAACTGGCAATTTTACTGAATCAAAATGTAAGTGGGTATTGTGATACAAAATTATAATTTTCCAATGGAAATTATGAGGAAAGTGCAATCTAGCCAGACTGACATGTTGAGTCTTACCAGATGGAAACCAGCCATATTCTGAGAAAAGTTGCATGACAAGAGTGCGGCGTTGGTCCAGGATGTGGCGAAGGGAGGAATGACTTTTGTCTGCGTCACGTGGGGTCTTTGGCGTTCGGGGGGATCGAGCACCAGCTGGCGAGTCCACCTCTGACTTATCTGATCGTGGTTCTCCAACTGAGGAGTACATGAAAATATTGCCTACATGTTATCAACAAAGTTGCATGTCATTTAAATCTAAAATCTAGTATTAAAATTAACTACAATAATATCTTCTGGTCACTGGAAGTCTAAATGCACAAGAACAACTTCTATACAGTTATACCACATATTTCCTGATTAATTCTGGAAATACAAAAGAAACCCTGATAATTGAGCTTTGCAGTGATGATTGGAGCAGAAGTGGGTCAGGTTAAAAATGCAAGATGGGTGGGCAAAGCTCATCTCGATGCTGATCAAATAATTTGTAATCGAGCCAAAAATGGCAAAACTGATAAATGCCTCACTACAACAAAAGGCCTGGGAGCCAACTGATCTGAATAATCAATGTGTTGCTCTACAGGCAGCAAGCCTTACTGATCCTAGGATTACATTCCTGTAAAACTTCACAAATCAAACTTAAAGTTACATAAAAAAGGGTTAGGTTCCTGATACCTTCAAAAGTTCACTTTCCACTTTTAACTAAACAAAACACAAATGTTAACAATAATGTTTAATACTGCTTCCACTTTTATCCACAAATTTAGTACATATTAAAATCCACAATGCTTAAGATGTGCAATGATATATATAAATATAATTCACAAAGTTACTAAAATACAAGAATGTAGGACACGAGCACCCCGACACACTGCCGAGAATATAGTAGGCTCGAGACTCGGAGCCCATCTGTACTAACCTGCATTAACTCATTCTCATCCCGTGTAACTGAATCTGCACATACCAAAACTGCAAACTGCAGGCTGCCTGTATTACATTTGTTCTCCATAAGCTTAACAATATCTTAAGATTTAAAACTAAACATATTAAACTCACCCTTAAAAGTTTCTGGATTAAAATCTGGTGGGAAGAACTTGGAGCCCTGCAATGTGGATGATGGTGTGAGTGAGGGCGTGAGGTGAGGCGTAACACTCATTGGGGTTTCCGCTTCCGACTCATCACCTGCTGTGTACGTAATTGTCAACATTACATACACAATATGCATGAAATATTCTGACACACACATACTACAAGTACCCATATTATTCCATATCCACTAATTAGTTCATTATGAACTATTTTAGCCTGAGACCCCTTTGCTTTTATTAAAAACATTCTCTGAACACGATAGCTCTATCTCTGACAGAAGTAGTTACAGGTATCTACTTTAAATAACAGAACTTTCTTAAAAGATTTAGTGCAATATTCCATTGTGACATGGTCTCCAATACTCCAGCTACATACATGACTTACAGAATGCCAGTCCAAAAAAAAAAAGACAGGCCCTCTTGGGAGATAACAGTTTAAATGCCAAATGCAGGATCACAAGATGATTTCATTGAATCTAGTTCATACAGAGGCATACAAAGCTATCAAATATTCATATTATAAGAAATATTAGCATTGCATTAATTCAAGCATTAACATGAACTTGTAGCTGTATGAGCCACATGTGCTTTCAGCTTTGTGTCTTAGCAGTCATTATTAGACTCAAGTGGCCACTGTAGGGGCTGTATGAGCCATGTGTCTGCTGCAGGCAAAATGTAAATAAAATGTGCTTGAAACTTACTGGAATGCTTTCTTTTCTTTCTGTAGGAGCTGATAAATGTGCGAGGGGACGACGGTACTGATGGGACGGTGTTGGCATTGATGCTCGGAGATTGAACTTCATCAGGATTGAATTCGGGTAATGCCCCAAATTTTTGCTCAAAATTTACTTCTTCTAAAACCCTGAATTACAGAAGATAAAAATCATATTAATAATTAAATAAAACAATTGAATGCAAAAATCTTCAAACTTCCCAATAACAGGGCCCAGGGACCAAGCCATTCATCAAACCAAAATCTGAAGAAAAGAGAAAAAAGGGGAACCACCATAACAGTGAATAACTGAAAACAGTCCACAGCAAACAGAAGATGCATGGTTACATAAAAAGAAGTAGGGTTGACAGCAAGAAAATGAAACTCAAGAGTCGCTACCTCTGAAATGCATCTCATTTCAAAATACCTGTCAGGGAAGACAGAACCAGAAGCAAATGGTGTGAAATCATCAAGCATTCTGTCATCTGAAGTGCTGTTACCCAAAACAGAGGCTCAGCCACAGCCGAACAACATGAAAAATTGTTACATACACAGGAGAAAATAGGCCCCACACAACCTACAAATTATGTGAAAAAAAACTTGAAAGAATTCTGATTAAGAAAGAGATCTAGATCTCTTTCTTAAGAGATCTTCTTAAGAGATTATGAAAGAGATCTAGATCTCTTTCTTAATCTCTGGATAAAAAAAAAGTCGCCTGAGAACCAGAACAAAAGAACACTGTGAGGAGTGCATGCTACGCTTTCTAATCTCAGAATTACTTTAAAAACATGGAATGTGAAATATTAAAGAATTGTACATGACCTTTGTGAGACCAAAGTGGGAATATGCAGTGCTTGTATGGTGCCCATATCTTGAGAAACACATCAATGAATTGGAAAAGGTGCACAGACAGGCAACCAAATGGCTCCTGGAGCTGAGAAACAAGAGCTATGAGGAGAGATTACAGGCGTTACATATACCAAAGCTAGTAGATAGAAGAGAGAGAGATGACATGATCACTATTTACAAAATAGTAAAGGTATGGACAAAATTAACAAAAGAATTGTTAAAAACTGCAACATCAAGAACAAGAGGACATAGGTCCAAACAGAGGAAACAAAGCTGCTGAAAAAAACATTAGAAAGTTCACTTTTGCAAACAAAGTGGTAAACGGTTGGAACAAGTGAGAAGGTGTAAGCCAAAACCATCAGTCATTTCAAAGTGTTATATGACAAGAGTACTGTATTGAGAGGATGGGACACCCCGAGCGTAGCTCTCATCCTATAACTACTCTTAGGTAATTACCCCAGACTGGAAAACCCCAGCCCATCCTCCTGTTTAGATAGTACTTATGGAACGATGTGGACCATCATACACATAGTAACATAATTAGCAATTACATATAGTAACGTAATTGACAAAAATTAGAAATTGGAATTTTGTGCTACTGAATTTGGACAAACTGGAATAGGTTTTGTATTTATGTTGCTAATAAAACCTAGCCTAACCTAGCCACCCTAGTCCTAATACACGCTATCTAATGCCTAATATAGAATATATATGTGCTATACTAGGCCTAGGAATATTTAAGTTTGGTTTTAGCTATACCTTTTCTGAACTCTTATAAAGTGAATAGTACCAAATTTTACTAACTGCCCATTATGTCAACACATGTACAATGGTCCATAGAGAAAGTACTATCTAAACAGGAGGATGGGTTGGAAAAACCACAAAGATACTCATCAGTCAGAAACACCTGGAATTAACCAGTAAACCTCCACATAACACAAAGTATAAAATGATGTTGAAAAAAGAGTTTAAAGCTGGGAGTGAGGAGCAGCCAGTGGACATTGGTGATGGACACATTAAGACCCTTTGATAATTTCATGTGCTTTAATAATGAATTTGCATTTTAGAGTTGAAATATGTGAACATGTTTAATATGATCCAAAACTCCAGACTCAAATCCAGAAGGAATGGAACAATTATAGTCTAAATTTATGAGTTTGCAATGTATAATACTGTATACAAAAGTCAATAAATATATAATCTTTTCATAGTCAATGAATTATTTATTCTGAACACAATGATGGTAAATGTTCATTCCAAAAAACTCTTGGATTAATTCAGTCTTTCTCCATCTTTTTGTGCCCATTAAACACTACACACTGTTCCATAAAACATGCTTATACAGTAAATGATCAATAGTACTGGTCAAAATTATTCTGTGCCACTTACTTATCCATTCCATCTTCAATGTTTTTCTTAAAAAAACTTTTCTTTTCGTTTGGTGAAGGAGGGACTGAGGTGATGTGATGATTAGCTCCTGCAGCTGCAAGCGCTGAGGAGTCTCCATCAGAAGGGTCGCAGCCTGCGGGGGATACTTTAGTTTCTCCGCCTCCGTGCTGTGGGGGAGCCATCTTCACATCTGGAGATAACTGTGGTGGGGTGTCTCCTATTGCCGATATTTGCCCTGAAGCGAGGGCAAAGCAATGAGTTTTGCGTCTCACATAACCATGAATGCCTACAAGTCATAAAGAGAACAAATAACAAGTTAGAAAAATTCACACATTTCTGTGACATCTGAAACACTATAAAGGTCTCTTAATAAGAACACAGAAGCAGGAATGTACTATTTTTATTAATATTTGTTTCATTACTTATTTAAATTGTTATCTCTTGTCTTGTTTACTCTGAGCATTCTTTTCTTCAGAGATAGACATGACACTTTAGACCCACGTTTGGCATATTCGATTTATTTACATTGAAAACTCTTAAAGGAACATATAAAACAGTGGTGTTGGTGACCCATGGAAGCACTTCCATGGTCCAAATACAAAACTGTACTTAAGTTTCCATAAAAAACATTTCTACATATACTGAACATACAGTGCCACTTGGAGTATTCTATTTTCACCCTTTCAATGTATACTTCCTTCTTGAATGAACCAGCTGAAGGTGGTCCTCAAGCTTTCTGAATTCAGTATTTTGTAGTTTTAAGTGCAAGCCACCAGAGCAACCTTCATTCTTCATACGAGCCAAACCAGCACAATCTGTATTTTTACAAGAGATATGTACTGTTGGTGATTTAGGATGTAATCAGAGGGCATGAGGTGTCAAAGATGTAGAATGAGATTTTATATAACAAAAGGGGATCCCAGTATGATCACAACCCAGTAGCGATCATACTGGGTTGAAAGTCTAGTGATCGTTGGTTCAACCTCTTCACTAAGAGGGAAGTGTAGTTGCTAGTTTACTTTCAGTTAGTTTCAGCAGTACATATGGCTACAGATGGTGAGTGAATGTAGTGGCTTGCTGGCAAGGAACTCTGGGTGACCTGGGCCGCCAGTGAGAGGCAATCGGACACAATACAGCCGAGGTATATTTCCTGTACCAACAATTGTTTGCTTTGTTTTCACCAGGGTTTACAAATTTCCTTGCAAGCAGTTGTTTGTTTTGATGCACTTATGCTTTCTAGCATGTTGTTTTGTTTGTTTTAGGGTGATCTGTGATCTCCAAGCTTCCCTTGCCTTATAGAGAGCACCAGATTTTGGTTCTGGCTACCGGTAGGATAGGATGGGTTCTCAGAGGCCTGATATGGTATCCAACAGCTCTGCAGCCCTAGTGCTATACCTTGGGGAGCTACTGAGGGAGCCCTCCCAGATGAGTCAATTACCACTGGGAGATCATTTAATTAAATAAAAAATAGGATTGGCTTTAATACAGACCTCTGTGGCACCCTTCTTATAGTATTTTGCTCAGTGTAATTGTCTTCTGTTGCACCTGCCCGTTTCTCCAATCTTGTTAATGGAGGTGTTGGTGGGATGGGTATATAGATGGTGGTGGTTTGGTATGACTGTGTTTGGATAGATATTGGTATGGTGGGTGGAAGAGGCGTGGGCATATGGTGGAGTAAATATAGTATGAGTGGTGTGATTACTGAGGCACAAGTGGGAAGGTGTGCTGGTGGGGAGTGGAACCGGCATATGATTGCATGTGGAGAGAGTGGGGGGGGGGGTGCAGGTGAAGATAGGAATGTCGGGACTGTGGAACATGTGGAGAAAAATGTTAAGAGGGAGGGAAAACTGGTGAGCATTGAGGGAAATTGTTTTCTTATCTTCATTTGTGATGAAACTTTCTTGGCATGTCCATGCCAAGTTAAAAAATATATGTCTTGGAACAAAAAAGTAAGACTAAAAATTATTGGCAACTGGCTATATTACCAAAGTGTTGCAATTTAATGTGATGAAGCATTGTCAAGATATTGAATGGAAACCTGTAGAACCAAAAATCAACATTACCAACTTGTAAGTAATCTTTACTAGATGATATGTAATTATAGCCTGGTTAAAATCATAAGGCATCACTCTCAGGTATACCTATGACACCCAACCATTTATCATACCTTTCCCACTCAACAATGTTCTTAATAGTACACAAGTATAACTAGTTTGTTAGTTACCCTTTAAATTGTATTCTAATCATTCTAATTTTAAGCCATATGTTTGCCAATATAAGTTTCATCACAGTAATGGTAAGCTATAGCTTTTGTACAACTTCACTCCAGCCACAACTGTAATGATTTCTACAAATAAAGCTTCTAAATCTAAATACAGTAGCTGCATTCACCTCACAATACCAAATCTTTAACCAAACACACTTGTGGCATTAAGGCCTTACTAGAAGCTCTCAATGTGAATGTTCACCAAGAATTGTCTCCAAGACCTGGCCAAGAGATAAGAATTGAGATATTGAACATACCTGGGTATACAGCCATCCACAACTGTAGACCTAATAAGAAAAGGGAGGTATTGCAAGCTACTGTGCTAGTGAGCTATCCTGTAATAACATTATTTACACCACACACGTGCACACAATACATATACACGGGTTTAGTTTATTACCACGGCACTAACACTGCCCTGATAATATTTACACCACACACGTGCACACAATACATATATATGTATGTATATATATATATATATATACTGTATACATATATACGAGTCATTTTTAGGTCCAGATAGACAGTCAACCAAACCATCTCTTTCTTGCAGAATCTCTGTTGCACTATCATAAAAACTCAGTAGAATTATTACAGAGGATTTTTTTTTTTTTTTTTTTTGGAGCACCAGAAGTAGTTTTTCGTAATATAAAATTACTAAAAACAAGTTCTTAGCACAAAATGTTTTGGGCTAATAATAGATATGGAACGAGCATTTTTTCTTATTAGAAATGCAATAAAAGCTTCAGCATGAATCCCACACATTAACATACTCACAGAGTGACGTTGAAACTTGAAACAGTCGAGCAATGGTGACGTTCATGACGTGTGTAAGCACACAAGAGGGAATATTCATATAAATGGAATAAGGAACCACGATCTTATAAAATAATGGGGTGCTGCTGGGGAGAAGTGCTACAGTGGATTGATGAATATTTGCCATGCTATATATGTATTATGAATTATACAATAAACTGATGAGTACCATGCTATATATGTATTATGAATTATACAATAAACTGATGAGTACAATTCTTTTAAATTCAATACCTTCTTTTACTACACTTCTTTTTCTCTGGGCTGATGCCTCTCCACTCCATGTAAGTAGGAACATGGATCATAATTGTGTGTTTATATATGTATAAATGTTTTACATGTTAAACCCTCATTATTTAAAAAAAAATCATAATGCAAATAAGGCAGATAGACAAGACTGATTCATCTATTCCACACCACCCAACTGGCAAAAATAAAAAATAAAAAAAAATTGAAAAGGGCAGACCTATGCTGATGTAATTACCTGTAGAGTTAAGTCTCTTCTGACGTGGAGCCTTGCCAAGCTGTGCTGGCGTTGGGGCAAGGATAAACTTGGGCTTGTCCTCCAATTCTTCCTCCTCAACACCCCCTACACCAATGCTTGCACCTCCAGTAGCAAGAGGAATATTGGCTACCTGTGCTTTAACTTTCTGTTGCTGCTGTGCTTGTTGGTGTTGCTGCTGCTGCTGCTGATGCTGCTGGTGGTGATGATGTTGATGCTGCTGCTGTTGCTGATGCTGCTGCTGCTGTTGATGCTGCTGCTGCTGATGTTGCTGCTGCTGCTGATGTTGCTGCTGCTGCTGATGTTGTTGCTGCTGCTGGTGATGCTGCTGCTGTTGGTGTAACTGCTGTGATGGTGACAGCTGGTGTAGTGGAAGTGTTATGGCAGCCAAGGAGCCAGCAGCAGGTGAGTTTGTCACTACTGCTGCTGCTCCTCCACACCCTCTACCTGCAGGTAATTATAAAATCAGTAAAGTAATCTGAAAGTATAAACCTTTATATTTACATGAGAACCGAGTGACAAATGTAGGAAAGAGCTGAGGCAGGACACCACGAGTGTAGCTCTCATTCTGTAACTACACTTGGGTAATTACTTGCCTGGCCAATTTATTTTTATTTCAAATTGAACAATTTAGTCATCCAAAACACTTAAGTGCCACATGCAAGGGTTTTAAACTTATCAAATTCCCTTGATCCCACAAATCATATGAAATCTACTTTATAGTACACATATAAAGAATGCATATGTTCTTAGATGTGTGTGTATAAATCCTATATTTAAAATATTCATGCAATTACAACATCCAGTTACATACCAGCAGAAAGGCTTTGGTACGGTGATTGAGCAAGGGAGACTGCTTGGCTAACACCTATCTGAGGCCCAACAGATGTAATTCCTTGTCGGGAGCTTGAGATCAACACCATCCCTTGAGTCTGTGAAGCGACTGTTGTCTTGGTAACACCTGCCATTGTGATTGGCTTGATTACACCCCCTGGATCAGTCGATGTCACAACAGTGGACGGAACCATTCTCATACTAGTTGCTGATGAAACAGGAGTTACAGTGAGCTGTTTAGCAGATGGGTCTGTCGACACCAGCAAGTTGCTCGGCAGTATCAGTTTACCATCTGGTGTAACAGATGGTACAAGGTACTGCACGTGAGTCGGCTGACCCGATCCTGTCGAGACCGCTTTGTTTATTCCTGGTTGAGAGCCTACAGAAGTGGCTGGAGTGGTTTTGACTACCACATTCGTAACATGCATGGGGGAGGTGCCACTGGGGGCCATTAGAGTACCACCTTTAACTCCCGTGTTCAATAAAGTATAATGTCCAGGGGACATAAGAATAGCAGCCTTTGGAAGTGTTCCCACAGATGTTGTGGTAGTGCCAGAAGTTGATGTGATGATTCCGGTATGGAAGGTCTGATGGCTGCTATTAGGTATCACTTGCGTTCCAGCTGGAAGAGTGACAGACGTGCTGCCAATGCCACCCAAACTACACTTATTGTTGTCATTTTTGTTTGTGCGCAGGCTGATAGGCGTGTCCACTAAAACAGGCTTTCTTTCTTGCGTGGTTACAGTGAGGTTGTGGAAAGACTTTATTTGGTTTGTCTTCATGACTGTTTTTTGGCCAGCTGGGGAGGAGACATTACTGATGATTTTGATATTTGCTCCGTGGTTGCAAGCAGACACTGTCAACTTGTCTCCCTCTTGTTGCATCATGTTATTTTCACTAACATTCCGAACCTTGGGAGAAGGAGGCATCGATCTGAGGGTATAAAAAACATCAAATAATATCATAATTTTCAACCTACTAAGGTAACTGCTTGGTTAAATTTTGTTTGGTTCCTGAACATAGAAGTAATTATGATATATCATGCCATCAGTCCCAAGAAAGTCAGTAGTAAGATTCAACCTAAGAAAGCAAATGTGAGTTTGACGATATAGGAAAAATGAGAGATCATTCATAGTGAGACAACGTGATATCTCACTACAGACAAGTGTTAAAATGTAGGGAAAACAAGTGTTTATAGACAGATTCTTATTAAGAAAAGCAAGCAGTGAGCCACAACCAGGTCCTAGTGGTATGCCTGCAAAACGTAGAAGAGAGTACCGCAGAAATGTCATCATTGCCTGATGTTATAATGGAAGGGGACTTCCCTTCCAAACATTAACACCTCTCCTTCCCCCCCCCCCTTCCTCTATCTCTATATCTATATCTATCTCTATCTCTATATCTATACCTATCTCTATCTATATCTATCTTTATCTATCTCTATCTCTATATATATCTATCTACATCTATCTATATCTATATCTATCTATATCTATATCTCTCTCTATCTCTATCTATCTATATCTCTATCTTTATTTATCTCTATCTCTCTTTCTCATATCTTTATTCAAAGATATATATATCTTTAAATAAATCAATTAATAGATAGACACACTATTTTATATAGAGTACCTATCACATGCAATGTGGCACAATTCACTTCGAAGCATGACTTCATGAAAGTGTCAAAGACACATTATGGCCAAGAGAAACATTTTTATTTTTACAGATCTTTTCATATAAGGTAACTTGTGAAGGATGTTGATTGACTCAGATATAGCCATAGTCCCAGTGTTAATATATATACAAGTTTGACTCACCTAAATGCACTGCCTGTGGACTGTAGTGTGGATGTGATGGGCATCTGGAGTGTTGGTGTGGAAGGCAGATGAATAGGAGACGGTTTTCCAGCTACATGTAACTGGTCAGCCCCAAGCTGGGCCGAGCCTGTTGGGCCGTAGAGTGTTACTACCTCCTCTGTTGACAATGATGGTCTGCAAGCAAGGAAAAATAAAAAGCTCAAAACACACACATCAAGTGGTTTAATCCTAACATATTTCAATTTCTGTTGTCAGGGACAGGAGGCCCATACTTGCATTACTATTGATAGCTCTTCAAATTATAAAAGTCTATATGTGGAGTTCTCCAAATATCACACAGGCACCGTCAAATTTTGAAATAGTTAAGAAAAATAATTATTGACAAAGTTATACTATTTCAATGAGGAAAATCTAATAAGAAACAAGGCATTAGGGGCATAATATCATAGAATATTTTCACAATTGTCAATGTTTATCAAATTCATAAAAACTCAGTGAGGTAATTTATGCCTCAAGTAATCTGGCTAGGAAAATTAATTCTTCATATGAGCTTTAAGAGTAGGTAATGCAAACTAATCTTCTAGCCAAAACAATGTTAATTAACACATAAACAAATAATATACACACCTTCCCTTGATGGGTTTGGGCTTGTACTTTATGTCTCCCCCACTTGTGGGAGAATAAGGTCTTCGTAGGCGTTCATTGACTTCTGTGTCACTCTGCGTTTCGGAATCGGAATCTCCAACATGCTCTTTGCATGCTAGATCTATCTCATTGGTCGTGTCTGTGGAAATAACGAAAAATTAGTGGCAAAATGCATCGACAACTATTTAGAGTGACTACAAGTTTTTTTTTGTTTTTTTTTTCCACAATTTGCTTCTTTAACCACTGTGCTGCACCAGCCGAGAAAACTCGGTCGGTGGGAAACTGCGCCATCCGAGAAAACACCTTTTGAATATTTTGTACCCATTCAAAACGCATGCGCGGTAGGTTGTGTACGAAATGGACTCATGGGACCTCCAGTGATAGACATCCATCTTGGAAAAAATTCCCCCCAGAATGTCCTAGGGCTGCTGGCTAGCTTAGTACTGAGTGAGCAACCATAGGTGACACACGTGCCTCTGGCTCTTTCAATCAAAACGTTACTAATCACCTCTTACTAATCACCTCAGCCATGGATAGATGTCATAATCTATCCATGGCTGCACCATACTACCTTGTTAATTCAATACAAGGCTCCAGGAAAATGGCTGTGAACAGACTGCACAAGGACTTCTTGCCTGTGTTATTCTAGCTTCACACTTAAAATATTTTATCTTGTGATGATAAACTTTAGGCACAAACAAAATTGGTTTATAATTTGATAACATATTTAAAAAATATTTAAGTGAAGTTCATTTATTATAACAGATACTTGCCTATCTTGTTTTGAGTCATATCCCTCTGTCCCTCTGGTGTTCCCTCTTCACAAATGATCATTTTAGAGTCATCATCGGACACCTCGGAGCCTACTGTGTCCCTTCTTGGTCCAGTTTGTGTTCCATTACTAGGCACCAGGAACTGTTTGTTTACCTGCAAATATGATTCTGAATTACTACTACAAGTAATAAGTTAGTCTTGTGGTTACATAAATTTATATATGTAAATTTATATATATAATTCTCCCCCGTATCTACCCACCCAGGCTTTACGCCCTGGAGAGGCCACTACAAACCGACAACCAGAGCGGAACTCCACAGTCTCCTGAGACTGATGGATGCCTACTACTACTACTGCTATAAACACATGACAGCATAGTAATGTACTATTGTGACCTCTGTTGTTACCCCACTTGTATGTTATGAGGTGACCTGACCTAATGTCACATTACACCCAGTCCAATAGTCACTTCCACCCAACATGTGTCCTCTTACACACATTTCTCACAAAAACAACTTCTATGCTTTATATCTATTCTGTTACCCTTCCTTTAAACAATTGTAAGCTCTGTTTTCCCCACCAAATTTCAAGGAAACAATGGCACACTTCCAGTTCTCGTACCTTCACTGGAAGTGGTGATACACCAAGCACATGGAAATAAGACATAATAGACAATTTTTTTTGCTTATTTTCTAAATGCCTAAAAAGCAAGAGGGTTTAAGACTAGTCTACGCACATCACGAGAACAAGTTTGACACTGGAAGAAAGGACACTTGAAATCATATTCTCTTGAACATACATTTTTAATAATTATGTCAACACAGATAAAGATTAGGACTTACCAAATTATTATTTGTAATGCTAGGATGTGATATAGTCACATGAGTTCCAGCTGCTGATACTTGGATCATCCTGGTATTTGGGCCAATAGATACCGGTGTGCCGGGAGTGTCGAGTGTGTTACTGATAACACCTGGGGTTAACGGAGGTCCAGAACTACTTGGTCCTCCAGGAGTCAGCAATGGTCCACTGTTGGGTCCACCAGGTGTCAAAGGAAGACCATCCATGCCTGGTCCCCCTGGAGTGTATGGTTGACCATCACCTTTGTTAGAACTTGTGGATGACTTGCGACGATCCTTACTACACCACTTCCAGTCTGGATGAGCCCTATAGTGATGCTCTTTTATCTGTCAAAGATGACTTTCCTTAAATGGTATAATTACAAAAAACACTTTAGCAAAAAAATAAAAAATAAAAAAAATAAAAAACCCAGTACTAAATTGAATGAAATGGCAATTTCTGGGTGTGCCCCGGTGGCTCCTTGATGCTACTATCCAGATACGGAATCAAACTGGGTGATACATATTTTACCTTACAGAAAAATATAATCTACACTTCATAATAAATCTGTTTGCTATTATGCCAAGTCAAAACCCAAGCTTTACTCTGCAGACAGTTATCGTCACACCTCTAATCCCATGAATAACACAACTACAAACAGGCTGACGTAAGTTTACCTCAGAGGCGAGGCTATGATATTTTTGCTTTTCTTCAGGACCCAGAGCATACCACCATTCACCCAAGATTTTGGAAACTGTTCTATTGTCTTGATTGGGATATCGCTGGTGCACTAACGGTCGATGTCGTTTGCTAAAGATCATGAAGGCGTTCATTGGTCGTCTTATGTGCTCCTTTTCTCCTTTTCCCTGCAATATAGATGTGTACAAAGTTATTACTCACTTTTGTGGAACTTAATTTTTAAAATGCTAATTAATGTGCCTCAGGATGTTAAAGCTTGAGGAAAGTGACCACTCAGTTAAGTATGAAATTAACAACTACAACTAATCATTGGAAAGAATGTCAGGAATTTACAGTGGCCTTACAGGAGACAATTTCCCAAAACAAGTGAAATTACAGACTGAAGAAAAGCAGAACTTTCTACACAATACAGTTAAACAAAAATAGTAAATGCCGAATAAATAAATGCAATAGATTAAAACAAAAACCATTACTGATAAAGTAAGGAAATCAGATAAAATTCTATAATTAATTATCTCAGATAAAAGAAAAAAATCTTGCCTTCCTTTGAGTGTAGATAAAAAAAAAACTCCTTATTGAGCAAGTAATCTGACTGCTCCCTTTGGGGAATGTCTCACTCTCATATGGATGCAGCAAAGTACTAACCAAGGTTACAATGTACAACATTCAGATATCAGTAAACACAATGTTAATTACGATGGTCACAGCATGAGGCAGACAGTCACTGCAGACATTGTTTTGTTCATCTACACATTGTTAAAATGATCTCGTGCTCCTCTTTAATAACCTTGTGGAAATGGAGTCATATCCAGGATTTAGTGACAGGAATGTGATAATAGCAGTTCTGTTGCTAGTCTTAGTGATGTGCATAGAATATTGAAAACATTTCCATGCAACAGGTGATGTGTACTGGCATCGTCTGCTCATATTGTGTACCTCTATGATGTGGTTTGATTTCATCACCACCACTACCAGAATAGCTTATTTGTTCATTATTGTGCATAAAAATGTTGATATATACACGTGGTGTGTGCATATAGTGCAATAACAGCAAAAATTGTGTTTTATTGTTTAAAGAATACAATATTTGAACTCGTATTGAATTGACATGAATACTGTAATACTTGAAAAACCAATGTAAAAACATTTACAATACAAAGAAAATACAGTACGATATATTCAGTATATCTCTTACAACTTCATGTAAACGATGCAGAATTAGGTTTAACTCTGAAACCAGTTTATAAGGTTATTACACTCGCAAGAAGTGCTTAGTGGTTCATAATGGTGCATAAAAATGTAGCTACTATATAATGTGTATAGTGTAACAACATAAAAAATTGTGTTTTATTGTTCTAAATATTGTATATGATATGGTGCATATCTTAGTCACACATATTTTTGAGCATAGTTATGTTCCACACATTTGATTACATAAATTTTTCAAATAACACCATGAAAATATTATAGCAAAAAAACAGAGAAAAACATTCAGACACATTGAAATTAATTATATAAAATTATATTCGTGGCCACTCTGACAACACACTAGAAAGTGAAGGGACGACGACGTTTCGGTCCGTCCTGGACCATTCTCAAGTCGATCGAACATAACTATGCTTTAGACTGGTGCAAGCGTTACTGGGCGAGTAACAAGTATTCCCTAGACGTCTTATCAATTGCTCAACTTCCCTGCTCCATCACTGCCAAAGTATATCACTTAAAATATTTATTTTTAGTTTCCTGTGATCAGGGAACGCATTGTAACAATATCAGAAAGAAAACACTTTTCTGGAAATTATTTATTTTATGCGCATCACGGAATTGCTAAATTAAACAAATGAGCAGTGCATGGTTAAGCCTTTCATATACAAGTGTCCTCGACTTGCTATATACAAATGTAGCATAACTGACGCTGGTTATCTTTCAGCACTATTACTTTACCCGAGGACACCCGAACCACACACGGCGTGTGTGGCTTGGGTGTCTAATTTACACCTACGTTATTCTGACTTACTGCCTGCAATTTAACTTAATTTACAATCAAGCTCAAAATTACCACTGGAGATTATTCATTTAGTAATTATCAAATGTAAACACTGAGGGAGGATGGCTGTAAAACACTATCCAAATAAACTTCATCCTAACTTAATTTGAGTGTGGCATTATCCTAATCTTCTAGAAGATTAGCAATATCTTAAGATAATATGGCCTCTTAAATTATCCCTCCTTGTGTATAATAATGGCCAGGCTAGAAAAGACCGAATTAGATGTTCCCTCATGCCAACCCAGACACTATCGCACTCACAACCACAACTAATCACTGGAAACTTCTTTCCTGTATTGCCATCTATTTTTTCTACATGTGCCTTATCTGAAATTAATTTATTAATAGAATATTGTATACACTATGGCATAGAATTTTAGATTGATTAACTGAACTAACAACCTATAAACTCCAACATGGGTTTCAAAGGAATATTACTGTTGGGTCAAGGTATGAGCTAATTATCATAAGAGTACTGCTATTACATCAAAGATAACAAAATAACAAACCAATAAGCTTGAATCATTCACCCCTACACACACCTTTCTGGGGCTCTTTGGTTCCTCCTTGCCCGAGAAGGATCCCAGAGACTGAGTTCTTCTCTTATTGTTTGTACTTGAAGCACTCTCAAGGTCAGTAACAAACACATCGTCATCATCAGCCGACAAGTCAAAATCTACATCTTGACTACAAGATTCTCGACGATTTTGGCCCCCTTCGCACTTGTTAACTCCACCAATATCACTTGTGCTTCCCATATGTCCTCTACCATTTGGCAACACATCACCATTTGTTGTTGGCTTAATGTCCGTCTCGTTTTTTGGCTGCTGTTGACTCGACACGTTTCTATTTGGCGTTGTAATAAGAGGAACCAGTTGACTCCAGTGATAAGTTGGCTGGTCATGATGCTGTTCATCCCAGTTGACTTCCTCACCCGCATCCTCCCTAGATACTGTTGGACGAACCACAACTTGATCAGAATCGGATACTGCAATATGACACCTTGGTTGTGTAGTTATAATAACAGCACCAGCAGAAGTTCCAGTCACAAATGTTGTGGATAGTGATGTCACTTCTGTTTTCACTTGATTTATTATATTCTCTTTATTATCTGGAGCTTCTTGTTTTGCGGTATCAAGATTATGCGACGACTGTTCAGATATGTGTAATCCGCTATCTCTTACGGAAGCATTATTGGCACGCAAAAGTAGGCCCTCTTGCTCTCCACAACTGACTGAAACTCTCTGTTTAATATCAAAATCCGATTTTCCATCAGTCAAATCAGATCGATCACTACAAAACCCCGACTGATCTATGGGGCGAAATCTACTAGAAAGATCTTCAGGCTGTGAATTGGGATCATCTTTGGCAGTGTTAGGTACTGATGAGGTAAGAACTTTTTCCAGAATTGCAATAGTTGGTTGACTGGCACCTGAGGTAATTGTAACCCCAGGGCCACCCAGGCTTCTAGAGAGATGACCTTGTTGTGACACATTTATCAATTGGCTGTTGATAGTAGTTACACGGGGATTCAGAGTCAAATGCTCTCTTCTATCCTGTATTACTGACTCTGGGGCTTGGTGAAGATGTACACTAGGCCCTGCTGGAGAGAGGGTCACTTGTGGGTTGTTTATGCTTAAACTTGCTGATGACCCTGGAGACTGACCCATAGGCACAGTATGGCTTGGGGAGGCGCGGATCACACTCGTGCTGCCCGTCACCTGGCTAACTGTTGATGGCAGCTTAGTCACTGGACGAAGTAACTCGGGTCTGAAAAAGAACAGCCATTAAAAACTAGCAAATAGAATAAATTTGACTAATAGAAATTATCATAATTCATGAATAAAATTTCAGCAAAGTGATCTCTATTATAATACAGTAGTTGATAAATAAACATAGTATTTATGTCTATATTATTGAAGATCTTAATGTGCTTTAAAAGTCTACTAACCTTATAATAGGTCTTTGTGGAAGTGACGGCACAGGATGTCGGTTACTATTATCGTGTGACATCCATGCTCGCCCAGTAGGAGAGGTGATGGGAGCAGGTTGAGATATAGGCATGAACACGTTTCCCTTAGGCCCCACTGTCACTGGACTCTGGATGCCTCTTGGTGAAATAGATGTCGGAGAGAAGCAGCCAGCAGGAGTTGTCGATCTTGACGAGTTGTGCAGAGTCACTATGGAAATAATGACAAGAAATATATTTACTGTACAGTAAACAATTTGTATCACTTGAAAATAAATCATAACAAAGTTTACTGTACAGTATTATGTACAGGTAAGTGGGACACTTGCCTTATGGAGCAACCTAGTGGCTTGCTCAGAAAGAATATTTTCATCGGATACAATTACAAGTACAGTACTGTATACACAGTACAAGTATCACACAGTATACAAGATAGATCACCAACTAACTTTAAAACCTACATAACCTAATACAAACGAACCTAATCAAACTGAGTCTAAAACAGCCTAAGACAAGACATTCTAACCTAACAATATACAGTTTTGACAATCAGGAAATAAGCTTTGTCCAAACATCTTGTGCATTTAATGACATCTCCTTTCATCCACACTTAAAGCACTATTTATCCTTATTATAATTCCCCTTCTATCTATTTTTACTTTTGACTTCTTGTTTTTCTCTTTGCAATATACAAGTACAAGATATAAACATGCAAGACAAGAAATAACAAGCAGTACTTACTAAGCATATTTGCAGCTTCTGTTTCGTCTTGAGACCGCGGGGCTGTTAGGGGGAAGTTGGGAGAAGTATCCGAGTCACACGACATCTCTTCCCAGTTACCCTCTACACTTGGAGTATCTTTCCTAAAGAAAACAAGAATCTTAAAGCTTTATCAAAACAATTTTTCTTTTTTCTTTCTAGCTTCCAACAAGTGATGCATTTCATTTTCTATGCATAGTATACTAAATGGAAAATGACAAATTACTTCCAGATACTTATCTTGGACAGGGGTGACACGAGAGAAAAAGCTTTCAAACTGAACTTCATTCTGTACTGTAGAGTAGAAGTACCTTTCTCAATTGTTTTAGTCTCCCATATGGTTTCATGGAAAATTCTCATATGTTCAGATAACATCATGCCATCCTGGACTATACCTGAATTAGGTTCTGAGAGTACTGTAATTCTATTCCTGGCCTGAGGCCAGGCTTGACTTGTGAAGGCTTAGTCAAACAGGCTCTTACATGGAGCAGCCCACAGGCCCACATTCACTACAGCCCGGTTGGTCCGGCACTTCTTGCAGAAAACCATCCCGTTTTTTCTTGTAAACTTCCACTATTGTTCCGGCAATAATTTCTATACTTCCTGGGAGAATACTGAACAGCCATGCACCTCTGATGTTCAATGTTCTCTGATTGTGCCTATGGCACTTCTACTCTTCACTGGCTCTATTCTGCATTTCTTTCCATATCGTACACTCCAGTATGATGTCATGTTAATGTGTAAATTTGGGACTTACTTGGCCCTCTAGCACCTTTCATGTATATATTATTTGATTCCTCTTGTCTCCATTCTAGAGAGAACATTGAGAGCTTTAAGATGATCGCAATAATTTTGATGCTTTATCATGTGATGCTGTAGATATGAACAATTCAACTGTGCCACTGCCAGTTCATCTGAGTTACCTGGATGCTTGCCTCCAAGACAAAAAGTACCATTAAAGGTTTGCTATATTCTTACCACCCAACAACTTCCTTGACCCAACCCATGGAACAGGGAATAATTTTGAGCATGAAAGTTCACTACAGAAATTAGTTTGTAAAATCCTACCATCTGGTGGTGTAGTGGAAACGCACCTCGTGTTTCACAAACAATTTTGTCAGAGTTCAAGGTACAGCCTAAGGAGGATTGACTTAGCACCAATCCTAAATTGTTCATCCCCTGTTCATCCAACAGTAATTGGCAATCAGGTTGTAAACTGATTTGCAGGACATATTCCAGGGAATACATTAGATTTCTTTATAGGAGCTCATTAAGCCTCGAAGAAAAATTGCTCTTATTAAAGTTGTATCAATTTTACAGCATATCTATATAAAGGTATCTATTGTCAATCATTATTTTTTCCAGTACTGTACTGTATTATTCTACAAGTGCTCTACATATCATTGGGAATAATGATAAATTATATTAATACTTGACTAATTTACATTATATATACAATTACAATAAGTATGTATACAAATCTAAACAGCTTATGCTATTATAGAAAACAAATGTACTAATTTTTTGAGGGGGGAGGGAAAGGAACTTACCCAGCACTAAAAGTAATCGACGAGCTGCGTAGTCTTTTTCCATACATGGAAAGGTGTCGTGAGCAATATCCCTGACGCTGGCTCTCTTTGCTGCACCCTTCCTTACCACATAACCGACGCCATTGCTTCCCATTGAATTTTTTTCTAATCCCATTAGGAGTAGTCACAACCTCACCTTTCTTGTACTTAAGTGGAGTGGCAGTTCCAGATCTGTTAAAATAACAGGGAAGAAATGTTGGCCCACATTTAGGCACGAAGCTAACTCTACACCTCATATCTACATCCATTATTTAGCATGTAATGATTTGCATGTATTGTATATACGTATATGCACATGTGTATGTGTGCATATATGTATACAGTATATGTGTGTGTGTGTATGTATATATATAAAATATTATATTCAAATATGTATTTCTTAATGCCCCATCCATTCATCGCGCAAACAGTAAGTATCATTACCTGGGAGTGACAGGCGTTGATCGAGGAGTGGTAGTGCCTATGCTTCCCTGTTCTATTAAGCTTGAGGTGGATCCTCTGCTGTGCATGGATGAGCGCTTTGGGTCTCCCGTATATTTACTGCCCAGTGCACCTGGAGTCAGGGACATGGAGCGGTGATTACCACTATAATGACCTGAAACCAGCAAGGTTTTTGTGTAATCAATGATACATTGCTGATATGTTTAGCAAGCAACATCAAATTGAGTGGCAAACATGTAACCTAACATGTCTTGGTAGACTAACTCATTTCACATTTACCAAGATTGCAATAATTTGTTTAATTTATGACATAAAAAAATTATATACAGTACTGTATTATTCAAATATGACTGCAAACTAAAAATTATTGGTTCACTCTGCACTAAGTAACTTAACTCAGTACAGCATAAAACTTATCTTCATTTATAATCACAAAAAACCAGCATTGAATGTAATGAAAGGCAATTTTCTTGGTAAGCCCCAGAGGCAACCTGGAGATATCTGGCTAATATGCGTTACATTACATTAGTCAATGTATTAGTCAATGGAGGCATTAGTCAATGGAGTTCAGCCTACTGAACTGGACCACGAGCCAGAACCTGGCCCTCCTCAGAGAGGCACAGAGAGCAATGGCCCCTGGAAAAAAAAAACCGTGGTTGGAGGGTTTTCCTTATCTGCCATCGACCGGGGTTAGACACCCAGATAGGTAGGCATAACAAAGGAGACTCCATATTTTAAGAAAATTGACACCAAAAACCGAACAGAGGCAGAACTCCCTCAATTCCCATGGAAACAAGAGAATAGAATAGAAACCAGAGAATAGTCCGAATGGAGCCAGATGGTCGAACCCCGAGTGACACAAACCCTCTGAAGCAACAACCAAACCACCGCAAACTCCCGCACTGTGCTGTGAACCTGACGGAAGGATGGACCCCACTGCCTCTGGCCAGCCTGGGAAGCACTGGTCACAAAGCCCTAGCCGAGAGACGACGCGTCTGTGAATACATCGAATGAGGGCTCTGGTAGGCACCAAGGCACTGAATCCCGAAAAACCCAAAGAGGAAGTGTTACGGACCCGAGCCCAGCGTCCGAGCACGGAGCAGTGACGACCGCGCCATCTGTGGGTCAGCTCCCGAAACCCCCTCCAAATGGACGACGCCATCTAGTGAGGACGAGAAATACCGGCCACAAGGGCTAGTTTCCCGTCCTGATCAGCTCGTAACATAGCCGCTGCTGACCTCTGGTGAGGTAACGCTTAGACAGCAACGCCATCTATGGAGTGGATAGGTGGGCGTTTGTGTCTAAGCCTGTAAGTGTCCCTATTACTGATGACGTGTCTGATTACAGAGTCGACCTGGGACTGCGGTAATGGAAGTTGGATCAGTCTACCCAAGGCAGCCGTCTTGTCTCCAAGTATTTGCTGCAGCAGCTGTGAGTCACCCCCCGGATGAACACTGAGGTGTTAGCCTGCCTGTGACGTGGCAGCTGAGGGATTGTCGTACCCGGGACTGACTGGTGGAGACGCTTAACCACTGGGGTGTTGTGGTGAGGAGAGTGACCTGTGGGATCACACGAGGCTCCTGACTAGGGCTCGCTACCCTAGTATCGGTCGTGGAGTGGCCTAACCAGCGTTGCTGATTGGAACCTGCCAGCCACAGGCTGGATTTGTGGTTGAAGGCCTCCACGACGGTACCCCCAGTGGAACTGTGATTTGGCTGGCCTGTGGCCAGGGTAGACTCAAGAGAATCGAAGGATTCGTCGTGAGGCCACAAGAGGACCAAGAGGTTAGCATCGTCGAGCACCGTGGAACACTCCGCGTCTTCAGAAGAAGGCTACATTGTATATAATAGAGTTTATACCCCCCCCCCCCCCCCCCCCCGTGTGATAAGATGTATAGTATTTATGGTGATGGTGACAATTATATTATTAAGTTTTTGCCTTTGTCTCCCTTCCCCTTTAATTTACTTGCGTTACGGATCACATCCCTTGAAAGCCACTACTAGCTTGGGGCCGGATACCCTTACTCTACTAACATCAGAGAAAGAACCCGGTTGCGACCCGAGAGGGCCGTAACAGGAAGCCAGTGATGCAGCAACTAATGCAAGGCCCCCAGGAGGCTGAACCCAGTGATCACGAGAGAGGCGAAAGGGGCATCCACAAAGGAACCAGAACAGATGCCGAAGCCAAACCCAACCCAGCGGGTAAACCAGAACAGCGAAGGTCAGACTCCCACATAACTGCTCGAGCAACTACCGAGTTGCCGCGTTACCGGACCCCACAGCAATGCCTCCAGAAGGACACACATGGAAGCGGTCCGAGAGTCCCAAAAAAGACCCAATCATGTTCGAACCTGGGACAGACTCTTCGGTTTTCGGATGAAATTTTCTTACCGTGTGGGGTCTGTTTTGCTATGCCTACCTTTCTGGGTGCCTAACCCCAGTTGATGGCAGAAAAGGAAAATCCCCAACCACAGTGGGGTTTTTTCAGGGGGGCCCTTGCTCCCTGTGCCTCTCTGAGGGGGCCAGGTTCTGGCTCGTGGTCCCCGGTAGGCTGAACTCTACTGACTAATGCCCTGGTCTAATGTAATGCATATTAGCCAGATAATTCCAGGGAATTGAAAGGGTTCCCCCCACAGAAAAATATATGCCCTCCAAAATCCAGACCAGATCTGAAATTACAAATATTTGAATACAGCCTTTCACTACTGCAACTGCCATTTTTGGACAACTTTCCAGATGTTTTCCTAAAGAAACTAATTTGTGTCAAAATTAATACCAAGCCAAATTCAGTAAAATAACATTCATATGCTCCATTTTCCCCCCCACACAGTCATAGGTCATTTCAACCTGTCATATGATAGATATCTACTCTCTCATGCCCAAAACTCTTTCTATTGCTCAAGATTTTCTTTGATATATTATGGAGCACCATTCCAATTAATTATTAAAGAGGTTTCCTAACAATCATTTTTATAACATTTCTGGCACCTACTCTGAGCCAGACTCTAACTTCCACTGAATAAGAAAAGAGCACAATAGAATAATTTGAGCAAAAACTAAGATTGCAGAAAATCATTTTGCTGTATACAGTTCAATCAACCTAGATTTCATCATGACCTTTCCAGAATTTGTATTTCCTCATATAAATCTAATTTTTGGAGGGGTAATCTGGTAGATGGATTTATTTTTGTTAACTAAAAGGATCTACAATATTTAGGTCTGGATTTTGGAAATCCTACTGTTTTATTCATCACCGTAATTTAGAAATTACGGTGACAAATAAAATTACTTGGTATGGCACTGTAATCTCATCACCAATGACCTCCATAACCCAGGTCAACATGGATTTTGAGTGAAAAGATCATGCCTTTTGCAGCTATTTAACCACTATGACAAAATGACTGATGCATTAGAAGAAACACAGAATGCAGATGGTATCCACAGACTTTGCAAAAGCATTTGATAAATGTGACCATGAAATGTTAACACCCCCCCCCCCCCCACAAAATGAGGTCAGTAGGAATAATAGGTAAAGTATGGCAAAGAATATTAAATTTTCTGTCAAACCAAACACAATGAATAACAATCAAATATAATTGAGTTCAAACAGTTTAAAGCGCTGTGCCTCAGGGCACAGCCCTTGTACCACTGCTTTTCCTTATTCCCATATTAGATAAAAATACAAGTCACAGCATCATGTAAATAAACTAGTAAAAATAAGCAAGTCATCTCGGTAAGATAGCTCCAGGGAGCCACCAGAAACTCCCTGGGAAGATATTTTGCTAAATTAGAATATTTTAAATGTGCCTCAAACATCCTGTCTCCTTTATGTTCAATTGAAAAATGGGCCAAAGATGTATTTAAATAAAGAAAAACAGGCTGCACATACCCCCATCTGCAGGAAATGTGATGTCCTCTCTTCTAAGGTCATCATCACTATCGTAATCATCTATTGGTCGTCTGCGCAGCTCTTCTGAACCAGAACTGAGGCCAGCTGATCCTGACTGTCCACTAAGAGGTGTCATGGGTACACTGCCAGGGGGTGTTACATGGTTCGGTGGTGTGATGGTGCCGTAAGTGGTTGCTACCATCGAATAGGAGGGGGCAGTGGGCACTAAGTGAGAGCCAGATGTTTCCTGGAAGCCCGGAGGTGGGTAGCCACTTGGTTTTTGAGAATTATAGTGGTGAGAAACGGCTAGCAATGATGATTGTACGTGTGGCTCCAAATCCTCCCACCATGGTGGTTGAAGTAACCGTAAATGAGGCCGAAGAAGCCAGTGGTCATTTGCCACACCAGACCCCTGATTGTTTGTCTCGCCACTAATGCGCACCAAATATTGCGAAGTTGGTGAGCCCTGTCTTTCATACACTACCCCTTCCGCAAACATCAGTTGTTCCTTATCTAACCGCACTACAACACGTGCCCCTTCCACTAGCTGTTTGGCAGATGGAACAGCATCACTTATCACATCAAATTTACCAGTCGTAAAAACATTACTGTACAAGAGATCACTATTTGCATCGGCATCAATCCTCACTATAAGATCACAAGCATTTTTTACACTTACAATCACTGCTGGATAGTAAACTAAGCCACGCTTGGCTAAAACTCTATGACCCTTCCACTCGCTGAGGTCAACGGGTGCTCTAGCAACACCCTGCTGAGACGACCACATTTCTGGGGTTCGAGGCACTTCCCCTCCTTCGCGCGTTTCACCAGACACATGATGAGATGAAAGAGTAGCCTGCGCAGCAGCATCAACAACACTCTTGAAGCCTGCGTACTGCTTTGGCTGAGGAAACTCTACTTTTGAACTTGGTGACTGAGAGAGACAGCTGGTGGCACTTTGAGAGATAGCAGGTTGGGAATGGGCTTGAGGCGGTACCATATGAGGGATGTGTACTGAATGGTGCCCAACACTCCCCACTTGATGTTGTAGTTGTGACTGTTGTGAGGGTTGAGTAAGATGCTGTTGTTGGTGAGGCTGCTGTATATGGACTGCGTGTTGTTGCAGCATCTGCTGCTGTTGCTGCTGAAGCTGCAATTGTTGCTGTTGTTGTTGTTGCTGCTGCTGCTGTTGCTGCTGCTGCTGCTGCTGTTGCTGCTGCTGCTGTTGTTGCTGCTGCTGCTGTTGCTGTTGCTGCTGCTGCTGCTGCTGCTGTTGCTGCTGTTGCTGCTGTTGCTGCTGTTGCTGCTGCTGCTGTTGTTGCTGATGCTGTTGATGATGTGACTGCTGATGAATTTGATGATGAGTTTGATGTGACTGCTGAAGATGCTGTTGATGATGATGTAGTTGCTGGTGAGGTTGTTGGTGAGGTTGTTGATGTGGTTGCTGGTGAGGTTGCTGGTGAGGTTGCTGGTGTGGTTGCTGGTGTGGTTGCTGGTGTGGTTGCTGGTGTGGTTGCTGGTGTGGTTGCTGGTGAGGTTGCTGGTGAGGTTGCTGGTGAGGTTGCTGGTGAGGTTGTTGGTGAGGTTGTTGATGTGATTGTTGGTGAGGTTGCTGATGAGGTTGCTGATGAGGTTGCTGATGAGGTTGCTGATGAGGTTGTTGATGTGATTGCTGGTGAGGTTGTTGGTGAAGTTGTTGGTGAGGTTGTTGGTGAGGTTGCTGGTGTGGTTGTTGGTGCTGTATATGTTGTTGCCTTTGTTGGTGGTGCTGCTGTTGCTGCTGTTGTTGTTGCTGCTGAATCTTTTGTCTCTGCTGGTGTTGCTGCTGCTGATGATGATGAAGCTGCACCTGTTGGGATGAGTTGAGGGATCCTTGATATTGAGGAATTGTTACAAGTGTTGTCTGATGCTGAGGAATTAGACCAATGTGTGTAGAGACAGTGGCAGTGTGAGGAATGGATGAGGCTTGCGTGGCTGGTGCAAGCTTAAGTTGCGTGTTAGGTTGAGAAAGAGAGTTCCGCTGAACGGTTAACACCTGAGAGGTGACTACGCTGTGTGTTGCGATAGCATGTGACACTACCGTATGACTGGTGTTCTTCATGTTGACTGGCTGTGACTCAACTGGAGGCTCACTAGGCGCAATTTTATCTTGGCCGTTACCTTCCTTACCATTGCTACTTTGGATACCACTTCCGTTTTCATTAACTCGACCACCACCGGATGTGTTCACCCGAAGGTCTTGAGGCTTGATTTCGGAAAAATTTACGTCAACCTCTGCAACAACTATTGGTCTGATAATAGCATCTGGAACAGCCATAGGTGCCACAGACACCATAGGACTTGTTACCGATGTGCTAACGGAGGGGCCTCGCAGCTGGCCAGATGTTGAGACTACCAGAGCAGAACTAACAGTTGTACTAGCTGTCACCATTGCAGTCGCTGGTTGCAGTCCTTCATTCATATCCTCCAATTCAGATGGATCAAACTTACGCTTTTTGGGTAACTTGCATACATCATGTACAGGCTGCTTTTCTTCTCTCACTGGAGTTAAGGATGTCAGACTTCCAGTACCTGCTGCTGGGGCAGAGCCCCTGCTGGAGTTTGCAACTCCAACTCGGGGTCGGCTCACCGTAGCAGCAGGCATGCTGGAGCCAGTGCTGCTCTGACTGCTCACCACAATCGCTTCATCGTTAGCACCTGCTGTGGGTATTCCCTCAGCAGAGCCACCAGGGTCGTCACCTTTGCCTCCTGACACAGCATCCTTATGAGCCCTCACTGACCCATAATCTTCCTCTCCCTTTTTGCCATGGGATATGTTATTGCCCGAGGCTGTGTGTCCCGAGGGTGGCTGATGTACAGCCGAATCTCCCTCCCTGCGGGCGGTGGCTCTTGCACCACGGCCAGAACTGCCTGAAGCTTTGGATTCTGCAGTGCGTTTGGCTCGGTTGCCCCCGCGCCTATTCATGGTGCCGGTCATCCATAGTTATAACGCTGAGGACCACTGGCGACTCACCAGAGCACCAGGCAAGCTTCATAGCAGCTATGGTCCTTCACAGCTGAAAAATAACAAAAATTCATTACAAATGTAAAAAATGTTGATACAGAAAAGTATTTAACAGAAATATAAGTACTTAATAGTACTTATTAGTAGTTTATTGAAAAAATATTCATAACACAGAGTAATGCAGACAGAGAGTCACAATAACGTGGCTGAAAAATGTTGACCAAACCACACACTAGAAATTGAAGACAACGACAACGTTTCGGTCCGTCCTGGACCATTATCAAGTCGATTGTGATAAGATGAAGGAAGCAAGGGCAATAAATAGGCAAGAGGAGAGGGAACCTTTATCTTTCTCTTGGTTTCTCTTATGATCCCTTTCTTATTCCTATTATTACACCTTACCTTCTGTACCTTTTGCCTTGCTCTTATCTTCCTCTAAGGTTTCCCTCTCCTCACCTCTCTCTCGCCTATTTACTGCCCTTACTTCCTTCGTCTCATCACAATCGACTTGATAATGGTCCAGGATGGACTGAAACGTCGTTGTCTTCAATTTCTAGTGTGTGGTTTGGTCAACAGAATAATGTTTATCATATACACGGTCTTTTTAAACTGAAACCTTTTCCTATAAGAGCTGCACCTCATCTTTCAATTTAAAGAAGCTTTGTAAATACTGTAATTATAAACAATGGAAGTTATCAAATGTATTGATTAATAAAATAAATTACTGTATAATTATCATACAATGAAATATAAAAATATAAATTAAGAAAACACACAAGATAATTGCCATTATGTAATATTTCCTAAAATGCATAGGAAACACAGGATCTGGTAACACATCATGTAACTGCTCAGCATATACAAATACAAATACAAATATTTATTCAGATAAAGTACATACATACAAGGTGAGATACAAAAGTTGATGGATAAATATAGATATATTTATAGATATAAATAAGGAGGGACAAAAGACATTGGGAACTTTGCATTATAATAAGTTTATAGTCAATAAATATGAATACCAATAGTAACTAAAACTAAATGTATGTAGAGGGTATCAGCTATTTCAATAATGACGCCCCACAGATACTACCTTGACCTAGGGAGCTCGGAGCTGGTTGGCCGAGCGGACAGCACGCTGGACTTGTGATCCTGTGGTCCCAGGTTCGATCCCAGGCGCCGGCGAGAAACATTGGGCAGAGTTTCTTTCACCCTATGCCCCTGTTACCTAGCAGTAAAATAGGTACCTGGGTGTAAGTCAGCTGTCACGGGCTGCTTTCTGGGGGTGGAGGCCTGGTCGAGGACCGGGCCGCGGGGACACTAAAAAGCCCCGAAATCATCTCAAGAATCATCTCAAGATAGGAAACCAAAATGTGGACCTTGGACAAAACCCCAAGAACAAACTCCTCTTAAGTTGTGACCTTCACCAATGTTATTAACGTTAAGCTATTTTCTATTCTTTTTAAGCTTTCTATTGCAGCTTATTCTTTTTTTTTAAAGTTTGAAAATATATCATTAATGTGGCCATACATTGAGGTGATTCTGTAGCTCAATGTCCCTATTAGCCTTGTACAGTGTTAGAATTTAAGCTTTAGATTTTTCTTGAAGGACCACTCAGTAGCTCCTCAAGATTAGCACTGGTCCAGCCATGCCTTAGGGAGATGCACCAGGCCTCTGATACCCACCAGAGCCTACCAGGTGCCTGCTAGGAGCCAGCATCAAAATATAGCTCTCTTTACGAGGTGAAATCTTGGGGATTAGAAATCAACCCAAAACCCAGAGAAAAAATATACCAGAAAGCCTACGTGCAACAAAGCAAGAAATGTCAAAGAAAATTTGATATCCAAAGGTAATAAGGCAAACCATGAATAACTATTGAGGCTCTATGATAGAAATGAACCTGTGCCCCTAATCACGTCCGGTACTTGCACTACTGTATCAACTGGGCCATCATGGTCCAGCCAATAGTGTGTATACTATGTGATACACTATGTGATATGTATACAATAGTGTGTACACTATTAGGGGCGCTGGTTCCATTCTGTTAAATAGCCTCAATGTATATTCATTGTTTCATCATGCTATTGTGATTTTTCGTTGTGTACTCTATCCATGTTGTGTACAACCACCACCAGGCAGCATCCCATCTCACCCGAAGTCCTTGAAGGCAGCTTCCTCACTCACTACAGAACTATAGAGAGGCCCCAGCAGTAAAATCCCTTTCATTGTATTCAATGTTTGATTTCTGGGAGAGTCCCTAAGTAGCACCCTGAGCTAACCCAAATTGCACTTCAGTAAGGAAAAGACAAACTAAAAAAACACTAGTCATAGACCAGGAAGACTTTGTAGGAGAGCATGGCCAGTTTGAGGTGTAGGAGTGGCGAAGGAATGAGGGCAAGGGCACATCCACCCCAATTGCCAGCAAAAGCTGCGCCTTCAGAAAGGGAGTGTCTCCTTGTATCACACGAGAGGGCAGAAACATATGGCTAGTTCATGGAGACAGAATGGATCCAATTATTTTAGTAGAGAAATACAAGAATTTGTATAAATAACTTTGTTACAATATTTTATATATTTATTGTAATTAAAGCATTTTTTAATATAATTGTGAATTTTTAAATACTACATTGGCTGTGTCATTCAGTAAACAGAAAGACAAGTTGTATAATTCAGAATTTTTTTCTGAATCAAGAGTCAGGTTCAATCAAGCTGAAGCACCTGCCCCAGTGGATCAAAAGAAATACCAGAAACTCTTTACATACAGCATTCTCAAATAAAATATTGAATCTGCATGCTTCTGATGCAAATGTCAATTTTTTTTTTTAGACAAATTAAAGGAACTATATTTTATTCAACGAGTTCTCCTTTGATTTTACGCAAATGTACAACCTTAAAACTGAAGTACAGTATCAGTTTTGAGCCAACCCATCCTTGAAAATAATTGAACAGTATATACTGCACAACAATTGGTGGCAATGGTATAAAATGTATATTGTGGAACAAACGCTAGATAATATCCACAAATTGCATTACAATACTGATAATTTTAAAGCAATATGTAAAAAGAGGTCATACACTACTAAGAAAGATGTGAAGACAGCATATCCTATTTATGTCTAACAAAATATATAGCAGGTCTAACAGTGCATACATGAATTATATAAAGACCAGGATATGCATTATGTTAAGACTAGGATAAGTTTTGTTAGACCTATAGAAGTTTTTTCTTTGGATTTTGTTTAGCAGTTGTACACTATACTCCTGCTACATGTTGCCTTATAATGTTCAATACAGTAGTACATATAGGCACTGTACTATTATCTATATGCAGGCGATGAGTCACAATAACGTATGTTGACCAGACTACACACTAGAAGGTGAAGGGACGACGACGTTTCAGTCCGTCCTGGACCATTCTCAAGCTGATTGTGCACAATCGACTTGAGAATGGTCCAGGACGGACCGAAACGTCATCGTCCCTTCACCTTCTAGTGTGTGGTCTGGTCTACTATTATCTGTGTACCCTATTCCATATTTTGAACTAATGCCCTCGGTTGTTATACGTTTACTATTATTTTGAAGAATGGGTTGAGAATAACAGTAGCTAAATACTGGAAAACACAGGTCTTATTTCTGGTATTCAGCCACCACAGCATCTCAAAATCAATTTAAAATCCCTCAATGCACATATGCTTATTATATTTAAGGGTCCTAGTAGTACAGTCAGGTCCGTTCTTGACTTGCAATTGAAAATTCCAGGCTCGAATCCCAGGCAGGACAAAAATGGTTGGGCGCATTTTGTATCACCTAATGCCCTTGTTCACCTAGCAGTAAGTAGGTACCCAGAAGATAGTCAGCATGTTGTGAGGTTGCATTTTGGGGGGCGGGAGGGTCGCAATTTGACCTTGGGCGGGTTGGGAGGTGGGGGTGGGGACCTCGATATAAGCCTAATGTATTTAATAAAAATAAAGTGAGAACGCCACGAAAGATTATTGGCTCACCATGCTACCATGTCCTATAACATCAGATCTTAACACTCAGTGATTCCCATGAACAACCTTCCAAATATTAGGTACCAGATGACAGTATCCTGCTTGAGCACACACACAGGTATCATCCTCCCAGGTAGCCGAATATTAGGGAACCAGGAATTGTACGTTATTATGTAAATGTTAACCAATATAAATGAAATGATGAGGTATATAATATAAACCATAATATACATGGATACACTACCTATTCCCTTACAGATGGGTGAAGTGTCTATAGTAATTTGTATAGTGGCACTCAGGGGACCACACACACTGTGCAGCACTTCATACATGGTCACCCACGTATTTTGGTCAGTATCTAAATAAATATTACATTTACACAAACGATTTATGGCATCATACATAAATGTGATACCTGTACATATCAGTGTTTTTGAGGAAATATTACTGTACTGTAGAATATTTTTAAACCATTTTGAATAGAAATAATTAAAGATAAGTGGCCAGATACCACACCAGCATATTATCCAAGACTTCACTGAAGAACATTGGAAGATCACAGACAGAACAGGAAAATAGAAACCGCTGTAAACAGTAAATACACCTATTCAATATCTAAATCAGCATCTTGGGGGCTTAGAATGTATGATTCTTCACTTTAAGGAGTAGCAAGATAGCAACTGACTAGGTCTATGACAACATGACTGATTGGCTATGACAACTTGGCTACATTGACCAACTGGCTATGACAACATGACCAACTGGCTATGACAACATGACAACATTGACCAACAGGCTATGACAACATGGCTACAAGACTGATTATGTATGACAACAAGGTTACATGACCAAATGGTTATAACACCATGATTACTCTGACAAAATATAATGACTAAATGGTGTTAGCGGAGGCTAGTTACCTTAGGTGGAAGAGATTTTGGAGGTGTTACATTTGGAGGATGTGTTATTGGAGGTAATTTACCTCTGGAGAGGTTACCTCTGGAGGAGGTGTTAGTGGAGACAAGTTACCTCTGGAGGAGGTGTTAGTGGAGACAAG